GACAAGTGGAATACCCCCTTTTCCTCCCAGCTGTGTGCTGTTCTGAAGATTCTCCTGACTCTCCCAAATCCAATTGGGGGGGGGAGCTTGAGAAGGGGGGGAAGCCCTGTTGTGCTAGCAGGAGTCCTTGCACAGGCTTCCACTAGCAGGCCTTGTTAGCTGATTCCTACCTGTTATATGTAATGCATCTCATTTAGGCATTAACCAGACCTAACACTGACCTAGTTAGGTTAAAAACTGGTAATAAGATGGACAATTATGTCAGTCAACTGGTGGTGGGTTTTTTAAAAAAAAAAGCAAAGCAGTTACCACCAAGGGATGGGGCAGAAATGGTTTGCATTTTCATGTGAATAGTTTGCATTTTAATGTTAACCTGCCTGATTTGCAACTCCTAATGCAATACGTAATCTGAAACGCAGCTCTCCTTCGAAATTCGGACTTCTCTGAATTTTGTGATGCAGTTCCACAACAAAAAAGGGGGGGGGCAAAAATGTGGATATTAGGGGAAAGAGTGTGTAGAATGTGTACAGTAATGAAAGTCACATATAAATACATTAGGGAAACTTGCATGCAAATAAAAGCGTCGATTTGGAGAAATTCACACGAAGATGCGGATGAATTTCTGCGGAGACTTTCTAAAACTGAAACTGCAAACCAATGTGGGCAAGTGGTGAACTTGTGAATGGAACAAGAAAGGTGAGAGAAACCAAAACGCATTCATCGATCCCCATCAGCATGTATTTTAATTAGGCATTCCCTCTCCTCCTCTCAGCAGCCAGAAGCCTCATAGCCAGACCTGTCAGGGATGAACATGGACCAGTGGTACCAAATCATTTGGGAAACCACCTTAGTAGAAAAGATAACTGTTATGTGGTTGCTTGAGAGTGAACAGGCTAGACCCCCACTGGTCTTTTCAAAGGTTTTATTATCGGTGCAAAAACATTCACAATGCAGGACGTCTCAATTCCACGTCTTGCTCAGTCACTAGCAGAATCTGGGAGTGGGTGGTCCTTAATCTTTCCCCAGAAGAGTAGTCTCTTGACCCCATCCTACGCCTCCCCTGTCTGCGCGTAAACCTACTGCGCAAGGAGGGCGTGGGCAAAGGGGGACCTGCCTCCCCCCCTCTTTGCTCCTGCTCGGTGCTGTGGCTCTCCCTTGCATCCTCCGAGCCATGCACCCCTTCCCCACTTCCCTCTTCCGCGGAGGAAGTGCTGCTTCTCACGATCTTTGGAGGCTCCCTGTAACCCAACTGCCCTTCCACCTGTCACCTATGAGCTGATGGCAGTTCCCTGACACTAACCAATAAACTGAAACTGACATGGGGACAAATAGAAGAGGACGCCTTCACCCCAATATGGCTCCCATTTATCACATACATAGCCCAACAAGACAACAAGAACCCTCCGAGAGCATACGAATCCATCGGGCTTACCTGACCCAACAAGCCCTCCCCGCCTCACAAATGCAAAGAAATCCCATTGTAGCCAACCAGACAACCAACCACACCCTGGGCCCCCAACCTTTCTCACTACCAAGGAAACGTAACAAGCAAACAGAAAAAGAACCTATCTAGCCGACACAAAACCCCACACGCACACTGCAAAAAATATAAATTTCACTACCACCCCTCCTTTGCCCCCCTCTTCTTCCTGACCTTACACTGTATAAGGTAAAGGTAAAGGGACCCCTGACCATTAGGTCCAGTCGTGACCGACTCTGGGGTTGCAGCGCTCATCTCGCTTTATTGGCCGAGGGAGCTGGCGTACAGCTACTGGGTCATGTGGCCAGCAGGACTAAGCCGCTTCCGGTGAACCAGAGCAGCGCACAGAAACACCGTTTACCTTCCCGCCGGAGCGGTACCTATTTATCTACTTGCACTTTGACGTGCTTTCGAACTGCTAGGTTGGCAGGAGCAGGGACCGAGAAACGGGAGCTCACTCCATCGCGGGGATTCGAACTGCCGACCTTCAGATCGGCAAGTCCTAGGCTCTGTGGTTTAACCCACAGCGCCACCCGCATCCCACCCGCGTCTATACTCAACACTAATGTCTCATAACAAATGTAACTGATCTGTAAAAAACACTGTACAACTTGAAAAGAGAGACAAGGCATGTAGTTTTGTAAACCAAGAAAATCTTTATTTATTTATTTTAAAATATTGGGCATTCCCTCACAAATAAATGTCATGTGAGCAGCATGCTCTTTATCTCACTTGCAGGTCATAGTTGAAAGCTGGGTAAGTGTGACCCGACAGCAGGTGCTTGGAGACACAGAGTCATGATGACTGACAGACGACGTGTGTGTGGCATGGTTGGGATGGCGGTGATTGATAGAAGAAGAGAGTTTGGAAGAGTTTGGATTTGATATCCCACTTTATCACTACCCAAAGGAGTCTCAAAGCGGCTAACATTCTCCTTTCCCTTCCTCCCCCACAACAGACACTCTGTGAGGTGAGTGGGGCTGAGAGACTTCAGAGAAGTGTGACTGGCCCAAGGTCACCCAGCAGCTGCATGTGGAGGAGCGGAGACGCGAACCCGGTTCACCAGATGACGAGTCCACTGCTCTTAACCACTACACCACACTTAAGCCAATAGTCTCGGCTGGCTCCAAGATTCTCCTGCCAACCTAGCAGCTCGAAAGCACGTCAAAGTGCAAGTAGATAAATAGGTACGGCTCCGGCGGGAAGGTAAACGACGTTTCCGTGCGCTGCTCTGGTTCGCCAGAAGCGGCTTGGTCATGCTGGCCACATGACCCAGAAGCTGTATGCTGGCTCCCTCGGCCAATAAAGCGAGATGAGCGCCGCAACCCCGGAGTCGGCCACGACTGGACCTAATGGTCAGGGGTCCCTTTACCTTTTAGCTCCAAGATTAATTGCCCAATCCGCAATGCCTGGGTTGGGTGATGGCCTGAAGCATCTTTCTCTGACTTCAATCTCCTGAGTAGGCTACCATTTTTTACCTGGCAACTTAAAGACATGCATCTGGTCATTTTAAAATTTGTTATCTGGTCATCATAGGCTGCTTAGAAGCTTCAATCAGTACACAGTGAGGTTCTTTGTCTCCTAAAAGAGGAGGGAAGCTGAGGGCATATTACACATGCGCTCCTGTTGCATTTCTTATCCAATTCAAGGCTCTGTTGTTGATCTTCTAAAGCCCTAAAGCACTCTAGACACTTTCGGGACCATTACCTAGGCTCCTTCACAATCCCAGGGTGATCGAAGCTGCCCCTGTAACGATTCCATGTTCAAACAGCTAAAATGCACCAAGAGGTATCTTCTGTTTATGGAACACCCACTTCCAGGAAAACTGGCTGCTTTCCAGGCCAGAGCATATTTCAGAAGCTTATCTCTTTGTGCTGGCTTGTGTGGGTCAGGGATAAGCTGATGACAGGTTAGTGAATTTTCATGTAATTTTAGTGCCCGAAAACGGATTTTGTTTATATGGTTCGCAGGTTTCAATGCTTTTTCCATTCGCCAGCCCCAGCCTTCTGGGATGGCATTAAAATAAACAAATTAAATGGATGAAAAATGCCGAGGTCTTTATTTGAACTCCTATTATCCATGCAAGCTGACGTAACCACTGACTTCCTGAACTATATGGGAACAGTATCTAGCAGTGTACCTCTACCGGAAAAGAACCCTAGCCTGCTCTCAGGAAAGCTAATAGGCTTTGGCTCTTCATTTTATTGCTGGATGTTTATAGCCGTACGCTGACTGCATTTTCCTTCCCCTAATGGACAGAATAAGCCCCTGTTGAAACTCAAAGAGCAGGAGTGGAACAGAAGAGTCAAAAGCAAGCACACAGCTCTTAATTTCTGACTTACCTTTAAAAGCATTTGTTCTTTAGCTATTAATTAAGGCATCCAAAGACTTATTTTGTCCAGGGCTTATATTTTCAGGTATTCCATTTATACCATTTATTTAGTCTAATTGAAGTTTAATTGAAATTTCCTCTTAGTACAAGATGGGAGAGGGGAGAGCGGCATACGATTCTTCATGCTGAGGTCAAAAATAATGAGTGTGTCGTTTGTTTTCAAGGGGAGTCGTGTTGTGAAGTCAAAGTCTAAAGCAAAGTACATTGATTTACAGGAAATTGCTCACTTCCATATATGCTAGTCATTTACAAATGTATTTAGAGGGCCCCTCGGACACTGATAAGCTTTGCACTAGTAGTGCCAAATCTGCTTCCGATAACGTCAGTGCCTCTTTAGAAATTCTTTATGCCCACTGCTGGTATTCAAAGTTCAGAAAAACATTTTATTTACAACATCCTACAGCGGACAAAGGCAAAACTTCCACTGTTCCAACAGCTGGGAGGCTCTGTACAGAAACACATATTAACCAAAGAAAGTGGAGGAAACATTCTTTATTTCCCCTGAAGCCTATTATTAATTTTATCGTCATCGTTATTATCATCCTCCTGACCTCACCAGATTAAAAGCTATTCATTGGCTTACGAAAGTGAAGCTGATCAGGTCTACGGCACTGATACTAAATTAAACTGGTACTCTGTGCACTGCAAAATGAGCGGAAAGATCCAATGAATTAGAAGTGGCGACAGTACCCAAACGGTGCATTGATGCCAGTTGGGTGGCACTATTAACTTAAAACAGTGTCCACATAACCCCACAGTCGTGTTTTGATAGTGAAAATGCACCTTGTTCCTTGTGAGCCCATCCTGGGAGCAATAGGAGCTAAGGGAGTTCACCCCAATCAAAACTAATTTTTTAAAAAATTGGAATGGATTCCATGAAGCAGCAAATGTTCATATGCCTTTTGGAACAAATATCTGGAACCAACCAGCTCTAGGTGTACCGGCAACAAGTGGGAGAAATTCTATTTTTTACTTTTAAGCAGCATTACTTATTAAAGTGAATTTCTTGACATTCTAAATTTTGAAGCTACCCATGTGTGTTTTCCCACAGGTACCTAAGCTAGCACTTACCAGGTTACCTTCCTAAGGTTTTTTTTTATAGTTTTTCCAGACATATTAGACACACGGTTATGTGTTTTATTTACTTTAATCATTGATCCGGTGCATGAAACATTTGTTAGTTCATTTGATCAGGTTTAAAGACAACTGGAAATACCCAACCCATAAATTAAATTAAAATACCAACTGCAGATTTCTCTGTGTTCAACAACCCTAGAAACGTAATTGATATTAACAGTACAATTCTATGCATGGCTACTTTGAAGCAAGCCCCAATGAGTTCAGCAGGACCATACCCCCAGGTAATTGTGTACAGGACTGCAACTAGAGCCATCTTTAGCAGATGCGGCGCTGGGGTGCAAATATCCGCCCAGCGCCCCAAATTACCACAGATGGGGGGGCGCGAAGCTGCGCACTGCCGGCCATGGGGGGGCCACAACTCTCCCCCATGCCTCTGCAAGACAGCAATCCCCACAGAGGCTTGGGAGGGAAACTGTGTGCCTGCCAGTCATATAGCTGGCAGGGCACAGCTTCCATCCTAAGCCTCTGCAGGGATCGCTCTCCTCCCGCTGAGGCTTGGGAGGCAAGTTGCATGCCTGCCAGCCATATGGTTGACAGGGCGCAGCTGGCAGGCGTGCAGGGAAAGGGGAAGCCGCCGGCAAAGCTGCGCAGCTCCCCCACTGGCTGGGGTGCCCCTGAGAGGCCGGCGCCCTGGCGCAACGCACCACTAAGCCCTATGGGAAAGACGGCTCTGACTACAACCAAGAGGATCAAGAATAATTATTGCAGGGGGCTGGACTAGATTACTCTTGGGGTCCCTTCCAACTCTACAAATCTATGATTCTATAAAATGATCAATGAAAGACCCTCAGGGGAATGGTGTTGTTGTTTTTATTCACTTTTTCCAATCAGTACAAACACCAAACTAAAAAGACACGTACCCTCAGGGGAATGGTATTTACCAGGCAGGTTAAGTTTCAGGTTTCTTAAAGTCAGGTTTGTATACACACTTTCCTGATTCTCCACGGTGCAATAGTCACCAATGTGGATATCATGAGGTGTCACAGACCAATGTGGATCTGATGGAGCACGGCTTGCTTACATTATTAACAGTGCAGTGAGTTCCACTGCGTTCAACAGGACTTACTCCCAGGCAACCATCAACTGGGTAACGGATACATGGCAAAAACCTAATAGTATTTGGCCAGTGATATAAATTATATCTTCAAAGATTAGACTTGGGTTTTTATTTTTGCTAAGAGTATCCACGACAGAAAGCAATGCATCGAAGCACCCACACATTCGTCCCTTATCCAATCCAAACCGTCTCCCTTTGTTCGCAACGCTGGTATCTCTTCCTCCAAACTGTTAGCGGAAGAATGGTGGAACAAAACCCAATATTGACTAAGTCACTAGAACTTGGAAACTTTTTGGGTGTACAGAATTTATCATAAAAAAAAAAAAAATTAACGAGGATTTTCTTTCTTTCCCAAAGAAGCCCTTTTCATGTTTATAACAACATGAAAATAATTTAGTATCTGAAAATTCCTCTTGCCTCTGTCTACCACTATGTCTACAGTACTGCACATAGTAAGGCAGCAGAAATCCCATTCAAGTCAATGGGATCTCATCAGACTAACTTTGTACACAGCTGTAGCCCAAGCATACATCCACCCAAACTTCCACCAAGATTTCAAGAACAGAAAGAAATAGCCATTGCCTATCTTGTACTTGCATGAAAATATTCTGACCTTAAACAGTGAGAAACTCCATTTTGGCTAAGGTTAGGAGAGAAGTACTTGAACCTGATGAGGAGATCTGGGCAATATTGTTTCTGGATCTTTATAGCCATTGTCTGGATTCATTACAGCTGAATATACTTCGCTATAGGCTCTGCAGACTAGTTCCGTGGACAGTTTTATTATCTGCTGTCTAAAACAAAACAAAAACACAGTGTTGAGAACAAAATTTGCATACTTCTGCACCTTTGCAGAAATTAGTACAGTTAAACCTCGGATCCCGAACGCCTCCATTTCGGAACGTTTTGGCTCCCGAATGCCGCAAATCCGGAAGTAAGTGTTCCGGTTTTTGAATGTTTTTTGGAAGCTGAACGTCTGATGCAGCTTCCGCTGAGTGCAGGAAGCTCCTGCAACCAATTGCAAGCCGTGCCTCGGTTGTCAAACATTAAAACATTAAAATGCAGCCTCATCACAGGAGGAGAAAGGAAAAAAAGAAAGGAGGAGAGAGAATCAAATTGATTCTAAGCCAAAGGCCAGGCGGAATAACTCTGTCTTACAGGCCCTGCGGAAAGAAATCAGATCCTGCAGGGTCCTGGTCTCATGAGGCAGAGTGTTCCACCAGGCTGGAGCCAGTGTCGAAAAAGCCCTGGCTCTGGTTGAGGTTAATCTAACTTCTTTAAGGCCCAGGACCACTAGGGTGTTGCTATTTATGGACCTTAAGGTCCTCCGTGGGGCATACCGGGAGAGGCGGTCCTGTAGGTACGAGGGTCCTAGGCCGTGAAGGGCTTTAAAGGTCAAAACCAGCACCTTAAATCTGACCCTGTACTCCACCGGGAGCCAGTGCAGCAAGAAAAGAACTGGGTGAATATGCTCCCATGGCAGAGACCCCGTGAGGAGCCTCGCTGCAGCATTCTGCACCCGCTGGAGTTTCTGGGGCAGCTTCAAGGGCAGCCCCGCGTAGAGCGAATTACAGTAGTCAAGCCTGGAGATGACCGTCGCATGGATCACTGTGGCCTTGTCGGGGCGGGAAAGGTAAGGGACCAACTGATTTGGATCAGAAACTACAACCGAAGAATCAAACCCAAAGCCAAAACGCTTACTTCACAGTAGTACTTAGAAGAAAGTTTATCTGTGGCATTAGCAGCCCATCGGGAGCCGACAAATAACGATCAAACTGGACCTAACGCAAACAGAAGAAGAACAGGCATTAGGCACTAAGCATCTCACCCAATTTTTCTGAAATCAAAAGAGAAGCTTCATAGTGGAACTAATGGCTGTGGCTGGGGTGGTTGACCTTCTCCTCCCTGCCTGCTGTGATCCTTATGAAAACCAGACCCCACCACAAACCTTTATTTACAGGGGTTGGGAGAAGCCCTGAGGTGTTTCAGAGTGATGCGTTGAGCTCTGTGTCTAAATTTGGCACCAAAGGAGAAGGGAAGCAAAGAGGATGGGACTATGGGCAGCTGGAGACGGCTACCTGCTCCACTTGATTTCCATCTATGATGGAGGTCTGAGTTTGAGGGCTAGTCATGCACAAGAGGATGGGAAGCAGGGTTGTGTATCCTAGCCTGTCCTCCCTGTCAGGAGCCCCTCTTCCTTGTGTCTGCTTCTCCCCTGCTCCTTAACCCTAACTCTTAATGCCTGTGTGTGCAAGTCTATCATCTATTTAGAGGCTTCCTCAACCTCGGCCCGCCAGATGTTTTGAGACTACAATTCCCATCATCCCTGACCACTGGTTCTGCTATCTAGGGATCGTTTTTGGCCTACAACATCTGGAGGGCTGAGGTTGAGGAAGCCTGATCTATTTCAGCTGCTCAAATTAAACCAATGCCACCGTTATCAATTACTAGAAACAACTTTTGGACATATTTCAAAATGATACAACAGAACCTTACACCAGAATAGAATTTGCTGAGTACCGTATTTTTTGCTCTATAAGACTCACTTTTTCCCTCCTAAAAAGTAAGGGGGAATGTGTGTGCGTCTTATGGAGTGAATGCAGGCTGCGCAGCTATCCCAGAAGCCAGAACAGCAAGAGGGATCGCTGTGCAACGATCCCTCTTGTTGTTCTGGCTTCTGAGATTCAGAATATTTTTTTTCTTGTTTTCCTCCTCCAAAAACTAGGTGCGTCTTATGGTCTGGTGCGTCTTATAGATCAAAAAATACGGTATCTTTCTTACATGGCCTTACATAAGATACATAAGATACCACTGAATATGCTCATTTTAGTCAAAGCAATTTTCTGTGCTAAGGGTTTGTGTCAAAAAGACCACAAAAATAAACAGCCAACATTCTTTTCGGTTATCTGCACCAACGTGGTGTCTCATTAAAACTTTATGGGATAGTTTAATTTTCATGCAATGTTGCTGTGTATCAGGCCTCTTAGCACAACGAAAATATTGTTCTGAAAAACATCAAAATAAAACCAAAGCGAATGCACAATTTGGCTCAACTTTTGCAAAAAAATAATAAGGAGGGCATACTTCAAGGTTCATTCACAGCCCCATTTATTGATTTGGAGTGGAACAGCTAGAAGAGAGGCAAGTCATTCAGTTCTAAACTTTCTTGAGACTATGAAGATACCCCTATCATCCCCATACCCTAACTGAGCCAAAGCACATGTCATTGGAAAAAAGGATACATTGCTTCCTTGTTTACCCCCGCCTCCTCCTGCCCTGGTTTCTATTTAATAATTACTTCCCCCCACCTAAAAAAAACAAATACAGCTACAAATTAAATTCCAGTATCTTACCATTGCAGCTTTTAATGACATGGAATCCATACTGGGTACATTTGCCAAGGGACCCTAAAAACACAGCAATGATAAGCAAATAAATAAATATTTAACCATCACTGTTAAGGAGTGCCGTTGGTATGTGTATCTCAAGAAAAGGCACCTCTGTGCCACACAGCAAGCCCCTTTTGAAACTGAGGGGGCTTTCAATAGTAGCTTTTCTGCTGTTCAAAGGGCTTGGGGAGGAAAATGATGCCCAAAAGCCCAAAGTAGCACTTTGGTTCTCATCCAGATACAGTAAATGTGTATTTGCAATTCAGCGTATTTAATCAGTTGATCAGAGTACCCATGTGATGTATCTTGTACTGATTTTGTGTGCATGAGTGTTCCGGATTACATACATTAGACACACTCTCTCTCCCTAAAAATTAAGCATGAGAATATTCTCGAGAATATTTTCTGCTAGAAAATTCTCCGGAGAATTCTCTCCACAAACTGTAAATTCTAATGTAAGAATCAGTTTTACAACCAAAATTTAAAAAATCTAGTAAATAATAAGTCAAGCTGTGATATTGCCAGTGTAAGTAATGAATAATGATTTTGTTGATCCAGTTACATTACTGGGCATTGTGTCATTCACCATTGCCAGTTCTGAAATGTGAGCTACAGAAAACTTTTTTTTTTTTAAGTTTAAAAAATGCTATTCATTTAATTTGATGAACATTTGAATTCGTATGTATTTGAACTATATGTAATAGCCTTTTTTCTATTTTGGTGTGACCTTATTCTCATTGTAGATATGCTTATTAAAGAACGTACTCATGTAGCGGACCTGAGGTTGTTTTTATGTTCCTTTAAAAGCTACATTTCACACGTACTCAACATAATTAGAATTCAAAGTTGATGGTAAATATACGGTTAGCGGCAGGCTTAGTGATTAACGTGAGTCATTCACGTTGAATTTTCAAGTTTGGGGCAAAAAATCAAAGATGTGAATTCACTGCATTGCCCCATTGAATTAAAGTATCTGTACCGTTTTTGGTTGCCATCTGAACATTTTAAATGAAATTTCTCTAATATTCTCATTAATCGAGAATATTCTCCAAAAGATTATTGTCGAGAATTTAACATCACTACCCTTGACACATAAATCAGATTACATCTTAACTGCACCACAACAGTTTTATTTACTCACAGTTTGGAACAGAAGTGGACTATACGCATTTCTCCCCAAAATTATTGCTTACCTGCTCTGGTTTGTGCTGCTGTACAATGTTATAGATGTAAGTCAGGCCCACTCTATTCAATACATAGGAAGCTTGCTCATTTATAAGGGTATCCAAGTGCGCTTCAATCTAAAAGACGGAAGGAAGACATTTCTTACTTATCGGAATGGTAACTGAAGAAACAGCTTGTTGACAAAAGCAATTCGGAAGAAAAGTCACTGAATGCAATGGAAGCATTTTGACTATGTTACGAAATTAAGTGCATTCAAAGCGCATTACATATGGGCCAATAATAATAAAAATAATACAGTAGTCCCTTGGGTTATGTTACCTTCAGATAACGTAACTTTCGGGTTGTGAACGCGTCAAACCCGGAAGTGTGTATACTTCCGAGTTTCGCCGTGCATGCATGCACAAAAGTGCTCTGCGTGCTTTGCACATGCGCAGAAGCACTCTGCGTGCTGCGCATAGAAGCGCTCTATTACGCCACACACGTGCGCAGAAGCGGCGCCTCGTGTTGCGGACTTTTCAGGGTATGTAAGGACTCCCGGAACGAATTAAGTTCGTATCCGGAGGGTCCACTGTAACTTGATCCACCATACTAAAGATTTGGAAGAAACAGAGGTTTCCCTCCATCTGCCCCTACACAGCAGATGAACCAGCTTTCATTGGCTGGTCTGAGTGGCTGCTGCCCATTGGGGAGTCAGAGCAGTGAATGCTCCAATGCATATTCACAACCAACAGGTGGATGGAAGCTACTGCTGGAGGGAAAATGGGGCGGGAAAAGAAAGGTCCTGGATCTGAAACCAGCATAGTAAAGATGCGTTGCCACACCCACCCGCCCTCCCAACCTGGTTAGTGCAAGTGGCAGGGGTGTGATGCTCCATTAAGTTCTGCCATTGCTGCCCAGGGGTTTAGATTGGCCCCAAGGCAAAAAGCCAAACACCCCCCCCCCCCGACTCATGATTCAGCTCTCCCGGACAAACCACAGGTTGTCAACCATATGGTAAAGCTTGGCTACAGCTCACGGTTTGTCTGGAAAGAGTCAAGCCATGAGCCCTGATCTGGATGAAAATCCAAGCCAAACCATGGTTTTAGGCTCAGGGTAGCATGGTTTCAAAATGACCAGGGAGGAGTTAAAGAGGCTGCAATCTCCTCACATGGAGCCCATGCATGTTGTGCTAAGCCATTGGTAGGCAAACTAAGGCCCGGGGGCTGGATCTGGCCCAACTGCCTTCTAAATCTGGTCCGCGGACGGTCCGGGAATCAGCATGTTTTTACATGAGTAGAATGTGTCCTTTTATTTAAAATGCATCTCTGGGTTATTTGTGGGGCCTGCCTGGTGTTTTTACATGAGTAGAATGTGTGCTTTTTAAAAAAATGCATCTCTGGGTTATATGTGGGGAATAGGAATTCGTTCATTTCCCCCCAAAAAAATATAGTCTGGCCCCCCACAAGGTCTGAGGGACAGTGGACCGGCCCCCTGCTGAAAACGTTTGCTGACCCTTGCTGCTAAGCCATGTTTTGGCTTACTGTTATATGCAAAGTAGGCCAAATAGGATTTATTTTGTGATGAGTTGCAAACAGATGGAGGACTGGCACATACATCACCTTTCCCCCCCATATGGGCATAATCCACCTCCAGAACCATACATACCCATTTGATAATTTCAATCTGTTTTTGCATTTTAACTTTTCAAAGTACGATAGTAAATATTTCTTGATTTTCTTGTTTTATCTTTTGTAAACTGCTTTTGAGATTTTTATTTTTTTTACAATCAAGTGCTGTACGAATTTAATGAAATAAATAAAAATAACCTCACTCAGATTTTGAACAGGAGTACCATCTCCCAAAAAGGATGGAATTTGGGAACAGTACTGAGACCTATCCATTCTGAAGGAAATCAGCCCTGAGTGCTCACTGTAAGGACAGATCCTGAAGCTGAGGCTCCAATACTTTGGCCACCTCATGAGAAGAGAGGACTCCCTGGAAAAGACCCTGATGTTGGGAAAGATGGAGGGCACAAGGAGAAGGGGACGACAGAGGACGAGATGGTTGGATAGTGTTCTCGAAGCTACCAGCATGAGTTTGACCAAACTGTGGGAGGCAGTGGAAGACAGGAGTGCCTGGTGTGCTCTGATCCAGGGGGTCACGAAGAGTCGGACACGACTAAACGACTAAAGAACAACAACTGAGACTAATCCATCCAATCCACTTTCGCAATAAGGGTGCATTTGGAGAACGGCGTCTCACTCCGTTTGTTCATCCATAATATGCATTGCCCATCGAAACAGAGCGTATCAAGGCTCTAGGAGGGGCAGCTGCTATAAATAGGATTTGGCAAATTTAAATGCATGGAGAAGATAGTCTGGTGAACTCTGCATCTCAAGCATCACTTCTCAGCCCTGCACAATGATGCCTGATTGTCCCTGTCTATCATTTTGCTAAGCTCCACTGGATCCCTGCCTCATCAGGACTTTATCAGAAAAAACTAGGAAATGCAAAAAATCAGCTAACCCTAACATTAAGAGGGAGGGCATTTAAAAATAAAGATTCTAACACAGAGGAAAAATATACGTAGTTTGTATGTGTTGTCTTTCCTTCATGTAAAGAAAAAAAAGGAGCTTGTGTTGCAAGGCATGGGTGAAGCATTTACCTGCTTCACTACTGCTGTTTTGTCTTAGGTAAAGGTAAAGGGACCCCTGACCATTAGGTCCAGTCGTGGCCGACTCTGGGGTTGCGGCGCTCATCTCGCTTTATTGGCCGAGGGAGCCGGCATACAGCTTCCAGATCATGTGGCCAGCATGACTAAGCCGCTTCTGGTGAACCAGAGCAGGGCACGGAAACACCGTTTTCCTTCCCACCAGAGCGGTACCTATTTATCTACTTGCACTTTGACGTGCTTTTAAACCGCTAGGTTGGCAGGAGCAGGGACCAAGCAACAGGCGCTCACGCCGTCGCGGGGATTCGAACTGCCAACTTTCCGATCGTCAAGCCCAAGGCTCAGTGGTTTAGACCACAGCGCCACCCGCGTCCCTCTGTTTTGTTGTAGCTTCCCGTAAATTACGTTTCTGTGGTTGTACACATCTGTATGTTGACTTTACATACAAAGCTGTGAAGATACACACATTTTGAGGAGCTTGTTTCCCATTTACCGTATTTTTCCATCTATAAGACACTCCCAGGTATAAGACCCCCCCCTTATTTTTAGAGACTCAATTTTAAGAAAATGAGGGGAGATGGACCAAAGTTGTTGAGCTTTTCCCCCCACCCCCGGGGGCAGGAAACGCTACCTAGGTCAGGGGAAGTTGCGCTCCCCCCAGCCAGCCAGTTGGTGAGAGCACAACTTCCTCCATGCTGCTGCGTGCGGGAAACAATCTAGGGAGTGTTTCCCGCTCGCTGGGGCATCAGGGGAAGTTGCGCTTCCGCCAACTGGCTGGCCGGCAAGCGCGCCGCTTCTCTCTCCCCCCCCCCCCATGCCACTATCTGTGTATTGGACAACCCCAGTTTTTTTACATGATCTTTGAGTCAAAAAATCCTTGTCTAATACAGTGGTACCTCGGGTTACATACGCTTCAGCTTACATACACTTCAGGTTACATACGCTTCAGGTTACAGACTCCGCTAACCTAGAAATATTACCTCGGGTTAAGAACTTTGCTTCAGGGTGAGAACAGAAATTGCATGCTGGCAGCGGGAGGCCCCATTAGCTAAAGTGGTGCTTCAGGTTAAGAACAGTTTCAGGTTAAGAATAGACCTCCAGAACGAATTAAGTTCTTAACCTGAGGTACCACTGTACACAGAAACATATGGCATTCCCTGTTAATGTTTAATAGCAAAGAAAACATTGGGAGGTTGACTGGACGTTTACCTGGTACTGTAACATTTCTAGCCGTTTATCTGTGAATTCAAACAGAGCCAGCGTTGTCTTCATCATATGAAGCGAATTCACCATGAAAGTTGCCATGTCAGCAGACCCCAAGTTACTGGCAGACACAGTACACATCTGCAACAGGGGATCCAGCACACAAGAGAGAACCTAAGAGGAAGAAGAGCGTGCAAAAAATGCTGTAACTGGTGAGAATTCTTATCCATTCCCCTTTCTCTACATCTCCCAAAGCGGAGGAATGAGGCTGAAACAGGGGGAACAGCATTTGCCTCCGAAAGGAGCTTCAGGCGCTACAAAGAAGCATTGCCAGCCACTTGCGCTGTCTACTGCACAGTCAGCTGGCTTGTTAAAAGTCTGAAAAGGATGTTGCACAGGGAAGTTGCGCAAGTCACTGCCAGCCTGATGCAGATGCAACAGCTTAGGCAATTGGTGATGCTTGCTTATGATGTCCAAACCTTGCTCTGAGAAAAAGGCAGGTTCGAATTACAAGGAAGATGGATATTTAAACCAAACGTTCCAACAGCTTCCTATCAGGAGAAGCACAGCAACAAGGCAGGCTGCAGCTCCCTGGTTTTCAATGCAACACGCAACAAGCAACTGTCTGGGGTGCCTTGCGTAGTGGACATCCAAGCTCAGGGTCACGTCACAGGGCCACAGAATAAAGCTGAGACTGCTCAGAAGAGAAACAGCGAAGATGAGACTTCCGGGGTGGCGCCACCGGCAATGGCGGACTCCCTCTGAACTGGAGGGACTAGCTCCGCGGAAAACGGGTCTTTTCCGCTACGGCGAAGCGGGGACCCACTTAAAAATCACAGGCGAATGAAGCCTGTGACCATGGGACTCGGCGGGCACCTTTAGCGCCCCCCCAACCCGCTAAGGAACCCACTAACGGGCTCCGAAGTGAAGAGGGGGAAGTGGCGCGGTGCTGTGGGTCAACTGCTATTTCCGTGGAGCGAAGCCGCATAGCTGTTGCCGGAGAGCGCTGCCTTTTTCCTGGGACAATTTGGACTTTAAAATAAGCACCCGTGAGTGCTTAGACTTTGAACAATTGAACATCAAATAAGGACTTGCGAGTAGGAAAGAATCGGACTTTAAAAATTTACTTGAATTTGGTACGGAACGGGAAGGTCTAAACAGGAAATCATCCTTCCGCTCTTTTGTAAACAGAATAAAGCAAAGGCAATTTAAACTAGAGCTCAGGAAATCGCTTTTAAAAGATTGGATTTCACCATTTAAAATTGTGGAACCCCCCTTCGACAGCAGGAGAAGGGGGGGATCTTTTTGGACTGTTTAAAGTGACTTTAAAGTGAAGTAACTTTCCTCCGTCCTGATCCTGGAGCGGGCTGTCAGGACTGACGTGTGAAGTTCATTAACCAAAGACAAGTGTTTTTGACAGATGGCTAAAAGAAGAGAAACCTAGTGATTCCACTGTTCCCTTTCGCATTTTAAAGGATTATATATGGACAAAGTATCTTAGAAAAGGAAACTTTGTTGCAAGAATAAATAGAAGTCTTCCCCCTAGAGGGAGTCTGTGAAATTGTAACTGTGAAACTGTAACTAACTCCAGGGAGTCGACAGCTGTTACAGATTACAACCGTGGGAACAAGTATCTACCTTGTAGGACAATGTATTCAGAAGCCTTGTTGTATGCTCTCTATAAAACAAACGACCTACTGGAACAATTACACGAGAAGGTGAATTGGATGGCAACTTCGACTAGAAACTTTGAACAGGCAGTGGGAAACTTTGAACAGACAGTGGGAAAATATGTGGAGCCCACTCAGGATTTAAATCAGGAGTGTGTCTTGACAGAACAGGAGTTTTTGACATTAAATCAGGAGTGTGTTTTGACAGAACAGGCCCAACAGGAATATGATTGTTTTGGATTTGACAAATGAACTTGGAAATAGCCATATCTGGAAAGGAAAAGTTTGGCTTGGTTTGGAAATGGGGGGCTGGATTGACCCCCCTATGCTGGGATGTTTGGACTTTTCAAATATGGCAACGGGCCGTGAGATGTTTGGGACTGTGGGGGCTCTCAATTTTGGAGGGCCTTTGAAACATGCTTTTAAATACTACATGGAATTCATTGTTGAACATGTAAAAGGGGCTGATCTGTTGAGAAGGGTTAAAAACATTGTCAAGCTGGAGTTACCACGAGCAGGAGACAAGGGAAAATACAGTTACAAATATGAAGAAGAGCCGCGGAAGGGTCATGGAAGAGACTTGAGGGCCTCGGACATAAGGTTGCCAAGTTAATGGGCTAGATTGACGGGAATAAGGACTGACAAAACCCGGAACCAGGAGGAAGGGACGCTGGATGAAGATTGGATCTGTTTATACCTCTTTTTTCTACCATTAGAACTGTTTTATAACATTGATGAATGATAGAAAAATGTTGGAATGAAATTACTTGGCTTTAGCAAAGATGTTTAAAGAATTATGAAAGAATATTATGACTATGAGAAGTTGGTAAGGATAAGATTTAAGTTTTAAGTTTTAAGGTTTATTTTATTATAGAAAGATAAGGTCAAGGATTTGCTGGGATAATTAATAACTAGGATACAAAGAAAGGGAGGAGGAGGAGGTCTAAGAAAGAAGGTAATGGCAGTTAAGGATTTGAAAATAATGAATTTGTTTTTAAATGTTTTTAAAGTTTTGTGATTTTTGCATTCTTTTTTTCTGTCATTTTTTCTCATTTGGAATTTTTTCGTATATGGTGGGAAGGGGTTGGGGTTTTTTTTCGTTTTTTTTCTATTTTGTCAATTATTTTTATCCTTTGTACTCTCTTCTGCCTCTATTTTATTTTTTCTCTTTTTTGTAATATTTTGAAAATCTCAATAAATATCTTTTTTTTAAAAAAAGAGAAACAGCGAAGATGGCGCTTAAAATGAGGTAAACAGGAAAAGGTAAGGCCTGAGGTCAAGGGATAGCCAGCAAGAAGACCTGCCCTGTGCAAAAACAGAGAATAATTGAGAGAGGAGGAGTCTTCAGCACTCAACGAGGTGGGGGCTAGGTCACATGATCTATCCATGTGACATTGTTAGACATCTCTGCTGCCAAACATAAAACAATGTTTTCTCTCGCAGGAGAGCCCCAGACACAACTGCAGGAGCTGCTCACCACTGTCTATTCTTGATCCTGATCTACGCGGAACAATGCCACTTCTGCTATAATTAGAAACTGCCACGGATCCAGCAGTGTTTCTCCTCTTTTTCCATTGGGAAACCTAGGGTGGAATTTAATTGTCTGAATCACGGTTTCTGTCATCCCATCCCCCCAAAGCCCTTCCCTCAAGCTGCTGTGGCTCCTTGCAATTTCAACCAAATTTACCTGCCCAAAGTCAGCTTGGCGGGTATCCAAAGGGATGACGCAAGAGTCGTGCGATGCTAGAACCTCCCGCAGCAGAGCAAGGGTCTGAGTCAGTGCAGAGCTTGGGCCAAGATCCGCAGGCGGCAGTTCAACCTACAAAACAAATTACAACATTACTTAACTGAAAACTATGGAGAGACCTGGTCTGAATAGAGATAATGGATTCTTGTCTCATTACATATGCTAAAGCTATTTTTGGTCATCTGCATACTATCCCTTGCTTTTTCCTGTAGGACTAATTGCAGTCAACAGTTGTCAACAGGTTTACAATACCCATTGAGTCAATCACCCATCTCCTACAGTGGTACCTCAGGTTACATACGCTTCAGGTTACACTCTGCTAACCCAGAAATAGTGCTTCAGGTTAAGAACAGGATTTCAGGTTTTGCCTCAGGCTGAGAACAAAAATCATGCTCCGGTGGTGCAGCGGCAGCGGGAGGCTCCATTAGCTAAAGTGGTGCTTCAGGTTAAGAATAGTTTCAGGTTAAGAACGGACCTCCGGAACGAATTAAGTACTTAACCTGAGGTACCACTGTACTCCCCTTCTGAGAAAAACCTAACCCCACCCTCCCACTATATATAACGGTCTGGTGACTTCTGTTTCAGTGTATCTGAAGAAGTGTGCATGCACACGAAAGTCCTAACTGGATGGATGATTGATTTAAAATGAGCATCATGAATCTTGCTATGTAAAGAGCTTGGAAACTCCCTATATCAAGAGCATGTTGTGGGCCTGACAACATACAGGAAGCACATCAGTGTACTATACCATGTATCAGACGTCTGTCCATTCCATGGTGGCATCCCTTCAAAGGGGCGAGAGCCACATCCAGCCCCTCTGCCTTCCATAGCTCCGTTACAACCTAATCCCTTTGCATTGTTTACCACCAGCAAAGATCCTCTTCTTTTTTTTTCCAGCCAAGGTCTCGTTCTGACGTGTGGGCCTGGTGTTTGTTCAACCTTACTTTCAGATGCTGGGAGAGTGAAAACCACAGCTCTCTGTCCACAGTGCATATGAGAACTGCTCTGTTATCCTGAACAGCCCATCAACAAAATCTGTGTGAATTTCTTAGCTGAGGAGATGCACGTGAACTGGTGAAGAGCCACACTTGGCCAATTTTTTAATGTAGGAAATTGTCCTGGCGGAATTGTGCACCACACACGTGTCTACTGCAAGCCTAAAACCGTTCCTTAAAATTGGCTGATCTGCCGTGAGACTCCCTATGAAAACACTGTACTCTGAGAAGCTCGTGGGTGGTCACCAGGACCCTCAGCAACTAGAAGCAGCTAACAACTGAACCATCTGAAATGTACTGTATTTTTCGCTCCATAAGACACACTTTTTTCCTTCTAAAAAGGGGAAATGTCTGTGTGCCTTATGGAGCGAATGCGTGGTCAATCGCAGGCTCCCTTTCTGGCCCAAGTCCCTTGCCCAGGCCTCCATTGTTGAATGTTCTGCAGGCAGAGGCTGTTTGTTTCCCCAGCGACATGTGACTGGCTGATTAGATTATCTGTCTGGAAACTGTAGAAACGGCTCCCTTTCCTTTCCTAAAGAAGCTGCAGAACTGTGAGTTGAACCCCATAAAAACAGGATTTTTCCCCTTTGCAAAAGAAGCTGCACAACTTTGAGCTGATCCTCAAAAAAGTGGGGCTTTCCCCCTTTCCTCCTCTAAAAACTAGGAGCGTCTTATGGAGCAAAAAATACGGTAGTTATGCCTCAAAAAGGGAGCAGGTGCCGGGGAGCGCATGCAGGGACGAGGGCAAGTAGCAAGAAATCCAGTACACTGACTCAGCTTTCTTTTGCGTATCAGGGCCAAAAACAGAGGACTACGAAAGGGCGAAGGATTCTCCCTACCTCCTGCCTTGATTTCTGGTGCTCGCACCAGGACAAAACTGAGAAACACCTTGCACACTAGACCACTGCCGTAAAAACCTTGCTGGATTTTCATAGTGACCACTGTGGACCAGCAATGGTGGTAACAGCAACTATGATCCCAAGTGTCAACATAGCGTAGCAGTGACAGACTACACCAGAATGTATGAGCTCTGAGTAGTAACAGTTAGAGAATAATAACTGGCAACCTTTTCTCTTTCGTGTCCCAATGCAAATAAATGCAGTGCGAGTTTACTGATTTGTTGACCTGCTTTCATTTCAGGTAGGTGTTCCTTAGCAAAGTATACTAAGTTTGACACTCAGTGGCCTCGTTCCACTTCTTTTAGTGCAAAAGGCTTTAAGCGCCAGATTTGAGGTGGCACTGAAGTAAACGGCATTGGTCAGTGGGAGGGGGAAGGTGAAGAACGAGGAAAGGGCAGAGAAGTCTGGTGAGCAGCATAGGCGGGACTTGGCGGCGAAGGGTGTTGATGGACAACGGAGTTTCACATGGTGCTAAGAAGGCAGCGGTGCACAGATGAAATGCAAAAGCCAACAGCAAGGTTGGCAATCACTTCGATAGTACAGAACCTGGACTTCCAAGCTTGATACCTGCACAGAGGGTCCACTGACAATGCTACAGAACCTACAACTGCAGAAGTAGGGAAGGGAGAGAGAGTTGACTAACCCCTGAAACAGACCTTATCCATCAGTTTGCTTGCATGAAGGCTCAAACTGTTGAAGAATATCTTTTTACTCAAGTCATGCATCTCTTCCATTGTAGTTAACAGCATGGCTGCGGTGTTCCCCACAATATTACTGGAAATTGGGAGAGAGAAAGAGAGGCAGTAAGAAATTTCACGATAACCAAAGCAGACATACTGTACAGTGGTGCCTCGCAAGACGAAATTAATCCGTTCCGCGAGAGTCTTCGTCTAGCGGTTTTTTCGTCTTGCGAAGCAAGCCCATTGACGGATTAGCGCTATTAGCGCTATTAGCGGTTTAGCGGCTATTAAAGGCTTAAAGGCTTAGGGGATTAGCTGCTAAAAGGCTATTAAAGGCTATTAAAGGCTTAGCAGATTAGATAAAGGGGAAAAGCGAAAAAAATCTCTAGACTCGCAAGATATTTTCGTCTTGCGAAGCAAGCCCATAGGGGAATTCGTCCTGCGAAGCAACTTCAAAACGGAAAACCCTTTCGTCTAGCGGTTTTTCCGTCTTGCGAGGCATTCGTCTTGCGGGGCACCACTGTATATCAAAGTCCAGCTATTTAGCCCAATAAAATGCTACAAAATGTCTTCTGAAAAAGTATCACAAAATGATACTTAAAATGCTACAAAATGTCTTCTGAAAAAGTAAGTAAAGGAAACCTATATACTGCCTGGTGCTTTTAGGCGTTCTCTAAAAGCAAGAGGAGACACGGGTGGCGCTGTGGTCTAAACCACAGAGCCTAGGGCTTGCCGATCAGAAGGTCGGCAGTTCGAATCCCCGCGACGGAGTGAGCTCCCGTTGCTCGGTCCCTGCTCCTGCCAACCTAGCAGTTCGAAAGCACGTCAAAGTGCAAGTAGATAAATAGGTACCGCTCCAGCGGGAAGGTAAACGGCATTTCCGTGCACTGCTTAGTCATGCTGGCCACATGACCTGGAAGCTGTACGCCGGCTCCCTCGGCCAATAAAGCGAGATGAGCGCTGCAACCCCAGGGTCATCCGCAACTGGACCTAACAGTCAGGGGTCAGTTTACCTTTAAAAGGCAAGAGGCCATGAAACTCTGAGGAGTGGGAAGCGTGTGGCCTTCCAAATGTTGTTGGATTATTACTATCATCCCTGACTACTGGCTATGTTGCTTGGAGCTGAATGGAGATGCAATCTTACAACATATGGAGGGCCCGAGGCTTCCTATGGCTCTGCTAGATGCTGATATTATTGAGTTCCATAACTAATATCCCTTATGTACAACAGCTGGTTTAATATCCTTTACGATGTGGAACATGTACTTGCTCTCATCAATGAATACATGGCTTTGAAGTAAAGTGAACTGACGTGATTCTAGTCTCCTTTTGGAAATTCTGCAGGAAAACTGGAAAAGCAGGACAACTTCAAAGCTGAGCGTTTTGCAAAAGGATGCTTTTTCTAATGGCCAATTATGGTCCGACTGGTTGCCTCGGAAGCTGAGCATAATGGTACTATCATTGCTTGAAGAGGGCAGGAGTCCAAGGATGTAATTTTAAAGAAGGAGCAAAGTGAATTGAAAGCACATCGAAAGGGTTTTGTTGTGATAACATCAGAATATTTTTTTCCAAATACAAGTTATAAATAGTATAGAGATTATCTTTTTAATAAAATTAAGATTTCTTACTTACTAAAAGCAGTACTAGGACTTTGTTATTTTCCTCCTCAACGCAAAACCAACTCTAAATTCTAAACACTGTAATGCAAAGTAAGGAATTTGCTTTTCTCTTTTGTTTCCGTTTACCTGATGGTGTGGTGGTAAAATTTGAGAAGATTAGAAATTTTATACAACAGGACTGCTCCTGGTTCGGCTACGATCACCTGTTCAATCCTAACCTGAGAAAACAGATTGACACAAACATTAGTTATGCAGAAATCTTTCACATCCCATTATGAAGACAATGTCTATGTTGTCTTCAAAAGGGATGCGGGTGTCGCTATGTGTTAAACCACAGAGCCTAGGACTTGCCGATCAGAAGGTCGGCGGTTCGAATCCCCGCGACGGGGTGAGCTCCCGTTGCTTGGTCCCTGCTCCTGCCAACCTAGCAGTTCGAAAGCATGTCAAAGTGCAAGTAGATAAATAGGTACCGCTCCGGCGGGAAGGTAAACGGTGTTTCCGTGCGTTGTTCTGGTTCTCCAGAAGCAGCTTAGTCATGCTGGCCACATGACCCGGACACTGTACGCTGGCTCCCTCGGCCAATAAAGCGAGATGAGCGCCGCAACCCCAGAGTTGGCCACGACTGGACCTAATGTTCAGGGGTCCCTTTACCTTTTTTATGTTGTCTTCAAGCAGGTAAGACATTAGGGGTGGGGTGGGGGTTGGGAGGTATGGGTGCGGCAGCAGAACTGCTGGATTGGTTCTGCTGATGCCCTCATCCTGCCCCTGCCCCATCCCAGTATTCAGCAGCAGGAAACCAGGGCTGCAGTCTTGGCCCTCCCATTAATCATGCCTGTTTTTCTGGGACCAGTAACTTGAGGTACGAAACGATAAAAGTTTTGCTTCAAATGAGGTTGGAAAATTCATCATGACAAAATAATTTAGGGAAATAAGAAGCCAGTATTGTTTTGATGAAATATATAACGAGAACAACGGACAAGTTTCCAACAAGTTTTGTCCTGCTTTTTCTTGCTTTTTCCACTCTTTGTTTATAGGACTATATGGGAAAATGCACCCTGTTAATAAATGCAGTCTTATTCCAATGGGGACGCGGGTGGCACTGTGGGTTAAACCACAAAACCTAGGACTTGCCGATCAGAAGGTCGGCGGTTCAAATCCCCGCAACGGGGTGAGCTCCCGTTGCTCGGTCCCTGCTCCTGCCAACCTAGCAGCTCGAAACCACGTCAAAGTGCAAGTAGATAAATAGGTACCACTCTGGCCGGAAGGTAAACGGCATTTCCGTGCACTGCTCTGGTTCGCCAGAAGCGGCTTAGTCATGCTGGCCACATGACCCGGAAGCTGTCTGCGGACAAACACCGTCTCCCTCAGCCAATAAAGTGAGATGAGCGCCGCAACCCCAGAGTCGGCCATGACTGGACCTAATGGTCAGGGGTCCCTTTACCTATTCCAAGGGCACACATAAACCAACATGCTCCACCCACCTTCAGAGGCCGGCAAACGCCTTCTGTGATGTGTCCAATCACTTCTTGCATATTTTTTTCCACTCCTGAAAGGAAACACAGCGAGAGTTATTCAGAGGTATTTCAGCAACCATGCTTCCCATTACCACACACTCCCTTGAAAAAAGTCACACCTAGGCAACTCTAACACATCACAGATTTTGTGAGAATTGTGTATCTTTTCCCCTCATGCTATAAGCTGCCTTGAGCATGGTTATAATTATGGAAAGTCAATACACAAATAAAATGATTATGTATGTAAAACCGCCCAAATCCAACTCATTTACTTTCCACATTTCTCTGTGTGCACCTTGGACTTGCCAATGCTTTTTTTACAATCCTCCATGCCCCCATACCCCAGTTACACAGAACAAATGTCTGCTGAAGTACACTGGCAGATGTTTATCGCCACCTACATCTTTCCCTGGAGATTCCAAATACACATTTCCTATGTGGTGGGAATGTAAGATTGTAAAAAATTATTGGGAAATGATCTATAACGAATTGAAAAAAAGGTTTAAAATAACATTTGTAAAGAAACCAAAAGCTTTTCTGCTGGGTATTTTAGGACAAGATGTGAAGAAAGAATTGAGGACACTATTTATGTATGCGACAACAGCAGCAAGAATTTTAATAGCACGAAACTGGAAGATGGGAGAAATACCATCCAAAGAACAATGGCATGAAAAGTTGATGGAATATGCAGAATTAGCAAAATTGACAGATAAACTGCGTGGAAAAGATAATGGTGGCTTTGGAAAAGAATGGGAACCTTTTGTAACATACTTGCAGAAACAAAGTAAAAGTATGGACTCTATGGCAGGGTTTAAATAAACATATACAATGTAATTAGAGAGAACAAGAAAGACAACAACGTGATAATATACTACTATATAGAAGCAGCAGAATGCAACAAGCGGTTTAACAAACCAGAAATGGAAATGGAGGGAAGCCAGGGGGGAGAGGGGAATTTACAAAACGATTGTTTGGTTAAGTTGAAAAATGTGTGATATATGTATGAGAACTAATAAAAACTGATTTAAAACACACATTTCCTGAAATTGAGCAATACCTTCAGTAGTGATATGTTTTAACAGGGCTTCCAGATGCTCTTTTTCTGAAGCAGTAGCCTGATGCAGCCAAGCCAACATGTCTCCTACATATCTAAAACCAAAAACCAAAACATCCTGCTGCATTAAATGGTTATTCTGGCAGCAAAACCACCATGCAGTGTACGCTTCCGTGACTGCTGTACCTCAGAGGATCGTGGGAATGCATTTCGATAGGCCGGGGGGTTCCTCCTGGACCTCCTCTAGTAAGAGCATCGATAAAACCACGGACCACAGCACTTCTTCTGGCTGTTGCAAACTCATCAAGAGTGTATCTGCAGTGGAAATGAAGGGGCACTTTATTAAAATGCATGTGCTTTATACTGCCATTACAATCATTAAGGTGCCTTGCTTTATGGGAATGTACCGCATTTTTCGCTCCATAAGACGCACCTTACCATAAGACGCACCTAGTTTTTAGAGGAGGAAAACAAGAAAAAAAATATTTTGAACGAAACAGTGGATGTATGATTTTTGTGGTTCTTGCTGTGGCCACAGACATGTGATCTGATGGTGAATTTGGGGTGACCCAATGCAAAAATCCTGAGGATCCATGTGGATCCGTGCTTTGTAACCACATTTTTGCTCCATTGCAGCCCCAGGAAACAGTGGATGTGTGATTTTTTTGGTGCAGGCTGTAGCCATGGACATGCTATGTGATCTGATAGTGAATTTGGGGTGACCCAATGTAAAAATCCTGAGGATCCATGGGATTTTACCTCCTCCCTCCCAGGCAGCCTCCACTAGCATCCTTTATCTCTCATCTGATCCCACTGATCAGCTGTTTCCTTTCAACACTCCCTTCCCTCTTGTTTGCCTTAGTGTCTTTTCCTTAGCTGGAGCAGTTTTTTTGCTCCTCCTTTTCTTCTAATTTCTCTCCTTATTGCTTTAGTCTTCCTGTTTCCCTCTTTTGCAAGTCTGCTGTCTTTACCTCCCCCCTCCCAGGCAGCCTCCTTTATCTCTAGTGTCCCTTATCTATCTCCCCGATCGGCAAACGATCAGTGGTTTTGTTTCAACACCCACTTCCCTCTTTTTCTTTTTTTTTTTTAAAAAAAGCATGATCTGCTTTTTCCCCCTGGGCAATTCGGCTCCAGGAACCACACATTAGCTCCATAAGACGCACAGACATTTCCCCTTACTTTTTAGGAAGAAAAAAGTGTGTCTTATGGAGCGAAAAATATGGTAAGTATGCTATGCACAGAAATAAGCTGTCTGAATAATTCACCACTTGAGCTCTGAAAATACTTTTCACGGCGGGAAATTGGTCGGTACCATGCCTCAGCCTCCCAACACAGGAACTGGTGGTTTGTTTCAAAAGACAATAGGTTCCCTGAATAAATTCTGTGTGGATGAGCTAATCATCTGCGGTTCCAGATGGGAAATGACCACCTAAGCTAGAAAATACGGGAATATAAGCAACTACAGTGGTACTTTGGTTTAAGAACAGCTTAGTTTATGAACAACTTGGATTAAGAACGCTGCAAACCAAGAAGTAGGTGTTTTGGTTTGTGAACTTTGCCTTGGAAGCAGAACATGTTCCGCTTCCTGCTGAGTGTGTTCCATTTGTAAATTGAGTCCCCCTGCTGTTATAGAAAAACATGCCTTAGTTTAAGAATGCTTTGGTTTAAGAATGGAATTTCGGAACGGATTAAGTTTGTAAATCAAGGTACCACTGTATTATATTGGTGGCAGGGGTTTTTTTTAAGGGGGTGGCCTGCAACACATGGGCCGAATTAAGCCTGCCTGACACCAGTTTAGCATTAGGTTTCAATCAGGGATCCTTGTTTAAACCCATGGTTTGAAGCTGGTTTATTATGAAAATAGGTTTGCTAACAGGGGTATAGCGCAGTTGGTCAGGGTGTGGTGCTGATAGTGCCAAAGTTGCAGGTTTGATCCCCGTAACAGACAGCTGCATATTCCTGCATTGCAAGGGGTTGGACCAGATGATCGTCAGGGCCCCTTCCAGCGCTATGATTCTACAGTGGTACCTCGGGTTACATACGCTTCAGGTTACATACGCTTCAGGATACAGACTCCGCTAACCCAGAGATAGTACCTCGGGTTAAGAACTTTGCTTCAGGATGAGAACAGAAATCGTGCTCTGGCGGCGCAGTGGCAGCAGAAGGAGGCCCCATTAGCTAAAGTGGTGCTTCAGGTTAAGAACAGTTTCAGGTTAAGAACAGACCACCGGAACGAATTAAGTACATAACCAGAGGTACCACTGTATTATTCTTTAAACCAGGATCCCTTGAATGTAATGCTAAGTTCAGATTCTTGAAACTGAAACCAAACTTTCCAGAGATTCTCCTCCCAGCTATTTTATTTGGGGGGCGGGGGGCAAGGGGGGGTAGAGAAGGCAAAGGGAGTACATGAATCTGATGTTCTGCTTCAGCTTGCTGAAGTTCATCCAACCAGCACTAAATCAGAGTCTGATGTTACATGTGAACTGTGCCTTTGTGTTATAAAGACATAAAAATGTAGAAATAATATTAGGATGTATTTCAGCAAGGCATTTCATTAAACGAAAAGAAAGTTGATGCTATAGAACAGGCATAGGCAAACTCGGCCCTCCAGATGTTTGCGGACTACAACTCCCATCATCCCTGACCACTGGTCCTGCTAGCTAGGGATCATGGGAGTTGTAGTCCCAAAACATCTAGAGGGCCGAGTCTGCCTACGCCCGCTATAGAATTTGGTAGGTGTTCCAAGACTGTCACCTTTTGGTTAATATCAAGCACTGCTAACATTCCTTAAAAATCAGTCAACTGCTGCTGAAAAAAGGAAAGTCATAACATCATAACATAACATGTTCCCTGTTTTGATTTGATAGGTAGTTATCCCAAATTTTTAGCACAAAAGATGTAGAGTGGAGTGAAAGTCCCACGCCTTGAAATATTCAATTCCACAATGAATGAACTTTTTAAGCTAGCTTGTGGTCAGAAGGCTGAAGCCCCCAGAATATTAATCTTGGTGACATTATGTTCTGCGACTAAGATAGGCAACATACTTATAGAGAACGGCCCTGTCCTGCAAAGCTTCCATTGCTTGAGCTAGAACTGGAGAAATGTCACAGGATTCTTGGGTTAAAGTTCTGCATTCGCCTGCAACGAAGAAAAGATCAGGCCAATAGTAAGCAATGTTTCTAATCTTTACAGCGTTCTAAAAATAATAAACGAAAGTTGTTGCAATCCTATTTGTAACTAAAACGCTTACCGTATTTTTCGCTCTATAAGACGCACTTTTCCCCTCCTAAAAAGTAAGGGGAAATGTGTGTGTGTCTTATGGAGCGAATGCAGGCTACACAGCTTTCGCTGTGTAGACCGATCCCTCTTGTTCTCCTGGCTTCAGCAATAGCCACGCAAAGCCTCCTGAGCACAGCTGGAGCACTCCTCCCACTGCGCTCAAGAGGCTTTGCATTGCAAAGAGCCTGAAGAGGCTTGGCACGGCTATCCCAGAAGCCAGAACAGCAAGACGGATCACTGCTTTCCCTGCACAGCGATCCCTCTTGCTGTTCCGACTTTGCTCTGCTGGAGAGGCGCTGCGCAGAGGGAAAGCTGAGCAGCACCCCTTCAGCAAAGAGCCCCTTCCGTTTCTCCTGCCACTTCGCTGAAGAGGGAGAGAATGTTTTTTTCTTGTTTCCTCCTCTAAAACTAGGTGCGTTTTATGGACGGGTGCGTCTTATAGAGCGAAAAATACAGTATTTTAAAAGTTCCTCATCTCAAGGCCTAGGAGACTAAACTCCTAAGTCCTGCCCAGGGCTGTCATTTTGAGACATACGTGGTTATTTCCAAATCAGCAGGTCTTGAATCAGGATGCCTAGGGGCTAATAAGGGAGCTTAAAATATTAGAACATTAAAACATTCCAACATTCCAGCTGCCATAAAACTCAGGGAACAAGCTGTGCTATTACAAAGACTAAGACCTCAGAGGCAAACTCTAGATAATATTTTAGAGACTAAAACCTAAACCACATTTCTAAAGGCTGTCATATTCGTATTGTTTATTGTCATATTCGATTGTCAATTCAAACTTTATTCTACTGTGTTTTATGTTTGCGTAGTACGGTATGTGAATCTGGTCTGGGACCGTAATAAATTTTATTATTATTAAAACATTCCTGTTATAAAATTAACCTACTCCTGTAGTGGGGTGGGTGGCTGAAAGATAGGAGAACGAGAAGAGATAATGCTGATGCAGTTGGTATTGCTAGGCTGACTGCAAACATTTAATAATAATAATAATAATAATAATAATAATAATAACAACAACAACAATAAAATTTTATTTATAGCCCGCCCTCCCCAGCCGAAGCAGGGCTCAGAGTGGCTAACAAAAGTAAAATATACAACATTCTAAAATCATTTCATTATAAAATCAGCTCAAATCAGATTAATGGCAACCATTGGGCTAGAGTTCTCTGAGGATTACCAAAGGAGGGGGTCAGGCTGTGCCCTGGCCAAAGGCCTGGTGGAACAGCTCTGTCTTGCAGGCCCTGCGGAAAGATGTCAAGTCCCGCAGGGCCCTAGTCTCTTGTGACAGAGTGTTCCACCAGATCGGAGCCACAGCCGAAAAAGCCCTGGCTCTGGTTGAGGCCAGCCTAACCTCTCTGTGGCCCGGGATCTCCAAGATGTTTTTGTTTGAAGACCGTAAGGTCCTCCGTGGGACATACCAGGAGAGGCAGTCCTGTAGGTATGAGGGTCCTACGCCGTATAGGGCTTTAAAGGTTAAAACCAGCACCTTAAACCTGATCCTGTACTCCACCGGGAGCCAGTGCAGCTGGTATAGCACTGGGTGAATGTGATCCCGCAGCGAAGACCTCCCATTTGTCTGTTTTGTTTTATTGTGTAGTTGTTGGTGCTTATTGTTTTAATAATTTTATGTAATTATATGCATGCAAGGTCCTCCTGAAAAAATATATATAAATACAGTAAAATAAATGTTTCTATAAACCATAATGATTTTGGTGCACCAAATAGTACTGGCTAATCTTACACATTAACAAAATATATATATATCCCAGGATTAAACATGAGTATAATGAATAAGTTGAGGCTATAGAATTTGGTAGGTGTTCCAAGACTGCCACCTTGTGGTTAATATCAAGCACTGCTAACATTCTTTAAATAAGCATCTTTTCAAGAAAAAGGATTATCCAAAAAAACTAAGGTACCTTGAGCCCATCGGTAAAGCTGCTCATAAGCAGTCTCTTGAAGCAAAGCCATCTGTTCCATAATTTCTAGGCTGCAAATTTAAAACAATTAAATGCTTTTAATAAGTTTTTTATGAAAATAAAAAAATCTTTAAACACATAATAATCTTTAGAGCTATTTCCCTGTTCCAAATATATTCACAGCCCACTTTATACAGCTTAAACTGAATGATGACTACTACTTCAGCCATTGCTTTGTAGTTTTTCGGTGAGAACTCACCCTGATCTCTGCTGGTTTGTGCGCAGAAGAATCTTGACATCGTTGTGAATTTGTTTTACTCTGCCCAATACCTTAAAAAAGTCCTAGGAAACACAAGATTGAAAGTCACTGGTATTTTATTAAAGCAAACTGTCCACACAGAAATATTCCCAGATCATTATACTATAGGCCACAAACTTTGCAGTTAAAGGAATTTCTAGTGGGAGGATAGGCAAGATCTCAATGCTAAACAATGCAATACTATTATTAATACTAAAACAAGAGTTTTACTTCACAACCACCATCCCAAACATAATTTCTCCAAATACGCATCAAGGTATGTTTTTGCCTACATTTAAAGAAAACCACTAGGCATGGTCTATGAGTTAAGCCATATTGTATCCTTTCAAGGAAGCAGGTTTGCCATATGTCTGCAATTTCGTGAACACAGCCAGTACTCAGCCCTTGCAAACAGTGTCCAGGTGGAAATCACTGAAATGTCCAGGAAAAACCGGACATATGGCAGCCCATGCCAATAGAGCAGATTTTGGCAAATTTCATTTAAAAATAGCTCAAAAACACACTCTTTTTTTAGATTTTACCAAAAAAAGTGCAACAACTGTGGGCAAAACTAAAGAAAGCTCAACAACTTTGTCAAAAACCTCAACAACCTTTGTGTGCCAGGATTTTCACTTTTTGAAGATTTATTTCTTCCTTTTTATTTGTAGGACTAGAAGAGTGTGTATATGTGTGTGTGTGTGTGTGTGTGTGTACATGCACGTTGTAAAAGAGTGTGTAAATGGCTAATAGTATTTTGATTTTTTTATAGGTAGACCAGGGAATCATGCAGACACAAAATTATGGGACTAACACAAAAAATATACCTATAAGCAGTTAAAAACTCATAACCTATAACTCAAAACGAAGAAGTAAGGCTTAGCATATAGAGAATGCTTGACAGGCTTTTTAAATATATAACTGATGAACACAAGTCTTCAGTAAAAAATATGCTTAACTTACAGATTCTAGCATTAATATGCTTAGCCCATGAGTTTTAGTACGAAAGTGCTGGTGAATGTCTGGGTTAAATACTCGGTTTTGATCATATTAACAATTCTTTATGATACATTAGGAGCTATAGGGAACGCACAATATGAAAGGAACAAGGTAAATGGAACAGAAAGGTTCCACCTCAACTGCTAAAGCTAGAATATTATCGGTGTGCATGCTCATGGTACTTACCTCTGTAACAGGCCCATCTCTTGTGCTTCGAAGGACATTCATTTCTTCTGGAGAAAGCTGGAATTCTGCTATGAAAGCATCTGCTATCTGTGCTTTCAGTTCTAACCTTTGGCTGCAATTAAAAGGTTGAAATTTGAAAATGGGATACTTCTAGCAGTCATATATGTGTGTTGACTCAGAAGTACGTCCCAATGAGTTCTATGGGGTATACTCCCAGAAACTGTCTTGAATGAGCCTTATACATCAGGTAAAGGTAAAGGGACCCCTGACTATTAGGTCCATTCGTGGCTGACTCTGGGGTTGCGGCGCTCATCTTGCTTTATTGGCCGAGGGAGCCGGCGTACAGCTTCCGGGTCATGTGGCCAGCATGACTAAGCCGCTTCTGGTGAACCAGAGCAGCGCATGGAAATGCCGTTTATCTTCAAACCAGAGCGGTATCTATTTATCTACTTGCACTTTGACGTGCTTTCAAACTGCTAGGTTGGCAGGAGCAGGGACCGAGCAACGGGAGTTCACCCCGCCGTGGGGATTCGAACCGCCGACCTTCTGATTGGCAAGTCCTAGGCTCTGTGGTGTAACCCACAGCGCCACCCTCGTCCCGGAATATATAGATAGAACGAAAAAATAGAGGTTGAAGTGTAAATGAAACTATATTTGAAGTGAAATAACAGAAGAAATTTATTAATAGGTTGGAACCAGATCGTCCAGTCTGTGAAAGGAACAGCTACGTCTGTCCACAGAGGACACCATGATCCAATGGAGGTTCTTCATTGCAGGAAGGTAGTGGGAAGGCAATATTCACCAGTTTTTCCTTCCTGCAGCAGCCCTCCAGGGTGCCCCAACCATGTGCATAGATTTTCAGGGGGGCACTGGGGGAAGGAGGAATAAGTGAACAGCGCATCCCTGGCCCCTTCTTCCAGCATAAGCAGATCTCCAATGAGCATAGATCTGGATCCGACCCAGAAAGCAGAATCAGTTTCAGATATTATGATAAATGCGGTAAGATCAGATAAATGGTACAACTGGCTTTTTACACAAATTACACTGGGGGGGGAGGGATGCAGGTGGTGCTGTGGTCTAAACCACTGAGCCTTGGACTTGCCGATCGGAAGGTTGGCGGTTCGAATCCCGCGACAGGGTGAGCTCCCGTTGCTTGGTCCCAGCTCCTGCCAACCTTGCAGTTCGAAAGCACGTCAAAGTGCAAGTAGATAAATAGGTACCGCTCCAGCGGGAAGGTAAACAGTGTTTCTGTGCGCTGCTCGTTTCACCAAAAGCGGCTTAGTCATGCTAGCCGGAAAAACGTGTCTGCAGACAAACGTCGGCTACCTCGGCCAGTAAAGCGAGATGTGTGCTGCAACCTCAGAGTCGTTCGCGACTGGACTTAACTGTCAGTGGTCCTTTACCTTTACCTTTTTACACTGGGGGGTGGGGGGGAGAGAGCACCCTGGAAATAGGATTTTAATCCACTGAAGAAAGACATCCAGCAATCTATGCCACTTCAGTGTATTAAATAAGTAGCCCCGGTGATTTACATTGAATCATCCAACAATATAATGATACAAGCAGGAAAATAATACCCACTTAATAAATTAAGCATATTAAGAAACTGCTACTTGAGTGTCATTCAACCAGCTTTATATTTACATATCAGTACTCAGTGAGTGGGACGCGGGTGGCACTGTGGATTAAACCACAGGGCCTAGGACTTGCCGATCAGAAGGTCGGTGGTTCGAATCCCCGGTCCCTGCTCCTGCCAACCTAGCAGTTCAAAAGCACGTCAAAGTGCAAGTAGATAAATAGTTACCGCTCCGGCGGGAAGGTAAATGGCGTTTCCGTGCACTGCTCTGGTTCGCCAGAAGTGACTTAGTCATGCTGGCCACATGACCTGGAAGCTGTACGCCGGCTCCCTCAGCCAATAAAGCGAGATGAGCGCCGCAACCCCAGAGTCGGCCATGACTGGACCTAATGGTCAGGGGTCCCTTTACCTTTACTCAGTGAGTAAAAGCTAGATGTTGGGCTGCTAACAAAAAAAAATGACTTGCTACCCTCCTTTGCATTCTTGGCAATTTCAATTATTGAGCTAATTTGTTTTAAATTACATCGCATAACTGAGTTTACTGAACATAGCCTGATACTTATCGTGTCTACTTTAAATAGTAATGAATAGATATCCATTCTTATTGAGAAACTGAAAAGTCCAAGAACCATACTTCTTTAAAGTTCAGAAACTATACTCAGAGGACCTTTCAATGCTCACAGAATATTATGCAAAGTGAGTTAACGCGAAATTCTCTCATTCTGAAAATTCTGCGATTAGAAAAAGGGAAAGATGCATATCCCGTGGCAAATCTCTGAAGAACAGTTTAATAAAAATGACCACTGGAAACAGCCCTAAGGTGACTTCATTCAGTACAAATGTGGGAGAATCCAGAAAAGCATTCTAATTTGACATAAATATAACAAAAGGGGCAAATACATACTTCTCTGCTTGAAGCTTAGTTGTCTTTTCTATTAAATCCTGGGTTTGCTCCTTGGTTGCCTGGAGTACAGACCAGAATAATTACAGTTAAACCCCACTAAGGTCTTACGGTATATTTCTACTTTTTCATTTGCTGTTTCAACCAAATTATAAGTCATTTAAGCACAGTAGAACAGTGAACAGAAGGGCAGTTAAGCTTCAGAAACAAATAAAGCTACATTTTTCTTAAAGGCAGAACCCAATATATGCATTTTCTGTATTTATATACTATGGGTAGACAAACTAAGGCCTGGGGGCTGGATCTGGCCCAATCGCCTTCTAAATCCAGACCAGGGAATCAGCGTGTTTTTACATGAGGAGAATGCATGCTTTTATTTAAAATGCATCTCTGGGTTATTTGTGGGGCACAGGAATTCATTCATTCCCCCCCAAAAAATATATAGTCTGGTCCCCCACAAGGTCTGAGGGACAGTGGACTGGCCCCCGGCTGAAAAAGTTTGCTGACCCCTGTTATTACAGTAGACCCGCAACATACACAGTGGTTTCATTCCAGAAATAGCACATAAAGGCAAAATTGTGTATAGTCAAAACACACTGGGTGCAATGGTGGGTGAGATTGCCAAAGTTTCTTTTCTCGGATGCCCTTTCACCCCCCCCCTTTCTTTCCAAACAGGTAAATGTGCACAAAATAAATCTGCTTAAGTTGCAGGTCTACTGTACTGTCTTCCTAATACAGTGGTACCTTGGGTTAAGTACTTAATTCGTTCCGGAGGTCCATTCTTAACCTGAAACTGTTCTTAACCTGAAGCACCACTTTAGCTAATGGGGCCTCCTGCTGCCGCCAGGGCACGATTTCTGTTCTTATCCTGAAGCAAAGTTCTTAACCTGAAGCACTATTTCTGGGTTAGCGGAGTGTTGAACCTGAAGCGTATATAACCCGAGGTACCACTGTACTAGAACTAGGGCCCAGTGCAATACAGAAGTGTAGCAAGTATACCAGAGTGCTGGTTTGGGTTTGTGGAGATGCAGGTTCAACTTCTCACTGAAGACATGAACTTGGATCAGTCACCCTTTCCGAGCCTAATCTACCTCACAGGATACTTGTGTGGATAAAAAGGGAACCCATTAAAGGAAGGGTGGGATAAAAATCATAGAGTTGTTCAGTTGGAAGGGATCCCAATGGTCATCTAGCCCAACCCCCTGAAATGTAGGAATCTCACTTAAAAGCATCCATGACAGGTGGCAAATGTAACAAGAACATATCCACCCCGTTAACCTGACAACAATATTGATGATCTGATCATAATGATTCATAGAAAACTGATCATAATGATTCATAGGAAATGTGTTTTAGAAACGTAACCTGGGTGATTTACATACACACAAGCTCAGAATAATGTGCACAGAGAGCTCTTATGCATGCAAAATGCCCTTTTGATTTCACTAGATGGAGTAGATTCCTGAACAGTGAAAGGCTCCAAAAACAGACCATAGAAATTAATGGGGACCTCTTTTCATGCAGGGGGTCCTTTTGTGCCTTAGAATTCCCTGTAAAAAAAGAAATCTTCACACTGGGATCAAAAGTGATCTCTATGTGTTGTACTGGGGGAAAGTACTGTGCTGTTGAAACTACCAAGTCCCAGTGTGCCAGAAATTACCACATCTGCACACAAATCCATTCTTTACCTTCAAGTGATTGGTCATCTGCTGGCAGCAGTCGCTCATAAACTTCACATCTTCATTTATGCTTTCAAGTTCCTGAAAGAGCACAGAAACAGACAAGTAGCCTAAAACACTAGCACTCATATTGAAATTTGCTTTTTCCACATTTCTCTCCCCCCCCACCAATTTTCTGAAACACCAGAACTATTGGACAGTTTCCCTAACAAGCATAATCTTCACTGTTGTATGATACAATCACTGATAAGAATATCCAATGATTCTTCCTCCCTGAAGCTCCAGATTTGGTTTTTCAGCGTTGGAGAAACTGGATGCGCAGCAGTATAAGAAAGCATTACATACTTTTAGCATTCGTGCTTCCCAACAAGTGCTGGATAGCTCCAGAGATACAACTAACGGTGTTGCTCTATACATGTCTACTCAGGAGTAAGACTCATTGACTTTAATGAAGCTGTCTCCCAGGTAAGTCTGTACAGGATAGCAGGCAGCAATAGTAATATCTAAAGAAAATTTGTGGTGGCAAATGGAGATCTGGTAGTATTTTATATAGATTTTGTGAACATACTCATAGGGGGTGTTGAACAGTGGCCAATGAGAGTGCCCAGTGAGAGAATAACAGCAGCAAGAATATTATTGGCCCAAAAATGGAAGCAAGAAGAATTACCGACGATTGAAGAATGGAGGATGAAGTTAATGGACTATGCAGAATTAGATAAACTAACAGGAAGGATTCGAAACCGGCGGGACCAGAAATTCACAGAAGACTGGAGTAAATTTACGGACTATTTGAAAAGTATTTGTGAAGATCAGATGACATTTGTAGGTTTGCAAGAAGTTTTGTGAGGAGTATTATTGGAAGAAGTGGTTAAAACGGTGGATCATCAGAGGTGCTGATGGAAGTCTAAAAAGATTGTATAAGTGATAAATTTTGTGGTACATTTTATAATTTATATGTTAAAATCAATTATATATATATATAAGAGAGGCACCCATTGATAGAGAAAAGTGGAGGAAAAGGATAGCTGTCCGCATTTTTTCTACAACCCAACATGTACTCATGAAACAAGACACTCTACTTCTCATCTTACTCTTAACAAGATTATCTTCACAAGTTCCCTGTTTGGCCAATGTGGTTGTTTTTTGCTTTCTGAACATGAACATATTTAGCCACAACCAAGTCTAATCCAGTTTCCCCGTGATATCTTGTGTGCTTCTTTCATCTCTCCACAAATTAGACAGGTACAGTAGAGGGGAACAGAACCAAGCAATGGAATTACCAGCCAGTTATTTGCCTCAGGGTTTACAGAGGCCCTTGACTGTCAGCTTCCTGCTGGACATTTAGAGAATTAATGAATAAAAATGGCATACCTCTTTCACTTGTTTGAAAATGTGAACAAATTCTTCATTTATAGCTAAGCTGCGATGTTCCATATCTCCACGTAAATTTCTTCTAGTACGCAGGCTATTTTCTACAAAAAAGACTGAAAGAGCCTTGAGTGCTTCTAACATCTCCTATAAAAATATATAAAGATCATGTTGACAGTTCATATACAAAATGAACTTTTTTTAAAAAAGGACACACATCAGAAGACACAGAAAACATCTTCAGTTTTCCAGATAAATCACATTTTAACAACGCTAAACTATCTTTACAATATAGTTTACAATAGCAAATATATAGATTAAATACTCAACATATTTTTGAATATAAACATCAACTTGATATAATTATGCCATAGTCAACTCAATCAACTAATTACTTGCAAGTAAAGCTAAACTCTGTCTGCTATTGTGAAGACCAATTCTAGGGCACCAGTCCAGCTTGAGATGCATTCAACTACGGGTTTAATCGGTTTAATCCTGCCCCTGGCTCCATGGCAGTTTATTTCCTGGGGTAAAATCCTAAAAAAAAGGACAACTCTTTGAAAAAAGTTTGGACACCCCTGATGTATTCAGTCAGTTCAGTAACGCCTGTCAATTCAGCTCATTCAAGCATTTTAAACTGCCACTCTTCCTTGGTGGGTACCGTATTCATTCTCCGTGCCAATAAGATTCTAGCCACAGTGGTGGCATATAATAATTTTGTTTTTTAGGGACTTCTATTGTTACCGTTCCCAAAAGGGTTGTCTTGGGCTGGGGGTTTTTGTTTTTTTAAAAAATATCTTTTTAATTCATTGTAAATTACTTCCCAGAACTCCCTGATTCCTTTACAGGACCTCCACATGTGGGGAAAAAGGATCCCTCTCTACTTCATTACATTTCCCTGCCTTTTCAATGGTGATGTCTAGTCTTAAAAAAAAAAAGTCTCATTTATAATTTAATCAATTTGAACCCCTCGTTGCCTGCGAGTGAGCCCCGCTGAGCTCAACATGGCTTACTTCTGAGTAGACCTGGTTAGGGCTGCGCTGTTGTTCACTAACCAGCTAGAAAAGGGGAATCCGTCAACTAAGCCAGTCATTTTTAAAGAACCACCCTAGAGAAAAGAAACCACACGAACGACGCCTTCCCTATGGCTCCGATTCGCAAAACCGGTGCCTATTTCTCAGATACGGCAGGACTGACCACAGTTGGTCGCCCACCTTGTCCGTCTCCAAGCGGGTCTCCAGCACTTTGCGGAGCTTGCGAGAGAGAGGGTTGGACCCTCCAGACGACCCTTGCGAGGAGGAGGAAGCGCCCGCCGACGAAGCGGCAGCCCCGGCCGCGAACGGCTGCAGCGGCCGCTGCTGCTCTTCAGCCGCCGCCGCCATCTTTGCTCTCTCCCCTCCTGCCCTGAGGCCGCCGTGGCGGAGGCGGCGCCGTCACCCGGACCGGGAGCGTCGCTGCACCGGTTCCCTCCACCTCCCCGCGGCCGGAGACAAAGAGTTCCGCCCTGCAGTGTTTCTCAAACTCGGGTCTCCCGCTGCTGTTGGTCCTGGTAGCTAAGGATGCTGGGAGTTGTAGTCCAACAAGGAAAGCTGGGTACAGTGGTACCTCGGGTTAAGTACTTAATTCGTTCCAGAGGTCCGTTCTTAACCTGAAACTGCTCTTAACCTGAAGCACCACTTTAGCTAATGGGGCCTCCAGCTGCTGCCGTGCCACCGAAGCACAATTTCTGTTCTCATCCTGAAGCAAAGTTCTTAACCCGAGGTACTATTTCTGGGTTAGCAGAGTCTGTAACCTGAAGCGTCTGTAACCTGAAGCGTATGTAACCCGAGGTACCACTGTACAGTCATACCTCGGGTTGAATGCGCTTCGAGTTGAGCGCTTTTGAGTTGCACTCTGTGGCAATCCGGAAGTAACGGAGCGCGTTACTTCCGGGTTTCGCCGCTTGCGCATGCGCAGACGCTCAAAACGACGTCACGCGCATGCGCAGAAGCAGCGAATAGCGACGCGCGTGTGCGCAGACGTGCCATCGCTAGTTGCGTTTGCTTCTACATGCGAACGGGGCTCCGGAACGGATCCCGTTCGTATCTAGAGGTACCACTGTATGAGGGAGGCGGGTGGCGCTGTGGTCAAAGCACTGAGCCTCTTGGGCATGGGTAGGCAAACTAAGGCCCGTGGGCCGGATCCGGCCCAATCGCCTTCTAAATCTGGCCCACGGACGGTCCAGGAATCAGTGTGTTTTTACATGAGTTGAATGTGTCCTTTTACAGTCATACCTCGGGTTACAGACGCTTCAGGTTGTGTTTTTTCAGGTTACGGACCCGCCGAAACCCGGAAGTACCGGAACAGGTTACTTCCGGGTTTCGGGGGTCGCGCATGCGCAGAAGCGCTAAATCCATAGTTGTCAACCTTCCCCTTTTTTGCGGGAAATTCCCTTATTCCAGCGCCGTTTCCCACTGCTATCCCGGATTGTTAGATATCCCGTAGACTGTCCCCGGCACAGGTGAGGCTGCTGATCCCTTATTTTCGAGGCTGCCGATCCCTTATTTTCAAATCTGAAAGTTGACAGCTATGGTTAAATCGCGCTTTGCGCATGCGCAGAAGCGCCGAATCACAACCCGCGCATGCGCAGACGCGCCGCTGCAGGTTGCGAACGTGCATCCCGCACGGATTACATTTGCAGCCTGCGCGTCAACTGTATTTAAAATGCATCTCTGGGTTATTTGTGGGGCATAGGAATTCTTTCTCCCCCCCCCCAAAAAAATATAGTCCGCCGTCCACCCCGAGGTCTGAGGGACAATGGACCGGCCCCTTGCTGAAAAAGTTTGCTGACCCCTGCTCTTGGGCTTGCTGATTGGAATGTTGGCAGTTCAAATCCCCACAACGGGGTGAGCTCCCATTGCTCTGTCCCAGCTTCTTCCAACCTAGCAGTTTGAAAGCATACCAGCGCAAGTAGATAAATAGGTACCGCTGCAGCGGGAAGGTAAACGGCATTTCCATGCTCTCTGGCACTTGTCACTGTGTTCCGTTGTGCCAGAAGCAGTTTAGTCACGCTGACCACATGACCCAGAAATCTGTCTGTGGATAAACGCCAGCTCCCTCAGCCTGAAAATTAGATGAGCACCACACCCCATAGTCGCCTTTGACTGGACTTGCTGGGAATGTGGGCTTGGGAGAGCACATCTTTGAGGCTGTCCTGCCATGTAACACTCCTGATCTTTCTTACACAGCACATATGGAAGAAATAGTACCCATGTAGAAAACAAAACAGAACAATAAAAGATACTGTGTACATTACAAAAAGGGGAGTTGTTATTGTAATTAACCAGACCTTAATCTAATATGGTATTTACAAAAATGAATTCCAAAAATCGTTAAATTTGTCCATGGCAAGTCTATGTTTGTGCACAACTTGTTCATGTGTAGTGAGTTTGTACATACCGTATCTTTAATCCAATCATTAAAGAGAGCTGCGTTTTTATTTTCCCAGTTCATCAATACCCGTCTTCTTGCCATAGTAAGGACATGAAAAGTCCATGCATATTGTCCCTTTGTTAGATTCCATGTCTTGAGTATATAATTCCAAAGGATATACTCCTCTGCAAATTTAAGATTGTTCTGTACAGTTATGATCATAGACCTTCATCTTTGTATTTATGGTTAGCATCATATTTTCCTTGCCAATACACTTGTCTCCAATGCTGATGCATGGAGTTCTGATGATGTCCTGACCCAGGATGTTGCTCTTTGACAGGCTAATGGCGGGGCCAAACTCTATGGAGGCTTGCGCAAGACAGTTGATGAGTCTTAGTAGAGCTTTCTCAGAGTGCACTGTCAAGGCCACATCATCTGCAAACAACATCTCTTGGTTAAGAGAGATGTTGCATTCTCCTGGAAATCCAGAGATTAGATTAGAAAAATTGCTGTCTCCATAGTTAACATACTTTGCATTCAATAATTTGCAGTCCTCAAGCCAATAAATGTAAAGAAAAACAGACTCTCTTCATCATTTTATGGAACAATAATTACTAAAATAAAACCGAACAGAACACACACACACACACACACACACGTATATTCATTGTTAGGAACGGCCTGTATTAATAGTATATTTTTTTCTCTGGGTTATATATTATTTGTAGCGGCATATTGTGTTGCGCATTATGTGATATCTGTTTTTTTATTAAGTCTTAATTAAGAGACTTGTTTCACTCTAGACAAAGTGGGCTCAAAGTGGGTCATGAAAGGTTCTGCCACCATAAATTTGCCAGTTATTACGGTGCTCAAAGTAAGATTTGCTTCTGCTGCAGCGTACTGACGCAGCTACCTCTCTAGAAGAATTAGCATTTATATAGTGCTCTGGAGTATACAAAGCACTCCACATGTATTATATAGTAATTCTTACCTTAACCCTGTGAAATAGATCTGTATTATTATCCTTGCACTGGGAGTGGGGTTTTGAGGGCCTTGCCTAAAGCTAACTAATAAGTTCATACCAAAAGCACAATTCAGACCAGAGACATCCTAATCAATCTCTTGGTTACTACACCAGCTTGTGACACTAAAAGGTATGGACCCTCCAACATTTCTCTGATGAAAATAGGGATTTCAAATTGTTTGTGGGTGCTGGGCAGGAGAGTTTCACAGATAGCTGTAGAGCTGTCCTTTGAGGCCATATCTCGCACCTCCTTTCAGCAACATCCATGCTGCCTCTGCGGTGGCCTCTCAGGAAATAAGAGGTGCTGCTGGTCAGTGTGGTGTAGTGGTTAAGAGTGGTAGATTCGTAATCTGGTGAACCGAGTTTGCGTCTCTGCTCCTCCACATGCAGCTGCTGGGTGACCTTGGGCCAGTCACACTTCTCTGAAGTCTCTCAGCCCCACTCACCTCACAGAGTGTTTGTTGTGGGGGAGGAAGGGAAAGGAGAATGTCAGCCGCTTTTATACTCCTTCGGGTAGTGATAAAGCGGGATATCAAATCCAAACTCTTCTTCTTCTTCCTCTCACCCCTAGGGACTGCCCTCTGGTGTCTCCTGGACTTTGCACTCACCCAATGTGATTCAGGGTGGGCCCCTTTAAATCCCACAACAATCTTTGATTCCCACTTCAACCATTGATTAAGATTGATTTGATCCCCACTCCTGTTCCCACTGGAGATATTTATCCACTCCTTCATCCTGATGTACATATACACTCACCCCTTCTTCCCTGGTGGCAGGGGAGAGCCATTTCGTTGTTCGCCTCAAGGACAAAAATGTCTTGGGCTGGCCCCGGTTTAAGCCCTAACAATTTGAAATCTTTTAGCAACTTGGCAATTGCTTTCTGTCAGTTAATGTCTACTGTAGAGGTATCTTATGTAAAGGTAAAGGGACCCCTGACCGTTAGGTCTAGTCACGAACAGCTCGGGGGTTGCTTGCTCATCTCGCTTTACTGGCCGAGGAAGCCGGCGTTTGTCCGCAGACAGCTTCCAGGACATGTGGCCAGCATGACTAAGCCGCTTCTGGTGAACCAGAGCAGCACACGGAAACGCCATTTACCTTCCTGCCAGAGTGATACCTATTTATCTACTTGCACTTCTATGTGCTTTTGAACTGCTAGGTTGGCAGGAGCAGGGAGCTCACCCCATTGCGGGGATTCGAACTGCCGACCTTCTGATTGACAAGCCCTAGGCTCTGTGGTTTAGACCACAGCACCACCCATGTCCCTGCCTGTCCATCATATGTACAAAGAGCCAAAAACATTGGGGGTAAGGTTGCTATTTCCCCAATAATGCCACAATAAACATAAAACATGATAATATGAATGTAACTTTACATCTTAAACAATTACCGTATTTTTCGCTCTATAAGACGCACAAGACGCACCTAGTTTTTGGAGGAGGAAAACAAGAAAAAAAATATTCTGAATCTCAGAAGCCACAACAGGAAGAGGGATCACTATGCAGTGAAAGCAGCAATCTCTCTTGCTGTTCTGGCTTCTGGGATAGCTGCTCAGCCTGCATTCGCTCCATAAGACACACACACACACTTCCCCTTACTTTTTAGGAGGGAAAAAGTGAGTCTTATAGAGTAAAAAATACAGTAACAATGACTTAGGCTTTGGTTTGCTGGCTCAAGTCAGTATCAAAAGTCATGCTTTTGTGACTATTCACCTGCAGGGCAGATCCAATTTTCATCAGCATCATTGTCATAGAAGGTGTTCTCAGAGCTGGTCACTTGTACATTTTCCTCATTCTTGACCACACTTTGGTGCCTTCCAGTCACCACTCATGTAATGCACATATCCTGAGCTATGAATCGGCCATGTTGCTTTGTACTGTTAGGAGCATTCAAGAGTTGTTGCCCAAAAGATGTATATCAAAAACAGCATAATCCAGCAGTTCAATACTGTCAGTCAGGCACAATAATGTTAGTGGGTGCTGAGCATGAGAGTTTCACAGAATCTTTGAAACTGCCTACCTACAATATGGCGATGCAAAACGATAGCTGCTTCCCGAACACTTTCTCTACCAAAGGGGCAAATTTAAAATTCAGTTGAAGAGACACCTCATCAGAATATACTAGGCCACCTACAGAGTTTGACTGGCAAAACCTGATTCTTCAAGCAAGCTGCTTTTTCATCATGTCTTTCAGCGTGGATTATAGAACTCCAGAAAATGGTGTATGCATAAACAACTAACATAATTTGTGCAGACATCTGTTCAGCCTCAGATAATTGTTCCTTTCACATCCGTGCTCAAAGGCTTTCTCGTGTGCTCTGATGTGTGAAGAAGTGTCACCTATCTCATCACTTTTAATGATCTCGTCACCCTTGCGAGTGTAGTCACACCAACAGCCCTTATGGCAAATGTCTCACCTTGGCATCACGAAGAACTGAAGAACAGCACATCTTTTCTAATTGTAGAAAAGCAGTCCCTCAAGAGCTCGAGTGTGGAAACAACCAAAGTTGTCGCTCTTCCGGAAGCGTTTTTTGTGTGCGTGTGTGTACAATGTTGATGGTACGCAGAAAAATTATGGGACAAACTACTTTCCGCAGTTCGCATTGTGAACGTTGCCATGCGGAAAATGAGTCCCCTGACACTTCCTTGTGAGAGCGCATTTAGAGTGGAGTGTTTTTCAAATGTTTGCTTTCCTAAACTCACTCCGCTTTCTTGGATGATCACACACACAAGACCACCTATCTGTTGGGCTGGTGAATGATTGAGATCTCAGCAAACAAAGCTGTGTGTATCCGGTGGCTGAGCATAAGAACCTGTCAATTGGGGTGAAGTGATACTGACATTTTCAGTAGGCATCTTTCTCCTTTCTCCTATTTTGTTTTTGTGTTTTAGCAAAAGGATGTGAGGCCGCTTCCAGACAGATGGCTATTTTCAGGTGGGATTCAATCACATATTCCTGCAATTTCAAGTCACACAATTATAATTGATTGGGAACTCTTGTGTAACAAACAAAAGACCAGGCTTTTTGCAATCAGGGAAATGCAGTGCGAAGCATGGGCTAACACTTTTACACAATTTCGTTTAGTCTCCTCGCAAACAAATCAGGTGGATCGCTCATTAAATAGCCCACAGTCACCTAAGCTCCCGGCAAACAAATCAGGGTGAATGCTCAGCAAATAGATAATGTGGTAACGCCCTGAGGAGCTCCTTTTTCTAGCTGCTACTTGTACATTTGCACTCAAAGAGAAATAGACAAGTCAGAGAGAGCCCACCCTAGCTATCTTCCAGGCCAGCAGGCAGGAGCACTTGATCAGAAAAAGAGGTGTTGGAACTCACCCTCGTTCTCTTATAATGGCAATGGCACCCATCTGAGAGATGCCGGAACTGAGTTCCGGAGAGTTCCGGCTGAAAAAAAAGTCCAGCATATACCCCTCCCCAGATTTGATCCCAAGTCAAAGATGATCTTACCCCAAAACAAGCTAAAACTACCAGCTCAGGTGGCAGGTTTTGACTCCCATTTAATGCAGCTGTCAGCTGAGAATTTACCTCAGGCACAATGAAATGTCAGCCTCATGGACCGTGTGCTTCAGTGTGCTAGGAAAAAACACTATCCAAGAAGAGGTCACACTTCAATTGCTGCGTTTACAACTCAGTACATAACACCACCGGTTTTACATTTCTCTCTCCTGTTTTTGAAAATGGATTTTGGGTTGTCAAGCTGGTTGTTGTTGTTGTTTAGTCGTTTAGTTGTGTCCGACGCTTCATGACCCCATGGACCAGAGCACGCCAGGCACTCCTGTCTTCCACTGCCTCCCGCAGTTTGGTCAAACTCATGTTGGTAGCTTCAAGAACACTGTCCAACCATCTTGTCCTCTGTCGTCCCCTTCTCCTTGTGCCCTCCATCTTTCCCAACATCAGGGTCTTTTCCAGGGAGTCTTCTCTTCTCATGAGGTGGCCAAAGTCTTAGAGCCTCAGCTTCAGGATCTGTCCTTCCAGTGAGCACTCACGGCTGATTTCCTCAAGAATGGATAGGTTTGAATCTCCTCCAGCACCATAATTCAAAAGCATCAATTCTCCGGCGATCAGCCTTCTTGATGGTCCAGCTCTCAATTCCATACATACCTAAAACGTAGATTGATGTTTTAAACGTAAACATGCCTGCTGGACTACTCTCAAGGTGTCATCCCCAAAACCCACTTCCAAAAGGGGCCAGGCAAGATGTCCAAATATGGAACAATCAGATTTGAAGGCTGAGAGTGATATCAGACTTAAAAGTTGGTATGCATATTCAAGGCAGCATATTGTACTGTGTTTCAAGTGCATGTGTGCCCTCCTACACCTGTTTTAAAACTTGGCATGTAGAAACACGCACAGAATCCATGCTGGTAACTTCATGCTCAACAGGGTTTTTGTGTTAACTAACAAACCTACATATGGGATGCCAAAGAGGCAGGTCAAACCTGTCATTTTGCTTGGCCTGGGAGGCACCGTGTGTGTTTCCTGAAACATTTTGAATGAAAAAAAGAAAACCGAGATTTTTTCCCCTGGAATTTTTATCTCCACTCTAAATTGATGAGAGATCTGATATAGCATGCTTGACTTAATTTTAATAAACTAAAAAAACTAAAAACTAAACAAGTGCCATGTTAATTTTATATGCAGTATTTCTGACCCCTCCTCCCATTAGCCAATGTAGATGAACTAAAATATTTAATTAGGGCCAACTTATAGAAAGCATACTTAATGTGGTTTATATGTTAATTTCAAACAAATTTTAAAAATTACTTGGACATACTTTATTTTACATTTTAAGATGTGACAACTAATACCATGAACTTCCCTTAAAAAGGTAAAGGGACCCCTGACCATTAGGTCCAGTCGTGACTGACTCTGGGGTTGCGGCGCTCATCTCGCTTTATTGGCCGAGGGAGCCGGCATACAGCTTCCGGGTCATGTGGCCAGCATGACTAAGCCGCTTCTGGTGAACCAGAGCAGCGCACGGAAACACCGTTTACCTTCCTGCCAGAGCGGTTCCTATTTATCTACTTGCACTTTGACGTGCTTTCAAACTGCTGGGTTGGCAGGAGCAGGGAACAAGCAACGGGTTCTCACCCCGTCGTGGGGATTCGAACTGCCGACCTTCTGATTGGCAAGCCCTAGGCCCTGTGGTTTAACCCACAGTGCCACCCGTGTCCCTCTGAACTTCCCTTACATTGCTTCAAAATAAAAATAAAAATGGGAAGGCGCTGAAAACCTGTACCAATTTGAGCATGCTAGAGGTACATAAATATATGTTCTTCCTATGAACAGTCCTCTGAAAAATGTGAATGACATTTTAGATTTGACTATTATTTATTTATTACATTTATATACCATGCTCTTTTTCTTCCAAGGAGCTCAAGCTGGTGTACAAGGTTCTTTTCCTCCTCTCCATTTCCTCTTCACAACAACCCTTTGACGTAGGTGAGGCTAAGAGATGGTGGACGGCCCAAGATCTCCCATTGAGTTTCGCGGCTGATTGAGTGATGGGATTCAATCCCTGGTCTTCAAGGTAAGTCCATGACAACTGGAATGAACACAACATCCGTGTTAAATGAACAATCAAAGCTGCAATTCCATTTTTTCCAGCTCTATAGTAAACACATATTTATCCGCACAGCTCTTCGGGCATGCTAAATGGGTATGTTGAAAAATTTCACAGCGCCTTCATTGTTTACTAAATTAAGATAAAATGCATTATTAATTGTTATTGACCGATCTTTCAAACCATTAGTTTCTAAAAGGGGGGATTCATGGGCACAGCCAGGGGGTGCAGCTGCCCCCCATAAACTAAATAAATAAAAATGCTTAACTGACCAATTGCGTGACCAATATCTTGGTCCTGAACCCCCAATATATCCTGGCTACACCCATGTCCAGAAATGAATCGGACAATGTTGGGTTTTAGGGCGATACCTATCAATTACTCAGTGTGTAGGTCGCTGCAAAACATGGGGTTTTCTCTGCCAAACTTTGGCACCGGTTTGAAGCTACTTGGACAAGGTTAGACTTGTGGGTGTCCACTACGAACCCCTCAATTACCCAGAGCGCTGCAAAACGACTGCGGAACTCCGGCGCAGCTTTGGAGGGGGTCCCCAATGTCGGGGTCCCCTTCTTAATGAAGTTGGTGTGAGAGGGGGGGAAAGGTTGGCAGAATTTATTCCCACCATCCTTGGGTACCCCTTTGCCAGCAGCAGCAGCAGCAGCCAGGAACAACGTTTCCAAACCCCAGCGCCCCCCCTCGGCCATTCATTCCAGCCGACTCGTTCCACGATGGAGCGCGCAATGCGTTTCTGCAAAATGGGAAAGCATCGACCCATCGCGAGGTCATCATGTTTGACCCCCCCCAAATATTCTTCAACGCGATCTCCCCCCCCCCCATAAGCTGGCGCGCTGCTGGAGATGCGCCCCTGCCTTCCCGCCTCCTCGAGGGCGCGCGTCTCGCTTCCCCGTCCTTCTTCGCCTTACAAGGCTGCGCGCCAGGCATCCCCCTCCCCTTTCTCCCTCTCCCCCTCCCTCCCTCTCGGGATGGCAGGGGGCGGAGCTCCGCGCTCCGGGATTTAGGGACCCTGCCCCGGCCCGCCCACGCCTCTTAGAGCCCTGCCCGGCGACGGCAGCGAAAGCAGCATCGCCGGAGGAGCGGCGACGGCGGCGGCACCGCTTCCTCCACCTCCTCGGGTGCCCAGAAAGGCCGCACTTGGCAGCGTCCATGCGGGCCCGTGTTGGGGACGGCAGGTTAGTGACGAGTCGCGTTGGCCGGGTGGGGGGGGCGGGCAGGAGACGGAGACCCCCCCAAAGCCCCCCAGGACCCTCGCCAACGCCTCGGGCTGGCAGGGCGCACAGCGGCCGGGGAGAAGGGCTGCTGCGCAAAGCTGGGAGGGGGCGCGCTGCTGGTTTTTCCAAAGGGGGGAAAAACCCCCACCCCCACCCCCACCCCACGGGCTCCCGACCCCCACCCCTCAATCCCAGGGCCTGGATCCATTCCTCAACGTGCTCGGGACAGGCGGGATCAAACTTCCCAGCAAGTCCAGTTGGGCACTGGGCGCTGCTGCTGCTTGCACCCACGTTGGCGTTGCGATAAAAGCCACGGCTTGGTGGCTTTGGGGGTGTCCCCACCGCCCCCTCCGCCTTTGAAAGCTTTGCCAAAGGCGGCTCTGCTCTGGTTGTCTCCCTCGCGCATTCTTCCGAGAAAGGGGCGCTTCCAGGTTTTGGGGGTGGGATTGGAAAGCGTGCCGGCGAAGTCGGGTTGCGCAATGGGAAGTTTCCCCGAAGATGGGATTTCTTGCCGTAAGGAAAGTGGCGGGCGGGGGGGGCGGGGAGGATCGCAGCGGAACTTGGAGGCGACGTCGTCTAAAGTCCCCGCCAACGAATGCTCGTGAAATACCCTGCGTCGTCTAAGCACCCATGAGGATAAGCCCTGGGGATTTCTGACCATTACAGCCTTTTTGAAATTAGGCAGCCACCAAAGTAAGGTAAAGGGACCCCTGACCATTAGGTCCAGTCGTGACCGACTCTGGGGTTGCGGCGCTCATCTCGCTTTATTGGCCAAGGGAGCCGGCGTCCAGCTTCCGGGTCATGTGGCCAGCATGACTAAGCCGCTTCTGGCGAACCAGAGCAGCGCACGGAAACGCCGTTTACCTTCCCGCCAGAGCGGTACCTATTTATCTACTTGCACGTTGATGTGCTTTCGAACTGCTAGGTTGGCAGGAGCAGGGACTGAGCAATAAGAGCTCACCCCGTCACGGGGATTCGAACCGCCGACCTTCTGATCGGCAAGTCCTAGGCTCTGTTGTTTTAACCCACAGCGCCACCCACGTCCCTAGCCACCAAAGTAGATGCTTCAAAAACAAAAGTAGGGGTGGGGTGGATCTGGGCGTGCTTAAAGAAGGCTCCACTGTATGCCTTGGGTCTTAATTTGCTTCGCTTTTGTGGGAAGGGGCATCAGCCAAGTTTTCTCCACAAGGTTGCCAAATTCCATCAAGCCCACCCTTTCATTCTCCTGCCTGTTTTTCACCACTTTGAAGTACAGTCAATATAATTAAGCCCCTCTTGTTTATTCTGCCCTGGTAACAGATGCCCCCCCCCTACATTTGTGAAGAAAAGCAAGGGCAGATTTTTGTTTAGGACCCAAAAAGGCCCCACCTGGCCCTCTGCTCATCCATGAGCAGCAGGGAAAAGGCAGTCATATAGACCACCTTCTTTTGATTTATTTCCTAAGTACCCCAGTTGTTCTCTGAGAAATGACATCACCTTGCTGTTCTATTGTTGATTCCCATGCAATTAAACACTGATTCTGACCCCTGTCTTACAGGAGGCGGGTGCGGGGTGGGGGTTGCCAACTTTTCACCTGGCCTCTCTAACTCTGCCTTCCACAGCCACCAGATGTGCAGATATTAGCAGGTGATGAAGTCTGTCCTATGTGAAAGGCTTCCCCTACTGATTTCTGCACATCACAATGCTGTCAAAAGCACAGTTCTCCGTGTGTGTGTGTGTGTGTCTGTTTGCTGCCCTGGATGGACGGCTGACTGAGCTGTTGCAGAGCAGGCAGAGAGTCTGCTGATTGATTCTGTAAATAAAAATAAATAAAATGATTAAAATTTTATTTTGTTCTGACCCCCTCCTTTGGCATTCCTCACAGAACTCTAGCCCAATAGTTGCCATTAATTTGATTTGAACTGATTTTATAATGAAATGATTTTAGAATGTTGTATTATTTTACTGTTGTTAGCTGCTCTGAGCCCAGCTTCGGATGGGGAGGGTGGGATATAAATAAATTTTTTTATTATTATTATTCACACAACCCCCTACCCCTCTGCTTTGAAAACAGCAGCACACAGAACTGGAATTGGTAAGGTACCCCTGCCCGTACGGGCCAGTCGTGTCCGACTCTAGAGTTGTGCGCCCATCTCACTTAAGAGGCCGGGGGCCAGCGCTGTCCGGAGACACTTCCGGGTCACGTGGCCAGCGTGATGAAGCTGCTCTGGCGAACCGGCACCAGCGCAGCACACGGAAACGCTGTTTACCTTCCCGCTATAAAGTGGTACCTATTTATCTATTTGCACTTAGGGGTGCTTTCGAACTGCTAGGTGGGCAGGAGCCGGGACCGAAAGATGGGAGCTCACCCCGCCGCGGGGATTCGAACCGCCGACCATGCGATCAGCAAGCCCTAGGCACTGAGGTTTTACCCACAGCGCCACCCGCATGCTGAAAAATTCCACTCCCATCCCACTATCCTTTCCCCCCTTTCCCCATTCCTTTGTTGCAGGAGCAAGTTGATGTTATTTGCTGATAATATTTTTTTCCCTTTGTCCTTTCCTTCCCTCCCCCCCACTCCCTGACTGCTTCTTATTACAACCACCACAGCTAATACAGGACAGAACGCATTGAGAAGAGTGAGAAAACTTTCCACCGCACCAGGAAGGTGACTCTGGATGATAAAAGAACCAAATACGATGGCTGCTCTGGAAGATTCTGTTGGACCGCAACGTTACCGAGACTAGAGGCCTTTGGGTTACTTGCGCAAATGTCCTCCTAATCCTCACGGCGAAATCGTGTCCCCGGCCTCCTTTTTTTGACACGGCTGTGCGGGGCGGGGAGCTATGACTGGGAAAATGGCATCTAGCCTTACTTGTACTGGGGTAGTATGGGCTTTTTTCTCCTTCCTCTGTGCCGGAGTCTCCTGCGTGGGCTTCTTCATGCCTTACTGGCTTCTGGGCTCTCAGCTGGAGAAATCGGTGTCCTTTGGCACTTTCCGGAGATGCTCCTATCCAGTACGAGACGAGAACCTCCAGATCACGGTGATGGTGGAACAGTGTGGACGCTATGCATCCTTCCAGGCCATCCCAAGTGTGGAGTGGAGGATCTGCACGGTGGTGACAGGTCTGGGCTGCGGTCTCCTCCTCCTGGTGGCCCTTACGGCACTCATGGGATGCTGCGTGTCAGAGCTTATCTCCAGGACTGTGGGCAGGGTAGCTGGAGGACTCCAGTTCTTGGGCGGTGAGTAACAGTGAACTTTTGACCACGGAACCCGCCTTTCCGCCAGTACAGAAAACAGTGCCTATGTTGTTCTCCTTGCGGAATTGTCTTTGCGGCTTGAATATATTTGTACGCTAAGTTTTCTGCCGGATCCGACATTTGCACTCGGTTAGGAATGGGAAAGGCTGATCTCAGCACATCTCGATTTCTAAACATTCAAACGAGCAAGTGTGCTGCTTTTACAGTATTGTATTTATTTATTTTTTACAATATGGAAGAACGGAGCTGTTTCAGAGCTAGTCCTAAACTACGGCTCATGAAGTGGCAGATTCCTTTTTTCCGCCATTACAGTACGTACAGGAAAAGGGTATTTGACTGGTCGCCCAGTCCTAATGTTTGTTTGGAAGAAAGCCCTATTGATTTTAATGAGGCAAGCAAGCAGCATGATTGTATCCACATTTTACTGGGAAATAAGGTCCTCTGTGTTTTATTAGGACTTTTTGCTCTCAGTCAGGTTCATGTGTAGAATTGCAGACTTCCTTACTGGTAAACACATATTGGATTGCAGCTCATATCATGTTTGGTAGGTAGATCCCGCATATTTTCCCTCTCCTTTTTATTTTTTTTTAAAAGGGTCTTGGCTACTCGGTTTTACTCTTTCTGACCATATGGTTTTAATTTTCGCTTTTCCTCTCTTTTTTTGTGGCAGCAGCACTCCCTACTTCTTTGTGTTCCTTCCACTCCACAACTGCTTCTAATTCCAACCTCTGCAGCTGCTGTTGTGGAAGGAAAAACTTGATCAAAAACTCCAATTTCCCCTGTTCTTACGATGTAGTTTTTGTGTTTGTGGTAAACTTGTGATCCTGCAATGGAGAAGAGTGATTCTGGCTTCCTAACAGCTGCATTGCTTCCACCTTAGCTAGCATTCTTGAAGATACCTATCTTTACAGAAAACTCTGGGTTGCAGTTTGAGCACGGGGTGAACCAGGCCAGAGAGTACTAACAAATGACAATTGCATTCTCAAAAGTACAGAGACATGTTTCTGGCTGCTACTGGTGGTTCATTTTCTTCACCAATCCAAGCCTGATTAAAGTGTATGCAAAGTAGTCGTGGGGGATGGCTGGAGGCAGAACATTTTCTGCATAATCCCCCCTACTATTATTTTTCTGTAATCTCTCCCCATTTTTTATTATTTCGAAATGAACTGGTAGATAGCGGCAGCATTTCCTTAGTGACATTAAGAAAATGAACACGGTATAAGTCAAGATGGACAACTGGAATGGGTGCAGTACTAATCAAATCTAAAATCAAAGTTGTAGTTCAGTTTTTTTGGTAACTGTCTAGAGGACGTGCCTATATTTATGTCTACAGCTTCTCCAGCAGTTACCGGCAGTGGTTTTCAGTGCTGTCACTTTCCCTCTTAAAATCTAAATAATGTCAGGGAAGTGTGTGCTATTAGTTGTTGTGTCTTGAAATATTTACAAGTAATTCTAAAAATAGTTTCCAAGCAAGTCTTCAAATTTCATAATATTCAAACCACGCTAAGTGCATTTTATTGCACACACCCCCCCCCACAGTATTTCCCTTCAGCTACTTTTGGCTTTGGGGTATTGCTTCAGATAGTAACACAGTATATAAAATTCAAGACGGCATGCATTTTTAACTTTGTTTACAAAATTTAAGTTGAAAAAAGGCTGTTAAATTAGATCTCTATTCGATTTAGGGCAGTGGAAAAATCCACCAGGAGCCCCCTTACACTGGTGAAGACGCAATGAATGCCACATCCGCAGTTGAATATTCTGTTTTGTGTATGGCTTTACTTGCACTGAGCATTGCCCTCAGTTGTAACATAAATTCCATGTCCTGAGTTTTGACTGCAAGCTGCGAAAGTGTCTGATTTCCAGACTGCCTTGTCTTGGGCTATGTGTGGCCAGTTAACTTTTTCTGTTAATTGAACAGTATCTAACAATGCTTTGCATTCCTGTGATTGTCCTTACACAATGGTTACACAGTCAGAATGTTGTTGTAGGCATGCTGTTTTTTGGAGAGTGACGCAGCGCTGTGCCCTCATGTGCAAGCTTAGCAGTTTGAAGTTTATCTGGGCAAACAGGAAGATTCTTCTCCTCTCCTCTTTTCTCTCTCTCTCTCAATCTCTGTTTCTGTGGTTTAAGGCACTAAAATTCAAAAGAAGCTACCGGACCCCAGTGCTTTAAATCTGTCACCAAATAATCTTGTTATATAATTAGTTTTGCATCTCTAGCAATGAGAGGTCCCCAGGCCTCTTCAGCTGAAAGGTCTGACATGAATTCAGGATATGTACCTCACACCGTCCGGTTTGTTTTAGGGCTTCTGCATGTTATAATGGGTATCTCTTCACATTTCACCATTTTGGTTACCAGATTTTTTTCAATGAATCTGGGGACCCCCCTTTTTTGGGGGGGGGGGGAAGCTGAGTAGCAACAGGGAGTCAGTAGTGGGGATGGTGAGGCAAAAGACCCTGGGCCGAAGCACACATGCATATTGTATAAAGGTGCAAAGCCCTTCTTTCGCACCCTGTGAAACATAAATGCTCTGAGTTTTTAAAAAACTGGGCAACGGCACCTGCCCGTGACTCCCGAGCCTCCCCCAATCTCCTTCCCCCTTCCCCCTTTGTTTTGACTGATCTTGGGAGTCGCAGGGTTTCCCAGTTTTTAAAAAACTCTGCACATTTATGTTTCACAGGGTGTGAAAGAAGTGCTTTGCACCTTGCCTGGCAGAGAAACCGCGCGCCTTGCGCCCCTCCTGGACAACGACCGTCTGCCCGCAACTCCTGAGCCTCCCCTGATCTGTCAAAACAAAGGGAGAAGGGGGCAGGAGATCTGTACCGCCGGATGTCCCTGCTTTCCCCTCAGCAGTGGCAGCAAGCAGATCCTGAAGCCAGCCAGAGCCAACTGTCTTACCAGACTGGCTCCAGGCTGCTGAGGCTGCCGCTGCCACGTTTCCCGGGGACAGATTTGCAAATCTGGGGACATCTGGTAACCCTAAGCTAAACTGATAAGCAACCCTACTCTACAACACACTAAGGTGGAAGTTGCACCTGTGCAGATTAGCAAGTATCCTAGGCTTCCTTGTCCGAAGACTAGCTATGCCACAAGCATGACAATTGCAGCAACTATGGCGGCCACCCAGAGACCACCCCCTCCAGTCACAACATCATCCACAGACAACACCCCTGAATGAAAAGCACCAATCAATAGTCTTGTGAGGAAGGCAACCCTGGTTAATGATAACCCCTTGCTCCTCCATCCGTTAGGCGATGCCCAGGGAATTGGGAGCAAAAGGCCTTCCCTACCTGATGTTCTCAACCTGTAGCTCAGTGGGGTGTGTGTGGAATGGGGGAACATGGCAGAATTTGGGAAGCATGAGTTCAAATGCTTGCGTATTTTCAAAAACGAGGAGAAGCGCTCAGAAATGTGTATCCAAATACATACCTCATACAAGTCCAATTATACATACATGACATCTAAAAAGAGGAATTTGAGAGGGGAAAGTTAGGAGGGTCTCTTTAACATCTCATGAAAGAGAAATTGTGCTTCTCATGAAAAGGCTGACACCTACACAGGAGAAAAAACAGTGGCGTTAAGATAGGAGAATGAAGTTTTTCTCTTCCAGTTCTACTGATGTTGAAATACAATGCATGCTTTAAATAGTTATGCAACAGTCATTCCTTTAAGCTCCTTTAAAAATATTTAACCTAAGGGTTTTTTATTTCGTCTGGATTTAGTCTAATCCTTATTAATAACTTCCGAACTACCAGCCCGCTTCTAGAAGAATAGCATTATTACTTAATATTAGCAAAAATAAATAAAATTTTAAAAATCAAGAGCCTGCAACACAGACTTACTTATTACGGCATGTGGTTTCGCAAGTGAAAACCATACTTGGTTGGATACACTCTGGGGTCAAGTGAGAGATTTGTAGAATAGAAATCTGCGAGGTATTGCGAAAAGGAAATATTTGGCGGTGTAGTCTTCTCCTGCATGGGCTCACGCATTCCAGAGGTTGCTGGTTTCGCTTGAAAACAAGGTGGTGCAAACTCGGGCGCTCGCTCCATTTTGTGGAGCAGATTTGCTTGGCTGTGCTGCCATTCTTCAACGCTCACACGTGCGGCGGTGGCAGTGCTGCGGCCTGCGTGAAAAATAACAGGGGTGGCTTGCTCCCATGGCAACCCACATCCGTGCCCCTTGTGGGCCATTGCTCTCTCTTGCCCTCCCTAGCGTGGGGCAGGCAGTTCACTGTAGGGCTTGATATTGAGACCAGAGAGAGTCACTCAGGGACGCCTCTGATGCAAAGTTGGCTGAGGCCGGGAGGAGGATGGGTTCAGAGAGAGAAAGGGGGTATAAATGCTATTTCCTGTGCAGGCTGCTGCACTGCTAAATTTGGAGAGCCAAAGCAACAGGAGAGCTCTCTTGCTGTTTTTGATACTGCTCACGTAGTAAGTTGTAAGAGGAGAGACTTTAAAAGTCGTTTCCTTTATGAAGCCTCCCTAGCAAGCTTTTCCATTCCCTTTCCCTCATTCTCTAGATTGGCTTTTTCATATCTCTCTCGCATATCAACTAATCCATGGGTAGGCAACAGAATCATTCGACAATTAAAAGAAAATATACTGGATTGATACAAAAGACTTTAAACATTTATATTATCAAAACATTACGTACTCTAAACAGAGCTATAAAAGTACCCCAATATACAAATCAAGACATTAAACAATAAAATTCATAAGCTAAAATCACATGGCCACTAATATCTCAAAAAACAATGTCAATTAATACAGTGTGCAATTTATACTCAGAGTTTGGTGACAAAGATAGAACATAGCCTGATGTAGATAGATCTAATCGCCTTCTAAATCCGGGCCACGGATGGTCCGGGAATCAGTGTGTTTTTGCATGAGTAGAATGTGTCCTTTTATTAAAAATGCATATCTGGGTTATTTGTGGGGCATAGGAATTTGTTCATTTCCCTCCCCAAAAATTATAGTCCGGCCCCCCACAAGGTCTGAGGGACAGTGGACCGGCCCCCTGCTGAAAAAGTTTGCTAACCCCTGAGCTAATCCCTCCCTCTCTAAGGTGAACAAATGTGGCTTCCAGTTTCCCTCTTCCTCAAATTTCTTCCTATTTCCAAACACTTTCCTAGTGCCATCCACCATTCCTTTACCCCCAAAATGTCTCCCACCTCAAGGCTACCTGAAAGGAGGAGTTGGTAGTCTTGGACTCTCTGAAGCACATTTCAGAGCTGTAGCTCGTGGGGAACACGATAAAAAGTTCAGGATTTGCATGAGGGAAGGAGGCAGGTCCAAGTGCCTTTGCAGAAAGCAGGCTTTGCATGTGTGGAGGGACACTTCAAGCGCTCCTCCGCCTGCAAATTCAAGTCAAAAAGAGGTAACAAAAACCCCAGGCTCCAAACATTTTGGTCCAATTTGCTTGCCTCCCCACTGGAGACGCCCCAAATGTTGGGTGCTTCGTGTAAAATAAATAATTTCAGGGCTGCGTCTCATCAGGTGAAGCTTTAATCCAGGGGTCAGCAACCATTTTCAGCCGGGGGCCGCTCCACCGTCCCTCAGACCATGTGGTGGGCCGGACTACATTTTGAAAAATAAAAAATGAACAGATTCCTATGCCCCACAAATAACCCAGAGATGCATTTTAAATAAAAGCACACATTCTACTCATGTAAAAACACGCTGATTCCCGGACCATCTACGGGCCGGATTTAGAAGGCGATTGGGCCGGATCCGGCCCATGGGCCTTAGGTTGCCTACCCCTGTTCCATGGCAATTGGAGTACATGAGCAAGACAGCCAGTCCTGAGCAGCTTTCCATAGCAAAGCTACTAATAGCAGCTTTTTATTCTGCAAGCATTGTAGATGCACATATTGGAAAATCCCCTGAAGGCTCATTACAGTGCCTGAAGGGCAGAGGAACGCTTACAGCCCAATGTGTCGTCCATATGTGGTTTTGTTTGCTCTGTGTTGGAGTGTTTGCCTCTGTTATGAGACATCTCTCCCTTCCTTCCTTCCTTCCTTTCTCTCTCTTTCTCCCTCTCTCCCTTATTATATTTTTATTCTGCTTTTCAGACAAAAAAAGAAATCTCTCAAAGCATCTCGCCGCAATTAAAATTCAGCACACAGTGCCCAGACAGGCAGGGTACATAAATGAAAAGAAGAAGGAGGCCCCGCCCTCGGGCTTACAAACTCAAAAAGACAAGACAACAGAAGGGGAAGGGAAGGGAGCTGGAGCGAAAAGAAAGAAAAGGGAGATCAACATGTCAGTGCCAGAACAAAGAGGTGTGTTGGGGAGGGACTGCCGCTCAGCGCAAATGGAGCCCGTGCTTTTCCAGGTTCAATTCCTGGCATATCCAAATAAAAGGAATCAGAAGGAGCTAATGGGGCAAATAGCCTGAGACTGCCGGTCAGAGTAGACAGCATTGGGCTAGGATGGACCAATAATAATAATAATATAATAATTTATTATTTGTACCCCACCCATCTGGCTGGGCTTCCCCAGACACTCTGGGCGGCTTCCAACAAAGATTAAAAATACAGTGGTACCTCGGGTTAAGTACTTAATTCGTTCCGGAGGTCCGTTCTTAACCTGAAACTGCTCTTAACCTGAAGCACCACTTTAGCTAATGGGGCTTCCTGCTGCCGCTGCGCCGCCGGAGCACAATTTCTGTTCTCATCCCGAAACAAAGTTCTTAACCCAAGGTAATATTTCTGGGTTAGCAGAGTCTGTAACCTGAAGTGTATGTAACCCGAGGTACCACTGTACATTAAAATGTCACACATTAAAAACTTCCCTGATCTGATTTGGTATAAGGCAGTTTCATATATTCGTAAGCAGGGATATGCAACTAATTTTTCTAATTTTCCTGCATGGGACCTTCCTTTCACATCTGTGCTTGCAGGACAACTGACCATTGGAACAGTGTTATTTTGAGGAAGGAGCAGGCAGAGGAGGGATATTCCTGCCAGCTTCTCATTCTTTGCTAGAAAAATGCAACCTGTGCCATTAATAAAGATAGTGCAACTCGTTGGCGACAAATGGTGAAACGGGGATAGAGCGCTGACACCCCGACTTCCTCATTACTTCATATAATAACAACGTTGAACTTACCCTTTTCTTGAATCTTCTTGAACTTATTAAAAAAAAAGAAAAAACGAAAAACTGAGTCAAGAATTCGTGAGAACCTAGTAAAATCTGATATTGCAAGTTCACTTTATTTTAGGTAGTTTGTAAGTTTCCGTGGCACTTTGTAAGTAATTGTCTCTTTCTCACATATTTGATAAATGGCGTAAAATTATTTTTGAACCACTGTGTGAAGATTTGTCGCCAGCGTGCTGTACGAGTTGCACTAGCTTCTCATTCTTTGGCTGATAATATCTGGGGCCGGATAAAATTTGTGCGACGGATGTTGAATCCTAGATGTAAAAATGCCCCATCTTCCCTAGTAATCTGGTGTACTTCAGAAGATGCATGTGTATAGATTTTCAGAGTTCTGGCTAGCATTGGAGTACCTCAACCACTTTAGGGTGCAGTTCATGTCTTCTTGCTGCAATTACAGTGGTACCTCGGGTCACATACGCTTCTGGTTACATACGCTTCAGGTTACAGACTCCGCTAACCCAGAAATATTGCTTCAGGTTGAGAATAGAAATTGTGCTCCTGCGGCGCGGCAGCAGCAGGAGGCCCCATTAGCTACAGTGGTGCTTCAGGTTAAGAACAGTTTCAGGTTAAGTACGGAACGAATTACGTACTTAATCCGAGGTACCACTGTATTATTATTACAGTCATACCTCGAGTTGAATGCGCTTCGGGTTGAGCGCGTTCGAGTTGCACTCCGCAGCAACCCGGAAGTAATGGAGTGCGTTACTTCCAGGTTTCGCCGCTCGCGCATGCGCAGACACTCAAAATGGCGTCCCGCGCATGCGCGGTAGTGGCGAAACGCGACACGCGCAGATGCGCAGTCGCGTCTTGTGTTCCATTCAGGATGCGAACGGGGCTCCAGAACGGATCCCGTTTGCATCCCAAGGTACCACTGTATTATTAGCCATGAATGAGTCACAGCCTCTTTATTTATATATCTAACCCCCACCTATGAAGTAGGGTCTCTAGCCTACAAAAGCTCATGCCATACTCATACTAAACGTTTTAGTCTCTTTCATTTTTTTATTTTGTTTAGGAATTTATCTCCCATCCCTCAGGTCTTGCCGTTCTCAGGGTAGCACTTTTCCAGCACCACAGGACTCGTCATTATTTTTGCTGCAGCAGAGTAACACCACTTATCTTCTGGGATTGGAAATGGTGTGAGAATGGCCAGATTGTCTCTGCATGGGCTCCTGGCATCTATTATGGGATGGATGGCACAAGCGTAGAATATGGAAAGCTGTATCCCAGCGTACAAGAGAAATCAGCTTTTAAGAATGTAAGGAAAGCCCTGCCTCTAAATTGGATTTGATTTATTGTATATCTATGCTGCTTTTTGTTCAGCTGAATCTCAAAGCAGCTTACAAACAATAAATAACCATAATCTACTGAAAAACAGCAGAATACCACAAATGCAGCACAAGCCATTTAAAAGATTTTTTAAAAGATATTTTTAAATCATCAATAAAACAAATACGATATATAAATCATTATTTTCAAAATAGCAACTAAAAAAAGAAGTTGAACAGGTAAATTGGTGGCAGCACAGTCATTGTTAATCACAACTTCCATAAGTTTGCCCCCCAAACAAAAATTGAATTTTCGAAAACCTGGACATATGGCAGTCGTTGTCGTCGCCCCCCCCCCCACTTTCTGCAAACTCTTGGTCATTTTGGTTGCCCTTTTCTGAACCTTTTACACCTCTGCAATATCCTTCCTGGTTCTGCTTCAACAGGGCTTGTTCTTCTATATTTAATAGTGATTCCCACCAGTTTTCCCAGAAAATATGTTAAGCTAACTTTCCTGTAATTTCCCAGATCCCCTCTCTGAATCCCTTTTTAAAAAAATGGGTGTTTTACATTGGCTCCCCCCGCCCGCCCCCCGTTTTCAGAGACAGAGGCTGATTTTAGGGACAAGTTGCATGTTTTGGCTAGTAGATCAGCAGTTTCACATTTGAGTTATTTAAGAATTCCTGGGTGGATGTTATCCAGACCCACTATTTTGTCAAAAAAGCCTAGAACTTTGCTTGCTGTCCCTACTATTTGCCTAAGTTCCTCAGACTCACTTTCTGTGAGAATTAGTTCAGGGCCAAGGATCTGCCCTACATCTTCTGCTGTGAAGACAGATGCAAAGATTTTATTTAGCGCACGGGTAGGCAAGCTAAGGCCCAGGGGCCGGATCTGGCCCAATCGCCTCTTAAATCTGGCCCATGGACGGTCTGTGAATCGGTGTGTTTTTACATGAGTAGAATGTGTGCTTTTATTTAAAATGCACCTCTGGGTTATATGTGGGGCATATGAATTCATTCATTGTTTTTCCTTCACAATATGGTCCGAGGAACAGTTTACCGGCCCCCTGCTGTAAAAGTTTGCTGATCCCTGATTTAAAACTATTTTCTTCCATTAGCATACCTTTGAGTCCCTTGTCCAAAAAAGTCCAACTGCTTCCTTAGCTGACTTCGGGCTGCTAATGTATTTGAATAGGGTTTTTTGGGGGGGCGGTATTATTAGTCTTAATGTTTTAGCAATGCGTTCTTTTTCCCATTCCTTATTGCTACTTGCCTTTCTTTTGCCAAAGTTTATGTTAACTTGTTATTATCATTTGGACAATACTTCAATTTTTAAAAGCGAGACTTCTTCCTACTAACGGCTTCTTTGACTCTGTTCATTAACCACGCTGGCATCTTCTTGACGCTGATCTGTGATATACATTCTATCTCAGCTTGTATTTCTCCAGCAATGGTTTTAATGGCTGCCTGGCAGATATTCAACTTGTAGTGTTTCCTGCATGGAAAGGCAACGAAACCACACCAGTTGAATTTTTGAAGCTATTAGATGCGAGTTTATGAAATATGTATTATTTAATATGCTATGTGTGCAGCTCGGAAAATGTTGCTCAATTTTTTTTTTTTTATTGTCAGTCCTTTTTAGAAAAAGTGTACAGTGGTACCTCGGGTTAAGTACTTAATTCGTTCCGGAGGTCCATTCTTAACCTGAAACTGTTCTTAACCTGAAGCACCACTTTAGCTAATGGGGCCTCCTGCCCCTGCCACGCCGCCGGAACACGATTTCTGTTCTCATCCTGAAGCAAAGTTCTTAACCCGAGGTACTATTTCTGGGTTAGCAGAGTGTGTAACCTGAAGCGTATGTAACCCGAGGTACCACTGTACTTAATGGTCCTCTTGTTTTTCCTCCAGTAAGCAAATTGCAGCGGATTACCTAATTATGATGGAAGTCTGTGTACACAATATCAGATGTTCCCCCTATAGCATAAGTCGATGTAGACATAGGCTGTCACAATTTCAGAAATGTTTTTGGCTCATCTGAGTGCCGTTTCCCCAGATTTGTTTGTAAATCATAAAACGATCAAGCCTGGGTTCTCTACACTTTGATTGTAAGACAGAATGCCAAATAACTTTCCAGCTTGTTGTCTCAGTCCAGGCTATGGGATGATGAACATGTATATATTCCAGGAAGCTGTTGATGAACCTGTATATCAGCTGTTCTTCCTTCTTACCCTTCTTGACAGTTTATACTTGGATTCTTGCTGCAAAGCATCAACTCAGCCTCAGGTGTGGCTCCCATGGCTGCCAGTTGCCCTAGGAGGCATCGCGCATTCACAGGTGTATAAAAGGATTTACGGAAGCCTGTAACCCTCTTGGCACTAATCAACCGTACCCAGCTGCTACTCTGCAAACTACCCAGATGGGAGGCTGAGTGGAAGGATGGGGCCTCGTTCGCAAGGTGAAGGCCTCAGGAGACTTGGAGGTTCTGTGCCGTGACGCACAGAGGATATTGTGTTGTCAGAGATGCAATGCAGATCTCTTTGGGGTTGGATACAGATTGTGGTGGCGCTGTGGGTTAAACCACAGAGCCTAGGACTTGCTGATCAGAAGGTTGGCGGTTCGAATCCCGGCGACAGGGTGAGCTCCCGTTGCTCAGTCCCAGCTCCTGCCCACCTAGCAGTTTGAAAGCACGTCAAAGGGCAAGTAGATAAATAGGTACCGCTCCAGCGGGAAGGTAAACGGCGTTCCGTGCGCTGCTCTGGTTCGCCAGAAGCGGCTTAGTCATGCTGGCCACATGACCCGGAAGCTGTACGCCGGCCAATAAAGCGAGGTGAGCGTCGCTACCCGAGTCGGTCACGACTGGACCTAATGGTCAGGGATCCCTTTACCTTTACCTTTACAGATTGTGGTGTGGTCTGAGCCAAAAAAAGATCAGCAGAAAGTGTGTTAAAGGAAAATTGCATATTTTCCCCACATTTCTGAAGCTCTGCACCTGGCTGATTTCGTATGTTATGTGGAAGCACATAACCTGGAAGAACAAGTGAGCTGTGCTTCCTCTTTGAAGTGTAGCAGCTTGACTTCGCTCTATCACGTCTCCCATTTACGCTTTCAGATATATCATTAAGAAGCCATTGTGGCAATTACCTAGGAAGGGTACACTATAACTGCCTTAAGTTCTTAAATTTCGTTTCCTCCTGTGGTTTCTGTTTGAGCTACAGGCCTGATTTTATGGTATCTGTCCCAGGTAAATGCTGTCCTTGGGGAGAGATTACAGGGGTGCCGTGAAAAAAATGTTGCTATGAATTGCTAGGGTTTGCCATTCTTCAAGTTTCAGCCCTCTTCCCCAGACTCTCTAGAACACCATCTTTGAGTCCCGTTGTGTCCCTAGATTTCATTAGACTACAACTCCCATCATCCCTAGTCGGTAAGTTCAGGGATGATGGAAATTATAGTCCAACAACATCTAGAGACTCCTAAGATTGGGGAAGGCTGGTCTAGAAGTTAAATCTCTTTTTTTTAAAAAATGATATTTATTAAAGTTTCAACGAATACAAAAACAAAAAAATAAAAATAAAAATACAAGAAAGTACAAAATACAGAAAAAAGAATAAGATTTTTAAAATATAACAAGAAAAGGAAAAATAAAGGAAAACATACAAGATACAGTTAAAAACACATTGACTTTCCATAATATACCTTCCCTAGCCTTATTTCCCCGGACCTCCTCGTACCTCCCTTTTTTGTATTCCAGTTTGGTTTGTTAGTTCAGCAAATCCTTACCATTAAGCTGTTCCCCATTTGTAAACCTTTTTTCATATCTCTTAAAGCATTGCAGCTGGAAACCACTTAGTTTCTATCTAACATCCTTCTAAGATTCATTAATTTTACAATATTTCTGTAAATAGTCTTTAAATTTCTTCCAATCTTCTTTCACTGACTCTTCTCCCTGGTCTCGGATTCTGCCAGTCATTTCTGCTAATTCCATGTAGTCAATCACCTTCATCTGCCATTCTTCCAGAGTGGGTAAATCTTGTGTCTTCCAATACTTTGCAATGAGTATTCTTGCTGCTGTTGTGGCATACGTAAAAAAAGTTCTGTCCTTCTTTGGCACCAATTGGCCAACAATGCCCAGAAGAAAGGCCTCTGGTTTCTTCAGAAAGGTATATTTAAATACCTTTTTTATTTCATTATAAATCATCTCCCAGAAAGCCTTAATCCTTGGGCATGTCCACCAAAGGTGAAAGAATGTACCTTCAGTTTTTTTATAGAAGTTAAATCTCTGTGTGAGAGGGCAGATGCAACTTGCGTCTCTGGTGCACAAGCACGTCAGCGTGAACCCTGAGGCACAGGGTAGTGCAAATCCTGCCATTTCAGACATCTCAGCCGCTGAAGCTCATTTTTCACATAGGGCAATTATGTTTTTCTTTATCCCAAAGAACTAACACCCTTTTTGCAGAGTGTTAAGAGTTTCTGCAGAGTTACCGTATTTACCCAAATGTAATGCGCCATCGAGGGACGTGGGTGGCGCTGTGGGTTAAACCACAGAACCTAGGACTTGCCGATCAGAAGGTCAGCGGTTCGAATCCCCGCGACGGGGTGAGCTCCCGTTGCTCGGTCCCTGCTCCTGCCAACCTAGCAGTTCAAAAGCTAACGGTCAGGGGTCCCTTTACCTTTACCTTTAATGCGCCATCGAATCTAATGCACACCCTAGTTTTTGTGATGTAATTTGGCAAAAAGGTGTGCATTACATTCAGATAACAGTAGTTAAAAAGTACCCTATAGCAGGTCAGGTGGGGAGGAACCTTCAGCGGTGGACAGAAGGGAAGTCCTTGGGCAGTGGTCCTTAGCATGTGACTAGGAATATTGCAATGAGTTCCCTGAGAAGCAATGACATATTTAACAATTGTGTGTGTGTGTGTGTGTGTGTGTGTGTACATCACTCTGCACGCATGGAGTCATCCACTGTGCCTAACTGCTGACGGAGGAGATTCCTATCCTTGCAGAACTATATCAGGAGATCAGAATAATCTGCCTCTCCACCGAAGCCAGCCTCGGGCAAGCATTGCGCATGCATTCGGCCCATATGCTCCCAGCATCAGAGAGCACTGCTCAGGCGCGCAAGCCATGAGGCAGCCAGAGCTGGATGTTTCTTTGACGGAAGGAAAGCGGTCTGTTGTTCCTCGAAATTCACTTGGGTGGGGGAGGGATTGCATGGTGGCAAAAATAAAAAAATGCACTAGTCGTATACTTTCAGAAATCATGCACATCTGCCCAGGAGTCAGGAAACAGAAATGGCATTCTCCCTGTTCGCGTGATGGGGTTTTATCTGTCTGCTGCACATGATGAATGTATGCAATCAGCTCGACACGACTCTGCCCTTGAGGAGTTCTAGCGCAGAACGCAGTGGCCCGTGTCCTGATGAGAGAGGGCTGGCAGGAGCAAATAAAAGCTGTTACACAACAACGACACGGGCTACCCACTTCCAGACACAGCCCGAGGGGCTGCTGTTGATCTATGGCAGCCAAAGTGCCTTGGAATCTGGTGCTCTCAAGGAATGTCTTGACTCTGATTAAAATGTTCCACGAGGCCTTGCTTCAAACGCTGTCTGCATGTACCAGGGCAGAGTGGAAAGGCAGCCTGTGGACCTCTGGATGTTGTTGGGACTCCAACTCCCATCAGCCTCAGCCCGCATTGCCAGTGGTCAGGGATAATGGGAATTGTAGTCCAGTTAGGAGGGCCTAACATTCGGGAGCAAGCCAGCAGTAAATAATAATAATAATAATAATAATGATGATAATTTATTTATACCCCGCCCATCTGGCTGGGTTTCCCCAGCCACTCTGGGAGGCTTTCAACAGAATATTAAAATACAATAATCTATTAAACATTAAAAGCTTCCCTAAACAGGGCTGCCTTCAGATGTCTTCTAAAAGCTTGGTAGCTGTTTTTCTCTTTGACATCTGGTGGGAGGGCGTTCCACAGGGTGGGCGCCACCACCGAGAAGGCCCTCTGCCTGGTTCCCTGTAGCTTTGCTTCTCACAATGAGGGAACCGCCAGAAGGCCCTCAGCGCTGGACCTCAGTGTCCGGGCAGAACGATGGAGTTGGAGACGCTCCTTCAGGTATACTGGACCAAGGCCATTTAGGGCTTTAAAGGTCAGCACCAACACTTTGAATTGTGCTCGGAAACGTACTGGGAGCCCTCTTCATCCCTCTTCGGGTTCTGGGAGACCAGGGAGGACGAGTGCTTGTTGCAGCAGGAGGGGGAGACACTCGTGTCTCTTCACCGGCCTGACTTGTCTCTGCCTCTTGGCCTCGTTCCTCCCACTGTCCTTCTTCGGCTTCTGCCTCTGGACTTCTCTAAGCCCACTCATCCCTGTTACCCCCCTCAGCTTCCGATACCTCCTCTTCCCAGTCTTCTCCCTCTAACTACTCATTGTTGTCCCACCACCACTCCCCAGCCTCTGAGTCTTCTTGGGGGGTTCCCCAGCTGGTTCCTCCCACCATTTCTCTTTATCCAACCTCTCCATGGGACGTGGGTAGCGCTGTGGGTTAAACCACAGAGCCTAGGACTTGCCGATCAGAAGGTCGGCGGTTCGAATCCCTGAGACGGGGTGAGCTCCCATTGCTCGGTCCCTGCTCCTGCCAACCTAGCAGTTTGAAAGCACATCAGAGTGCAAGTAGATAAATAGGTACCGCTCTGGCGGGAAGGTAAACGGCATTTCCGTGTGCTGCTCTGGTTCGCCAGAAGCGGCTTAGTCATGCTGGCCACATGACCTGGAAGCTGTACACCGGCTCCCTCGGCCAATAAAGCGAGATGAGCGCCGCAACTCCAGAGTCGTCTGCGACTGGACCTAATGGTCAGGGGTCCCTGACCTTTAACCTCTCCATGACAGTTTCCCACCCTTGTACTAGGGCAGTGTTGTACCGAAATTGGGTCTCCAGCTGTTTTTCAGACTACAATTCCCATCATCCCTGACAACTGATCTTGCTTGCTAGGGATGATGGGAGTTGTAGTCATGCTGATGACACCCAACTATCTGTTGATGGATGGCCATCCTGACTCAGCCCCAGACACACTGATCAGATGTTTGGAAGCTGTGGCTGGATGGTTATGTGAGAGCCAGTTGAAGTTAAATCCTTCAAAGACAGAGGTCCTTTGGCTGGGTCGGGATGGTATGGGATTGGGGGGGCAACTCCCATCTCTTGCGGGGGCGCAATTAGTGCCAGCACCGTCCGTTAAGAGTTTGGGTGTAATCTTCAACACCTCCCTCTCTATGGAGGCGCAGATTGCAGCTATAACAAAGGCGGCATTTTTTCATCTCCGCCAAGCTAAGCAGTTGGCTCCTTATCTCTCTTGCCCTGACCTAGCCACTGTGATACACGAGACGGTCACCTCCAGACTGGATTATTGTAACTCGCTCTACGTGGGGCTGCCCTTGAGACTGACCTAGAAACTCCAGCGGGTGCAGAATGCCGCGGTGAGACTCCTTACGGGGTCCTCGCTGCGAGATCACATTCACCCAGTGCTATACCAGCTGCACTGGCTCCCGGTGGAGTACAGGATCAGGTTTAAGGTGCTGGTTTTAACCTTTAAAGCCCTATACAACCTAGGACCCTCGTACCTATGGGACCGCCTCTCCTGGTATGTCCCACAGAGGACCTTACGGTCTTCAAACAAAACATCTTGAAGGTCCCGGGACACAGAGAGGTTAGGCTGGCCTCAACCAGAGCCAGGGCTTTTTCAGCCATGGCCCCGATCTGGTGGAACGCTCTGCCACAAAAGACTAGGGCCCTGTGGGGACTTGACATCTTTCCGCAGGGCCTGCAAGACGGAGCTGTTCCACCAGGCCTTTGGCCAAGGCACAGTCTGACCCCCTCCTTTGGTAATCCTCACAGAACTTTAGCCCAATGGTTGCCATTAATTTGATTTGAATTAATTTTATAATGAAATGATTTTAGAATGTTGTATTATTTTACTGTTGTTAGCCACTCTGAGCTCGGCTTCAGCTGGGGAGGGCGGGATATAAATAAAATTTTATTATTATTTTATTATTATTATTATGTATTATTAGTCCCAAAACAGCTGGAGACCCAAGTTCCAGAAATACTGACTGCCCTAGGATGTGAAGTGGGATCTTCTTTTTAGCAGCCTTAATTTTGTGGAATTGCTTCCAAATGGAGCCCAGTGTTTCTCCTCCCCCCCTTCTTTTAAAATACTTTTAACGATTTGACTCTGTTGTGAATGTTCTGTTATATTACCAGAGGAGTGTTGGCTTTTTGTCCATTTTTACTGCATTTGAGAGGTATTAATTAACAACTCTTGAATGCAATTTGAGAAGAGCTGGGTATTAAATGTAACCTTTATTACGAATTTAGAGCACTGAACACTCTGCGGTGAATACTCATTATAAGACATCTTTATGAACTATGGTCACTTGGGAAGCAATTATTAGTGTTTGCAGAATCTTTAATCACCACTTTGATATCCAACAAGCAAAGGGTTTTATAGAGTCCTGACATTCATTTTGCAGAAAGAAAAACTCAATTTAATGGTAGCTTTGGTGCCAGTGGGGCTTAAAAAAAAATCAATTCAGCAGTTACTGGCATGGCCTTTTATCCTCATATGGAGTTGTTTGCGTTCTTTGCAATTCATGAATGTATATTACTAAATTAATTCCTGCTTCCCTGCTGTTCAGAAATAATTGATTCAATAATAAAGAGTTGTGATCTGATACCTATAGCTGCTTCTAGGCAGAGGATCAGATAGTAGATTAGTCATTTCTCTCCGCAGGCAAGGGATTTTTTCCGAAATATATTGTGTGCAGTTCCACGAAAATTTGATGCTTTCCCATCTTTGTTGTTGTTTAGTCGTTTAGTTGTGTCCGACTCTTCGTGACCCCATGGACCAGAGCACGCCAGGCACTCCTGTCTTCCACTGCCTCCCGCAGTTTGGTCAAACTCATGTTGGTAGCTTCGAGAACACTGTTCAACCATCTCGTCCTCTGCCGTCCCCTTCTCCTTGTGCCCTCCATCTTTCCCAACATCAGGGTCTTTTCCAGGGAGTCTTCTCTTCTCATGAGGTGGCCAATGTATTGGAGCCTAAGCTTTAGGATCTGTCCTTCCAGTGAGCACTCAGGGCTGATTTCCTTCAGAATGGATCGGTTTGATCTTCTTGCAGTCCATGGGACTCTCAAGAGTCTCCTCCAGCACCATAATTCAAAAGCATCAATTCTTCGGCGATCAGCCTTCTTTATGGTCCAGCTCTCACTTCCGTACATCACTACTGGGGAAATCATAGCTTTAACTATACGAACCTTTGTTGGCAAGGTGATGCCTCTGCTTTTTAAGATGCTGTCTAGGTTTGTCGTTGCTTTTCTTCCAAGAAGCAGACGTCTTTTAATTTCGTGACTGCTGTCACCATCTGCAGTGATCATGGAGCCCAAGAAAGTAAAATCTCTCTCTGCCTCTCACGCAAGGATAGGAGAGGGACGGGAAGTCCCATTGCGCAAATGGAAGTCCTTGTGCGAAGAGGATGACTTGGTTGGGTGCGACCCGTGGTCTCCACAGGGACCTAGGATTATTCAGGCAACATTTCCTGCCCTTTCCGATGGCCTTAGTTGGAAGACAGGAGCGCTCTCCAAACTTCTCTGAGGCAAAGGAATGGGCCTGAGTTTCTGGATCAAACAAGATGGGAACTGTCTTCAAGTTTTCTCATAGGCCATTGCCAGGCAACAGCTCCCTCCAAGTTCCTCCGAGTGAGAGGAGTGGGACTGAGCAGCTGGAACCGTGATGGAAGCAGTTTCCAGGCAGCACTCCCAAAATAAAAATATCTTGCAAATTTGCTTGGAAGCCTAAGAGCTTGGGGGGGGGGGATATTCCTAGAACTGCCAGATTTTTAAAGGTCATTCCTTTAAAAATCTGGCGCAACCATCTCCAGTGAGGAATTGTGCATGGAATTCTCATCAAAGTGGGATACGTATGTTTTTTTCCTCATTTTAAGCTTACACCTTGAAAACCCATCCAAGCAGTCTACCTTCCTTGGCCCCTCAATAAGGGACCATTGTTGTAACACAGCTTGCTTTTTAAGCAAATGCCCGGCACAGTGTTAAGCATTCGTATGTGAGGCACACACTTGAGAACTGATCCCTGCTGAAAACAGTGAAGCTCCGTTCTACGTAAACATGCATAGCTGTGAGTGACACATGCCAAGTTTTTGCTTATTTTCATTCTAAATGTGGGCCTTTACCTTTCAGATCTTGCTTGGTTAAGCTAAAAATGAAATTCCAATAACATTTCCCTCCTCCGAAGCGGACTTTAGGAACTCCCTCAGGGATTTTTGTGTTTCTTGCCTTTGTTTTATTCCCAGCAAAATGTGTGCTTGGTGTTTTCCAGTCTGTTGCTGTGTGATTTATGAGCCTTTCATGAGCAGACATCCACCAGCTTGTAAATAATTGCACTGACAAGGAAGGCCAGTCTGGTAAACAGATTATTCCTAATTGTGCAGGGAGAGAGTCAGGAATCCTACTGTCACATCCAGAAGCATACCTCATTCCTCATGTTTTTCCAAAGCCCTGGCTGAAGACTTAAAGGGCAAGCCACGTCATAGTTGTGCGAGCGGAGTATAAATAAAATATGTGTGCATTGAGTCAGGAAAGAATCTGCATATGCAAGTGAACTGGCCAAAAAATGAATTGGTATTCTTCCAAGGCTGGTTGAACATTATTGCCACAGACTGAAAAAAGCTATACTCTTTGGCACAACATACCCTAGTATACTTAATACATGATACTCTGGGCAACATTTACTGCCCTGGGAACCTCTAGCTAGAGTTGTAAATACAATAGATAATAATTAGAATAATTTGTAACAGAAGCTCCACCTGGCTTCTTCGAAGATGAGCAGCTAGCAAGGTATCCACTCAGCTTGCTGTTTATGAGAAATCAGCTTTGTAAAGGCTTAACTTCCCTGATTTGCAATTCTCTGAAGACCTCTTGCTGCCTTCTCCCTGACCTCCATTTTCTTTTGGTCTGCAGGCTTGTTAATTGGTTCTGGCTGTGCTCTTTATCCTCTGGGCTGGGACAGTGAAGAAGTCCGGCAGACCTGTGGTTACCTTTCCAACCAGTTTGAGCTGGGTAAGTAAGTGGCTGCCAATGGAGCAGGTTTAAATAAAGTTAACGGTTTTGACTGACTCTGCTGAAGCACTTTGCATGATCTGCTTAAGCCTTTCTGTCGCCCTGACCACTGAAATTCCGCCGCCACCAAAGTTAGGACAGTTGCCACCAGCCCTCCTGTTACAGAGGAAAAGGTCTGCCTGCTGTCTACTCTTGAGAAACTGCCAAGATTTTATTGTATTTGATTTGTGGTATGCTACCTGTCTCCTCCCACTAGTAGCTTGGGAGGTCTGCAGGAACACCATGAGGCTGCAGATGGGTGATTTGGGATTGTAGTACAGTGGTACCTCGGGTTAAGAACTTAATTCGTTCCGGAGGTCCGTTCTTAACCAGAAACTGTTCTAAACCTGAGGTGTGCTTTTGCTAATGGGGCCTCGATTTCCGTTCTCATCCTGAGGTAAAGTTCTCAACCCGAGGTACTACTTCCGGGTTAGCGGAGTTTGTAACCTGAAGTGTTTGTAACCCGAGGTGTTTGTAACCTGAGGTACCACTGTATACAGTGGACACTCGGGTTGCGAACGTGATCCGTGCAAGATGCACGTTCGCAACCCACAGCATTCACAACCTGCATCTGCGCACACATGGGTTGCGATTCGGCGCTTCTGTTCATGCGCAAAGCGCAATTGCCGAAACCTGGAAGTAACCCGTTCTGGTACTTCTGTGTTTCAACAGTCCGCAACTCGAAAAAACGCAACCTGAAGCGGCTGTAACCCAAGGTATGACTGTATAGCATGTCTCCCAGTTGTCATCATGAGGCATGCGCAAAGTGCTAGGGAAAGAGGCGGAGAGGGATCTGCCTGCTGCTTTGTATCCAGGGACCTGATGCTTCCATCTGCTTCAGAGTGGGCCGTTCGTGTCACTTAAACTCTTGAGCTCATGACTTGGAGTCATGGTGGCTCTCCCCTTGTTGCTCTCCCAAGTGCTGCAAAGCAACAGAGGGTGGCTGAAGCCTGCCCAGTTGAATGAATAAGCAATCCAGTAGCAGAGAGTTGCCTGGAGGCAATGTGCCAAAGGGGTTTGGGGGGACAGGTGAGCTAATGAGCAACTTGATCTCTTGTCTGGAGATCCTAAGCAAACTCTACTGGGGCAGAAGTACTGTATTTTTCCTTGTATAACATGCCCTCATGTATAAGACGATCCCTATTTTTTGGGACTGCAACAAAAAAATTTTTAGGGGGAAATTGTTGAGCTTTTTTTGGGGGGGGGGAGATTGCCCAGAGTTGTTGAGAGCCAGTGTGTTGTAGTGGTTAAGAGCAGCGGACTTGTAATCTGGTGAACTGGGTTCGCTTCTCCACATGCACCTGCTGGGTGACCTTGGGCCAGTCACACTTCTTTGAAGTCTCTCAGCCTCACTCACCTCACAGAGTGTTTGCTGTGTGGGAGGAAGGGAAGGAGATTGTTAGCTGCTTTGAGATTCCTTAAAGGTAAAGGTAAAGGGACCCCTGTTAGGTCCAGTCGCAGACGATTCTGGGGTTGCGGTGCTCATCTCACTTTACTGGCCGAGGGAGCCAGCGTACAGCTTCTGGGTCATGTGGCCAGCATGACTAAGCCGCTTCTGGCGAACCAGAGCAGCACACAGAAACACCATTTACCTTCCCGCCGGAGCGGTACCTATATATCTACTTGCACTTTGTGCTTTCAAACTGCTAGGTTGGCAGGAGCAGGGACCGAGCAATGGGGGCTCACCCCGTCGTGGGGATTTGAACCGCCGGCCTTCTGATCGACAAGCCCTAGGCTCTGTGGTTTAACCCACAGCGCCACCCGTGTCCCATTTCAGACTTCTTAGGGTAGTGATAAAGCGGGATATCAAATCCAAACTCCTCTTCTTCTTTTGGGGGGTGGTCACCAACCCCAATCGCTCGACCTTCCCACTCGACGCAACCACAGCCAATTGCATGCACCCCTTCCCACTGCCGTAAATCAACCAACCAATTGCTGCAGCCAATTATCAGCAGGCCTCACTGCAGCAACCAATCACCGCTGATAATCTCCTGCTGGCTGCTGCCACCAATCACCCTCTGCTTTCCGTCTATAAGACGACATGCAATTTTTGCCTATTATTTCTAAGGAATAAAGTACAGGTAAAGGGACCCCTGACCATTAGGTCCAGTCGTGGCCGACTCTGGGGTTGCGGCGCTCATCTTGCTTTATTGGCCGAGGGAGCCGGCGTACAACCTCCGGGTCATGTGGCCAGCATGACTAAGCCACTTCTGGCGAACCAGAGCAGCACATGGAAACACCGTTTACCTTCCCGCCGGAGCGGTACCTATTTATCTACTTGCACTTTGACATGCTTTCGAACTGCTAGGTTGGCAGGAGCAGGGACCAAGCAGCGGGAGCTCACCCCATCGCGGGGATTCGAACCGCCGACCTTCTGATCGGCAAGTCCTAGGCTCTGTGGTTTAACACATAGCGACACCCGCGTCCCTTTTGAAGACAACATAGACGTTGTCTTCATAATGGGATGTGAAAGATTTCTGCATAACTAATGTTTGTGTCAATCTGTTTTCTCAGGTTAGGATTGAACAGGTGATCGTAGCTGAACCAGGAGCAGTCCTGCTGTATAAAAACAGTGCCACCCGCATCCCTATTTCTAAGGAATACATAGCGTCTTTTTCCTAAAACTAGCATTCATCATCTGGCAATTCTAGCTTTTGGGTCATCCCTAGTGACAAGACACCAGCTTGTAGACAATGCGGACATTGCAGCCCAAGCGAGGCACCCAAGTCCCCCACACTGAAATGGGAAGTTGTGCATAATTCTCCGTCTTGACGTTATTGGGATAGAAAAGTCCCGTTTTAATATTCGCGCACCCAAAATAACGACATGCCTTGTAACAAAAATGCACCTCTTATTTGTTCTTTGCAGTGTTTCCTTGAATTAATTGCCGTTTGCATTTTTAATTTAAAAGGGGGGGAAAGAAATATAATAATGGTGAAACCCATCTAATATTGTCCTTTGTGTTTTGTTTACCTGTAGGCACCTGTGAAATTGGCTGGGCTTACTATTGTACTGGAGGAGGAGCTGCTGCTGCCGTGTTGATCTGCACTTGGCTGGCCTGCTTCTCTGGCAAGAAGCAGAAACAGTACCCTTACTGAGACCAGAAAGACGCAGCACAAAGAGAACCAGTTTAGGGATTTGGAGTGGGGGTGGGGTGGGGGGAGAGAGAGAGGAAAATAAATGTGCATGTAAGCCTTTCTTGGAAAGGTGCAATCTGTTCTTCACTGTAGCCAGATCAATATAAACAAGACTCAGTGACGTTTGACACTGAATGAACAGTGGGGTTTTCTGTAACTTAGGGGTATAAACCAGGAATTTCATGGAGCTTAACCACTTTATTCCTAGCCTATTGTGGTGTAGTAGAAAATGCAGGAAGTATTCACTTTCTTGTGTGTAGAGAGGAGGAAATTAAGGGTTTTTAAGCAGTGCTTCAGTTGAAAGGGTTGAAAAAACAACGTGCTGGAAGACAAGGATGTAGCCTTATAAAATATTATTTAACATGACAGGGGATTGGACATAAAGGGGGCATTTCTTCACGGTTTTGTTACTCTCACAGTGTGAGTAACCAGATTTCTCTGACGTGATCAGCCGCGTCAGCTCACAGCTATAGCACCTGCCTTGTGTGTGTGTGGATGGCATCTATTTTGAGGCCTTAAAAGTATTAGCCAATCTGATGCGGAGTTTTAATTTTGTGAACTTAACTATGAAACTTGTTACGTGACTCCTGTAAAGCACATCTGCCTACTTTTGCACAGACACTTTTCCCTTCACACGGCACCTAACTGCAGATTATGTGGAGATTATTTTTTTTACAATGTACCAGGCTCCAGCCAATTGGACTAGTTTGCCTGTCTGCGTACCATTAAGCAGTTTGTAGTAGTAGTTGCGGAAGGCTCTGATACTCAGGCAAAGCAGCCAAGGGGTTTTCTTTGTTATTAAAATAAAAAAAAAAAGCACAGAGATCCACATCAAGTCATTTCTCTCCTTTCACAAATGCACATACTAACTCACTCCTTTACTTTCACATAACCTGCAGAAATATGGCCAAAGTACACATTGCATATGTTTTTACAGGTATTTGTGTGTACAGTCAAACCTCTTCTTACATCCGCCTCTGCTCGCGTCTGTTTCGCCCAATGTCCGCTGCAAACCCAGAAGTAACCGGCAGGTTTGCCGCCGTTTGTGCATGCGCAGGAGCGGCGATTGCCGTTCGCATATGCGCAGGAGCAGGCAATTGCCATCCGCGCACAACGGTGCCTCTCCCAGCGACCCGTTTCGACTTCCAGCCGGGCTCAGGAACGGATTGTGGTCGTGAGTAGAGTCTTTTTTGGCACGGCGGGTGGGGAGAATTGAGCGTAGTTCCATCCCACCATCACAATTCCACGATGCAAAAAAGGGGCGTTACTCTATTGCAGACATTTTGTAAAGTATACATTTGGCGTGCACGTTCTTCGCACCTATGCAACATAGGTTTCTCTTCATTCACAGATGGAAATGCTCACAGATTGCCTGTTCAGCCCCACCTTCCTCCATGTTAATTCATGCACACATACCTCAAAGCACAGCACATATACATTCACAGACCCCATTTATATACACTGCCTCTTCAGGCATGCTTTTTAACGCTTTCGTCCTGTTGATTCATTGCATTCGCTCCATAGAGAAGCAACGAAGACCAGTATGTCCTCTGCTGCTTCCTTCTTTCGCTGCACAGCTTTAGATGTTCATCAAAAGTAGCAACAAAGGAAATGCAAGCGACTTGCTTCTGCTCTAGTAGTTTTCATGTGAAAGGGAGATGCGGGCATTGCCCGCTGCAATCTCCTTGGCACAGAGAGTGCGTCTCGATGTCGCACAAGACCAAGAAACAGCAACAGAGGACAAGTCTTTCTTTGTTTACTTGGATAGTTTTGTTTCGAGACCACTACTTTCATTACTGCTTCGGGCGACGAGCCGCTCGCAGAAAATCACTGTGGAGCAGAGCAATTGCGATCAATACTCCTTGCACTTCTCTTTTGTTTTGCTCTGCTCTAGATCATACGAATTTCAGTATTATACCACGTTTTAAACTAAAACAAAAACCCTAATGGACTAAAGGGCCATTTTTTCCAGTATTTTATATAATCTGTGTACACGTGTTCTCATGTTTTATTAATGGCCTTTTCAGACCTATATACATTTTATTAACCTCAATGTTTTTCCAAGTTTCTTACCAAAATGCAATATTTTACTCAGCGTATGTAGCCTTTTAGATAGGGACGTTCTATGAAGGGCAGGAAGCAGACAGTTCTGTCCAGTGAGAATTGTGGGTGTGGCACAGTAGAATATTATGACTTATGCAAGAGCAACAACAAACATCTTCCAACTTTTGTTACTAATAGCTAGGTACTTATTGACGTATTGTGCTGTATTGTTTATTTTAATATTCATCTTTGTAATATAATATGAAATGTACGATATCGTTTGTATTTTAGAATCTGTAAATAAATGTCTTCTCTATGATACTTCAGCCGTCTGGTTGAGTTTCCCTTCCTCCTTTATTTTTTATTATTACTTACTAAATTTATATACTCATCTATCTTTCATAGCTGTGGCTTTACAGGATAAGTGTAAATGTCAGCCTGTACCTTGAAAGTAGGATATCCACTTGCAAAGGCTGCCAAACCGAGTGGGGTAGGACTGACATTAAATAACATTGCTTTTCTGGAAAAGTGACGTGTTCGAAGAACTCCCACAAGGCCCCATACATGAGAGGTTTGTCATGTTTCTTCTGCTCTGCAGCTGCCTGAAAGCCTGGCAGCAAAGGAGAAGATGCATCCTGCTCAAGGATCTCTCCTTCAAGACTTGTACAGTGGTACCTCGGGTTACAGACGCTTCAGGTTACAGACTCCACTAACCCAAAAATAGTACCTCGGGTTAAGAACTTTGCTTCAGGATGAGAACAGAAATCGAGCGGCGGAGGCGGGAGGCCCCATTAGCTGAAGTGGTACCTCAGGTTAAGAACAGTTTCAGCTTAAAAACGGACCTCCAGAACGAATTAAGTTCTTAACCCGAGGTACCACTGTATTCCTGTCAGTGGTGACGTCAACCTTGAGCCGGGGGCTTTCTCCATCAATAATAATAATAATAATAATTTAGTATTTATACCCTGCCCATCTGGCTGGGTTTCCCCAGCCACTCTGGGCGGCTTCCAACAAAACACTAAAATACAATAACCTATTAAACATTAAAAGCTTCCCTAAACAGGGCTGCCTTCAGATGTCTTCTAAAAGTTTGGTAGTTATTTTTCTCTTTGACATCTGATGGGAGGGCGTTCCACAGGGCGGGTGCCACTACCGAGAAGGCCCTCTGCCTGGTTCCCTGTAACTTGGCTTCTCATAGCGAGGGAACCGCCAGAAGGCCCTTGGCGCTGGACCTCAGTGTCCAGGAAGAACGATGGAGCTGGAGACGCTCCTTCAGGTATACTAGACGGAGGCTGTTTAGGGCTTTTTAAAGGTCAGCACCAACACTTTGAATTGTGCTCGGAAACGTACTGGGAGCCAGTGTAGGTCTTTCAAAACTGGTGTTATATGGTCTCGGCGGCTGCTCCTAGTCACCAGTCTAGCTGCCGCATTCTGGATTAGTTGTAGTTTCCGGGTCACCTTCAAAGGTAGCCCCACATAGAGCGCATTGCAGTAGTCCAAGCGAGAGATAACTAGAGCATGCACCACTCTGGCGAGACAGTCCGCGGGCAGGTAGGGTCTCAGCCTGCGTACCAGATGGAGCTGGTAGACAGCTGCCCTGGACACAGAATTGACCTGCGCCTCCATGGACAGCTGTGAGTCCAAAATGACTCCCAGGCTGCGCACCTGGTCCTTCAGGGGCACAGTTACCCCATTCAGGACCAGGGAGTCTTCTACACCCGCCCACCCGCCTCCTGTCCCCCCAAAACAGTACAGTGGTGCCTCGCAAGACGAAATTAATCCATTCCGCGAGTCTCTTCATCTTGCGGTTTTTTCGTCTTGCGAAGCACGGCTATTAGCGGCTTAGCGGCTATTAACGCCTTAGTGGCTTAGCGGCTATTAACGGGTTAGCGGCTTTAAGAAAAAGGAAACAAACTCGCAAGAACTCGCAAGACGTTTCGTCTTGCGAAGCAAGCCCATAGGGAAATTCGTCTTGCGGAACGACTCAAAAAACGCAAAACCCTTTCGTCTAGCGAGTTTTTTGTCTTGCGAGGCATTCATCTTGCGGGGCACCACTGTACTTCTGTCTCGTCAGGATTCAACCTCAAAAGCTAGAGTTCTCCCAAGGAGTATCACTGCTCACTCCATCAAGGGGCAGCCACCATACTGCGGTCCACAGAAGTGCAGCCCTAGAGAAGGATTCCCTTCCACATTGACACTCAAGATGAACAGATATGCCTCTGCCAATGCAGCCTTTGGATGGAGTAGCCTAAGTCCATACCCACTCAGGATGAATGGGGTAGTGTAGCAAGCAGCTCCACCCAGATCAGACCTTAAGGCTCCTTGGGTCTCGTTCCTCTGATCAGCCTAGAACAGGAACTCCCAGAGACCTCCCTCATTCTCTCTGTTACGTTAAGTTCCTCAATGCCTGGGGCCAGTTCAGTCCTACTGTAACAGAACTGTTCTCAGTATTGTTAATACTGGGTGTTGGATCGGTTGCAAGGAAGTTAGTTCCCCTTCCTGATGCTCAAGCAAGACCAAATCATGTCAATCAGTGCTAACTCTACCTCCAGGAGGAGTTAACTCTTTCCAGGAGGAGTTAACTCTTTCCTGCATGCTCCACTCTCTGCTGACCAGAAGAACACTTCACAGTAAGTCCAACTTGCTCTGTTAAATGTAGGATCTCAAAGGTGGGGCAACATTAGCCAATAGGGTTGAGGGCAGTCCACAGGCTCAGGCAACCTATGCAGAGGTTAAACTGAAGTGCCATGTACACACTTGCTACCAATCCCACTTTTTCTGCCATATAATTGAAGTGGGCGTAAGGCAGAAAAGGGGGGAAAAGGAAACAAGGTGGTGCAGTCAAATCTCTGTTCTCCAGTTGATATATGCATTCACATAAGCTTTTGAGGAATAGTCTTTAGGTGGGACACCAAAGAATTTGAATAGAGGATGAAGCAGCCCTTAAAACGCAGAGGGGCCTCTTCAGATGTTTAGAGCACTAGTCTGAACTGGGTGCTTTACAAATAATAAAAAACAATTCCAGGAAAATGGAAGAAAGGTATTTTTAGATTCTGCAAATTTCGTAAGTAATAATAATAATAAATTTTTATTTATACCCCACCCTCCCCGACCAAACCGGGCTCACACAACAAAGTATACATGCAAAAGTGGGAATGTAAAGAATACCCCAAACAGTAAGAGTAGTCACAACATGACAGTTTGCTTTAGGAGTAAACAAACTTGAATTTCTTGGTCATTCACAAAGCTTCAGAAGTCCCAAGAGAGTTTTAAAAGATACCACTCTGGTGGAAAGCTAACTGAGGCTCCCTAGAGAAGAGGATTGCTAAAAGACCTTGCATTTTCATACTTGGAGGAGACATTTCCAGAGATAAGCATAGCCAAGACTGTTTTGCAGCACAGTCATCTTATAGGATCTTCCCATACAGACCAGACCAGCCTATTCTTCCTCCATTCACAGGAAAGAAGCAATCAGGCTCCTTAGCTGAGATAATCTGCTACAAATAAACGGAAAATTCTGACTCCATGAAGAAGAAATTTTTCCCAAACACGGGATGACTCATGGAAGCTGCATTAAACTAGTATTTCTAGCAGTTTGTGCGGTGGTAAATTTACTTTTGTATGATTTAAAATTAGCAGTGCTGGTGACACTGACTTAAAAAAACAAACAAGTCTATAAAAACCAGCTAACACAAAAATTGCCACCACTTAAAATCCCTGAGATAGGCACAAAAAGTGAAACAAATGTGCACTTCAAATGAACAAAGCTAATCCAAAAGTTCTTGTGTTACACAGCCGACAGCAATCCAACAGAGGAAATATTCTGGAAGTCCCTTGTGCCGTGTGAAAGATGCTGTCAGTATAAAGGCACGTACTTCTGTACTTGCTGGGCTCCAATTTCTGCTACATAAATTGCTCCAGTTTTCTTGCTGACATCCACAAGATGGGGCTTAACTTCGCTTGCAAGCTGAATTGTGTCCATCACAACACAGTCCTCAATTGATCCTACCGGTGGGGCAGCCAAGATTGACACCCTGTCAATATTTATATGTGCGACGATCATATACCTTTGATCTGGAGTTAATCTACAGGAGGAAGGGAGGGAGAGAGAGAGAGAAGGGGAGAGAGAGACTATTTAAAGAGAATCCTTTAAATCCTATTTAAAATCCTGCAGTATGAACATAATGCACTTTTGCACACATTTGGGGGGGGTTACCTTCTGTTTGCACATCCCTCATGCCACCCGAAAAGTTGATCTGAGGGTCTCCTGATAATCCCAAATTCATCCTACTGGTGTCATCTGGAGGATTTTGTGACCCTTCTGAGCCAGTTTTTGGCCAGGGAAACAGGGTTCAGACAGAACGGGAAACTGTAGTTTGTGAAGTGCATCAGCATATTTTATTCTTGAAAACCTATTAAGACTTATTTTTTAAAAAAGATGGGGGGGGTGTCATAATCCCACCCTCCATGAATGGCAGCCCCTTCCACTCATCAGGTTCTTTGGCACTAAACTCAAATCTCAACATTCTTAGTTAACAACAAAAAATGTTGCAACAACCTGCAAAATTAGACTTTTACACAAGAGACTAAGAAGGTAAAGGGACCCCTGACCATTAGGTCCAGTCGTGACCAACTCTGGGGTTGCGGCGCTCATCTCGCTTTATTGGCCGAGTAAGCCAGCGTACAGCTTCCGGGTCATGTGACCAGCATGACTAAGCCGCTTCTGGCGAACCAGAGCAGCACACAGAAATGTCGTTGACCTTCCCGCCGGAGCGGTACCTATTTATCTACTTGCGCTTTGACGTGCTTTCAAAGTGCTAGGTTGGCAGGAGCAGGGACTGAGCAACGGGAGCTCACCCCGTCGTGGGGATTCAAACTGCCGACCTTCCAATCGGCAAGCCCAAGGCTCAGTGGTTTAACCCAAGTGCCACCCACGTCCCACACAAGAGACTAGATGGGCACAATCCACCATTAATCAGAATTCATTAGACCCACAGTCATTTCTATGAACACATATCCCAATGAATGAAAGGAAAAGACCACACTTATGTGAGAGCCTCATTCCTATATTTACAAAACAGCATGGAATTACCCCATGGGGAAGCAGCTTCCATACAGCTGCGAGTGCAAGTGAACAGAACCAGTATTATGCTTGTGTGGGGTAAAATTTGAATGGCTGCAGACTGTTCAAATATGGTGGAAATGCCCGATCCCGATGAGCAGGATCTAAAGGTGCCCTTCTTTTCACGGAAGGAGTCCTTCAGTTCGCAGAAAGGCCTTTGAGCAAGTGGGGAGGACATTCCTTTTCTCATAAGCCTTAATCAATCAATGGCCCTTTAAACTGCGTGGGGCACTGTTTTCGTTCGTTACTATGGTATGTATTTTGTGGTTTTTATATTGTATTTTGTGGTTTTTATATGGTATGTATTTTTGTGGTTTTAAACTGCTCAGTGATCCCTGGATGAAGGGTGGTACAGAAATTTAATAAATGATAATAATGATTTTTCACGTATTCGTCATCTTGCACATAGCTACCCCCCTGCACAAATGCCAGCACCCACTCCTCTGCAGAGTAGATTTCCAAGGGGTACTGTGAAAATCACTTTTCCTCTTCTATCTGCAGATGCCAGGAGCTTCTTCTTCTTGAGCAGAATTCCACTTACAGAATTGCTGGATCTGATCCAAACAGAAGTCAGGCACCCATTAGAAAGGCTAATTTAAGGCTTTGGCAGCCGAATCAAGCTTTTGCATGCCATAACCCTTCCGATAATAAAAGGGCCGCAAAAAAGGCAACATCTACCATCTGTCTAGCATCTGATATTCGTGCAAAGTTATGGAAATACAACATGCAAAATTATCTGGATGGATGCACTAATGAGCCACCTCTCGTCTTTCGAGCCAGATGGATACATTAAGGAAAGCCAGTGTAAAAGTTTTATGGCACCACCAAACACACTGGCATTTTCATCTCACTGTTAGGAAGAGATATATCTCCAGTGAACACAGTACTGTAGCTCAAACACTGGTACACCCACAGTGCCACGTAAAATGGCTCTAACACTGGCACTGGAGCTCTTCATCACCTTACAAACAAAGGCATTCTCCATAATCAACATGAGCCCTGCTCAGTTGAAAAGTCTCCCCTTCCACCCACCGCCCAGATTTGCATGCAAGCTACAGATACTATACCTGACAGAAGAAGGGCCATCTTGTGTAAAGCAGCTATTCCAACAGCCCAACCATTCCCCTGTGGTTTTCTGAAAAGCCTGGATTCTCCAGTTGGCTCGGTCAGCAACCCATACCTACTGAAAATACAAAATCTGTTCACAGCCATTTTTAAACACCACCTCAGCGATCCTGCATACGCTCTATGATGTTTAATATCACATGAAATGGGGATCTACATGTTGCCATTCTGAGCAGGCTGGTATAGGATCTCGCCAACATTACTGAACTCACTTTAGGGAAGAATCCATACCCGCAGCACAGCACGCGCCCTTTAATCCTAGCTTCCTGCTAAACATACCTATGTGACACGAGTGTTAAGGCAGGAAGAGCGGCTTTTGATTGCGGTTGGAAGAAGAGCAGCAAACCACTAATGTGGGTCTGCAGGTAATATTAAGCCTCCGGGTTTGCTTCTCCCAGAGGCAGGCAGAGCTTGTTCATAGGAAGCGAACATTTGTTTCAGATTATTATTTGTTTCTAAGTTTAGAAAACAAAGGAAAATCATAGACATGTTTTCCTTCTGCATGAAAAATGCAAGTTTTTCAGTTAAAACGTTGGTCCAGTACATCTCTACAATACTAACATGGAATCGGGGGAAATGCAGAGAATACTTCACAAAACAGTGCCCTAAAAATTCATACCTGGACTTGTCTCGATTAACGTCTGCAGGAGACTTTGTGGATATTTAAGGTATAATTAGGAAAATCTTAATAATTATTCATAACGGAAACAACTTATAAGACGTAAATATGGATGCCAGAAACAGGATAAAGGAAGTCTTTTATTTGTTTGTATTGTTGTATATTATGCTTGTTGTTTGTTATGCTTGTGTCTGATGGGGTGGATTTCTGTGTTGGGGGGTTTGTGTTATGTTGTAAAAAATTTTTATTTTAAAAAAATATACTAACATGGAATCACTCGTTTCTTGGTTTAATTAAAACTCGTTGATGAAAAATAGCATGGAATGTTTCATTCACAGGCAAGGAAGGGGCCATAAAAGATTGGAGAAAGCCCCAAAACTTTAAAGCACCAGTCCTCAACACTTCCTTGAAAGCTGCAAGTAAATTAAAGGTAAAGGGACCCCTGACCATTAGGTCTAGTCGTGGCCGACTCTGGGGTTGTGGTGCTCATCTTGCTTTACTGGCCGAGGGAGCCGGCGTACAGCTTCCGGGTCATGTGGCCAGCATGACTAAGTCACTTCTGGCGAACCAGAGCAGCAAACGGAAACGCCATTTATCTTCCCGCTGGAGTGGTACCTATTTATCTACTTTCACTTTGACGCGCTTTCGAACTGCTAGGTTGGCAGGAGCAGGGACCGAGCGACAGGAGCTCACCCCGTCATGGGTATTCGAACCACCGACCTTCTGATCAGCAAGTCCTAGGTTCTGTGGTTTAACCCACAGTGCCATCCGCGTCCCTACGCAAGTAAATTACTGGAAGTTTAAATTCAAGTGAGAAAATTTCAAGCCCTCGTCATGATGGCTATTTATAAAACTATATTACAGCGGTCACGGCTACTTTACCCGTCCGACAGCATCCACCGTTACACTGTGTGGGATATTGAACTGTGCAGTGCCAGAACCATTTTCTCCATGCAGCCATAGAGTCTTAAAGTCTGCAGGTAGAAAGGAAGCACCATATATTGCTGTGCATTTTATAATAAAACATCTGCATTACATCATAATAAATAAATAAATTTATTTTTATTTATACCACGCCCTTTCCGGTTTAAAAACCAGGCTCAGGGCGGCTAACAGCAAATATAAAACATTGATTAAAATGCAACTTAAAAAGCAGCATAAAACAGCACAGAATACAGCATAAAATGCAGCATCAATATCAATAAAATTCAAAAATTCAGGGGTCATTTTGGGGGAAAAAATACCCCAGTCAATAGACATCGAATGATCACCTGGGCTAACTGGCCAAGTTGGTCCTACTAGGTCCAGCAAGGAGGTATGTGGATAAGAATTTAAATGTGGGGTCCCAGAAAGGGTTTCTTCATAGAAGAGGAAAGGGAAAAGGGTATAGAGGATCAGGCTAATTCAAATTGAAGGCCAGGCGGAATAGCTCTGTCTTACAGGCCCTGCGGAAGGAGATCAAGTCTTGCAGGGCCCTAGTCTCGTGGGACACAGAGCATTCCACCAGGTTGGAGCCGTCACTGATAAAGCCCTAGCCCTGGTGGAGGACAGTCTGGCTTCCTTAGGGCCCTCTGCGGGACATACCAGGAGAGACGGTCCCATAAGTACAAGGGTCCTAGGCCGCATAGGGCTTTAAAGGTCAGCTGACAGCTTTCTAATTCTTTAGTGATTTCAAAAACAGGGTAACTTTCTGTCCTCTTCCTAAAAACAGAGTGGGGGAACATATTCTAAATACTGTAAAACTAAAAACTATCCAGTAAGGATTTGGGCCTTCTCCTACATTTAATAAACAAAAACAAAAAAACACATTTCCTTCTATCATAGTCTGACTGTGGAAGTTCTACCGAAATTTCAAATGCTGCAATTAACAGAGCCCTTAAAGCGTAAACCCATATGGGAGAGACAAAAGACCTCAAGAAATACAGAAATGATAGTCACATAAATTAGGAGAACACAGCAAAAACAAAAACAAACCACTAGCGCAGGCACTGGGAAATTCCCCACCCCCTGGAGGCTATTTTGACATGTGGGTGGAGACACCTACTTGTCTAGTATGTCATTATGAAACCAGCTCACAATTTCAAACAGGCTGCCTAGCTGACTGGCACTGACGGCAGGACTTGCTTGGCCCATTTGCAGGCATTGTACCTGCAAAAAGACATTTCCCCTCTGCATACTAGCTCTGCAGGCCCACAGAGGAAAATATGTCAATTTGCAGGTGTGGTTTGGATCCAAACCACACCTGCAAATGGACTTCAAAGGGGCTTGCTATTCAGAAGCCCCACTTGCCAAGGAACAACTGGGAGAGCATTTTAAACTCCCAATTGTTCCTTGGCACCTGTGTCTTTTATGTGCCGCACACCTGACATCACATGTGATGGCAGGTGGGGAGAGCTTGTGGAAAATGGGCTGGGGGGCCAAACAAGCTGGGGCTGATTAGGCCTGGTGGCTGGAGGTTCCCTATTGCTGTACATCAAAGCAATTCTGAATGTTGCACGTATAGGCCATTCACATCCATTCACTTACCTGGTGTCAATTTGACCAAACGGTTGTTCAGTCCTCCATCACCATCTACAATGTAGATGTCTCCGCTTTCTTCCACAAAAATCTCTGCTGGCTGGTCAAACTGTAAGGGATTTGTACCAGAACCTGCTCTACCTGCAGTACCTATGACTTGAAGAAGTTCACCTGAAGGACTATACTGTTTAATTGTGTGTCCATATTCGCCTATATGAAGGAATAGACATTTTTCAGTAAGATCATATTTTCTCTGTGAACACCATAATTTTAAAAGGAGTGAGGTTGTGAAGAATTGGGCAAAAACTGGATGGGACATTAACTGGATTTACTGCTCTCCAAGTGTGGAACCTCTGTGCTGTGTGAACTGCCCTTGGTCTTCCACCATGAACCTGTCCTTGTTCCTCAGCCTACTGAACGCCCAGGAAGAAACATCTTCCTCCCTTTTTTAATCACCTGAACTTGTACAAGCTGCAAGATTTGCACAGATGCAGAGCTGTATCTTTTAGGATGATGGCCTGGTGGTACTAGGCGCTTTGTGTGGGCTGTACTGTAGTTAAATTGAACACTCAGTTGGATATCAGGCCCAAGAACATAACAAGAGCAAACTGCTGAAGGAAGGAACTGCAAGGAGAGGCACATGAACGGTCTGGTTATTTCAATCTGCCTCGCTTCACCTTTGTGTCTTAGAATGGACTGTTGTGTTATTTTTTTCATGTTTTATATCATGAGGCAGCATGGAGACAAGTTCTTTTGTGGAAAGGGAGCCTCTAAAATTTACGTCTAACTTAAAACATCATAAGCACACTGTTTTGTTTCACTCTAGTGTTATTTAGCAATAATCATTCCACATACCAGTTCCAACATCTGTGATCCACACTGAAGTTGCATTGGGTGTGTTCAGCACAAAGATACCATGAGGCATTTCAATGGAAGCATTCCATGCTTGTAAGAAATAGCCATCCTCAGTATAAACTACAACCTTAGGCACATTTTCATCACCTCTCTGTAAAAGTGTATAAAGATAACAGAGAACCAATCAGATCTTGCAGAATGAAATTAAAGAATTTTTTCATAACATTTCCTTATTGCATATACGTACATATACATATGCATATACATATACATATATTCTCACAAATCTTATTAGCTCCACCAAGTATTGTTATGTCTGGTTCACATGCAAGGAAAAAGCTGATCAGTGGCTTCCTTTCACTGAATCTTAATGCAGAGGTACAAAAGGATAGTGGATTTTTGTCCTCAGCATGTAATAATAATAATAATAATAATAATTTTTATTTATACCCCGCCCTCCCCAGCCAAGGCCAGGCTCAGGGCGGCTAACAAGCAATAATAAAAACAAGTTGAATGAATACAACCTAAAAACAAAATTAAAATACAACATTAAAATATTGAAACATTAGAATATTAAAATGTAGCCTCATCGCAGGAGGAGAAAGGAAAAGAAAAAAGAAAGAGGGGGAGGGAATCAAATTGGCTTCAAGCCAGGCGGAACAACTCTGTCTTACAGGCCCTGCAGAAAGAAATCAGATCCTGCAGGGCCCTGGTCTCATGAGGCAGAGCGTTTATACCACGAAAAGCTGAAAAGGCCCTGGCTCTGGTTGAAGCTAATCTAACTTCCTTAGGGCCCGGGACCACTAGGGTGTTGCTATTTATGGACCTTGAGGCTCTCCGTGGGGCATACCGGGAGAGGCGGTCCCGTAGGTACAAGGGTCCTAGGCTGTGAAGGGCTTTAAAGGTCAAAACCAGCACCTTAAATCTGACCCTGTACTCCACCAGGAGCCAGTGCAGCTGGAAAAGCACTGGGTGAATATGCTCCCATGGCAGAGACCCCGTGAGGAGCCTCGCTACAGCATTCTGCACACGCTGGAGTTTCTGGGACAGCTTCAAGGGCAGCTCAACATAGAGCGAATTACAGTAGTCAAGCCTGGAGGTGACCATCGCATGGATCACTGTGGCCAGGTTGGGGTGGGAAAGGTAAGGGACCAACTGCTTGATGCGGCAAAGGTGGAAAAATGTTGCCTTGGCTGTTGCTGTAACTTGCGCCTCCATGGAAAGGGAGGTGTCAAGGATTACACCCAAACTCTTAACGGAAGGCAATGGCACTAATTGGGCCCCTGCAAGAGAAGGGAGTTGGTCCCTCATCCCCATGCCATCCCGACCCAGCCACAGGACCTCTGTCTTCGAAGGATTTAGTTTCCCTATACTGCAACCCAACAGCTGCCCTCTCTCACCAAGCAGCAGCCATTCTATCAGGTGGCAGAATAGAGAGAAAGAGAAACAAAGCAACTCCACAGCTTTTGCTGAGGAACCAGTCACCTTTTGGCTCTTCCTCAACTGTCACCTAGTAAAAGGCGTTAGTCCATCAGGCTATGTGAATTGCCTCCGTCCCAAAGATCATTATAAGAACTGTAAGAAATGATGCCTGGACTTCATTTCCTTCCTCTCCCTCTCCATCTGTTTTTCCTTGTGTGCCATGTATTGTAGATTATAAGCCTAAAGATCTTTGTAAAGCCACTCTCATAGCCTTTTTGACTAAAGAATGGAGTAAAAGTGTTTAATCTAGATGGTCATGGCATAACACAAAAGTGGACAGTGTACAATCACAGTGAAGCTTTCCCCATAATCGTACTTCCATACGAGAAAAGGCATAACCTGTTGAAATTCTGCCTGGAAAACAAGACACAACAAAGAAAAGTGCATTAAAGACAAGGGGAAACAGAAGTTCTTTAGGACCCTATTGCCTGCCCATCAAACAACTCACTCATCAGTTGCAGCTCTGACTTCACTTATTGGCTAAAACCACTGACAGGCAGGAGGAGCCAGGCTTGATTATTTCACAGAAATCACTTAGACAGTTATCTTCCCATTTTGCTTCAGAGTTTTCTTTTTAAGAGGGCAAGAAACTTACTTTTTTAAAATGAAAGCTCAGAGTCTGGGGCCCCTCCCTGGGGGCACCAATGAAGGCTTTTGCCGGCTCATCGGGTTGGCAATCCCTGATCTAAGGTACTGTTGAGGAAAAGATGCTGCGAGGTGTTTTTTTTATTTTTATTTTTTTAAGAAAGCAAAGAGACAGGATATGCAGGCTAGAAGAGAAGGTTTCTAGGAAGATCAGGGATACAAGAGATCAAGCAGAGTCTGGGTGTGAGAAACTGAACAAAGAACTGGCAGAAAGGCAGAGGGAAGGGTCTGACAGAATGCAGCCACCTTATGGAATAGAACTAATGTGCAGCAGATAGGCAGGGCAAGTATAGAGGAACTGTGGCACATTTAAAAGCCTTTCTTGATTTTGCAGCCAGATCTACAGAAAAAGGAAAGCTGAACTCTCAGCCTCTGAATCCATTTAGAGCAACCAAGCTTTGCGAAACATAATGCCATGAGAATAAAAGCACAATTTCTAGTACAAAGACACTGCCCAGCATTTCCTACACTGGAAAGAAAATGGTCATTAATGGAGATATCCTAGTGACTTGCTGATGTCATCTACTTAAAATAATTGTGGCTTTCTTCACTGGCACTGTTATAATGAACAATCTTAGTCAACCATAAAGACTGAAAAGTGGAGTGTAAAGGGGAAATGTAGGAGAGGAATGACAATTGGCTCCCTATTCTAGCATTCGGCTTCTAAGCTCCAGAGTAAACATGATATGAATGTTAAAATAGCATGCCAAGTGATGGAACTTTTTGAAGAAAATACGGTATTTTATAGCGAAAGAAGCAACAGCATTGATTTACTCCTTTAGGTAGCTCTTGCCACTACACTTTTTTTTTTGGCATTTTTTTTTCCAGTATGGAAAAAGTTCACCCACACTGGAAAAAAGTCATGTGAATGTCTGCTTCTCACAAAGCTCTCCTCAACACCGGAAAGCATGTCTGCTTCTTTACAGGTCCACATGCATTCAGCAAGGGAAAATATAAAGAGAAATGTGAACTTTTCTGACATTGAAGGATGAGCCTCCACCCAGTATTCTGTGCAAGAATTCCTAGTCTGGTTGCTGTAAAAACAGGAACTGCTAACAATCAAAGCTACACACTGGACAACTCTGCTGGTCAGAAGAATGTCTTTTCTTACCTGTCCCACGTATACTAATCCATTGACGTCATCCACAGCAACACAAAACGTCTGACCAGCAAAAGGAATCAAAGGCCAGTTTACATCAAGCTTGTAGAGTGGCTTCTCTCTTCTCCAGAGAGGGAAGAAAGTCAACTCACTTAACACCTTAAAAATAAACGGCAAAAAAATTACTGTTAAATGAGCCATCTCCAGAGAGCAGTATTTAACGTTTATCTATCACATTTTTATCTCATCCTTGTTCTAAGCACTGCATGCCTGAGGTTTTCCCATTTTTGTTCTCATCGCAACCCTGTGAGGTAGGCTAGGCTGACAAACAGCGATCAGAGGCACCATGTCTCTGAGCATCAGCCCCTGGAGAGTGAGACTGTCCTCATGTCTTGCTTGTAGACTTTTCACAGGCCTATGGTTGGCCACTGTGGGAAATAGGATGGACTAAACAGGGCACTTGCGTTCTTTGGAGCATGGATAATCATGTCCAGGCTATTGTGGTTAGGAGTGGGTTGCAGCTGGCAAACCAGTCAAGCTGGTGAAATGTGCTTCAAGCTACAGAAACCATTTAGGCCTCCAAAGGTGAGGTCAGAAGTAAAACTCCAAACTGCAAACCTCATTGCCATGCATCAACAGAACCTCCATCTTGCCTGGATTGATCTTCAGTTTACTGGCCCTTACCCACTCCATTATTGATTCCAGACATTGGTTCCATAATTTCATCTAGATTTAATGAAGAAGAGAAGCAGAACTGGTCATCACCAATGTACTGATGATGACACCACATCCCAAATCCCTAGATAATTTCATTTACAAGTTTTGCGTAGATGGCAATGCTCCCCTGGCCTCAAAAGGGAAGGAGAAGTTTCAGGAATGGGGAAGTGATAAAATACATATTTTTCCTTCCCCCTACATCCAGCCCTCCTCTGACATACCATACTGCATTAGAGGGCTGCCAGTCTAAAACACGAATATTTTAACAGCTAAGCTGTCGGGGACTTGAGTAGGTCAAACCCCTCTCTTCACCCTACCCTCCATTTTCCTTTCTATTTTTGTTTGCTTTCAACCAGCACTCCAAATTCCACCCTTCAACTGTTCTTAGCCATACAAACCTAGTGGCTGAGGTGTGATACAGTAAACAATTTCTGTTCCTTTTTCTCAGTTCAACTGCCATAAGCAGCTTTCCATACCTCCAGAAAACTCACCGGTTCTTGTTAGGCCCTTTTAGAGCTTTTTCTTTTTTTAAAAGCCCTTAGTTTTGTTTTTATTTACAAATTCAGAAAGTGCAAGTTTGTTTTGGTAGCCTCATGACCCTTCCAAACCAACAGTCCATTCTCACAGTGCAGTTCTCATGTAACGTGAGGGGGGGGGGGAATGATATAAATACTAATATGTATGCTGAAGTATTACGTCCCACAGATTGATCATTTAACAGCCAACTAAAAACACATTTTTTTCAGTAATACGGACTATTGTATAGTCTGCAGGGCCAGCCCACCCATGAGGCAAGGTGAGGTGACTGCCTTAGGTGGCAGGATCCACAGGGGCAACAGATCCCAATGTAGATCTTTATGCCCCGCCCCTTGTTCCTGATGGAAATCTTCACTCACCCCTTGTTCCCTAGTGCGGACTGAGATGCCCTTTTTGTGGTTCGTCTCAGGGCCGGTTCAGACAGAACAAATATCCTCCAAACATGGCTTGGTTTCCCATGGACTTGGATAATAATAATAATAATAATAATAATAATAATAATAATTTATTATTTATACCCCGCCCATCTGGCTGAGTTCCCCCAGCCACTCTGGGCGGCTTCGAATCAAGTGTTAAAAACAATACAGCATTAAATATTTAAAACTTCCCTAAACAGGGCTGCCTTCAGATGTCTTTTAAAGAGAAGATAGCTGCTTATTTCTCTGACATCTGGTGGGAGGGTGTTCCACAGGGCGGACGCCACTACTGAGAAGGCCCTCTGTCTGGTTTCCTGTAACCTCACTTCCCACAATGAGGGAACCGCCAGAAGGTCCTCGGCGCTGGATCTCAGTGTCTGGGCTGAACGATGGGGGTGGAGACGCTCCTTCAGGTCTACTGGGCCATTTATGGCTTTAAAGGTCAGCACCAACACTTTGAATTGTGCTCGGAAATGTACTGGGAGCCAATGCATATCTCTCAGGACCAGTGTTATGTGGTCTCGGCAGCCACTCCCAGTCACCAGTCTAGCTGCTGCATTCTGGATTAATTGCAGTTTCCAGGTCACCTTCAAAGGTAGCCCCACAGAGTGCATTGAGCAGTCCAAGTGAGAGATAACTAGAGCATGCACCACTCTGGCGAGACAGTCTGTGGGCAGGTAGGGTCTCAGCCTGCGTACCAGGTGGAGCTGGGTAGACAGCTGCCCTGGACACAGAATTAACCTGCGCCTCCATGGACAGCTGTGATACGATCCCACACCCCAAATACTTTTCATCCAAGCTGCCTCCCCATTAAAGAAATCGTACTCGATTAGGTCACAGGGTTTCCCAAAGTTGGGTCTCCAGCTGTTTTTGGACTACCATTCCCATCATGCCTGAGCACTGGTCTTGCTAGCTAGTTTCCTTGCTAGCTTCCTTCCTTCCTTCCTCCTGGGCCATGTTCAGAAAGTGGTGGTGGGGGACGAGTGTTCAGACCCCTGGGCCCTCACTTGTGGGGTGCCTCAGGGTTCCGTCCTCTCCCCCATGCTTTTTAACATCTATATGAAGCCGCTGGGAGAGCTCATCAGGGGGTTTGGACTGGGTGTCTATCAATATGCAGATGATACCCAGCTCTACCTCTCTTTCAAATCAGAACCAGTGAAGGTGGTGAAGGTCCTGTGTGACTGCCTGGAGGCGGCTGGAGGATGGATGGCGGCTAATGGATTGAGGTTGAATCCTGACAAGACGGGCTGGTGTGGAGGACTCCCTGGTCCTGAATGGGGTGACTGTGCCCTTGAAGGACCAGGTGCGCAGCCTGGGAGTCATTTTGGACTCACAGCTGTCCATGGAGGCGCAGGTCAATTCTGTGTCCAGGGCAGCTGTTTACCAGCTCCATCTGGTACGCAGGCTGAGACCCTACCTGCCCACAGACTGTCTGGCCAGAGTGGTGCATGCTCTGGTAATCTCCCGCTTGGACTACTGCAATGCGCTCTATGTGGGGCTACCTTTGAAGGTGACCCGGAAACTACTACTAATCCAGAATGCAGCAGCTAGACTGGTGACTGGGGGAGGCCGCCAAGACCACATAACACCGGTCTTGAAAGACCTACGTTTCCGAGCACAATTCAAAGTGTTGGTGCTGACCTTTAAAGCCCTAAACGGCCTCAGTCCTGTATACCTGAAGGAGCGTCTCCACTCCCATCGTTCTGCCCGGACATTGAGGTCCAGCACCAAGGACCTTCTGGCGGTTCCCTCATTGCGAGCAGCAAAGCTACAGGGAACCAGCCAGAGGGCCTTCTCGGTAGTGGCACCCGCCCTGTGGAACGCCCTCCCACCAGATGTCAAAGAGAAGAACAACTACCAGACTTTTAGAAGACATCTGAAGGCAGCCCTGTTTAGGGAAGCTTTTAATGTTTAACAGACCACTGTATTTATTTATTTTTTAAAAAAATAATATTTATTAAAGTTTCAGAAGAAAAAGATTACATTAATAAGAAAAATAACAATAAAAAAAGAAAAATACAAAATACAAAAAAGAAAAAACAGTTAAAAACAATTCCATCTTTTCATCGCTTCTCTTACATTTACTTGTTTCCCGGACCTCCTCATACCGCCCTCTTTTGTATTCCAATTCAATTTGTTAGTCCAGCAATTCCTTTCCCTCCTTTTTAATCCTGATCTTTACTCTTAATATATTATAACATTAAATTTTTACGTATTAAAAACCAATTTTTCCATATTCTTTTATACCAGTACAGTTAGAAACCACTTAACTTCAATCCAACATCATTCTAACATTCATTAATTTTGCAATATTTCTGTAAATAGTCTTTAAATTTCTTCCAATCCTCTTCCACCGACTCTTCTCCCTGGTCTCGGATTCTGCCAGTCATTTCCGCCAATTCCCCTGTATTTTAATATTCGGTTGGAAGACACCCAGAGTGGCTGGGGGAACCCAGCCAGATGGGCGGAGTACAAATAATAATAAATAATAATAATAATAATAATTTATTATAATAAATTATTATTATTATTATTATTATTATAGCTAGGGATGATGGGAGTTGTAGTCCAAAACAACAACAGCTAGAGACCCAAGTTTGCGAAACCTTGGATTAGTTCCTCACAGATGTGTGCATATTCACACAGCTGTGAAGGGAAAAGGGCCGCCCCCCCCCCGACCCTGGGCGTCGCTCCCTCAGCCTGGCCCACCTCACAGGGCTGTTGTGACACAAGGGACCCTGCTAAGAGCGGGAGCGGAGGGCGGTCCGTTCTGTACCTGCCAACCCACCTGCACCTCAGACCCCGCCGTGTACAGGCTGATCAGCAGCACGAGCGAGGCGGCCCCTCCGAGGCCCGCCAAAAGGCGGCAGAGCCGGGGATAGCGGCGGGCGGCCATCGAGGAGGAGCCTCCGCGGGCGCGAGCCGAGCCGCCGCCCGCCCCCCGCCACGCGAGCGAGCGAGCGAGGGAGGCGCGCACGTTCGGGACGGAGCAAAGCTCCTTGGGAGGTGGAGTCCCCCCGTCGCTCAGAGCAAGGCGAAGAACATGGCGGAGGGACTACAATTCCCATGAAGCCCCGCGGCGCCAGAGAAAGAGAGCGCGCGCGCGCGTGTGTGTGAGGTAAAAGCAAACGGACCCTCGTCGAGAGAGGCAAGGCCAACTTTTTGAGGGGAGTTTGGTGTCGCTTGACCCGCCCGCGGAGCTCAGAAAAGCAGCTGGGGAGGACGGTAAGTGCCTCCAGGGAAAGGATAGCTCCCTCTTTTCCACACACCGCCATTGCTTTCCCTGGTGCCGGTTTCACTTCGACAGGCAGACGCAGCCTGTGGCTGAGGCGGTTTTGCAAAGCTTGCTTTTGTGTGTGGGTGTGTTGTGTGTCGGTCAGTTTTGGGGAATTAATTCCCCCCCCCCCCACAATAATATTTATTATTTTTCATACATAAACATAACAAAAAAAGAGAGTTAAGAAAAAGAATAAAACGAAAAGAAAAAAGAATATAAAACATAAAATACATCAAATCACCACATAAACTAAAACTTAATTAATTAAAATCCATCTTCATAAACATATTACTTGACTTCCTCTAGTCTCTTCCATCTGAATTTCTTAGTGATTATATATAGCAGTTTCCAATATCATTATTTCATAAAACCATATCACAGTCATAATCATATTTCCTAACTTTTCTTATCGTACATTTTCTTATTTATTTATTTAATCTTTCCCCCCCCACAATAATATTTATTATTTTTCATACATAAACATAACAGAAAAAAAGAGTTAACAGTAGTAAAAGAAAAAGAATAAAACGAAAAGAAAAAAGAAAAAGATAAAAGAATATAAAGAAAAAAACAGAATATAAACAGTTGTGGGGAATTAATAAAGGAACCTGTTATGTACTGAAGTTCTCACCCTGGGCCAGCAGGGGGATACTGTGGATAGTTTTCACTCAGGTCCGCATATGCAAATAAGGAATTGAAAGTGACGTTCAGTGATTGGATAGTTGCAGAAAGTTGTTACTGTTGCATTGTAGTGGAGCTCTATATAAGCAGGCTGGCTGAACCCTTCAGCCCAGTTCTGTTCTGGGTCTGTGAATAAACAAGATCAGTCTGAAGAATCGCTGTGTCGTCTGATATGTTCACCCACAACTTAACAGAACCAGTTTGTCCACTGCTGGCCAGGCAAAGTTTAGGTTTATTCCATTTACACTTCCCTTTATACTTAAGAGAATTGTAGTGTTGGAAGGGGTCCCTAAGGGCCATCTAGTCCAGCCCCTTGCAAATGCAGGAATCTTTTGCCCACAGCTGTCCCCAAGGGGGTCTTGAACCACCAGACCTTTGGGTTTGTGGGAGTGGGGGTGGTATTGGTTCGTTTCGGGTTTTTGTTCTCGTTTTTTATTACATATTTTGTGCTTCTACAGTCATACCTCGGGTTACAGACGCTTCGGGTTGTGCGATTTCGGGTTGCGCACCGCGCTGAACCCGGAAGTACCAGAACGGGTTACTTCCGGGTTTTGGCGCATGTGCAGAAGCACCAAATCGCGCTTTGCGCATGTGCCATAGCTGTCAACGTTTCCCTTTTTTAAAGGGAAATTCCCTTATTCCGAATAGGATTCCTCACAAGAAAAGGGAAACGTTGACAGCTATGGCATGCGCAGAAGCGCCGAATCGCAACCCTCGAGTGTGCACAAGCGGCGCTGCGGGTTGCAAACGCTGCGGGTCGCGAATGTGCTTCCTGCACGGATCATGTTCACAACCCGAGCGTCCACTGCATTCTGTTTTGCTACGCCATGAATGGCAGTATACAAATGTGATAAATAAAAAATAGCAGCCAGACACAGTGACCCGTAGCACCACACGTACACACCCCGGGTCTTCCGACTAAACAATAACTTTCTGACAGTAAGAGCTGTTCAACTGTTCAAGAGCTGAGGATTCCCTCAGAAGGTAGTGGGTTCTCCTTCCTTGGAGTTTTTAAAGCAGAGGCTGGATAGCCATCTGTCACGGATGCTTTAGTTGAGATTCCTGCATGACTGGATGACCCTCGGGGTCCCTTCCAACTCTACGGTTCTTTGATTCCCACTGGATAAGAAGCCCTGAAAGGATTTACAACCAAAGTCAAAACAAAACCAAACCCACGGACAATAAAAAAACACAAACATTTTAAAATGCAGGTTTGACAGTACATTACCGTTCCCAGTGGGGACGCTGGTGGCACTGTGGGTTAAACCACAGAGCCTAGGACTTGCCGATCAGAGGGTCAGCGGGTTGAATCCCCGCAACGGGGTGAGCTCCCGTTGCTCGGTCCTAGCTCCTGCCAACCTAGCAGTTCGAAAGCACGTCAAAGTGCAAGTAGATAAATAGGTACCGCTCCAGCGGGAAGGTAAACAGCGTTTCTGTGTGCTGTTCTGGTTCGCCAGAAGCGGCTTAGTCATGCTGGCCACATGACCCGGAAGCTGTACGCCAGCTCCCTCGGCCAATAAAGCGAGATGAGCGCCGCAACCCCAGAGTCGGCCACGACTGGACCTGATGGTCAGGGGTCCCTTTACCTTTACCTTTACCGTACCCAGTGCCCACTGCCAGGCTATTTTATGCCCTTGGCAAGGCCATCGATTTGCACGCACACCAAAAATTGCTCACTGCAATTTTCAAAAATGAACATCTTGTAGAAATGATAAACTTCTTCAAAATAAAAACTAAAAATAAAATATTGTCGGAAATTTATACGCTAAGCTGTATAAAACTCTGCCCCTCAAAGGAGGTTTGCCCCTTAGGTGGCTATCTGGTTGGCCTAAAGATAGCACTGACCATATGTAGCAATAAAAAGGTGTGAAAGAGCACAAGCAGTAAAATGCTCCCCTGCCCTCAAACAGCACGATTTCAACTCCCTGGCAGCAACTTCTCAAACAGATTTACTACAACTCCTATCCTTGCAAAATCTTTTCCAACCTGGCCAAAGGTTAATTGAACGATTTGAGTTTGGCAGGCTCAGTTCCAGATCCCCTCCCATGCTAGGAACATGTGATAGAATAGTAAAAGTTGAGTCCTGGAATTCTCTTTAGTGGCACAGCCACCTCCAGCTGCACCTTGGATTAAGGGAGAAAGATCTTATTGGATCAAACTGACCACTGACCTTAGACTGGGCACCAAGTCTGGGCACCAGTTTGGGAACCAAGAAAGAAAACCCTGTTTTCTAGGCTCTGCCAACAGGCTTGTAAAATCAGGAAAACAAAGGCAAACTTCCCAAATACAGCACACAGTTATGTCTCAGTTTTTTGCCTTCTGAAATCTGAATCTATATATTGAAGAATGTCTGTATATGTGTGTTATGAATAACTAGGGGTGATGGCATTGTGAAGAAAAACTGTAGGTTGGTAGGAAAAATCCTTTATCTGTTGTAGAAGCTTTATGGTGCATTTACATGCATGCTTACTCCTACGTAAGCCCTCCTGAGTTTAATGCAACTTACTCCCAGGTAAGTGTATATATTTTCAGCCTGAATTATCTTCTTGTTATGAGGCTGCTGTAAATTCAGCTATGGAGTTCAGTACCATAAGATGTAGTGAAGTGTGTTTTACAAATTTAATAAATAAGTACAACTCTAAAACAGTTTCCTGTCTTTGTTTCCAGCGGAGATCATGGCATTGAAAGAAATTTCCAGCAATAAATGCTTCGGTGGTTTTCAGAAAGTGTTTGAGCATGACAGGTAAATGTTTTATTCATGTAATTTTTTTAAAGGATATTTTGCAACCCTGGGGTTAGGGTTATATTCAGCTAAGTCCTACTTAGTTGAGTAGACCCATTGAAATGAATGAACCTAAGTTAGCCATGTCCATTAACTTGAATTGACCTATTCTTGAGTGGGAATAACACTGAATAGCACCTTTATGCTGCAGGCCTATACCCACAGGTCAGTATAACTAAAAATACTAAATAAAAATGCTAGTGCAAGGATTAGCACTAGTGCAAGGGGGTTTCCCCCCCTCTCCTGCACCTGCCCTGTGCCACAGCAGAAGCCTTTGGGTGCAACCTACCCACTACCTATAACCCATAGCCACCAAAGTTTAGAAAATTTGTCCCTATGTGTTTGGGGCTGGACAACAGCTAATTACTAAACAAATGCATATTCATTTTTGCCCCTTCCTGATTTTTTTTTTTGGCAGACAACAATTTTGCATATAGCAGTTCTGTTGATATTTAGGCTTTGGTGTCATACCAAAGTACTGAGAAAACATCTTTTTGTTCTTCAATTTTAATCACATTTTTAGTAGCTTAACCATCACTACATCTTCCTTGCTTTTTCAGTGAACATCCAGTTGTCCATTGCAGGGGTGGGAAACCTGTCTCCCTCCAGATGCTGTTGAACTCCAGCTCCCATCAGCCCTAACCAGCATGGTCAGTGGGCAGGGATGCTGGGAGCTGTAGTACAATATCTGGAGGGCCACAGATTAGCCACACCCACCCCACTGTACTCCACTCTGTCCTTTCAGTCTCTATGCTCAGTCCCTCGTGTGTCTCCTTTTGCGTTCTTGGATGCTCAGGTAGACCCTCTTTGATAATCTGCATCATGTCCCTTCTTGTGGCAGCTCCAATTGTCTGCTGCCTCTACTTGCCTTGACTCAATTAGTTGCACTGATTTCCATGGGGGAACAAAAACACTCTTAAGTAGTTAAATAAAGCATGCGGCTTGAGTGTTAGCCTCTGGCAACTCTGATCGGAGGTTGCGGTTTCTTATAAGCGACATTATTTTTGTCGGGTTTCATTAGTCCATGTTAACTGCATTTTGTTGTCAACAGCGTTGAGCTGAAATGCAAAATGAAGTTTGGGGTTTATCTGCCACCCAAAGCAGAAACTGAGAAATGCCCTGTATTGTACTGGCTCTCAGGTGAGTAATCTGAAGTGGCCCTTGAAAAAGATATCGCCAAAGGGGGTTAAAATTAATTCAAACATGTTGTAGGTGTGATTTCAGTAGGCTTCTTCTGATAGTTGTTTCAGAGATTCATATACTACTTTTCATCAAAAAATTATCACAAAGTGGTCTCCAGGAAGAGATCAAACAACAAATAAAATAATAAAATATATTTAAAAGAAATGAAAACATAAATTCTATGAAACAGTGTAGCATCAAAACTCTATAGATCACAGCAAGCTAAATGGGCCAACCATAAGTCTGAAGCCTGGGGAAACAAAAGTGTCTTGAGGTAGTGACAGAAGCTTACCAAAAATGTTGTCTGTACCACTAGGAAAAGGGAGTTTTCATACCAAGGGAGCCTTATATTGCATCCCTACACAGGGAGCAGCACCTGCCAGGGAGACAGCAAGAAGGCCCCCCTCCTCCAATCTTATAGCCCAGATAAGATTGCAAAGTGTTTTTGTAGATTATCATCTAGATCAGGTTGGTTCAACTCGCAGCCCTCAATGCCTTTTTTGGCAGCCCTCTGCACCATTTTATGCCCCCCCTCCAGCCGTCGTACCTCCTTCCCAAAGCTGGCTAAGCAAGGCTCTAGGCTTTGGGAAGGAGGTGTGAGGGCTCTGAGAGGGTCCTAGAGTCCTCCTTCCTCCTTCCCAAAACCTTGTTAGCACTTTCCCAGCTTTGGGAAGGAGGTGGGAGGGCTCTGGGACCCTGCCAGAGCCTCATAAAGGTAAAGGGACCCTACTATTAGGTCTAGTCGTGGCCGACTCTGGGGTTGCGGCACTCATCTCGCTTTATTGGCCGAGGGAGCCGGCATACAGCTTCCGGGTCATGTGGCCAGCATGACTAAGCCGCTTCTGGCGAACCAGAGCAGCGCACGGAAACGCCGTTTACCTGCCCGCCAGAGCGGTACCTATTTATCTACTTGCACTTTGACGTGCTTTGGAACTGCTAGGTTGGCAGGAGCAGGGACCGAGCAACGGGAGCTCACCCCGTCGCGGGGATTCGAACCGCCGACCTTCGGATCGGCAAGTCCTAGGCTCTGTGGTTTAACCCACAGCGCCACCCACGTCCCTTGCCAGAGCCTCATACCTCCTTCCCAAAGCCCAACACCTTGCTTATTCGGGGTTTGTTTGTTTTTTTGTTTTTTGTTTTTTTTGGAAGGCAGCACAAGGACTGGCAGCAGAGTGTCAATTTTGACTTGCTCCCCTTGCTCCATGTGGCAAAACAGTTTGCGGTCCACAGGTTCCATGTCTGAGTGCTGTTGTGGTCCACTTGGTATGAAAAGCTGGACTTCCCTGATCTAGATACATTTGTGATTCAGTGATAAAGCCAGACTGCCTTGCTTTTGCTGTCAGCTGAGCCTCATTAAAGGCTTATAGATAAGATAATTTGTGGCACATCTCTTTCTGCAAGATGCTGTTAGGCGCTGGACAAAATCTGACACCCTAAGTGACTCAAGCTTTAGTGTTAAATTAGAAAGCTTCCTTACAACTGCTTCAGCCAGAATTTAGAGAATCAGTGTTGAAGTTCACACCCAGGTGGCATCTTGCTCCAGTGAGAACAGTGCTGTATGACTAATGAGGTGTCACATAGCCCTTTAAGGTGTTTATAACCACATAATTAACAAAGAATAGACGGTCACTCACCCATATGTGGTGGGATTGTGCATTAGTGCCAGATGTTTATTCTGTCTAAGATGTTTGACAGAATATTTGTAATAGTCCAATGGATCGCCCATCCTGTTCCAACTTTGGCACTGCTCTCCCTAACTAGCAGCCCTCATAGCATTATCTGCCATGTCATACTTTTTGGTAGGAACTGCCCTTATGAAGATTGCTAAAAATTGGTAGGCTCTTTTCAAATCTGCCACTCAAGGAGGACACTCCAAAAACTGGCAAACTTCACAGAAAAACTGGCAGTAAATTCATTAGTGTGATTGCAAAGAAAGACCTTTTCATAAAAATCTGTTTTCCCTTCTTATATGTGCCTGCGGAAATTCTTTGCTTCCTGCTACTGGTATTAATAGGATTAATTTAAACATGGTAGCATTTCAGGTCTAGTGGAACTTTCTTTACTCTTCAACAATGAATGAGAACTTATGTGTAATAAAAAAATATTCACTGTCAACACAATGTCTTTTTTGTTTTCTTTGTCTACTGGTACATTAATAAAAATGTAATGAAGAAAATTTATTTGCAATTAAACAGTAATTGAATAACTTTTGCATGGTGGCAGAATTACAAGTAAATTGTAAAAAATCAGATATTTTATTCCATCATATTCCACCGAAAGAACAGAAGAGAAATAATCAAGTGGTTTGAATATACCACTTTGCCACATGCAATTTATATATCTGAGAATCCAGATTATAAACAAACAAACAAACAAACAAACAGGCTGATAGTGGCAAGTTATGTGCCCTTTATGGAAGGAAATTCTGAAAATTAAAGGGGAGAAGCTGTCATTAATTGGTTGTATAACAGCAATTAAAACTATTGTTGTTCCTAGGTTTACTTATCTTTTCCAGTTCTTCCTAGGGGAGACATTTAGCTAGGGGAATAGCTAAATGAGTGGCAAAAATGTTTGGAATCTTTCTGAAAGAAAAAACCTGGAACAACAACAACAAAAAGCCCTGTTATATAAACATCTATCACTGGGAGGATGGGGGAATTCGTTTTTTTGAAGTTATACTTTGAGGCTAATCAATTTAGACACTTAGGCCCAGCAATATCAAAAGATATAAACAATGGTTCAAAGTGGAAAGTGCATCCTCTTACTTTTGGGCTAAAACACGCTCACTTGGATAGCTTCTGAGCCAGAACCCTATTGGCAGTGCTCTTGCCATTACAATGCTCTTCTGTCTTTTCAGGATTAACGTGCACAGAACAAAATTTCATAACGAAAGCAGGTTTCCATCAAGCTGCAGCTGAACAAGGCCTGCTTGTGGTTGCCCCAGATACCAGCCCACGTAAGTGCTAGGCCAATGAACATCAAATTAATTGCTTTTAATTATTGCTGTTACGTAGCTGTGCGTATTACTAGTAAGTTAAGCCAAACTTTGTATACAATCCTAGAATCTTGTCCATTTGTATCAATAATATTAATAATAATAATAATACAGTGGTACCTCAGGTTACATATGCTTCAGGTTACATACGCTTCAGGTTACAGACTCCGCTAACCCAGAAATAGTGCTTCAGGTTAAGAACTTTGCTTCAGGATGAGAACAGAAATTGTGCTCCAGCAGCGCAGCGGCAATGGGAGGTCCCATTAGCTAAAGTGGTGCTTCAGGTTAAGAACAGTTTCAGGTTAAGAACGGACCTCCAGAACGAATTAAGTCCTTAACCCAAGTTGCCACTGTACACCACTATTTTTTCCCATTCAGCAGCCCAACAGCCCACTCATAAAAACTGTTCTTTAACCTGTTGGTGCAGCTGACTATACTTCTGTATCTCCTGTCCAAAGGTAGGCGATTAAACAAGTGCTGGCCAGGGTGTGAGTCATCCCTAAGAATTTCCCTCGCTCCCTGAGGCAGCGGTCTCCTGCGATGTCATCTAGCAAACTCTGAGGACAGCCTATGATGTCATGTGCTGTATTCGCCACCCTCTGTAGGGACTTCCTGTCTGTGGCTGTCAAACCAGCGTACCACACTGTTATACAGTATGAAAGGACACTTTCTATTGTGACCCGGTAGAAGGAGATCATCAATTCTTGCTTGACATTGTACTTTCTTAAGACCCTGAGGAAATGGAGTCTCTGTTGGGCCTTCCTAACCAACAGATGTTTTCCTGTGCAGTTCCAGTAGTTGCCAGATCAGCACAGATACAGTATTGATAAGCGGATTTTCCTGTAAATGCATCTTCCTCCTGGGCGGTGGGGTGGGGAACAGCACACACTAAAGATCTGCCTTTTATTTCCCCACAATTGGCTAGACAGTGGCATGCGCTTTTAGCTCTTCATCTAGTAAAGTCCATCTAAGTGTGCAAGGTCTTCCTCCTTACCAGGTAGACTGTTCTGCCTGGCAACCCTTTGCCAAGCAAAGAGAGGCATGCACATAAAGCCCCTTGAACATAAAGGAAAAGTGCCACTCCTCTGCTGTGAATGGTGATTATCAGCATAGACTTTCTTTCCATGGTAGGTGGATGCAATATTAAAGGAGAAGATGAGAGCTGGGATTTTGGCACTGGAGCTGGTTTTTACGTGGATGCCACTGAAGATCCGTGGAAAACAAATTATCGCATGTACTCGTACATAAAGGATGAGGTGACTTTTGGCTTGGTTATATGTGCCTGTGTACAATTCTCTTGATGTAAATATAGAATGGGATATAATACAAGGTGTAGGTTCCCCAACTTTTTCTCCCCCATCCTTCTACTGTAAGTCTGATGGTCAGATACATATGAGTATCCTTCTGGACTCAGAAAGAAAAATCTGACACCCAACTGTGTCCGTATTGGCAAGATCTGGCATTGGTACTTGCGCTTTATCTCTGAGAAAATAAGACACCTGTAAATTTGTCCTGCATTTCCTCTCACGCATTTTCTCACCTGCACTCAAGCTCTGAGGGTCTAATTTTCTGCTCTGAGAAATTCTGTAATATGGTACCCTGTAATTCCTTATGAACTCTTACCATCTTCCCTAACTTTGCCCAACATCACCAAAGGCAAGCGAAAGGCCTGGTGTCTCTTTAAGTGTGCAGGCAATAGCATTGCTTCTTTAAACTTGCTCTGCCTTCATATACTTGCAAGGACCCCTGAAACTGTTATAGTAAAATCTCCTCAAGTTGAGTAGTTTACTGATAGTTTCCCTGTTTCTTTGTAGCCAATATATCCCACAGAAAGCTTATTGGGCAGCATGTGTGCTGCTGTTTGATAATGTGTTGGACAAAGGCAAAGGTTTGATAAAGTGTAGGTCAAAATGTTAATATACTCACATCTATTTCCTTCCCATTGACGTCTTCCAGTTACCTAATCTGATAAATGCCAATTTCCCAGTTGACTCTGGGAGGATTTCTATTTCTGGCCATTCAATGGGGGGTCATGGTGCTCTAATCCTCGCTCTGAAGAATCCCGGAAAATACAAGGTAAGATTCTGAATTCTTTAATGTATATCGAATAAAGTAAAGGAATTAGATAATGATGCAAAGAGAGATAATGTTAAGAAAATTTACCCTGAAAAAGTAAGAGATGCAATCACCTTTATCAGTGCGGTTTTTAAATCAGTGGTCAAATTCAGTGCAGTTTTGAAAGGGTCAGTGCACCATCTTGCTGTCTGATTGTATCCAAACATAGACAAAAACCTGCTCCTTGATATCAGGAACCATCATGTAAAATTTAGTTATGCTATTTTAAGAGATGTCCAAATACATATCAAACAACTTTCCAAAATACAGTGGTGCATCAGTTTTCAAACGTAATCTGTTCCGGAAGACCGTTCGACTTTCGAAACGTTCAAAAACTGAGGCGCAAAGGGCAGTCTGCAATTTAAATGGGGGAAATTGGGGGGAAACTCAGCGAAAGCTGTTCAACTTCCGAAAAGTGTTTGAAAATGGAAGCAATTACTTCCGGGTTTTTGGCGTTAGAAAAACGAAACGTTCAGCTTCCGAGATGCTTGAAAACCGAGGTACCACTGTATATAGTAGATTGGCATTCTGGATGTTTACAATTAATAGGCGGTGCAAATTGAAGTATGGCACAATCCTTTGAAGATATATTGATAAATGGGGACAGAAACAAATAAAGTAAATAAAAATTGTGTTATGTCTACACATGTCCGTACACCAGGACAAGATGGGTTTGCACTGTCCTTTCCTACACATGACAAAAGGTGAAAATGAGCAGCTGTTTTCTAGAACCATGCTGTTTTCTACAACTTTACAAATGCAGTTTTTAAAAATTCAGAGTTGCTGGGGAAAATCTAGATTCAGATATTAACACAGTCACTTTGTTTTCCTTGAATCTTAACTAGACTGTTTCAGCCTTTGCGCCAATCTGCAACCCAGTTCAGTGCCCGTGGGGGAAGAAAGCTTTTAGTGGATACCTGGGGTCGGATGTAACCAAATGGGAGGTATGTACTGGAAATATCAGCATGGTGTAGAATAACCACAGAAGCGCCATCAAACTACTTCATCAATATAGATTTTTTTAAAAAGGCAAGGCAGGTTGGGTGCAGTCTTGAAAAGGGGTATAAAATTATACAGTCATGGGGAAAAGAAAGCACACCCTCTTCGGATTCTGTGGTTTTACATATCAGGACATATTAACGATAGTCTGTTCCTTACCAGGTCTTAAAATTAGGTAAACGCCATGATTTATTTAACGTGGTGCAGCTTGCGTGCATGAGGCAAGTATGTCATACGGCGTGTGCAAGTGAGGTGAGCACATTGCGTGGCATGTGTGCATAGTCGCCATGGAATTTTGAGGGGGCCCGGCCCTCTCCTTAGATATGGGAGGGCCTTAGCCCACCAACTCCCCCAAGGAAGCGCCCTTGCTGGCATTGCTTACTCCTGTACATTTCTTTCTTGTGGTTGTAACACTGTAAAGCCTTCTGGAGTGCGAGAGGAATGGTGGTTCCTGGCAGAAATGTTTCCCGCATTCTCCCGTGTTGGAGTTGAAAAATAAGAAAATGGGGTAGCTCATAAAGAACAAGCAAGCCAGAATTGTGTTACTTTCCTTGGCTGCTCCCAATCTCTGGTGCAGAACATTTTCCAAGACAGGCTAGGAAATAGTGGCAGTTAAGTTTTCATGGGGAAGGGCAAACGGGCTCCTGAACACTTTCACTCTACAGCAAATCTGCCTCTTTGGCTGCTGCTGTTACACTTAAAAGTCCACTTTCTTGCTCACAGTGATGTCATTGTTACCAAGGAATGTCCGAAACTCCACCCATCAGCATAAATCGTTTTATCTGCTGTTGACTTTCTATTTGTTATGTCCACTGCAAAATAAATCTGTGTGTTATATGAATACTGAAGACAGGCAGGTAGCCATGTTGGTACCTTGGAGACCAACTAAGTTAGTTATTGGTATGAGCTCATACCAATAACTAACTTAGTTGGTCTCTAAGGTGCTACTGGAAGGATTTTTTAATTTTTTAATTTTATTTTATTTTGTTATGAATACTGAATGTGAGCCTGGTCAGCGTTGCATTTTAATTTGGAATTGACTGTAAATTGGATAGGAATTGTGACTCTTTCTGTTGGTCATTGTTTTTCCAGTATTGTGAGATCTTGGGCTTACCCAGATTTACCTTTTGCCCTGCTGTTTTCAGGCACAGGCTCATGCTTTAAAGCTGCATGTCCAAGCACCACCACCCCACCACCCCCGGTTTCTGTGCGAAAACCCACTCTTTAAGCTGAAGTGCAATAACAGCAATTTGAATTTTCTGTGGATTGCTTTCGCTTTGAAAAGCTCTGAAGCCTACAGAGAGCAATCAGACACAGAGCTTTAAAGTGCAGATTACGCCTGGAAAGTGTGGAGGAAAGGTCAATATGGATAACCTCTTGTCTGGATGCTGCAGTTTTTAGAAGTGAATGTATCTATATCCATTGCAGGCTTACGATGCTACACATATTGTGAAGTCCTACAAAGGTCCCTCTTTGGACATTCTGATTGATCAAGGCAAAGACGACCAGTTCCTTACAGCAGGGCAATTGCTGCCTGATAATTTCATTGCTGTCTGCACAGAGCACAAAATCCCAGTGGTCTTCAGAATGCAGCAGGTAATGTCCTAAACGTTCTGTGTCTTGTGTTAAATTTTCAGTAGTAAAGGTCAATGATTCTTCTCTTTGCCTCCTGAGGCAGTATTATCATTTTCAGGTTTATTTAGATATTGTCTGCTCCCCTCTCTCATTCACTCACACACATCCCAAAAAAACCCCACTACACCAATTTAAAGAATAGTACATTCATTCTTTTAAAGAATTAAAAATAAATCAGCAAAACAACCCAAAACACTTTCAAACAAATTAAAGAGCAAACAGTAAACAAACAAACAAACAAATGCTACTTGTTAATTCCTGATGGCTTGACAAAATAAAAACAGCTTTTCCTCATGGAAGAGGATCCATGAACAGTAGTTAAAAGGGCCCCCATCAGAACCTGTAGGGAACCTGCATAGGCCTTGTGTAATAGAAACGTTTTCAGCAGGAATTTATAGTTGGCTAAGAAGATGCCTGCTGAATCTCTCTTGAGTGGGTGTTCATAGGTAAAAAAAGGTAAAGGATCCCTGGACAGTTAAGTCCAGTCAAAGGCAACTTTGGGGTTATGGCGCTCATCTCACTTTCAGGCAGAGGAAGCCAGCGTTTGTCCACATACAGCTTTCCGGGTCATGTGGCCAGCATGACTAAACCGTTTCTGGCACAACGGGACACCGTGACAGAAACCAGAGTATACGGAAACACCGTTTACCTTCCCTCCACAGCAGTACCTATTTATCTACTTGCACTGGTGTGCTTTTGAGCTGCTAGGTTGGCAGGAGCTGGGACAGAGCAACGGGAGCTCAACCTTTCAAGCGGATTCGAACCGCTGGCCTTCCGATCAGCAAGCCCAAGAGGCTCAGCTGTTTAGGCCACAGCGCCACCCACTCCCTTCTGGGTGTTCATAGGACTGGGTTGATGGCATTAAAGGTTCAGTTTCTCACTGTCCTCCAACGAGCCTCACCAGCTTGGGAAATAAAAACCAGTGCTCCTGACTGAGCTGAGGTACAAGGTTTCAGCCAATCCCTGAGGTACCCTGGACCCAAGTTGCTCAGGGCTTTGTAAATTAATACAAGAACCTTGAACCTGGCATGATCCCATTTCTGAAACCCCGGAGAGCTGCTGTAAATTGGTCAGTGATGTAATTCAGGATAAGGCAGCTTCCTGAGTTCCTGTGTTCCGCTCTGCATGCAGAAGGTCCCAATTTCAATCCCCGGCTTCTCCAGGTAGGGTTGGGAACCTTCCCTTTTCTGAAGCCCTGGAGCCCAGCCAGTGTAGACATTACTGAACAAGATGAACCCTTTTTCTTGAATTGTGTTGAAGGGACGCAGGTGGCGCTGTGGGTAAACCACAGAGCCTAGGACTTGCTGATTGGAAAGTCGGTGGTTCGAATCCCCACGGCGGGGTGAGCTCCAGTTGCCTGGTCCCAGCTCCTGCCAACCTAGCAGTTCGAAAGCATGTCAAAGTGCAAATAGATAAATAGGTACCACTCCGGCAGGAAGGTAAACGGCGTTTCCGTGCGCTGCTCTGGCTCGCCAGAAGCGGCTTAGTCATGCTGGCCACATGACCCGGAAGCTGTAGGCTGGCTCTCTCAGCCAATAAAGTGAAATGAGCGCTGCAACCCCAGAGTCGGTCACAACTGGACCTAATGGTCAGGGGTCCCTTTACCTTTACTTTAACGTACCAAAGGATTGCAGTACTGTGCAATATGTACATTTATATCCCTCTGTCGGTCTACAAGGGCACATTCTTAAGTTGTTCTGGCAAGTTTCCTTTAAAGGTAGATGATACCTTCCTCTGTCAACAGAGAGATAGACAATGGTTAGATAATTTATTACACTGAATGCGTATGCTGAACCCAAGGCGAATTTTCCAGCTACTTGGTTCTTGAGTACTACTGCCTCTGAATAGTGCTGTAAAAAACAATGCTTTTGAAGACATGTTGGCTATGGATTTGACCATTTGATTTCTTTTTCCCCTTCCCAGGGCTACGATCACAGTTACTACTTTATAGCAACATTCATTAACGACCATATCAGGCACCACGCAAAATACCTCAATGCTTGACTTGAGTATCTCCTGACAGTATAAAACAATTGGAAGATAATCAGTGGAAATTAACAACGAAAAAGTACGTGAATAATCAGTGTATTGAAATGAAGTCCTGATTTTGTTCCTCAGAATAAACACTTGGAATATGCCTTGTCTGGTGTGAATTAATTTAATCACATTTGGGAATATCACTGTAAAGCTACCATTCTAAGCTGAAAGCATTTCTAGTTATATTATAGCTACACTGCTTTATCCAAACTATAGAACTGGCAAACATCTTCCCCTGTTTGTGTGAGGCTTGCTCATGGTTGTGTGTGTCAACGCAAGCCTGCTTGTAACAGGGGGAAAAGATATTTTGAAAGTGGTATTTTGGATCCTGCATTCAAAACTAGAATTTAGGCTACCTGGTAGAACACACAGAATCAACCCCCCCCCCCCCCGATTTTTAGCTTGTAAAGTATGTGAGAGGCTTGCTGAATACAGTAGTGAGGAACAGTAGTGCCTTAACCTTCCCCCCCCCCCAATTCTACCCTCCCTTTCTCCCCACTGCCGTTTCAAATATGTGGTTGCCCCCACAGCAGTAATGTCTTCATCCTGGGCTGCGTATACGTGATGTCCTATCATAGTCATCCTACAATAAGTAACCTTCAGTATACCCACTGACAGCACACAAACAGCTTTGCCCTGGCACAGTAAGGGTGCTGGGGAAGCCTTGTGAGGGTGGCTATGGTTTAACATACATTTACTACAGCAATAAAACTGCTAGCACATTTGCAAAGCTAAGCAGGGTGCGGCATGGTTTCCAACTGGATGGGGGACCGCGTGTTGAGATGTGTGCATTGCAGGGCATTGGAGCAACTGACCTTCGGGGTCCCTTCCAACTCTACAAATCCATGATTCTATATATGTGAGAGAGCTGCTGGCTGCCCATAGTTTAGTCTACTTAAAAGTAGCTGCAACACCATTGAACAAGAATCTGAATACATGTCACTCAGTTTTACTGTGCACCATTCAACTTTATTCATTTTTATTTAACAACTGCTGTTTTACACATGTCCTTCCACTAAACTGGGCTGATGTCAGACACAGAATCTAAGTTTCTTAGCTCTTTTTCACTACCCCATTGTACTTTGAATCAGGATGTTAAAAGCGTAGATATGGTGTCCTTCATTAATGATGGAAGTATGGATTCTCCTACGGTTAAAATCATACATGCACTGTTGCTCTGTGCGGTTCAGTTGCATTTGCAGTTTTTATGTGGTCAATGTGAACTGCAAAGCACTCTGTATCCAGTGTAAATATTCATCAGGATTATGAAGCAAAATATGGTGTAGTAGTTTTTACTGGAAACGTTAGTGTAGAAAGATAAAGTACTGGCTATTCTGTAACTAATTTTTGCACTCAAAGCAGCTACATTGGAATCATGAGGCCAGTTCAGAAATGGAAGGATCCTCGATACACATGTGGTGGCATCACAAGCGGGCAAAAAATTACTGGGAGATTATTTATGAAGAACTTAAGAAAATGTTTAAATTTACATTTCCCAAAAACCCCGAAGCATTTTTATTGGCTATTATAGGTGAGGAGTTACCAAAGGAAGCTCACAATCTGTTTTTATATGTAACAGCAACTGCAGGAATAGATTACGCAAAAATATTGGAAAGAAGAGGTCATCCCAACAAAAGATCAATGGCTGTACAAGTTGATAGAATTTTCAGAGCTTGCCACTATGACAGCTAAAATAAGAAATTTGGATGAGAGGAAAATAAAGGGTGAGTGGGAATATCTTAGTGAATATTTTAAAAGATGTGACATTAAAACTGCTTTGCAAGTAGGGATGAATTTTTGAACAACAGTTAACAAAAGAAAAGAAAAAGAAGAAAAAATGATAGGAGTAAAGTAGGGAGGAACTAAATGAGTTGCAGCCAAATCCTGAATGCCGGTAAGGGATAAGTTGGGAAGTCTACATGGGAAAATGTGAGACAAAAACACTGTATGAAGTATAAAATGGAAATGGAAAAGTGTATAAACAAATAAAAAAAAGAATCATCAGGCCAGGACACAGACCTGTGTACAGTGCAGTGCTTGGCACTTTATTCGACAGACTGCCAGTTCAGCTTCAGTCAGTTAAAATATTGACATCTATTGCACTGAAGCTGCAGCATCTGTAGCTGCCGCAGCTTCAGCAGCTGCAACAGCTTCAGCAACATAATTTGAATAGCAGGTTGGCGAGCAGGCACTAAAAAGATAAGGAAGCCTAAGCCCATAGACATTCCTAAAAATGCGAGGGAACTGAAGGCCTTTTCCATACAAGGGTCCTGTGCAGCAGTCGCAGGCTTTAAAGCTAAAATGTGGAGAGAGAGAGAGAGAGAGAAATGTTAGGTGTTCTTTACATTTAACGTACTGAGAAAATAATGGACAGCAGGGCTGGCCAATGTGGAACTACAACCCCAGCACCTCTAGCCAGCATGGCAAATTACCAAGGATGATGGGAGTTGTAGTCCAAAACATCTGGCCAGCACCATGTTGTCTACCTATAGAGCAGAGCTTGCACTTGAAACCCATTAGAAATATTCTACTTTTATTAATAAGTAGCATTTAGATGGTGCCTGTGGTCTTGAACATTCAGAAACACTGAGTCGCGCCCGACATTGCGGGGGCTGACGCCACACGTGTGATGTGCATGCACGTGATGTCACACATGTTGCACGTGGCATGCATGATGACTGTGGCTTTGGGAGAGGCCGACCAGGGTTGCCCGCTAAGCCCCACTGGTCCACGTGGAGTCTTCTGACTGCACTGCCCAGGGTGACATTCTGCCAGGTCTCCTCTGCCCTCTCAAGATTTGGGGGACTGAGCCCCATCCCAGCAGACATTGTGGGGGGCTGTAGAGGCCTCATCCCCATGGAGTTGGCGCACCTGCTCAAGACATTGCATGTACCTTACCCCCACTTATCTTTATACAGGGGATGCCAACCTTTTTGGACCAGTGGGTGCTATTCTAGCACAGGGCTGTGAGAATCCCTACAGAAACCTTTTTGGTCACATAGTTATTGCAGTGGTTGGGGACTGACTGCTATTGCATCAAAAGTTTCCCTTAAAACCTGTGGTTGTGATGGAGGTCCCCGCCTTACTTACTTGAGCAATATCTCATGAATGTCCCTTGGGATCTTGCGATACACTCTCCAAAGGTTGTGTTTGGCAAAACAAAAGGCGGCCATGTCAGTGAGTCGTTGTGGCTCAAGGCGGCAGATTTCATCCCAGAAGTAGGTGTGCAAGAAGTTGTTTTCCACCTTAAGGCAGCTCAGCTTGAGCTTCAGCAGCCCGCAAGGCAAGACGTACAGTAGATTCCCTTCTACGTTCAGATATGTTAGGTTTCTAAAGGATCACAGACCAAAAGACACCCCACAGGTCACTTACATATGTCTCATCAACTTTAGAAGAAGAAGAAGAGTCTGGATTTGATATCCCACTTTATCACTACCTGAAGGAGTCTCAAAGTGGCTAACATTCTCCTTTCCCTTCCTCCCCCACAACAAACACTCTGTGAGGTGAGTGGGGCTGAGAGACTTCAAAGAAGTGTGACTGGCCCAAGGTCACCCAGCAGCTGCATGTGGAGGAGCGGAGACGTGAACCTGGTTCCCCAGATTACGAGTCTATCGCTCTTAACCACTACACCACACTACACCAAGCAGTTGGCATCCCCAGCTGGTTCCTCACAACATTCCTCTGAGTCCAACCAGTCCCTGACAATGGGTGTGTGAGTGAGGGTAAAACTAGCCTACTGTACGAAGGTAAAAGTCACATTTGTTGCTCTACCCACTTTTGATTCTGGCTCTGCTCACCACAGGAATGTGGCCCCTAGAGCTTTGCCCAGAATGGAATGTGTCCCACTGCAATAAGAGCTGGTACAAGTGTTTGTGCTTTGAAAATCTGATCAGGAAACCCCAGACAGTTGACACTAAAACAGTAGAAATCAGTTGGAGACTGAAATATATACCTGAGTTTTCCAATTTCATTAGGGATGCATTCAAGTTCATTGTAGGAAACATCGAGGCCCTGCAGATTGGGCAGTGAAAACAGCCTATAGAAAGAAAGCAAATACACACCATATCAAAGGCATATGAAACTCAGCACATCACTCACCTATTCAGCTGCTAATACATGCTGAGTAATTCAGGAGACCTAAAATTGCCACAGAAAGCCTCACAAAACCAAGAGACTACTTTCTTTGTCCTCCAATTTGTCACTATTGTAAAGACGGATTGTTTTGCACACAAAAAATGTGATAAAGATTATAGTTCCTAGAAATGGGCAGTTGTTGTTTTTTTAAGTGGGGGAGCGGTAAATAAAAGCAAAGACTGGTGGCATCTCAAATAATTTTGTTATGGTGAAAGCTTTTGTGGACGATAGTCTACTTTAGGTGCAAATAGACTGATGCACGTGGTTACATGTGAAGAAGTGGACTTTAGTGTGGAAGATTTGCAGTCAAATGCGAGTCAGTATGTGAAGGGGTTAAGGAGAATAGAGTTTTAAAAATTACTGGAGTAGTCTCTGTGATGTCACAGAGTGCCCTAAGTGTGCTGGTGTTTATGAATCACACCGCTGTACTTTTCAGGTGATTTTTGTGCTTTTTGTGATATTAAAAGCACTACTACTGTACCCAGCTGGAAGAGTAGTCAGCAAATTGAAGGACATAACCAATAATTTAAGATTCTTCATTCGGCAGATATCTTCTGGGATGAATTTGATGGGGTTGTTTCGGAGCTTTAGCACTTCTAAGTGTTTAAGATAAAATACCTGTGGGATCAAAAAGAAAATTGAATGGGCAAATGTAATAAAATGAAGAAAACTGGGGACAAAGCCAAGGCTGGGTGCTTGATCTTCTAAGTGGAGAGCAAAGGCGTTGAGAGACTTGGAGAGTGACTGGGGAACGGACAGCTTAGGAGGAAAGATAAGTAACCTTGTGTTGCATGTCACAAATAAACTCTGGTTCTTTGTGAACGTTCAGTACGCTGGGGCATGTTGATAAAATTGCAGGTGCATAGCTTCTCTCCTGTTGCTGCTGCTGTCAGAAAATGAGCCGAAATGGGATTAGAACCCTCTCAGATAGCTGCCATCTCCCGTCAAACCACCACATAATGCATGCAGCCATGTCTTCCCTGCTACTTGCATAAAAACAAGGCAGGATTTTGTTTGTTTGCTTGTTTGTTATGTCCCACCGTCACACTTACCTCTGTAGGAAAGAAGTACAAGTAGTTAAACGACAGGTTAAGGTACAGCAAAAAGCCGGCCAAAGGTGAGAGGTCTGGAAGTTGAAACAGAAAAAATGCCTATGGAGAAAACAGAAAGGGGCAGGGAACCCACATGAGATTTATATTTTCTATAACTAATCTGCTGTAAGAAAGAACTGCTTTCTTACAGCAGCTTACAGCAGCAACAAGGAACAGGCTAATACATGTCTATTTCCATCCCTGGAAACTGCTCCATACATTGGATGGAACAGTTTTGGAGGTATCTGCAGCATATTTGATTCAAAATAATATACACTTATGCTTTAAAAGCTATGGTTTTCCCAGTAGCGATGTATGGAAATGAGAGCTGGACCATAAAGAAGGCTGATCGCTGAAGAATTGATGCTTTTGAATTATGGTGCTGGAGGAGACTCTTGAGAGTCCCATGGACTGCACGAAGATCCAACCTATCCATTCTGAAGGAAATCAGCCCTGAGTGCTCACTGGAAGGACAGATCCTGAAGCTGCGACTCCAGTACTTTGGCCACCTCATGAGAAGAGAAGACTCCCTGGAAAAGACCCTGATGTTGGGAAAGATGGAGGGCACAAGGAGAAGGGGACGGCAGAGGACGAGATGGTTGGACAGTGTTCTCGAAGCTACCAGCATGAGTTTGACCAAACTGCGGGAGGCAGTGAAAGACAGGAGTGCCTGGCGTGCTCTGGTCCATGGGGTCACGAAGAGTCGGACACGACTAAACGACTAAACAACAACAACAATGCTTTAAAAGATATGCTGGAATGCAGCCTACGGATGTACTATCTACCAGGGATTAGACCTTCCTTATCGGTGGAAACCATGTTCAAACTGACAATGTGATCATGCACATTTGACTACTCATATAGGGCCAACCCTGTTACTGAATGTAAAACGTTGATCTGAAGTGGTTTCAGAGATAAGACAGGCACCCATAGTCTTGCACACACTACTTCACACAATCTCTACAATAGGGATGGGGACCGTTTAGCCCTCCAGATGTTGTTGGACTACAGCTCCCTTCTTCCCTGAGCACTGGTCTTTTTGGCAGGACTGATGGGATCTGGAGTTTGGCAACATCTGGATGGCACCAGGTCCCTACCTCCGCTCTACAGACTTGGGAGTTTTGTGTGAACAGCACTTTTACTCTCAGTCTTTCTATAAAGAACAGGGTAAAGAAGTCTAGCAAATCACTCTGTAGCTCTTTGTAGCCTATAAATTTGTGGTTGATTGGGAAGACTCAAATCCTCAGTGTACCATAGAGCTCCCAAGGTGACCTTTGGCTTAACTTCTCTTGGACTGTTATGGTGATAAAATGGAAATCCCACTGGAGGCCCCAGTAGGTGCCTCAGAGAAAAGACTGTCAAAGGCAACACAGCCATACTTTTAGGGAAATTACCTTAAGACTAAGCCCAGTTCTTCTATGCATTAGGCAAGAGAGTACCGCCATGTAAGCTGCTGACATCGATTCAGTCTCTTCCTCTTCTAGATTTAATTTTGGCTCGCTTCCCATACCGGAGATAAGTGAGTCATCATAATCCAGATCGGGTTCATAATCCAGCTCAGGTTCTAGTTCTGGAATAAATCTCGCTCCTGCATATGTGGTGGGAATGCAAAATGGTTAACCTGGGTGTTTAATATCAAATATCACTGGACAAAACATGTTTCTGGCTCCTCTTTGGCTCTTCTCTCTTTAGATAACGATGTCAACCCCTCAGTCACGTGCAAAAACATAGCCTTAATGTTACTAGTGGCTGCCAGATTAGTTATTGCCCGTTATTGAAAGTCTCCTCACACTTTAATGTGTGAGACATGGTTCAGCAATGAATGCATTTATTATTTCGGTCACAGACCAGTTCCAGCTCACATCAATGAAGTCATAAAACACGATAGGGATACATTTGATGGTTCAGCAATGTCTGAAACACCGCTTTGTCAAAACACTTGACCAGACACAGACGTGTGGTCTAAGGAAAGGCTAAATCTCAGAATTCTGAATCAGATTCATTTACCTTTTTTGAACATATTGACAGGGAAGGATCTTCATATAACCCTCTAGCTCAGGGGTCAGCAAGGTTTATCTTGCCTGGGCTGGATCGGTCCCGTGGAGATCCCTCCGTGGGCCAGATCATGCGTGTGCCTGCGATTTTCTGCGTCTGCACAGACGCGATTTTCGGCATCTCTGTGTGTGTAGACACAGTTTCCGGCGCCGTGGAAGTGAGTCACCATGCTGCGCTGCGCTGGTTTAGTGCAGTGTGCTCAGTTCGGGGGCAGCTCATGGGATGGTCAGACAATCTCCACGGGCCGGTTCCGGCCCATGGGCCTTAGGTTGGTGACCCCTGCTCTAGCTTCTCAATCTTCGTTATAGTTGGAGTATTTAAATATCTTGATATTCAGCGAATCAAGATTGTAATTTGGTATACAAATTCAATTGAAAAAAAGAGAATGCAATAAACATTGTGCAGGTTGTTAAGTGAGAAGGACAGTAAAAAGGTAAAGGGACCCCTGACCACTAGGTCCAGTAGTGACCAACTCTGGAGTTGCGGCACTCATCTCGCTTTATTGGCTGAGGGAGCCAGCGTACAGTCATATGGCCAGCATGACTAAGCCGCTTCTGGCGAACCAGAGCAGCGCAGGGAAACGCCATTTACCTTCCCGCCAGAGCGGTACCTATTTATCTACTTGCACTTTGATGTGCTTTCGAACTGCTAGGTTGGCAGGAGCAGGGACCGAGCAACGGGAGCTCACCCTGTGGCGGGGATTCGAACTGCCGACCTTCTGATCGGCAAGTCCTAGGCTCTGTGGTTTAACCCACAGCGCCACCCGCGTCCCACGAGAAGGACAGTAGCATCTCTTTAAAGCAACTGTTCTGGTAGGAGTACACATCCCATCAGCATCAGGCAGCATAGCCAATTGTCCAGGATGACTAGAATTGCACCCTAACAACATATGGCTGCGGCTGCTTTAAGGTACCAACAAGGACAACAATTAAAATATAAATTGTGAACAATGTAACAGGCATTAGATAGCATAAGAAATAACAAATGCTGTCATTTGCTCCTCCAGCTTTCAGTCATAGCATGTTACAGCCCTATATATAGCACAGATTAAATCATTTTGGGTGATATTCAACACTAGCCCTGCTGAGAGCAGATTCACTGAAGTTAATGGACATGTCTAACCTCCATCCATTAATTTCAACAGGTCTACTCTGAATAGGACTTAGTTGAACCCAACTCCTCTGCTCTCTTAATGGTCTTTGCCACTTCAAGCTGTTTTTTCCTTAACCCACCCCTGATAACAGGCTGATCTCTTAGTAATCCAGCACACAGTTTAGCAATACCTGGGTTGGCCAAAGTTGTGCCTTGCGACTAGCTGACTGGGCTGACCAGCTTCTGTTTATGCTATCAGAAGTGTCGCATTTGGTACTAATCAACTGAAAAAGCAATGAATGTGATAACACCCCATTCATGAGATGTAGATGTACAGCATTGACTAGGGATGCGGGTGGCGCTGTGGTCTAAACCACTGAGCCTCTTGGGCTTGCCGATCAGAAGGTCGGCGGTTTGAATCCCTGCGACGGAGTGAGCTCCCGTTGCTCGGTCCCAGCTCCTGCCAACATAGCAGTTTGAAAGCACGCCAAAAAGTGCAAGTAGATAAATAGGTACTGCTCTGGTGGGAAGGTAAATGGCGTTTCCGTGCGCTGCTCTGGTTTCGGTGCTCCGTTGTGCCAGAAGCAGCTTAGTCATGCTGGCCCCATGACCCAGAAAAACTGCCTGTGGACAAACAACGGCTCTCTTGGCCTGTAAAGCGAGATGAGCGCCGCAACCCCAGAGTAGTCTTTGACTGGACTTAACTGTCAGGGGTCCTTTATTTTTACCTTTTTACAGCATTGACTAAGCAGTAAGGCATGTTTGGGGGTTCAGTCTCATCACGATTAGACTTGTGCATCTACTCCATCATGTCCTCAATGCTTGGTTCTGCCACTGTCAGTCTATTGGGGTAAAGGATCTGAAGCAGGGAGCCTGCTCTTCATATGAAACTCCCTGCAGGATTTATAGCAGATCTTCCACTCCAACAAGTGGGGCACAGCAGCACCAGGCAAGGGGAAAGTGGCCAAGGAGTGATTTCCTAATCATGTGAGAGACTGAATTAAAGGTAAAGGGACCCCTGACCATTAGGTCCAGTCGTGACCGACTCTGGGGTTGCGGCGCTCATCTCGCTTTATTAGCCAAGGGAGCCGGCGTACAGCTTCCGGGTCATGTGGCCAGCATGACTAAGCCACTTCTGGCGAACCAGAGCAGCGCACGGAAACGCTGTTTACCTTCCCTCCGGAGCGGTACCTATTTATCTACTTGCACTTGGGCGTGCTTTCGAACTGCTAGGTTGGCAGGAGCAGGGACCGAGCAATGGGAGCTCACCCCGTCGCGGGGATTCGAACCGCCGACCTTCTGATTGATAAGTCCTAGGCTCTGTATTCTGGGCATTTTGAAGCCATTGTTCTCATCCTGGGTTTCCCCTCAGGGGAAAAACATGTGGAAATTTGGAAAGGAACTGAAATATATGGGAAACTTACTTTCTTACCAAACCTCATTATTTTACTGCTTTAGCAACATAAAGCTCATGATTTATTTCATTAATACAATTGTGTATGCTATGTTTAATGAAATAAATATGCAGAATGTAAGCCGACGAGTATGGTTGTGGATGCCTGGACTTAGTAGAAAAAAGTATTGTGTCTTTACAGAGGGCTTGTGATGGAAAGTTTACTTCCCTACTAATTGGATTGCCTAGAACATTCACCCCCAAATTAAAGATTTGCATCTCACATTACATAAGAATGCAAGGACACACAGCATATATTTGTAAGTAGCTTATTTGCTAGATGGCATATAATTCTGTCTTGTTTGCAGCAGCAGCTGCAACCTTTAGTAAAATGCTTGTAGATTCTGAACTAATGAATTGTCATGATGTTTAAAATTTGATTAAGACAGCTCACTGATCCATAGCTGTCAACCTTCCCTTTTTTGCTGGAAATTCCCTTATTCTAGCGCCGTTTCCCGCTGCTTCCCGCTGCTATCCCAGATTGTTAGATATCCCGTAGACTGTCCCCAGGACAGGTGAGGCTGCTTATCCCTTATTTTTGAGGCTGCTGATCCCTTATTTTCAAATCTGAAAGTAGACAGCTATGCACTGATCACTTCTATCATCAACTGTTTCCAGTAAAGCTTGTTTATCACCTTATTTTATATTTGTGTGTGTGCTGCATCAAGGCTTTTAGATGAATAACAGTAACGGTTCTTTTTAAAGGACACACACACATACACACGAGTATATAAAAATGGTTTCTACCTGCATAAGTCACTCTTTTCTTTTTTTTCTGTTTTACCTCCTCAATGAGCAATTCTTTTTCCTCTACAGGGAGAGACAGTCTTTCTTCCAGTCTTTCCCCCAGTCTTTCTCCCAGTCTCTCCGCCAGTCTTTCCTCCAGTAACCTTTCTGAAAAACATCGTGAGTCAAGTTAGAGTGGATTCCGTTTATATGGAGATAAATATCTTCAGATCTTCCCTTGCAAAACAACAATGTCTCTTGGGATGTGTGTGTTGGTTGTTGTTTAGGCTTTTAAAACACTTGGGGGGTGGACTTCAGTGTTGCACTATTACAAATGTTCTGTCTGGTTCCCACATGGAATTATCCCCCCTACCACATGCTGTTCTGGGGTCTATCTTTAGGAAGCTTGGGTGGGGGGCAAACTCTATTATGGTGCAAGTGGAAGCCCTTGTCCAAGGTTTCTGCTAATGGGAGTTCCTAAGCTGAATCCCATATCCTCCAACATTCCTCCAATGAAAATAGGGACATCCTAGGTAAAGGTTAGGTCCAGTTGTGGCCGACTCTGGGGTTGCGGTGCTCATCTTGCTTTACAGGCCGAGGGAGCTGGTGTACAGCTTCCGGGTCATGTGGCCAGCATGACTAAGCCACTTATCTACCTATTTATCTACTTGCACTTTCACGTGCTTTCAAACTGCTAGGTTGGCAGGAGCAGGGACCGAGCAACGGGAGCTCACCCTGTTGCGGGGATTCGAACCGCTGACTCTCTGATCGGCAAGTCCTAGGCTCTGTGGTTTAACCCACAGCACCACCCGCGTCCCGTACATTTATGTACATTTATTTTATATATATAAGACCTTAGAATTCCTATAACAGACATCTTATGGAAAAGCAGGACATTTGGGATCAGATCAGAAACTGGGACATCTTCTGTAAATCCAGGACTGTCCCTGGAAAATAGGGACACTTGGAAGGTCTGAAATCCTGCTCTTTGTGTACCAAACTGAATGTATGTACCCTTCTATATTCTGCTACAGGGCAGGTTAATTTAAATCATCAGGAATGAAGACTGAGGACTCAGCTATAACATTTTAAGTGCATTTTAAGTGCATTATACAAATGTGACACTAGATGGCACTGGTGAGTGTGGAGTTTTTTTTAAAGCATTTTCAAAGCATTTTTTATATCTGTGTAGATCCAGCCTAATATTATATTGACTGTTCGTAGAGAATCCTCAGAGCACTAATACTTTTACTTCAGTGGGTTGCGCGCTCATCTCGCTCAAGAGGCCGAGAGCCAGCGCTGTCCGAAGACACTTCCGGGTCACGTGGCCTGCGTGACAAAGCTGCATCTGGCGAGCCAGCACCAGCGCAGCACACGGAAACGCCGTTTACCTTCCCGCTATAAAGCGGTCCCTATTTATCTACTTCCACTTAGGGGTGCTTTCGAACTGCTAGGTTGGCAGGAGCTGGGACCGAGCAACGGGAGCTCACCCCGTCGCGGGGATTCGAACCGCCGACCTTACGATCAGCAAGTCCTAGGCACTGAGGTTTTACCCACAGCGCCACCCGCGTCCCTAAAATACAGGATAAAAAGAAGTAAATAAGTAAATCAAACCAGCAAAACAATAACCCCCCTCCCTTCATCCTGATTCCCACCCCTACTTTCCTTACACCCTTCTGTTCCACCAAACTCTTGATACAGACTTGCTACTATGTCTCCCCGCCCTTGCAGACTCTGATTCCAATGTCTCTAATTTTTTTGTTCCTTTCCTATTTGCTATAAGTGTGAGGGGCCCCCACTCTTTGTTTTGATGGTGCCTTAAAAGGGCAGCACCCTCTTATCTCTACCCCCTTCAACAGCTCATTTTCCAAGCAGCACGGAATGCGTTCTGACAATTCATCTTCTCCTCTTTGCTCTCTGGCTGCTCTCAGTTTTCCTCTTTCTGATTCCCCACCTAGCAGATTTATGGGTCCCATGGGGATAGGAGAAGGTGGGGAAGTTCCACTGTGCCACTAAAAGTCCTGGCATGCCTTCGGCTCAGCATTTCTGCTTTATCTCTGCACATTTTGAGGAGAGGCATGACCTCTGACCTGGCCTCGTTTATTGCCAGTGGAGGTTCTTCCATGGATTTACAGAGGTGTGAAACTATCTCTGCTTCCTTTTCACAACTGATTTACATCACTGATCCAAAAATCAAGTTTTCCCCCTGGCACGTTACACCACGTTACGAAAGCGCATGCTATAGTCGCTAAAAATGTTGATTTACAATTAAACAGACCTCATACAACCTATGATTACTTAAAAATGTTCGCTTTTACCATTCCAGAAAGTCCCATTTTGAACCTAATGGGATTTACGGTAATTTCCAGACTCCTTAGGGCTGCACTGTAAGAAATCTCCAAGCAGGAGATCTCTTACACACCTAACTGATTAGAGTTTTCATTACTACAACAAGCTTGTATCGTTCGTTACCATGCTGAAAAACAGCAGAGTTTTGTGCTAAAATGCAGTCTGAATTGTGTGTGGGAAAGATTTAAACAGGAATATATCTATATATATATCTATCTATCTATATATATATATATATATATAGATATATATATATAGACTAAGTGGGAGATTTGAAGGCCCTGAAAGTCCTGATCAAATCCAATGTAAGCATGAAAATGTGCAGAGTTTTCCTTTTCACTTTTTAAAAAAAATATCAATTCTGACATTCTCTTAGAGTAAAATTCAGTGTTGCCACTCAAATTTTCAGCTATGCATTGGAGAACAGAAACAGACCTTTGGGGATGGCATTAATTGAAAACAGCAGAGAAAGAATATGCAGAAATGTGAGTGTGTAAAACAAGCCAGAATTCATAAAACTGTAGCATACAGTACTGTACCTAATTCCATTTGTCTCTCAGATTTTCTTGGTGGTTCAGGAAAAGGCAGATCTGCATTTGTGAGCAGTATAGAATGGAGTTCTCTTGGGCCTCTCCTTTCCCTAGCAATCAGCTCACTCGTGAGTGCTTCATAGTTAAGTCGAGAAATAATTGGCCTTGTAGTTTCAACGTCCAAGCATTTGACATGAAGAGTGGCGACTATAGCCAGACCTTTCAATATAAAATCTCTTCGTAAAAGCAGCCGGTAATCTCCTAGAAATGGCATTTGCATCCTTAAGGGTACACGACGTTTTTGCAATGGGAAGCTAGGAGGACCGCTAGGGTGTGAAGGAATAATAAAGGTTCTCTCAATATTCGCTGGAACTTGGATTTCAGAACCAAAGTCCGGAAAACTCAAACAAATTGCTTGGCTCTTCTCAGGCAAATGAAGCTGGCCATAATCAGTGCCATGTTTTCCTTTGAATTTTGTATCTTCCTCATGAGCACCTGTAATGAAATAGGACAGTTGTACACAAAAAGAAAAGTCAGGCTATTTAAAGTGCAAACTAATGTTTCCTAAATAGAATTAACTCAGCCTTGGGTGTGGAGAGGGAATTTTGCTTCCTTATTAAAAAAAGACAGTAATTTGCAATGCCTTTTGAAGAAGTGAAAAGCAGGGCTGGCCCAAGACATTTTGCTGCCTGAGGCAAACCAGAAAATGGCACTCTCTGGGAAATTGCAGTTTGTTAAGAGTGCTGGGTTAAAGCATAGATAGGGAATATCAGGCTCATGGGCCCAAATGCAACTGTCTAGGCCTCTGTCGGGGCTCAAGCCACTCTCTTCAGTCCTGCTTTTATATCCTCCAACATCTGGCTGATCCAAATTGGGACACTTAATTTTTTCGGTCCCAAGCTGTCACAGGAGCCGGCAAGCTTGGACTGGAGCATGAGACCAGAAAACAAACATTTTCATTTTTGTCCAGTGCTGTGGCGCAAGACCAGAAAATGAGCACTTTAGGGTTCAGTGCTCTGGCACGAGCCCGCTAACTTGCACCAGAGTGCTGAACCCAAAAATGGGACATTCTAGGATTCAGTCAGAAGCAGGGATGGCTTCTGTAATTCCGGGATGTCCCACTTAAATCAGGACACTTGAGCAGTATGTGCTTTGTGCCTTCCTTGAGTGTTTTTGGAGAGAAGGCACTATAGTGGTGGGAGAACTCTCTTCTCAGACACCCCTCCCTCCATACTAAGAAATGAGCTCCACTGATCACAGTGGACTCATTATTGGCATAGATGCCCAGAAGAGCACTGCCCAAGTTTCAAGTTGTAAACCAGTGAATAAAAGGTAAAGGGACCCCTGACCATTAGGTCCAGTCGTGGCCGACCATGGGGTTGCAGCGCTCATCTTGCTTTACTGGCCGAGGGAGTCGGTGTACAGCTTCCAGGTCATGTGGCCAGCATGATTAAGCCGCTTCTGGCGAATCAGAGCAGCGCACGGAAATACCGTTTACCTTCCCGCCAGAGCGGTACCTATTTATCTACTTGCACTTTGACGTGCTTTCGAACTGCTAGGTTGGCAGGAGCAGGGACCGAGCAATGGGAGCTCACCCTGTCGCAGGGATTCGAACCGCCGACCTTCTGATCGGCAAGTCCTAGGCTCTGTGGTTTAACCCACAGGGCCACCCGCGTCCCTCAAACCATTGAATAGACCATGGTTAATCAATGGTATGCCCAATCTCAGGTTACCCATTGTGCCACATTACCTTTTCGGCCTTTTCTGCTTGGTCCAGCCCGTTCAGTCTTCCCCTTTGGGGACAAAGGTCTCCGAAGCAACTTAGGTTCAGACATGGACCTGGATTTATAATCCTGTTGTAAAACTGCGTGAGAAACGTGAGTGTACTTTGTTCTTAAAAATGAGAATGCAGAGACGCAAAAGCTTAGCTTTCTTCAAACATTCTGTACTCAGTACCGCTCCAGATTTTCTTCCTTATAGGACACATGTCCACAACTTTCAACCTAGCACCAAATTATTATTATTTTTTTTAAAAAACCTTAGCATCAACTATCTGATGTGTGAACACTCTTTGATGCAGCTGCATCCACATCCCTGCAGCACTTACACAGAAAAATTGGGGTGAAACTTTAGATTGGTTTAAAATAATTGATTTTCCATCCCTCTCTCTGTGTGTGAGAGAATGTAAAATCATCAAACACTAGAGTTGGAAGGGATCCTGCCCACAGCCGCCCCTGGGTGGACTCGAACCACCAATCTTCTAGTTAACAGCCAGGTGTGCTGATCCCTTGTGCCACTGGTGTTTTCATTCCTCCACCCTGAACTGGCAGAATATGTTCCCCAATTTCATTTTCCCAGTGTGAACAACCAGTCTATCCTTTAGAAGTAACCCCAGTGCGTGCAGCATGGATGTTACATTGACAAATATATTGTCCAATGCTTTGAACTGCAGCGGCAAACTTGTTACCTTCTTTTAAAAAAAAAAATCCCTGCAGCAGTTGCACATCTCATTGTAGGCATGCGAGTTCCATTTTACTGTAGTGTCAGCTGACGACATGGCTCCCCAAATCAACACAGATTGTGGAAACTTCACACTGGACTTCAAGCATCTGGCATTGTGTGCCTCCCCATTCTTCCTCCAGACTCTGGGTCCTTGGTTTCCAAATGAGATGCAAAAGCTGCTCTCATCAGAAAAGAGATTTGGGGAGCCATGTCATCAACTGGTGTTGGTCCACTGTGCTTCATTAAGTCCAGGGTCAATGCTGCCGTCTACCAGGAGATTTTGAAGCACTTCATGCTTCCTTCCGCAGACGATCTTTATGGGGATGCTGACTTCATTTTCCAGCAGGACTTCGGCACCTGCCCACACTGCCAAAAGTACCCAAACCCGGTTCAATGCCCATGGGATTACTGTGCTTGATTGGCCAGCAAACTCGCCTGACCTGAACCCCATAGAGAATCTATGGGGCATTGCCAAGAGAAAGATGACAGACATGAGACCAAGCAATGCAGAAGAGCTGAAGGCTGCTATTGAAGCATCCTGGTCTTCCATAACACCTCAGCAGTGCCGTAGGCTGATAGCATCCATGCCACGCTGCATTGAAACAGTAATTGATGCAAAAGGGGCCCAAACCAAGTACTGAGTACATATGCATGCTTCTACTTCTCAGAGGTCCAATATTGCTCTATTTGCAATCCTTGTTTTGCTGATTTCATTTAATATTCTAATTATCTAAGATTGTTAATTTGGGGTTTTCATCAACTGTACGCCATGATCATCACAATTATAACAAATAAAGGCTTGACATATCTCGCTTTGCATGACATGAGTCTATCTCATATATTAGTTTCACCTTTTAAGTTGAATTACTGAAATAAATGAACTTTTCCACGATATTCTAAATTTCTGAGTTTCACCTGTAAATCCTTAGCTCCCAGAGTTCAGGATTAATTAATGGACCAAAGGATGTAATTTGAAAATGAAATGGGCTGATTGTCACAGCTGGTCGTTCCTCGGCTTGTGTTAGCAATGCAGGTTTTGCAGTGAGAAGATTGTAATGTTTGCATATGTTTGGAGAAGACTCTAGATTCCCTATTGCTCGAATTAGCAGCTCATCACAGATGCTAAGTGCAGGTTAGCTTTTATATATCCATCTATTTCAGAGCACATACCCATCCAAAGAAAATCCATTCAAGTTTTGAGGCAGTTCTGCTGAGAAACACTTCCGTACATCTGTACATTTGGATGTGCCTAGTAGGTTCATTATGTTTAGTGTGTCTCTGTAAAACAACAATATGTAATCTGTGGTTCTTCAGCTGCCACTGGACTCCAACTCAGCAAGCATGACCAGTGGCTAGAGATTATGTAGTCCAATGGCATCTGAAAGTCCATAAGTTCTCCATTCAGGCTTTGTAAAGGCTGCTTGGCAGGCTGATATTCTGAATAATCAATTTGGTTACAAATTCTCATTTTTTTTATTGTGCGTGGTGGTCAACCAATGTGTAAGTCAACTCATAATAATTTGCCCTAAGTTGATATTGTACATCAACCTACAGCTGGCAGAAAACTGCCTCATAATGCTACCTTGCCTTAGGAAGCCTATACAACTAGTCTCTGCTTTTTGTGGTGATGAAAAAAGCAGAGACATCATCTTGCCAATCAATCTTGGGCCAATCAATCTTGGGCAAAAAAAATGAGAGGCACAAATACAAGATGGGGGACACCTGGCTTGAGAGCAGTACATGTGAAAAGGATCTAGGAGTCTTGGTTGACCACAAACTTGACATGAGCCAACAGTGTGACGCGGCAGCTAAAAAGCCAATGCAATTCTGGGCTGCATCAATAGGAGTATAGCATCTAGATCAAGGGAAGTAATAGTGCCACTGTATTCTGCTCTGGTCAGACCTCACCTGGAGTACTGTGTCCAGTTCTGGACACCACAGTTCAAGAAGGACATTGACAAACGGGAACGTGTCCAGAGGAGGGCAACCAAAATGGTCAAAGGCCTGGAAACGATGCCTTATGAGGAACGGTTAAGAGAGCTGGGCATGTTTAGCCTGGAGAAGAGGAGGTTAAGGGGTGATATGATAGCCATGTTCAAATATATAAAAGGATGTCACATAGAGGAGGGAGAAAGGTTGTTTTCTGCTGCTCCAGAGAAGCGGACACGGAGCAATGGATCCAAACTACAAGAAAGAAGATTCCACCTAAACATTAGGAAGAACTTCCTGACAGTAAGAGCTGTTCGACAGTGGAATTTGCTGCCAAGGAGTGTGGTGGAGTCTCCTTCTTTGGAGGTCTTTAAGCAGAGGCTTGACAACCATATGTCAGGAGTGCTCTGAAGGTGTTTCCTGCTTGGCAGGGGGTTGGACTCGATGGCCCTTGTGGTCTCTTCCAACTCTATGATTCTATGATTCTATGAAGGTCTGTATAGTTAAAGCTATGGTTTTCCCAGTAGTGATGTATGGAAGTGAGAGCTGGACCTTAAAGAAGGCTGATCGCCGAAGAATTGATGCTTTTGAATTATGGTGCTGGAGGAGACTCTTGAGAGTCCCATGGACTGCAAAAAGATCAAACGAATAAATTCTTAAGGAAATCAGCCCTGATTGCTCACTGGAAGGACAGATCCTGATGCTGAGGCTCCAATACTTTGGCCACCTCATGAGAAGAGAAGACTCCCTGGAAAAGACCCTGATGTTGGGAAAGATGGAGGGCACAAGGAGAAGGGAACGACAGAGGACAAGATGGTTGGACAGTGTTCTTGAAGCTACCAGCATGAGTTTGACCAAATTGCGGGAGGCAGTGAAAGACAGGAGTGCTTGGTGTGCTCTGGTCCATCGGGTCATGAAGAGTTGGACATGACTAAACGACTAAACAACAACAACAACAAGTCTGTTTCAAGCTTTTCCAACTGTAAGAATAGTAACTTACACAGCTGCTCATGTAATTAATAACTTGTTAATGACCTCTCGGCCGCCATTTTTGTTTTTCCTACCATGGCCAAGACATAGATGTTTTGCTGGACTCACTGGACCTGTCAGAGACAACACCTGAGGAAGGTCGCTTGGCATCCTTGGAGACGAGTCCTAACAAACAAGGTGGGAGCCACTTTCTGATTGGCTAGAGAATGACCATTCCATTCTACAAAGGACTACAAGGGGAGGAATCAATACGATTGATGGAGGAACCATCCTATGCTGAGGAATCGTTTGCCACTACATGTAAGAGATGGCACAGCTGGGGTTCATTAGCAGTCAAGAGATTTGATGGGGCCACTGGCTCAAACTCGGACAACCTGTGGTACAGAGAAGGCAAGTTACAGAGAATGTGCATGTGTACTGACACACCCCAGGGATTGGGTAAGCGAAGCGAACAGCCAGTACAATTTGTAGGAGCGACAAACTGTGGCAGAGGGAAGCATGTTTCTCACAAGAGGTCACAGCCTGCCATAGTAAACACAACTACCACTGGCCTTAAAGAAAATAAATGAATTGCCAGCTGGTGTAGAAAACTGAACTTACAGTCGGGAAAACTGAATGTTTTGGCAGGTTTGTCCAACCCTACTGGTGAATGTAGGGACGCGGGTGGCACTGTGGGTTAAACCACAGAGCCTAGGGTTTGCCGATAAGAAGGTTGGCGGTTCGAATCCCCGCGGTGGGGTGAGCTCCCGTTGCTCGGTCCCTGCTCCTGCCAACCTAGCAGTTCGGAAGCACATCAAAGTGCAAGTAGATAAATAGGTACCGCTCCAGCGGGAAGGTAAACGGCGCTTCCGTGTGCTGCTCTGGTTCGCCAGAAGCGGCTTAGTGATGCTGGCCACATGACCCGGAAGCTGTATGCCGGCTCCCTCGGCCAATAAAGCGAGATGAGCGCCGCAACCCCAGAGTCGTCCGCGACTGGACCTAATGGTCAGGGGTCCCTTTACTGGTGAAGGTGCAGCAGAGCTTGATTCTTCCTTTGTGTCTGCTATAGAAATGCCGTGGTTTACTGCAGATGGGACAGAATTCTCTATCCCTCCTCTGCCAACCATTCCCCCGCTCCCAGGGTAGTAGTTTTTGTGGGTTCATCTACAAGGCTGGATGATGACATAGTTTTAAATATCACTTCTGAAAAACTTTAGTCTGGTTCCCTTCTCATGAGTTTATTCTTTAAGTATTTAAAGAAACTTGCATTTATTCCAACAAATTCGCCGGACTGAAAGCTCAGTGAACACTTCTTTCCAGAGGGACGGCAGCCAACACAATAGCAGCTACAGTGAACCTTCGGCTCCAAAGTTCCCTTACTCATATGCCTTAACCCTACATAACATTTGAACAAGGCTAATTGAATTTATTTATACCCAGCCTCTCCCACACCCTGAGATCTATCTTCCTTCTTCATTTCAGTCTGGGAATGAATCATGCATGACAGGAGAGAGAAAGAGAGAGAGAGTAAATAAATGCACAGCCAAGTTTAGTAGTACAAATATTATGTTTCATATGCAGTAAGGGGACTCAGGACAGTAGAGGGTGTGTAGGAGCCAGATACTCAAACTACATGTTACTTTAAATGCATTTTAAAGCCCCTTTTTCCAAAACTGTCACAGTGGTCCTAATCCAAACACACAACTTTCCCTGCTGAAAATTAACACACACACATGGACGTAGCAGGGGGGGCAGCCCCAATAAATAAAAATCAATAAAATGCATAGCTAACTGAGATTCTGCCCCCCCCCCCCCAAATGTCTGCACGCCCCCCAGCAAAAGTCCTGGCTACACACAAACACACACACACACACACACACAGTTTGCTGTTACAAAATCCCGAGCACAGAACTGAAAGACGTATTTATAGTAAATGGGTGGCTTGGTCCTCCCTCCTGCTGCTTATTCCATTAATCAGATCTATCAAGGCCAGGAGCATCTGATCTTAGGATAGACATCAGCATAGGAATGCAGGTTGTAAGCCCAACCCATCAGCAAGCACAACCCTTGCGCCAGATATGTGCAGTTTTGTTAATTCTGGCACAAGCACAAAGTTTGCTGCTGCAGTCATTTTTAGGTTTATTAGTGGTTAGGTCTTAAAGAAGTGCTCTTCTCAGCTCCATCGTGTATAACAAGCAAACATGGCCTGGATTCTACACGCGACTTTCCTTTTCCCTTGTTCAAATCTGTGAAAGAGCAACCAGGTCACATTAACTGACAGCACACCCTCCAACATCCTCAGGTGAAAATAGGGATATTTCTCACTCCCCTGCAACTGACCCTTCTCAACCCCTCATTTTTGTCTTTCAGGTTACTGTGGCTACAATGCCTATATATTTACTTACTTGGGAGAAAGTTCAATTGAACTCCATTAGACTTCTGAGTAGACACGTATAGGATTGTACTGCTGGTGTATTTGGGTAGAAAATACTGTACTTTTCCGCGTATAAGACTAGGGTTTTTTCTTTAAAAATTAGCTTTAAAATTTGCCCTCGTCTTATACATGGGTAGTGCAGAGGGGGATTGGGTGACTGGTTGCAGCCACAAGATTTTCAGCAGCAATGGGGCAGGTGATTGGTGGCTGTGTGAAGGGCTGTTTGCGATAGGCTGGCTCTGTGGCAATAGCGTGGTCGACTGACGGCTGCAGGTGAGCGATTTTCGACAATCCCCCCCCCCAAAAAAGCTCAAAAATTGTGGGCAATCCACTCCAAAAAAAAAAAAAAAGGTCAACTCTTGGCCATCTCCCCCCATTTTCTTAAATCGGAGTCCCCAAAAATAGGAGGCGTCTTATACATGGGGGCGTCTTATAGACGGAAAACTACAATTATTTATTTTGACCTAATAATTGAAAGTGGTGAATGCTTGTGGCACAACCCTAAGTTCACATAGGCTCCAAGCATGATTTTTTTTGTCCATAGAAAACAGCTGAGTTGGTAGCCTAAAACAATATAAATTCTTTATTGTCAGACTACAGTCTCCATTCAAGCTTAAAAATAGACTTTTCTGTTTTTATATAAAATACCTGCTTTACTTTGGGTCTTATGACCTTTATCAAGGACGAAGAAAAGATGTAGAAACATAAGAAATCTTATAAACGTTGCATGTCACTACAATATATATTTTTTGCATATCACAGATATGACAATCCTCCGAACAAACACTGAGCTTGTTAATTATATCCCAGCATTGTAAAACAACCTGCTACTGTTCAGCCATGCAGTAAAACACTTAAGAGGAAGAACGAATTCCATTAGATGCTATCCCAAAAAACTATGAGGGCCTATCATTTAAATACAGTACTACAAAATGATATGCTTTATTCACTTTCCTGTTCTTCACAGTCGGTATCCCAGCTCCACTTCCCAAAGTACATGACCCCATTCAAAACCTACCAAAAATATCTGTAACAATTTTTTAAAAATGGTTTCTGCACCGCAAACAAAATATAAATAAACAGGTTCAATTAACACTTGAGAAAGTACAAATAAGACTCTTGCAGCACATGAAAGACCAACGGCACAATCCTAACCATATCTAGTTAGAAAAGTAAGTCCCATTGAATTAGGTGGGGCTTACTCACAGGTAAGTAGGGTTAGGACTGCAGCTTAATAGATTTCTTACAGCAGTGTATTAGCTTTTGTGGACTAGAGTCCATCAGATGCATAAAGTATGTTCTTAGTTGGCAGAATTATACATGCATATGTATCTGTGTACACACAGAGAGCGATACAGAACAAATGTAAAGAGTGATGCTAAAAGGCATTGCAAAGAAAGAGATGCAGCCTGTAACATTTGAGAAACTTAGCATGTTCCATTCAGTGTTTAGCTAAACTAGTGGTTGGGGGCTGAAGGAAGCCCATAGTAAAGTAGAAATTACATTCAAAACATATCTCAACTGTACTGAGAATACACAGCTAATAACAAACGCTCCAAGTGTCCCTATTTTCCAGGGACAGTCCCGGATTTACAGAAACTGTCTTGGTTTCTGATTTGATCCCAGAATGTCCTGCTTTGCCTTAGGATGTCCCTATTTTCGTCAGAGAAATGTTGGTGGGTATGGAGTTACCTGACCCCCACACCACCTGAAGACAGCCCTGTATAGGGAAGTTTTTAAATGTTCCTTTTTAAATGTTTTTATATATGTTGGACTCCGCCCAGAGTGGCTGGGGCAACCTAGTGAAATGGGAGGGTATATATAGTAAAACGATGATGAATGATGGAATAGGACGCTGCTATTTTTATTAGAGAAATGTTGGCGGGTATGTAAGAATTATTATAGAAAGGTTAAACTAGAAGATCAGGGCTAGGTTTCCTTACTCCCTCTTATACTCAATAGCAATCCATGTATATTAGCATCTTGGCAAAGCTCAACTTCCAGGACACAGCAAGAGAGACAGTCACTTAGCTGTTGGGACCTGGAAAATGTGTTGCACTGCTTTCTTTTCTTGGACCATAACAGCAGCCAGACCTATTTGTCGGATTATCCCTGGAATTGCTCTCGTGACGCCTCCCACTCCCAATTTATGGGCTCCCTCTGCCTAATTTAATCTTAGCTCTTGGTTTGATCCTGCATATATTTTCTATTACTGTCTTAGTCCATGAAAGAATTGAGAAAAATTCATCCAGCTATCTTGGATAAAGGATTGTTATCAGCATTTTTACTGGTTATTCTACCTAGTTTTATGATCATGCCTTATACTGCTCTGCTTACTTTTAGCAGAAGAACGGGATAACAATTAACTGATTATTAGTATGCCTCAATCTAGGGATGCGGGTGGCGCTGTGGGTTAAACCACAGAGCCTAGGACTTGCCGATCAGAAGGTTGGGGGTTCGAATCCTTGCTACGGCGTGAGCTCCCGTTGTTCGGTCCCTGCTTCTGCCAACCTAGCAGTTTGAAAGCACGTCAAAGTGCAAGTAGATAAATAAGTACTGCTCCGGCGGGAAGGTAAACGGCGTTTCCGTGCGCTGCTCTGGTTCGCCAGAAGCGGCTTAGTCATGCTGGCCACATGACCCGGAAGCTGTACGCCTGCTCCGTCGGCCAATAAAGCAAGATGAGCGCTGCAACCCCAGAGTCGGCCACGACTGGACCTAATGGTCAGGGGTCCCTTTACTTTTACCTAACCATAAGCTGCTCTGGAATTCCTGGGGACTGAAGAGCAGGTTGCAAGTATTTATCATCATTAAGGAACCATCCAACACACAGCCTGCAGTGCGAAGCCGGCGCCGCCATGCACCCTCATGTTGTTTTCGGGTCCATGCTGACAGCACAATGCACTCCAGAGCTCTAAAACACCCCATTGACTTAACTACGCAGAACACGAAGTTCCCAGAGATTCTGCTACTTGTTCTAAAGCGAGTTGAACGGACTGTGCCTCCTACCTCGGGGCTGCCAGCTGGTCTGGAAAAATAAAAACAAGGAAACAAAACCTAGCCTGGCTTGCTCTTCTGCCTTCTTCAGCCAACTGATATGCAGGCCTTGGCAGGTTTTCCCCATGCCTCCTGGAGAATAACATTAGCCCCTCTCAGTCCTTCCAGTATCCATAGATACATCTCTGACCTACTCTCTGTGGAAGGTTGCTCCCTGCAGCATGCAAGCATACAAACAAAGGGGTTTTGCACACACAACTGTCAATACAGGAAGGCAAGTTTCCTCATTGTGTTGTGCACTGAGCATTCCATGCATAAAGTTGTATGCACTTGGGGTCCTTTACAGACTTTCTAAGGAATTTGTGTAGATGGCTGGGGCAGCACCAGATTTTGGGGGGCGCGGACGATTCTCCTGCACAGGGTGATGAGCCAAGGGGGTGAATAATAATAATAATAATAATAATACCTATGTTTATATGGTACCTACCGAGACTATCCATGAAAAGCAACTGTACCAAAAGGAATTATTGTGAAAATAATAAATATTTAGGGGGTGCACCAAATGTTGCATGTGCTCTGGGCGCCATATTACCAAAGTTCACCTCTGGCGGAGGGGCAGGAGGGGGGAGTGTTATGTACTGAAGTTCTCACCCTGGGCCAGCAGGGGGATACTGTAGATAGTTTTCACTCAGGTCCACATATGCAAATAAGGGTTTGAAAGTGACGTTCAGTGATTGGATAGTTACAGAAAGTGGTTACAGTTGCATTGTAGGGGAGCTCTATATAAGCAGGCTGGCTGAACCCTTCAATTCAGTTCTATTCTGGCCTGTGAATAAACAAGAGCAGTTTGAAGAATCGCTGTGTCGTCTGATATGTTCACCCACAATTTAACAGGGAGCTTGCTGCCCATTCCCCATGCAGGTTTAGTATCCATGAATCCTGAATCAACAGCCACAAGCAGATTGTGTATGGGCAGCGAGATACAGAAGACAGCTCCCAGCGGCACCTCTGAGCCACCCTCACTGCTTGAATCATAGGAATCATAGGACTGTAAATTTGGAAGGGACCCTGAGGATCATCTAGTCCAACCCCCTGCAATGCAGGAATATGCAGCTGTCCCATACAGGGATTGAACCTGCAACTTTGGGATTATCGGCACCATATTCTAACCAACTGAGCCATTCAGCCAGTACTTGAGTTGCATTAGAAACAGACCATCCATTAGGGTACACGAGAGCTTTTATTCCAGTGCCAATAAGCAAATGGATCAGGACTACAATAGGGGACAAAGGGTTAAGGCTGCCTCCTTCCCATGGGGGGGGGGGTCCTTCTCTGACACCTACTATTTCCTGTTGAAGAGCCATTCACACCAGTTGCTAATGGTGCGAGTGGTACCTACTTTGGCTCCAAGCCATCTAGATTTGCTTAAGATCAAGCCTGGTCATTTTGGGGTGTGGTTTGGGTTTCCCTCCCTTCTCTGGCTCCTTTTGGGGTTGCAAACACACTTAATATTTCCATTCGCTTAGTCCGCAAGGCCTAGCAAGCCTGATATATGCAGTAGTTGCACTCTTACATCTCAGAGGGCTGTTTTTAATTATTATCTAATTTTTACTTGTTATTAAGTACAAGTAATTGTTAAGTGACATTCAGCTTCTAATGCCACCTCTGGTGTTAATTTCGAGATGACCACTGGGGAAGAGAAAGAATGGATGGGGAGGAGCTAAAGAAAGAGGATTAAAAAAAACCCCACCTTTGACCTTGACTCATTAATTTGGGACCCATTTAACTTCTGCATCATAGCGCTAGCACCTCACCACCTGTCACACACAAAAATATTAGTGTGCTATTTTTCCCCCAGTACAAGTGAACCCATATTTCATTTATTTTGTTGGTCAGACTTTTGAACCTGTTTAATAATTGCATCCTCTCTTTGATTTCTGGGGTCTTTCACCTCCTGCCTTCTCTTTGCTTCATTGCAAAATTCTCAGTCCTTTTTCCCGTTGTTACAATACTTGCTCTCATCTCACTTTCTTTTGCTATCCTTTCTATCACCACCCTATTGCCCCTTTCCTCATGTCTTCTTCCACATTCTCTTTACCTTCTCAAACATTTCTATCCTTTCTTTTTCTCACCTTCTGCTTCCTTTGTACCTGCTGGTATTGCCTTTCTGTCTCCTCTTTTTACTCTCCTCACATTAATTCACCTTCTCTGCAGCTCTAATTCACCTCTCTGTGCCTCCTAATGTCAACTTGCCTGAAATCAAAATCAACAGGATTTCTGAGGAGGTTTCACCATTCTCAGAACATAATATGGGTGGTAGCTGTTCTTTTTGCCCCTTTGATGGATGATGAAGTTTGAAGAAACTCCATAGCTTCTCACACACGGAAGCAACATATACCTGTAGTTCCGAAACAAAATGTTCCACCCCCGCTCTTTTAGTTTGTGAAGTCTTTCCATTTTACAATTCTTTTTTCAAAAACCAACTAAATGTCTACACTTCCAAATCCACACTGAACTATTAAAGATGCCCTCCTGTGCATAGTTACCTGAGAGTAAAAAGGTAAAGGGACCCCTGACCATTAAGGTCCGGTCGTGACCGACTCTGGGGTTGCGGCGCTCATCTCGCTTTATTGGCCAAGAGAGCTGGCATACAGCTTCCGAGTCATGTGGCCAGCATGACTAAGCCGCTTCTGGCAAACCAGAGCAGCGCACGGAAATGCCGTTTACCTTCCCGCCGGAGTGGTACCTATTTATCTACTTGCACTTTGACGTGCTTTCAAACTGCTAGGTTGGCAGGAGCAGGGACCGAGCAACGGGAGCTCACCCCGTTACGGGGATTCGAACCGCCGACCTTCTGATCGGCAAGTCCTAGGCTCTGTGGTTTAACCCACAGCACCACCCGCGTCCCTTACCTGAGAGTAGGTCCTATTAAAATAAGTGTGCTTTTCTGAGCAGCCATTCATAGGATTTGCTTTGTAACGAAGGCTTTCCCTCACTGCAGAGCTGAATTTCCTCGACCTTTCCTGCATTTACCTGGAAGTAAAGCCCCCAAGGGGACGCAGGTGGCACTGTGGGTAAAACCTCAGCACCTAGGACTTGCCGATCGTCAGGTCGGCGGTTCGAATCCCCGCGGCAGGGTGCACTCCCGTTGCTCGGTCCCAGCGCCTGCCAAACTAGCAGTTCAAAAGCACCCTCGGGTGCAAGTAGATAAATAGGGACCGCTTACTAGCGGGAAGGTAAACGGCGTTTCCGTGTGCTGCGCTGGCTCGCCAGATGCAGCTTGTCACGCTGGCCACGTGTCCCGGAAGCGTCTTCAGACAGTGCTGGCCCCCGGCCTCTTAAGTGAGATGGGCGCACAACCCCAGAGTCGGACACGACTGGCCCATATGGGCAGGGGTACCTTTACCTTTACCTTTTTTAAAGCCCCCAAACTGAACATTGGCCAGTCATCTCAGAGAATTAGGCTTCACCTGGCAATAGTATGACCTGGATTCATGTATTTTAAATTGTCATGCATGTACCTAAGAAGTCTTACTCCCTGAATAAACCTCCTCAGACAAAACTTCACATGCAAGCTGTGCAGCTGTGGGAACCCAGTCCATGCTCTAGAGAAGCCAGTAAAGAAATGCAGACTTAACACACCCCATCCAATTTTTAAGGCATGCTTGTTCATTATATCCAACTAGGATTACTTACTTGCACACAAAAACACACTGCCCCCTGTCCAGCCCTTCTATTCCAAGTAAGAAGTGCACTGGATTTTTGAAGTGAATTTGAATTTTGGGTCAAATTCCCCCAGCATGCCATCTTAAAATGGCTTTAAATCTGATCAGTTATGATGGTTTTGCTGATTTGTTTTCTAAACCACTGATCAGATTTTTCTGTTCTGCTACATTTTATATATTTAAGCACATCCCTCTCACCCAAACACCTTGATACTGTTTTTATAACTGAGCAAAGCACCCTAGGACTTTTGTTAAAACTGTATTGGAAGTATTGGAAGACACAAGAGCTTCCCACACTGGAGGAATGGCAGATGAAACTGATGGACTATATGGAACTGGCGGAAATGACTGGCAGAATCCGTGACCAGGGAGAAGAGTCGGTGGAGGAAGATTGGAAGAAATTCAAAGACTATCTGCAGAAACATTGCAAAATTAAAGAATGTTAGAGTGATGTTGGATTGAAAATAAGTGGCTTCCAGCTGCACAGGATTTAAAGTTATATATAGATTAAGATTAAGGATCAGGATTAAAAAAGTTTAAGGAAATGGAAATTTGGTTTTTAAGAGGTAAAATTTTAATGTTATATTATATTAAGATTAAAGATTGGGATTAAAAAAAGAGGGAAAGAAATTGCTGGACAAACAATTTGAACTGGAATACAAAAGAGGGAGGTATGAGGAGGTCCAGAAAATAAGTAAATTTAAAAATGGAGATGAAAAGGTGGTATTGTTTTTAACTGTTTTCTTTTTCGTCTTTTGTTTTTTGTTTTCTTTTTTTGGATTATGTATTGTGTATTTTTGAATTGTGTATTTCTTTTTTATGTTTTTATGTTTAATTTTTTATTGATGTGTTCTTTTTATTGGAAATCTTAATAAATATCATTTAAAAAAAAAAAAGGGACTTTTGTTAAAACTGAAGGGTGGTGCTAAAATGTCTTAAATACTGTATTGGCCGGAATATAAGCCTCACATTATTCCCCCAAATTCTGACTATGAATAGTTAAAGTGCAGCTTAAATTCTCGACCTTACAAAAATTGGCTTTTATGGTATCACTGCTGAAACAGACATACAGTAAAACGGAACGGGTGTGAGTGCCTGCGGAATTTTAAGGGAGCGGTTTATATTCGGTTATTGTCTTTTTTTCTTTTTCCGACTTGAATTTCAAAGGGGTGGATTATATTCATATGCGGCTTATATTCGGGCCATTATGGTAAATATGGGGTCAAAGGCAGCCCTCTCACCCGGCCTCAGTCTCCCCACAACACCTATAATGGTATGAGACATAACAGCCCGCCTCACAGGGGTGTTGTGGAAAAAAGCAAAATCGTTTATAGAAGGGGAAGTTCTGTCAGGCGCAGCTTTCCCCGCCGTTGCATTTGGGAAACCACACAACCGGCAGCCTTTTCCTTGCCATGACACCAGAAGCAGATGGACTCCAATTCTCATCAACCTCAGTCAATATGGCCAAGGGAAAGGAATGATGGGAGTTGTAGTCCAACAATATATGGAGGGCTGGGGCACAGGTTATCCTTTCCTGTACTGGAGGCCAGAGATGCTGAAGGAGCAAACAGTAGGAAATAGGAGGAGAAATAAGGACCCAACAGTGCCAACTTGAATAAAATATGGGGCCCCGCTTCCCATAATCGATCACATTACACAGTGCACATACGTCATTTGAATGGCAACGCCCATTGTGATAGGAATTTTGAGGTCTTAGATATATGGTAATGTTCATAAGCGTACCAACCAAGCACGTACATAGATCAGCACAGGAAGACCGACCGGAAACCATTTTGATTCCCAAACTGACCAAATGTTTTCCCTGCAAGGAGGGAGGCGGGAGTCAGGGAGCCTTCCCATTGTCTCAGGAATTGAGTAATCAGCATTTTAATGGGTGACATACTATCAGGAAAGGCAATCAGATAACCTGGCAAACAGGAAAAACAACATTCAAATTTCTGTTTTAGACCACCTTTTCTGTGATGTAGGTATGATGTATCTGGGGGGTGGTCTTAGGTTACAGGGTGGCAATTTCAAAAGTCTTTATAAGGCCTTGTGCTCCATTGTTCTGGGTTCCTCCTCCTTTCCTGCGTGTGAGGGGAGCACCCTGTTGCAACAGATCAACAAAGATCAAGCTTACTAGCTGCTTTGCTTCTCAATATTCTCTGGTTGGCCTCTGTTATTTTCTCCTACCAATAGGGAACCTACGTAAGGACTCTATATGGCCTCTTGGATACCCCATAAGGGAAAAGGGCCATTTTTGTTTACAACACCATCACCTTTGGGGACCCCCCTCAGATGTTTTATTGGTGGGGGGGAGAAGGTACCTCAGCCCCTAGGAGCTGGTTCCTATGCAAGGACTTAAAGGAGGAATGAGCGATAATGGAGTCACATAGAGGAACAAAGAACAGGCAATGCAAAAAAGCAACAAAGTTCAACAAGGGTAAGAGATTCTCGTTTTTTTCTTTTGGCAGGTCTCTCGTGTCTTCATGACTGGCAGAAACATAACAGCTGCTGTTTCCCCCTCACCGCGGTCACTGTTGATGCTGGGAAGAGCTTCAGCTGTTACATTCCTGCCCACCCTGCAGTTTTGAGAGTCATAAAGCCGTGTGAGAAAGAAGCTGAGCCATTGGCAGAGTGTCTTTGCGTGAGGGAGGAAGCATGTGGATGGACAAGGAGGGTTGCCACTTTCTGCCTGGCTCTGCTCAAACGCCCCTTAACTTGGGGCAGCTGCATCTGTAAGTTTTGGCTTCTCTCAGTTTCTCATTTCCCCATTCTTAAGCTCAGTTCCCCAAATTCCCACATTGGTTCTGTGTTTTTGTTATCTAAGAAGTCATCGTGGTGATGCTCCCGGTCCCTTCCAGTCCTACAATTCTTTGGATCTATGAAAATTCATCAGCATATTAGTGCCAATATTTATATTTTCCTGAATGAAATGCAATTTTTTATTTTGGCAAATACGTGCATATTTACGCACGTGTTACCTCAGTATATGCACTGCTGTACACATTACTTGGGGGACGCGGGTGGCGCTGTGGGTTAAACCACAGAGCCTAGGACTTGCCGATCAGAAGGTCGGCGGTTCGAATCCCCGCAACGGGGTGAGCTCCCGTTGCTCTGTCCCTGCTCCTGCCAACCTAGCAGTTTGAAAGCACACCAGTGCAAGTAGATAAATAGGTACCGCTCTGGCGGGAAGGTAAACGGCGTTTCCGTGCGCTGCTCTGGTTTGCCAGAAGCGGCTTAGTCATGCTGGCTCCCTCGGCCAATAAAGCGAGATGAGCGCCGCAACCCCAGAGTCAGCCACGACTGGACCTAATGGTCAGGGGTCCCTTTACCTTTACCTTTACACATTACTTAGCTGGAGAACTGAACTGCACTGCTGCGAATTTCGAAGGACGGCTGTATTTCCGTTTGCATATTGTTTTGGAAAGCGTGATCTGGGCCGATTTGCCTTGAAATGTGAACTGCATCAAATGTCTGCCCCACCCCTACCCCAAAGACACAAAGAAATGAATTTCATAATGCAGGTAAAAGCAAAAGGAGCAGGCGTGGAACACAAGGTGACAACTGCATAGTTGAGGGAGCTCTGCATAAAAGAGGCGCAGAGCAGGAAAAAACCTGCTCATTTTAGAGTTTCTGCCATTGCTGCTGTGTTAGAATTAGAGAAGCCAGACCTCATGAAAGTCTCTTAAAAGCACAAGGATGCTGTCAGCGTTGGGACTTGGAAACCCCTAAGCAGCAAAGAGGGGAGAGAGGTTACAGTATTTTTCTTTCCATAAGATGCACCTGACCATAAGACACCTAGTTTTTAGAGGAGGAAAACAAGAAAAAAAATATTCTGAGCAGTGGATGTTTGATTTTTGTGGTTCATGCTGTGGCCACAGACATGCTACGTGATCTGATGATGAATTTGGGTTGACCCAATGCAAAAATCCTGAGCAGCCATGTGCTTTTACCTCCCCCCTCCCAGGCAGCCTCCTTTATCGCTAGCCTCCCTTATCTCCCTCCGATCGCTTGCTGATCAGCTGCTCAGCAGCTTTGTTTCAACACCCCCTTCCTTCTTTCTAAAAAAAAAAAAAAAAGCATGATCTGCTTTTTGCCCCTGGGTAATTCGGCTCCAGGGACCACACATTTGCTCCATAAGATGCACAGACATTTCCCCTTACTTTTTAGGAGGAAAAAAGCGTGTCTTATGGAGTGAAAAATACGGTAATTTTACAAACAGGCCCGCTGGATCTACCACATAGTGAGGAAAGCAAGCGAAATCCTGATCCTAATTGGACCCTACCCTAATTTTTGCAGCTTGGTTCCCTGTTTTGGGCAGGAGATAACAGCAAGAACAGACAGCAGCACCTGCAGAGAGAACGAAAACAGTAGCCTGTAGGCTTGCGGCTTCACAATCATGCAGCTCACCCCAGGGACCCTTTACAAAAACGTAAGACAAGACCGGCCAATGGTCCATCCCATCCAACTACTCATTCTCCCAGTGGCCAACCAGATGGTAGCCCCTAGTAGCCACTGCTAGCCTTTGTCTAACTCCATTTCAAAGCCATCACTTTCCCGGATGTAACTTGACAATGAAAGCATTAATAATCCCAAACTCTTTTCTGAAGTCTCTGGAACAATTGTTGTTAACTTGTGAAATACTCTTCAGTTGTGCAAATTAGCAGACTAATACCAAACAGACATCAACAGCTTGCTCCTCAGCGGAGTCTTCTTGACGAGGGTCCAGTTCGGATTTAATGCTAAGCCAAACTATGGCTTTAGTGTGAATAAGGAAGTGTGTGGGTATCCGGAGTGAAAATCACGACTGCGTCTCACCTCCCTCAGTCCCCTTGCTGCTGTGCTCCCTGAAGCTAAGCTACGGTTTGGCTTAGGGTTACGCACAAACCAGAGCTCACCGTTTGCCTCGTTCCTAGAAAACCACAAACTGTAACCAAGGTTTTCTCCTTGGCTTACCATTCATGGTTTTTCTGGAAGAGACAAATAACAAGCTCAGGTTTCCCAATAATGCTAAGCTAAACCATAGCTTACCTCTAGGTAGTGCCGTAGCAACAGGACCAGGGAAGGAGCAAAGCAGCAGTGATTTTTGCTCTGGCTTGTACACTTATTCACTGACTTACTCACACTCACTAAACCAGTATTTGATAAATTAGGTTTAGGAATTAAATGTGCTGAACTTTTTTACTTTTAAAGAATAGATTACACTTTTATTTCACCTTTCTCCCACGAAGTAACTCAAGATGCACATATAAATTTTCCATACATCTCCCATCCAGGCACTCAGCAGACCCTTTGAGAGGGTGTATGCAGGTTCGTCCACAAAATATATATTTTAGTCTGTCAACCATGGCTGACAGTGAAACACTCTGTGTGCTCCTGCTCCCTTCTTCTGTTCCATTAAACACTCTCATATATTGCATGGAAGGGCCTAGCTTGCCTTCTGAGTACTGAGGGTGACAAGGGTGGTCATATACAAATGTCACATCTCCACATGCATTTAAAGCACTTTGCTTCCACCAAAGAACTACAGAAACTGTTGTTTAAGGGTGCTTGGAGCTGCTAGGAGACCCCTCACAAAGAGACATTTGCCTGCACCCATAACAAACCCAGGATTCTTTGGGAGAAGCTAAAGAGGTACAATGGTGCTTTAAATGGATGTGGCCCCAAAGAGGCCATTTTTAATAGCTGTGCAGAAGAGGGAATTTCAGAAGGTGTAGCTTGCATGACAATCGGCACCTGCTGAAATGCCCTCTTCGAGACAAATATTAAAAAATGCTGTCTTCCTTTTCCATCTGGCCCACTTGACTGCTAGCAAATATGTTTTGTTTTGTTTTGACACTTACCAAGCCAAGGATGCAGCCAGCCTCTTCAGCGCACAGCTCTAGCAAAATGTGAAGCTCTGAGGACAAGCCATGTCTGCCGTTCCCAGCTGCCTACACATATCTCCACCCCCTCATCTTCAAAACATTTACGCTGATAGAAACATGCTAGTGTCGACTGGGCTCTGATGGCAAAAGTGAAGTGAGGTACCATGACAATTTAAGGAAGCCTGAATTCATGATTCGTGCATAAATATACAAAAGTATCAAATCTCAAAAAGTTTGGATGAACATTTAATTTCTACAGAAGAGTCAAGAGCTTCGGCTAACCGGACTCCTCAGGAAATAGACTTAGCATTACAATCATATACCTTATAGCACGCCTTAAGGAACAAACTTGATAGTTGCAGAGGAGGACAACCTCACAGGCTGAATCCTGGTCCCGTTGAAGTCAACACCTAACTCCCATTGGCTTCAATTAGCACCAGAATATGGCCCTTTACTGCCAGGGATGTTTACATTAAAATCAAATTTACTACGCCAGTGAGGTGCACTGTAAACTTTTGGAGCCCCATTATCTCTTTTGGGTCCTTCAGAGCCCAAACAGCAGAATAAACTGAACTAAAGGAAACCAAGCTTTCCCTCTCCCTTTCATTCCTTTTTCACAGATTCCAGGAAAGGAGGTTGGGTTTGACCTTTTTTTAAAAAAAAGAAAAGAAAAGAACAGAATTATCTGAAATACAAAAACAGTTTTCCCAGTTGCCCTTGTCGCACTGCCCTTCACATCCTAAGGAAGGGCCCCTTTTCAGTTCCAGAAGGACCAGAACCTGAAGGTGGGGAAAATAAAGTTTGGTTGGGATTAGGACTTGAATTCATTCCAGTGGGAATATAGTACAAACTCTCCATGTAGTTGCCATCGGCGGTTTGGGTAGCTGGAGGAACGTCGCTCTTCGAAAAATGGCTGTAATTTTCATTGAGGTTTGCATTTTCTTGAGCGGGTTGTTGGTCTTGAAGATCAAGGTTGGCGGGGGGCATCGCTGGAGGGGGAGGGGGAAACCCAGGAAACCCAGAGTATGACATATAAGGTGGTCCATAACCTCCTGGATTCATGACCACTGGTGAGAAAGGAGACTGGTAAAGCCCGCTGTGTGACGATAGTGGGACTGGGGGTATCAGGACCTCAATATACTGCCCTGTTTCTGGGTCATAAAGCATCTTTAATTGAGGCTGCCTCGGCGGTTCCACATAGTAGCATTTCCCACTCTCTGGATCAACCAACATTTTTCTGTGTCCCTGTAGAGGAGGAGGAGCTGCAGCAGCAGGAGCAGGATGAAAGTGCCTTGTTGGGCTTGGGGCACTCTTACCAGATGGCGAAATTCCTTCATTTCTTCTTGTGAAGCTAGGAGACTCTTCAAGTCTTAGGGGGAGTTGCCCATGGCTTGGGTGACTGTATAGCACGTTGTCGGAGGGTGCCTTCGTCTCCATTTGTTTTGGTGGGAAAAGTTCGTGGCTTATTTTATTTCCCGATGCTTCTCCACTCGGCTGGAAGGAGACATTGGAGGTGAAAGAGTTGTTGTCCGTGTTCAAAGGCACTGGGTGTTTAACGGTTGCTTCAGATTGATGGGTTTTCACAGGAATCGTTAAGTAATTTGTGTTGTCAGCCTGGGTAGCTGAAAAATACTGTTCATTTGTTGCCTGATGTTTGTTGGAGTAATCACACCCTGGGTCGTGGAGCTTTCCATAAGAGGTTGATGGAGTAAAAGAGGAGTTTGATATCACCTTGATTCCTTCAGTGTACTCTGTTGGTGCTAGTGGACTGTTTGAAATCACACAATCAGACTGTATTCTGTTGCGCTTGTCCAAGGGTCTGGTGTCTTCCTGTACTGTAGAGTCATATCTACCATCTGTAAAATTACTATTTTCTTGAGTCTGTGTGTGAATATTTTGGGTGCTTGTCACTGGAGGCCTGATGGCTTGTGGGTACCTACAGCTTCCATGAGATGATCCAGATTCTGGAAACATATTTTCATCTTTCAGAAGGTTATTGGAAGCCACTGAGAAGAACTCGCTGGATAAATGTTTCTGATAGGGCAACTCAGCTTCCTGGGTTTTGTAAGGGTCATTAATATAGCTTGTGGTTCCACAGCCATTATCTCTCCTTGTGATTTCCCGTACATAGGTAGAAGATGGGATCCTAAGAGACTCTGATGAAGCAGCATCTCGGCTTTCTCTCAACAAACTATGTTTAGACTGTGGCACTGAATCTTTCATGTTCCTTTCATCCAGTCTGGAGCAACTAGAAGCTGGAAAATAGTCAGTTTCAGTTTTGTGTGACTGTTTGGAGAGAGAACTGTTGACTTTAATATTAAGCTGAGATTCTTTCTTGGCAGTTGTAGACGAAGGCCTGACATTTAATTCACTCCGCTCATAAGGCACTTGTTTGTTTCCAACTTGCGTCGGAAATTCTTTATTTTCAACAAGTTTCTTGGACTGAATTGTAGTAATGTGCACTGCAGGTTCACCCACTGAAGAACATTTGCTTTCTGGATGACATACAGGTACATTTTCGTGTGTCTGTACTGTGGGATTAGAATTATCAGTGGACTCCTTGCTCCTTGTGCTCTGATCATGTAGAGAAAGCGTTGACACATCAATGTCCCCCATTTGGTCTTGCTTATTCTCCTGTGCATTGTTTGCTGTTTGCATATCATCTTTCCGACATATTGATGTGCAGCGTATGAACAGAGGTGAAACAGCTGGGGGCTCCTTTGGTAGCACAATTAAGCTGTTCTCACTTTTGCTTTCAGAATAGGATGCCTGATCTACACTGGAGCTGTCTGAAGATTTAAAGCCAAGAGTATATGTGTCCTTCACTAATTTTCTTACACCTCTGGGCTGATGTATTCTGGCCTTCTCTTTGCTTTCCGTTTGAATTGTCTCCCCTGTGTGAGGTGTTTTGGGGGGATTTGATTTTTCACCACTGTGTGATTTGGCAGAAGCTGGAAAAGCCACAGATGAAAGTTTCATGCTCTGAAATGTAGGCAGCCTCCGCTCATTGGAAACTCTGTCCAAAGATTTGTGCCTAGAAGCATTTGGAACATTATGCTCATTCTTGATCTGAGGGATGAGTTTCATTTCTTTGGTTTTGGATGTGAAGATGTTACTGGGAGTATCTTTGGGTACCACAAGGCTTTTCGGTTTCAGGGAGAATTTTTCTTCCTTTGACTGTGTGTGCTTGCTCTGACGAATGGCTCGCTGCTTCAGATTTGGCCATGGCTTTTGTGGCTTTGCAAATTTCGGAACTGCAGCCAAGCTTTCCGTATCAGCCTCCATGGACTCGAACACAGCTCGGGCTCTCCTGTATTCTTTCCTTACCCCAGCGGCCTGCTTCCTGGTGTTGCTTGATTCTATTACATTCACACACCCATCTGCCAAAATGGGGAGTCTTTTCAGCTGAGTGACTTCTTGATACTTCAGTCTCTCGTTCAGCTCGTTAAATGTATCTTTCAGTTTGCAGACATTCTCCCTTAGCTGCTCGTTGAGCACAACTCCTTTCGTTGGCCTCAAGGCGTCCACGCCGTCTTTATTCACTGTGATGGGCTCTGACCTCTCACTGGTGGAATGGCTCTGAACATCCTCCGTTGAAAAACTGCAGTCCGACTTAGACAGAGAACTTGACTTGCCTTCTAAACTGTCCCCTGGGAGGTCAGTGCTTATGGACGAAGGGACAGAAGAGGTTGAGCTCCCCCGGGCAGACGCTTGTTCCATTTTAATCCTGTGTTCGTACTGCATTTTTTTAGCCAAAACGTTTTTCACCAGGCTGGAAGCCATCCTCGTTTTGCTGTAAGCATTGTTCAAAGAGGCGGCTTTCAGAAATTGCTTATAATTCAGCCTAAACTCATCGCTGATGTTTCTCGCTTTCACACACGACTCTTTTCGTGGTTGTGTGAATGGCTGGAGGGCAGCACAGTCCCCAGCAGCACAGAAACCTGCCTCCTTCTTCTCCTTCCGTCTTAACTGGATCTGACGTTTGGGCACCATTCTCTTTTTAGAGAGGCTCTTTTTGCCATCAGCATTCTCTAGGGCGACATCGATGCACTCAGCGTGCTCCTTCCCCAAGACGCCACTGAGCAGTCCTGCATCTGGGGCTTTGCTGGCTGTTGGGAATAGCCGGCTTCCTTTCGCGTGGCCGACCACCACTGTTTTCCTCTGATCACTGCATAATGGCCACCTGTTCATTCCATTACTATCTTCTGGCAAGGAATTGGACAGGCTGGAGGATGTCCTGTTACTGGAACTATACATATCTAGGTAGCTGCCTTGTGGGCATGAGAGACTCTGGAAGGACAGAGCAGTAAGCTTCTCTACTTCGTTATCAGCCTCATCAGAGTCACTCAAAACACAGGGATTTTCAACAAAATATTTGGGGCATGCTGGTTTGCTACTTACAGGATCATGCACTCGGCTGCCAAGGCTGCTTTTCTTCGGCTTGCGTGCACTGGGTAACATTTCCTTGGATTTGTCGGAACTGAATTGTGCAGGATGATCCAAATACTTCGTTCTGCTGTCTCCTGGCTGCAGCCTCCGTGTGACTAGCCCCATTCTACCACTGCACACTGGGTCTGAGCTATTCTTAGCTTTGATTGACATCTGAACCTGTTGCTTTTCCTTCCCACTGGAAGAGAGTTTGTCTCTGCAGGTTTGATCTTTTATAGTACCCTTGGGGTCTGCCTGCAGGCTCGGTGCTCTCGCCTCTTGGACTGGCAACGACTCCCCAAATGTCTCGCTCCTGCGTAAAGGAAAACGGGATCGAGATCCTCCAGATGTTGCAGCATAAGTATTCCCTTTTGTGCCGCACAGGCCCTCTCGTAAGACGTCGCTGGAACTATTCAAAGTCCCATGGAGTTGGCTGGCTGTAACCTTGGAAATCCTATCAGCAGGGCTTGTCTGAGCTGCAGGAAGGACCGGCGTTGCTGTTACGCTTCCTTGCTCATGTTCTGAGTCGCAGTAAGTGCACTCCTCAAGACAATCTCCGGCTTCTTCAAAGAATTCGACACAGTCCTTGAAACTCTCCGCTTCCTCTGAACCCGGCGCTGAACGGTAAGAAGAACTAGACGTGTCTGAGGTGCGGTCTCCTTTGGAATTGCTCGGAACGTGGCAGTCTTTCTCTGGAGGAGAATGGAGTCTGCAGCTGTAGTTGTTGATTTGTTCTCCGTCCGGACCATCAGGTTCAGGAGAAAGTTGACTGTTTCTCGTCACGCAGGGGAACATTTTTATGCTGCATAAACCATTCAGATCTGAGCTGGAACAATGGGAGTCTGGATCCTGTTTTATCGATGTTGCAGCTGGGTCTGTTCCCACTCACACTTGCGAACTTGATCTTCTGGGAGAAGCTCATATTCCATCCTCTCCCTGTTTAATCCAGTCATGATAAAAAAGCGAAACCTCTGGTTATGTCATGTGCCTGTTTGAGGGAGGCATGCCGAAGAAAATAGAAACACACACATGCAGCGTGCTATAAAAACACAAGCATCAGTAAACAGAAAACAAAATATCAGGGCTATATTTGCTTTCCTTCTCTCCAGAGCAACTCAGCCAGAAGTTGAGATACAGAGCAGCTAGTTTCAAAATGTGTTATGGCTTGCAGAACAAAGTACTCCAGGAGGCACCAGCGACATTAGAGAAATAAAAATAAAGATTAAAAATCCAAGCGTGTTAGCATGGTTGCTACAGCTGTCGTCTGATAAAATAATTTTTAGTCCTTTAATCACCTAAATGGCTGAATAAATTCATCACTTAAAAACAAATACAATTGTATATGCGTAATACACCGATCTTGAAGGAAATTAGGTAGGACATGTCTATGCTGGGGCTGGGGCCATCTTAGAAGGCACATTTCTTCCTATGTGAGAGAGGAGGAGGAAAGCATATTCTAGGATTTCTTGCCCTCTGCAACTTCTATAAGTACACATATTTAAAATAATTTAAACATGGTCTCTGAAGAAGTGTGCATGCACATGAAAGCTCATACCAATAACAAACTTAGTTGGTCTCTAAGGTGCTACTGGAAGGATTTTTTAAATTTTGTTTTGACTACGGCAGACCAGCACAGCTACCTACCTGTAACTTAAAATAATTTAACATTAATTAAAGCAAGAGTTTCCCACGTATTCGATTAAAGGCTGCAGTTCTAACAGTTGTTAATACTGTTGACGGAGGGGTTCAAAAGCAACGCAACATTCCCACTTTAAGGCAACAGCTTTCACTCAGACCAGGGTTTCCCAAACTTGGGTCTTCAGCTGTTTTTTGGACTACAATTCCCACCATCCCTAGCTAGCAGGAACAGTGGTCAGGGATGATGGGAATTGTAGTCCAAAATCAGCTGGCGACCCAAGTTTGGGAAACCCTGACTTAGACCAAGGACAACCAATGCATTGCCTGCCAGGTGTTGTTAGACTGCAATTCCCATGAGTGCCAGTCAGCATGGCCAGTGGTCAGGGATGATGGGATTTGTAGTTCAACAAATAGAAGGCACCATGTTGGCTACCCTTGATTTAATACCTTTGCTTGCACAGCAGCATAGCTGAACTGGCAACATCTACTGCTTCCGGAGTGGTTGGGATGTTTGCTGTGCCTCCAGTCTTCTAGCTAGACTGGCGACTGGGAGCGGCCGCTGAGACCAATAACACCGGTCTTGAAAGACCTACACTGGCTCCCAGTACGTTTCTGAGTGCAATTCAAAGTGTTGGTGCTGACCTTGAAAGCCCTGAACGGCCTCGGTCCTGTATACCTGAAGGAGCGTCTCCACTTCCATCGTTCTGCCCAGACACTGAGGTCCACCGCCGAGGGCCTTCTGGCGGTTCCCTTGCTACGAGAAGCCAAGTTACAGGGAACCAGGCAGAGGGCCTTCTCGGTAGTGGCGCCCGCCCTGTGGAACGCCCTCCTACCAGATGTCAAAGAGAAAAATAACTACCAAACCTTTAGAAGACATCTGAAGGCAGCCCTGTTTAGAGAAGCTTTTAATGTTTAATAGGTTATTGTATTTTAGTGTTCTGTTGGAAGCCGCCCAGAGTGGCTGGGGAAACCCAGCCAGATGGGCGGGGTATAAATAAATTATTATTATTATTATTATTATTATTATTATTATTATTATTGCAGTGGTGATTATTGCTGCTTGCTTCGGACTTCCATTTCTGTCTCCTCCATTCATCTCTACTCCTTAACTCTGTCTCCTTTCAAAGACTGAAGCTGACAGCACAACAATACTGTGTGTGGAGGGATTACTGTTTTCGTTTGTTATTATGGTATGTGATTATGTGTTTTTATATTATAAACTGCTCTGTGATCTTCGGATGAAGGGTGGTATAGAAATTTAATATATAATAATAATAACAGCAGCAGCAGAAACTGGCCATTTGCTGCTGGAAAATCTCTCCATCCCTTCCCATTTACCTCTGACTGATTGAAGTGTGAAGGCCCTGTGTGGTCCTAGGAGCAGTTTTCAATAGCTCTGTTCTTGAGGTGTAACCCAATAGGAATGAAGTTTGCACCTATCATTTTGCATTTCCAATCACCGCACACATTTGCCCTGCAGAACTTGTTTAGCTTTTGTGGGGTAAGTCAGGATACCACTGGAAAATTATTTTGGGTTGCACTTCTAATCAAGGGAAGCAATCTGCTAATTGAAAGACAAACTTGTTATGTACTGAAGTTCTCACCCTGGGCCAGCAGGGGGATACTGTAGATAGTTATGCATATAAGGGATCGAAAGTGACGTTCAGTGATTGGATAGTTTTAGAAAATTGTTACAGTTACGTTGTACTGGAGCTCTATATAAGCAGGCTGACTGAAACCCTTCAGTTCAGTTCAGTTCTGGCCTGGCCTGTGAATAAACAAGAGCTGTTTGAAGAATCGCTGTGTCGTCTGATATGTTCACCCACAACTTAACAAAACTAGATAGATAAGGGGTCTGAGATGAATTGCAGACAAGTCATATGGCCAGCCCCCTTTTAGGATTGGTGTCCCACTTAATCCATAGCTGCCCCTTAGACTGAAATAACGGAGATGGGCGACAGAGCTTTTCACACACGGTATCTTCTCTGGGAAGGCTTTGGCTAGTTTGCAGATATGGATCTTGCGAAAATCGTTCACATAATTTCAACCTTGGTGATAGACACTTGCAATGTGGTCTACATGATCTGCCCTTTGGGACTGCTCAGAGCTCAGGCTTGGCACAAAATGCAGCTGTCTGCCTGACAACAGCATTATATAAGCACCACTATATTTTTACTGACTTCCTGTAACCTTCTGTGCACCATTCAAGGTGCTGTCATTATCCCACAAAGCCCTCCAACACAGGGCTAAATCTTTAAGATCTCTAGATGTCAGTGTAATATTCTTAGGATTAGTCCAGCCCTAGAGGGACATTTTCTAACTTTCCTATGAGGAAAAAGCTCATTTTGAATTGCATGAACTGCCAACAAACCAAGGTCAAATTTTATTAAGGTCCTAGTCGCCTAATGATTTCATATTCTCATAGCTCCAAATTTGTCTCTTCTGAATGTATTGCAACTGTCACTAGCTGCAAAAAAAGAGAAAAGAAAAAAAGAATGCACAGGAGAGGGAATAATGGCTGTTTCTTCTTCACAGTGATTAATACTAATATATATACGACACATATTAACGTAATTGTGACAGTGATGCCCTGATTTGGTGATAATGTTATTATTAATTTAATGGCTTTTAAAACCTCAGTTTTATTGTTTGTTTTTCTCATCTCTTTTTATTGATTTTTAAAATTCTTGATTCTGGCTTTTATTTACTGTGTTCACTGTGGGTTAAACCACAGAACCTAGGACTTGCCGATTAGAAGGTTGGCGGTTCGAATCCCCGCAACAGGGTGAGTTCCTGTTACTCGGTCCCTGCTCCTGCCAACCTAGCAGTTCGAAAGCACGTCAAAGTGCAAGTAGATAAATAGGGACCGCTTACTGGCGGGAAGGTAAACGCCGTTTCCGTGCACTGCTCTGGTTCACCAAAAGTGGCTTAGTCATGCTGGCCACATGACCCGGAAGCTGTACGCTCGCTCCCTCGGCCAATAAAGCGAGATGAGCGCCACAACCCCAGAGTCGGTCACGACTGGACCTCATGGCCAGGGGTCCCTTTACCTTTATATACACAGCAAGCATCCTTCCAAACGAAAGTGACTTATCAAAGCAGGGACCAAAATGCTTGCAAGTAGCATCTTCCCAAACTTGAAGCTCACCCTTGAAACATACAAAAATTACAGACGATCAATTGTTTAAAACAGCAACCTCCTGCAGTTTTTCTCTCCTTTTCCTACTAGGGTTTAATTTGAGCCAACATTGCCTGGAAACTGAGTTTAACAGTGGGGTTTTTTCCCAGGGTTCAACTCTGAAACAATTATGTGGTGGGAATAGTGTGCCTGTTAGGAGGATGGCCAGAATATCTTATTTCCGATGGGGTTTTATCTTATAAAAGTTGTCTCCTACTCCAGAATACCTCAGTTCTATGAAACATAATTACTTAATTTGGAGTGAGTTTTTACCCCTGCTGCTGCTCCATCTCTCACAAAACTGCAGTTATCAATTTCAGAAATACAGGCCTAACTAATCAGTCAGTCTAGGGGGAAATTTGGCATGGCAAACATGGGTACAGCCAAATAGGACACACACGAAAAAGCCTCTTTATTGTGTTAGTGCTGAAACTTACTGGCTTTTCAGCCCCCAGTCGTGATTACCTACTGCAATATGGCTTTATTGTTTGAAACCGTGAAATAAGGGCTGGCTAGCAACCCTAATTCCCTGGATGCCATGCAGTGTTCATGGAGGGTAAAACAACAGGAATTGTGACCAATCCTAGCTAATTCAAGCCATTCTAAGAAATAGTGTATTTATCCACCCATACCACCTAGTATAAGGTTACCAGACGTCCCCGTTTCCCGGAGACAGTCCCCGGATTTACAAATCAGTCCTCTGACAAAACCCTATCATTCCTATTGAAATTGAAAAGTGTCCCCGGATTCATTGAAAAAAATCTGGTCACCTTAATCTAGTATACAGGGACGCGGGTGGCGCTGTGGTCTAAACCACTGAGCCTCTTGGGCCTGCTGTTCAGAAGGCCAGCGGTTCAAATCCCCGCAACGGGAAGGTAAACGGCGTTTCCATGCACTGCTCTGGTTTCCAGAAGCGGCTTAGTCATGCTGGCCACATGACCCGGAAAAACTGTCTGCGGACAAACGCCGTCTCCCTCAGCCAATAAAGCGAGATGAGTGCCGCAACCCCAGAGTCGTTCGCGACTGGACTTAACTGTCAGGGGTCCTTTACCTTTACTGTTTTTTACCATCTAGTATACTTGCAGCAGCATTCTTTGCTTAATAGTTAATTTTAAAATAGTTAATAGTTAAAAATAATAGTTAATTTTAATTATTCTCCCGAGACAAGGTGGCCAAGTCAAGTGGACTACACTCTGCTGCTCAAAAAACAATGAGTCCTGTTCCCCCTGAAATGATGCCTAACCAGTCTTTCAAGTTATTTTGAAGTACCCTTCTCCAGTTTAGTGCCATCCAGATGTTTTATGCTACAAAACTCCCCCACATAATCCCAGATAATCTGCCATTCAGGCTAGGTGCGATGGCAGTGGATGCATCTGAAAGGCTGGCACAGAACCTCATAAGAGCATAAAACAAGCCTGCAGGAGCAGGCCAATAAATGGCCCATCTTTATTATTATTATTATTATTATTATTATTACTATTTCAATTTTTTTATTAATTTTCCAAATTTATAACAAAAACAACACAACACAAAAAACAAAACATATAAAAAGAAAACAAACAAACAAATATATAAAATTTCTTCCAATCAGAATCCAAATTAATTTCCATTATTAAGTGACTTCCTTGAATCCTTCCTAACTGATTTTCATTAAGTCTCATTTTAGCAGTTTCCCAATATTCACTTTCTAATATAATTAACTAGTTCAAATTACTAACTTCCTTTCTTTTCATCATAATCTCGATCCATAGTATTATACAATTCAACATACTTTAATCCTAAGCCAATTTAATACTTGCAGGTATTTCCACTTATATTATATTATAATATTTAGCTGGATATTCCTTAAATTTCTTCCAATCTTCTTGATTTTTCTCCTCTTTCTGATTGCGGATTCTTCCAGTAAGGTCGGCCAGCTCCAAAAAGTCCAACATCTTTATCTGCCCATCTAGTCCAGCTTCCTCTTCTCAGCATAGCTGTCAACTTACAGATTTGAAAATAAGGGACCAGCAGCCTCAAAAATAAGGGATCAGCACCAGATGCCTGTGGGAAACGCTGCAAGCGAAACACGAACACAAGCGTGGTTTCCAGCAACTGGTATCCGAAAGCACTGTTGCCTCCAACTGTGGAGGCAGACAAGTGTTAAGTTGTGGGTGAACATATCAGACGACACAGCGATTCTTCAAACAGCTCTTGTTTATTCACAGACCCAGAACAGAACTGAACTGAAGGGTTCAGCCAGCCTGCTTATATAGAGCTCCACTACAACGCAACAGTAACAACTTTCTGTAACTATCCAATCACTGAATGTCACTTTCAGTTCCTTATTTGCATATGTGGACCTGAGTGAAAACTATCTACAGTATCCCCCTGCTGGCCCAGGGTGAGAACTTCAGTACATAACAACCACCATGGCTTAGTAGCCATTGATAGCCCTCGTCACAATGAATTTGTCTAATCCTCTTTTAAAGAGGATTCACTGCCTCCTGAACTATGCACTGCACGAATATGTACTTTATCTGTCCTGAACATTCAGCTTCATTGAATGTGCACGAGATCTAGTGTGATGAGGGCTCAATTTCAAGCCACAGAAAAGTACTTACCACCAGATCTCTACTCATAAGAGTGAGCTCAGCATGCCTCCTCACAAAGCTGATTGGAGGACTTAACTCATGAGCAGTTCTGATGCTCTGTGGGTATGCACCCTTGGGATGTATTTTTTTAATGCACAGGCTACAATCCTAACCTAGCTCCTGCCAACCTAGCAGTTCGAAAGCACGTCAAAGTGCAAGTAGATAAATAGGTACCGCTCCAGCGGGAAGGTAAACGGTGTTTCCGTGCGCTGCTCTGGTTCGCCAGAAGAGGCTTAGTCATGCTGGCCACATGACCTGGAAGCTATATGCTGGCTCCCTCAGCCAATAAAGCGAGATGAGCGCCGAAACTCCAGAGTCGGCCACGACTGGACCTAATGCTCAGGGGTCCCTTTACCTTTACCTTACAATCCTAAACATACTTGCATGGCAGAAGATTAGGTTGAAATAAATGGGTTCTTTGAGTAATCACTGCCTGCAAATCAAGCAGGTCCCGTTGGGAAAATATCTGGGCACCTAAAACGTGTATTTCTGAGGTCAACTGCTGTGCTTGAATATCAGGTGGCTCTTTATCTCTCTGCTTTCATGACTTCCATCGATATGTTCAGCTTATTTGCCTTCCTCCCTGCCCCCACTAGCTGCCACTACATCAGCTGGTAGATTTTGGAGCTGGAAAGCCTGTCCCTAGAGAATAATCTTTGCACATTTCACAAGGAGTGAGAGTACTGCTGTGGTATCAAAGCTGAACTTGACTTTTGCCCCACATAAAATTCTTATCTTTGTGAACTGCCTCATTTCTCCTGTTCTATCATTGCATAGCTTGCTCTGTTAAATAGACCAGCGTGGACTAAATCAAACTGCATTGCAGACCAAATATTCAGATGTGTTTTAAATTGTTTTTCTGTGTGTGTGTGTGAAATGGATCTCAATGACTTAAGGTTTCGAAAGCCCTTAGCCCTAAATGAATGCAGACTTTTAGAGCTCAGTTCTGGAGACTTCCATAATCTCATTATATAAAGGAGTGGGGAACCTTTGTCCCTCCAGATGTTGCTGATTTACAAATTCCACCAGCCCTAGCAAGTCCCATGAGCCCAAGTAAGCTCCACTAAGCACACTTTAAAAAGATGCTTTCCTTGCATCATTTAATTTTTCATTTCCCATTGTCTCAAGTAGCTCATACTATGCACGTAAAGCACCTATTTATTTCAGGGCCAACCGAAATAACTCCCAAGCGTTGAAGTTTACTCCAACAGCACCAACAACAAAACCTCTTTATTGACAAGCAGCTGCTAAATTAAGGTTAAAATTACCATTGGAAGCACTCCTACTATTAGTGCAGCGTGCGTTCTTGTGAATATTTCAGTGTCTAAATGTCAGAAGGCTTCATCGATCCAACTCCCCAAACATCATCACAAAACTGAAATGTTGCCAAGGTAGCTGAAGTATATCTAACACAGACTGAGCTGGCCGATTCGCAGTAGAGGGGTCCAGTCTGTCTGTTCCCAAAGAGGGTGCCAAACCTGTTTTAATTCTTAGCTATGAGCTGTGTTTAGATTCTAAAAGAGTCTAAAATAACCTTCCAGATTCCACATCCACAAAATAAAAAAAAGTCAAATAAATAAAGTCCCCTGCCTTTTTTTCTGTTCAAAAGAAAACCATTCTTTAACTGATGCACAAACAAAGATATTACAGATAGATCAAAAATGTACAGAATAAGCTGCAAGGACCTGATCTTGCTGAAAACTACAGTAAACCAATTTATTTATTTAAAAAGATCAGCAAAGTAACAGCAGGAGGTGTTAATCCACTGGAGGCATGCCAAGACTGTAAGCTACTGGATACGCTAGGTCAGATCGGTTCACCAATGGAGCTAAATTTAAAGTCTTGGGAATTTAAAAAATAAAAATCAGAAAAAGTGGCGTGTCAATTAACCCTTTAAACTGAAAGCAAAATGTGAGCTATTTATTTGTTACAAAGGTGTTTGCAAACTTGACATGAATGCTGACAGCATCAACCCCGTGTGGGAATCCCTTGCAAGGCGATCATAGTGCCTGGAGATAGACAGTCTCAGGTCGTGTATCCACAGCAGTGACAGAGGAGGAATGACTGCTGGGAGGAATGCAGAGAGAAGGAACGCCATGGTGCACCTGTAGCAGCAAAACTGAACACCTTCATCTGTCCCACTTGCAATGAAACATGTCTCTCCCGTATCGGTCTCTACAGCCACAGCAGGCGCTGCAACCTTCCAACAGCTTGACTTCAGCCCCAAAGGCGCATTCCCAAGACAGACGGATGCCAACAACCTTGCGCCTGTATTGTTCAAGGCATGCTGCCAAAAGCTGGGCTCAAAAACAGTACACTGTGAAAAGTCCCACACGGCTATTTGTATAGGTGCAAGTGTACAAGACCCCAATGAATTGTGAGGGTCGATTCCCCGTTGCTGTAGGCATTCCAGATGGAGTCAGTGCCAAATGCCAGGCATTCGCTAGGTCTGGGACATCAGCCAGCGGAGGCTGAACCAAGCAGCTGTAGTTCATTCCCGTTTGGAATTTACCCATCTTCTAAGAGAATTTTTGACTCTATAGCCTCACCAGGTATGGGGCCATAAACTGTGTTAAAAAGTAACCAGGCATTCATAACCAAACTGTTTCTCTGCAAATATACAGGGCACTAGGAAATCAGCCCTGAGTGCTCACTGGAAGGACAGATCCTGAAGCTTAGGCTCCAATACTTTGGCCACCTCATGAGAAGAGAAGACTCCCTGGAGAAGACCCTGATGTTGGGAAAGATTGAGGGCACAAGGAGAAGGGGACGGCAGAGGACGAGATGGTTGGACAGTGTTCTTGAAGCTACCAGCATGAGTTTGACCAAACTGAGGGAGACAGCGGAAGACAGGAGTGCCTGGCGTGCTCTGGTCCATGGGGTCACGAAGAGTCGGACACGACTAAACAACAACAACAGTAAGAAATAGGAAATCCAGGAGTTGTAGGCAAGGTAGCCCCACCAGAACCAGAAAATTAACAGGGTATTGTTTGTGATACAATTTGTATGTGTGAAATGGTGGTACAGAAACTACTTAAATAAAAGCCAGTGCTGCCCAGCCTTAAAACAACTGATGAGCTCAGTCCACAGCTGGGGAAAAACCCCTTTCTTGCAAGTAATTAACAGATTAATGTTCCTAATCTTTGTGTCTGGCTAGATGTCTGTTTTTTTACACATAGCCCAGCGTACCCGCTACAGTATTCCTCTTATGAATAAAGTGTTACCTCAATCACGTTATACTTTAAATAGTACTGTCAACACCTGACCAATGCCATCATATGAAATCCCACCTGCCACAGTATGAATTAGGTAACGTCGTAGTCTTGCTTTTGCATGGGCTCCCCTGCAATCTATTATCTTTTCTATAAAATCAAACAGCAAACAAAAATTAAAACCAAAGATTGTAATTTTTTTGGCAAAATCAGTAGTATGGAACTCTACTCCTACTGACTGCTAGACAAAAACAATAAGAACAGACTACTGAGACTTCAGTTACATGCCTTAGGGAATTGACCTTCAGTAGCTCCTATTTAGCACCAGGTTGGCGACCTAACAGTAATAATTTAATATATTTTTAAAAAGAAATCTTCCCTTTAAGGCAAACTGGGTGATAACAAAGTCAAGAATCCCACTGAACACAAGTGAGTGGCAGCTGGATATGTTCAAATTAACTACATGAGAGGGTCTTCAGACACTGCAAATGTTTTTGAATGTATCCTGAAACATACAAGTACATGTGGTTAGCAGGCTAAGGAAGGACTAATACAATTCAGTACTTCATCTATTTTCTCTCTCTTCTATTATTTTTTTAATCTTCTTCTTCTAATAATAATTTATTATTTATACCCCGCCCATCTGGCTGGGCTTCCCCAGCCACTCTGGGCAGCTTCCAAAAATATATATATATTAAAACACTGCAATACATCAAACATTAAAAGCTTCCTTAAACAGGGCTGCCTTCAGATGTCTTCTATAAGTCTGGTAGTTATTTTTCTCTTTGACATCTGGTGGGAGGGCGCCACTACCGAGAAGGCCCTCTGCCTGGTGCCCTGTAACTTGGCTTCTCGCAGCGAGGGAACCGCCAGAAGGCTCTTGGCGCTGGACCTCACGTGTCCGGGTAGAACGGTGGGGGTGGAGACGCTCCTTCAGATATACTGGACCGAGGCCGTTTAGGGCTTTAAAGGTTGTAGAAAAACAAGAAATCCAGTCAGTGTACTTCAGAGAAGATAAGTGAGTATTTATTTTGCTTTTGGAAAGGTAAGAATTTGCTATACAAATACACACACAGCACTAAGTTTCATAGTTGAGTTTTCAAACTAAAAAGTTTACCTATCACTTAACATCACAATAATTGGTTCCTACAATACCCACATAAACAGGTTAAGTTTACAAGGACAACAGCAAAGGATATATACCAAACCTAGAGTTGGCAGTGCATAATCCCAGGTACAAAACATTGTACTTTAGTGTTTGGAAAATAAATGTTCTTTACAAAAGAAGCACCAGTTTAAGGGGATAAAAGAAGAACTAACAACTGTATGTTTTTAAAAGATCATACAGAAAGGTCCAAAGAGAAGCTATAAAGATTGGTGCAATCTTATGCATGGAACTCAGATGTTCAAGAGAGTTCAGTAAGAATTATTTCCTAGCAACGGTGTTTAGGATTGCAGCCTGCAGCACAATCCTGGAATATGTGATACAAATGCCCTGGCGCATGTACACAAGAGTCTTCCCCTCGCCAATGAGTATCTAGCACAGACGTGGGTTACCTCTGGCCCCATCAGGTGCAATAGGGGTCCTAATTTACTCCTGGTTCCACTGGCTAGAGCTCCCATCCAATCCTTGCTGCAAATTCAGCGCTGAATTCAAGACCCATTTTTGGGAGGAATCTTTGCAGCTAAGGCGTAAGCTTCCAACTGCATCTGCAAAGACTCCCCCTCTGCAGCCTCATCTTAAATTAAAACCAGGACTGGGAAAGAAGAGTGTGGCTTTGAGAAGACATACCACGTGGCAGCCTTTTAATTGTTTGAAGCTATTTGTTGTTCTCTTCCATTTGTTGCCACTTTCCTTGAAAATGTTTCTAAACAGCTAAAGAGGGAAAATGATAGACAGCCTTGAATGGCATGTGCTAGCTTAGAAATGAGCTCCTGCAATTCTTTACTCGCTTACCTTCGCATCTTTTGAACTCAGTGTGACCTACTTCTGAGTAGACACGTACATGGCTGCAATGGTAACCTCATAGTCCCACCCACACCAGGAACAACAAATTAAAGTACCATAAATACATAGTTATTGAATTACTACACTACGTAGTAGCGATTTTATTAAAACCCACAGATGCTTTAAAGATCATTGGGGTCTTGACTGCCTTTCATATCCGGGTGAAAAAGATGGTGCCTTATGCTTAAATATACAGAATCCAATGCAGTAGTCATTGTCCACCTAAAGATGTACAGTAGTTCATACATTGGTCCCACTGGACAGAATGATGTAGGGGAAGTTGGCACTTAGAGGTGAGTATCTCACTTAAATTACCGGCAGAGTAATTTCTTGGTGGAAAAACTTAGAAGTTCATTTTTTATTTCAACACATCTAAGAGTAAGATTAGAATCAAGTGACTTGAGGGAATGCTTCTATGGTTATTTCAAATCCTTCTTGTTCTTTCTCCCAAGCACTTTTGCTATGTAACTTTCCTGTTGTTTTTGTATCTTGAATTCAGATGCTTGTTTCCTGCAAAACAAGACAACAACAAAAACCAGAAAGCACATTGTAAGAATGCAATTTTCTTTGTGAAAATAGACACCTAAGTACTTACTGATCTGTGGCACGTGTGAAATGTCAGGAAAATAAATGCAACACTATTATGTGTGTGCCGACTCCTGAACAATCCTTTCAATATACAACCAATTGATAAAGAAAAACAGAATGTTGGACTTCCTATGATAATTTCACCGGGTGGTATTCAACGAAATTTATTTATAGTAGACCCACTGAAATTAATGGACCGATGGATTAATGTTCATTAATTTCAATGAACCTACTCTGAGTAAAACTTAGCTAGATACCACCCATTCTTTGCCAAGGGGTCTTCAAATCAGTTATTGCTTCCACCTACTCCATTAGAAACACATGCCTTATCAAACAGATCACTGGTTTCTATAATCAGCATTTACCACAGCTACAGTACTAAGCAATCGCTAGCAGCACGGCAACCCAGAAAGAATGGAACAGTTAAGAAAGCAGGAAAATGGGTATTTTTCAGGGGAGGAAACCAACAAAGCTGGTTTATGAAGTTGGTTTATTTATACAAACCACAATTAAAATTAACCACAGTTCAGACATAATGCTAAACTGCCATTAATTATTTTTTAAAAATGGATGTGAAAGCTTCTACTTTGACTGGATCTTTGTCTTTGAAGAAGCAATGGAGGAAAGCATACACACAAACAAAAAAGGAGGGGATGCCACAAGTACAAAACAAGTTTGAGGATAACTGTAAAAATATCTATTTAGATAGTGATTCCAAAGGAAGGGTGTAAATGTCTCAGTAAGCAGTATTCTCTATTTTACCCCAAGATCTGAGGATGCATCAGGTGGAGGAAAATTGTGATTAAAAATGAAAAGAAATACTTAGATCCTACAGCCTTTAAATGTACTTGTGGGAAGGAGGGTATTGTTTTGTTTTAATTATTTACTTGTGTTTTATCTTGTATTGTATTCTGTGAACCACCCTGGGATCTCTTGAAGGGCGATATATAAATTTAATAATAATAATAGTAATAAAAGGGAAATGGTTAACTCAGTTACCTACGTATTTTCAAAGAATCTAGTAAAAGTGTCTTAGATAAAAATATATACTTACTTTAATGTTTGCTTCTGGTTGTTGATGAAGTTCTGCAGCTCCCTGATCTCATTTTCTTTGTAGTTCAGAACATCTTCCTGTTTTTGAATATGGGTCTCAATTTCTGTAGGAGGAATTTGGAAATCACTGATTTGTGCTTTTGCTTTCTAAATATCAAAATCAAAGCGCACAAAACAAAGTTATGTACACAGAATTCCCAGCAAAGTCTCAAACTGTATTACCCTGGTTTGGTTATAATCAACCCAAATAGGTAGTGCTATAGGTACTACATGCTCTAGAAACTGAATTCTGTGCCCAGGATTAAAAAAAATAGACATCTTTATTTATTTTCTTACATTTATATCCTGCCTTTCTTCCAGCATGAAACCCAAGGCAGTTTAAGTACCTGCAGGGTAGTCACCCATCTAGGCACTAACCAGATCCAGACCTACTGAGGGGCCCATGACATTGACAGAATACACAAGGTGCAGAGAAGTGGAGGGAAATGCATCTATGCCCCTGAGCGCAGGACGATAGGGAGCTGCTGCCAAACATATCTGTATCTGTATTTATATCTATATCTATACAGTGGTACCTCGGGTTACATACGCTTCAGGTTATATACGCTTCGGGTTACAGACTCCGCCAACCCAGAAATAGTACCTCAGGTTAAGAACTTTGCTTCAGGATGAGAACAGAAATCGTGCTCCGGCAGTGCCGCGGCAGCAGGAGGCCCCATTAGCTAAAGTGGTGCTCCAGGTTAAGAACAGTTTCAGGTTAAGAACGGACCTCCGGAACGAATTAAGTACGTAACCAGAGGTACTACTGTATCTATCTATCTATCTATCTATCTACAGTGGTGCCTCGCAAGACGAAATTAATTCGTTCCGCAAGTTTTTTCTTCTTGCGAGTTTTTCGTCTTGCGATGCACGGTTTCCCATAGGAATGCATTGAAAATCAATTAATGCGTTCCTAGGAAACCGACTTCAGACCAGGTCCGGGGACAGTCTGTCCCCGACCTCTTCTGAAGGCTGGGGGGGGACAAGGGCTTTTCTTCCACCCCCAGCATTTAAAACCCCGGGACAGCGGAGGGCTTCTCCGCTGTCCGGGGCGATCTTAAAATGCTGGCGGGCGGCATTTAAAATTGCCCCGGGACAGCGGAGGACTTCTCCGCTGTCCGGGGCAATTTAAAGCCCCTGGGAAGGCAGGCAGGGGGACAAAGACTTTGCCCCCGCCAGCCTTCAGAAGAGGTCTTCTGAAGGTTGGCGGGGGCGAAGTCTTGTCCCCCCACCTGCCTTCAAAAGCTGTCCCGCCATGGCTTCGCGGACCTCTCCGCGTGCTGCGGCAGCGCTGCCGCTGATTGCGGAGTGTTGCCGGCATGCCGAAGCCTGCGCGCGCTGAGCTCAGCGCGCCCAGGCTTCGCAGACCTCTCCGCGAGCAGCGGCAGCGCTGCCGCTGCTCGCGGAGAGTTGCCGGCATGCCGAGCCTGCGCGCGCTGAGATCAGCGCGCCCAGGCTTCGCGGACCTCTCCGCGAGCAGCAGCAGCGCTGCCGCTGCTCGCGGAGAGTTGCCGGCATGCCGAAGCCTGCGCGCGCTGAGATCAGCGCGCCCAGGCTTCGCGGACCTCTCCGCGAGCAGCGGCAGCGCTGCCGCTGCTCGCGGAGAGTTGCCGGCATGCCGAAGCCTGCGCGCGCTGAGATCAGCGCGCCCAGGCCTCGCGGACCGGAGATTTCCCTATGGGCTTTCGTCTTGCGAAGCAAGCCCATAGGAAATTCGTTTATGGAGCGCCTCCAAAACGGAAAACCCTTTCGTCTAGCGGGTTTTTCGTCTTGCGAGGCGTTCGTCTTGCGGGGCACCACTGTATCTATCTATCTATCTATCTATAGTGTACCTGTTTTCAAGCTTGCCTACTTGCCAACATTTTTAAGTATACATTTTTACTTGAGGAATTAGGCTTTTAGGCATTCCTTTTAAGAAGAAGAAGAGGAGGAGTTTGGATTTGATATCCTGCTTTATCACTACCCAAAGGAGTCTCAAACTGGCTAACATTCTCCTTTCCCTTCCTCCCCCACAACAAACACTCTGTGAGGTGAGTGGGGCTGAGAGACTTCAGAGAAGTGTGACTGGCCCAAGGTCACCCAGCAGCTGCATGTGGAGGAGCGGAGATGCGAACCTGGTTCACCAGCTTACGAGTCTCTTAACCACTACACCACACTGGCTAAGTGCCTAAAAGGGTTAATTTCTCAAGTAATCCTCAGTCTGAGACGATAAAATAATCTCGTGAATTTACCAGCACATTTGCTCAACAGCTTGTCTTTTTGGATCGATTCCTTCCGCACTTTGCTTTTTACCCGAGAGAGTCTACAACAGAAGGAATATTATTTTAGTCACACATGTCAATACCTTTAAATACAGCTGGAATAAGTAGTTCAAATGTTGTTATCTGTCAGATAAGATGATCAGGAGCAAGTCATACATGCCCCTTATGCACCTTTGGAAACTTGACCTTTGTAATTATGGAGCTGACCGATCTGTAAAACAGTGCTAGTTAGGCTACAGATTTCATAGAATCATAGAGTTGGAAGAGACCACAAGGGCCATCGAGTCCAACCCCCTGCCAAGCAGGAAACACCATCAGAGCACTCCTGACATATGGTTGTCAAGCCTCTGCTTAAAGACCTCCAAAGAAGGAGACTCCACCACACTCCTTGGCAGCAAATTCCACTGTCGAACAGCTCTTACTGTCAGGAAGTTCTTCCTAATGTTTAGGTGGAATCTTCTTTCTTGTAGTTTGGATCCATTGCTCCGTGTCCGCTTCTCTGGAGCAGCAGAAAACAACCTTTCTCCCTCCTCTATGTGACATCCTTTTATATATTTGAACATGGCTATCATATCACCCCTTAACCTCCTCTTCTCCAGGCTAAACATGCCCAGCTCCCTTAGCCGTTCCTCATAAGGCCTTTGACCATTTTGGTTGCCCTCCTCTGGACACGTTCCAGTTTGTCAGTGTCCTTCTTGAACTGTGGTGCCCAGAACTGGACACAGTACTCCAGGTGAGGTCTGACTAGAGCAGAATACAATGGCACTATTACTTCCCTTGATCTAGATGCTATACTCCTATTGATGCAGCCCAGAATTGCATTGGCTTTTTTAGCTGCCGTGTCACACTGTACGTTTAAGTGTGTACGTTGCACTGATCCCCTTTAAGCTTCTGTTATGTTGTTGCAGTGACTTGAAAAGATCCACATACACCACTTCACAGGATCCAAACTTTCTCTTTTATACTGAACTCACTCTCAGAGTGTGGATCCGTTCCTTGTATAACCAAAACATCACAGAAATAACCATCCACACACATGAGGCTTGAGGGAGTACTAACATTTACAGAAGTAAAAATAGATAGCCAGCCCTAAGGGGGGGAAACCCCAAACAGTACAATGTGGACTGAATATTCTCATGTTGGTCTGCCATAGTCAAAACAAAATGTAAAAAAATTTCCTTCCAGTAGCATGCACATGAAAGCTCATACCAATAACAAACATAGTTGGTCTCTAAGGTGCTACTGGAAGGAATTTTTATTTTATTTTATTTTGAATATTCTCAGTGAGCACAGAATGCTGATGGGTTGGGTGGTGGGAATAAAAAAACGGGAACTGAACGAAACATCATGGTAGAGGACACTGCTCTAGGGCTAGCACGCAGTATGACTGCAATTCTAAGCATGTTTACAAGGGCGTAATTACGAGAAAACATGCTTAGCATTGCAGCAAACAAGCCTCTTAGCTTGGAAAATTCTGGCACGCCCAACAATACTAACCCTACTTCCAGCTCAGTCAGGCTACTGGCTCACGTAGCCTGCTGCTGTATACTCTGGTCTTATCCAGCAGTTGCTAAATCTTAGCACCTGCTTATAATGGAGAATGAAGACTCAGGGAGCAGCTGGTCAGTTGTTAAAACAGGTGCTAGGATACAGATTTCTCGTTCCTTCCAGCCTCTGAACTGCCCGAAGTGGTCAAGAGCAGAAAGAGATAGAGCTGCCTTTCTCCAGAGCCGCTACTGTTCCTTTCTTGCACGTGCGTGGCTGTTCAGAGGTTGGGGGAGAGGCAGCTGCTGGTCCCTTGGGAACTGGCTAGTCAGTGGTCTTCTGGGGAACTGTAACTATCATTTCCCCAACTCCCCTTTTTAGACAACAAAACTTGAGCCTGTTCTCTTCACAGAGACTCCCACACCAATCTACAAGCATACGCAGTGTCAAAAGCTTGTTTCTCCCTCTCAAGTTGCTTTGACAGAACATCAATCTCCCCAAGGGCGAATTCCAGCTGTTCGGATTCCATAGCTAGATTACTCTTCGTCTTTGCATGTTCTTCCTCTTCCTTCTGTAAATTAGAATACAGTTGAAAAATCTAAGTTATTAGATTGCCTAACAGGTAAACCAACATTATAAAAAAGGACGTATTCAACTGCATCAGTAGGCAAAGAAAATATGCCACAACTCTGGTGTAAAGTAAAAGGACCCCGGCTGGTTAAGTCCAGTCAAACTTTGACTATGGGCTGCGGTGCTCGTCTCGCTTCAGGCCGAAGGAGCCGGTGTTTGTCCACAGACAGCTTTCTGGGTTATGTGGCCAGCATGACTAAACCGCTTCTGGCACAACGGGACACCGTGATGAGTGCCAGAGCACATGGAAACGTCGCAGCACTATCTATTTATCTACTGGCATTGGTATGTTTTTGAACTGCTAGTTTGGCAGAAGCTGGGACAGAGGAATGGAAGCTCACCCAGTTGCGCCGATTTGAACCGCTGACCTTCCGATCAGCAAGCCCAAGCGGCTCAGTGGCTTAGACCACAGCACCACTCGAGTCCCCTCACTCTCAAATATTCAGATACTAACTTCTGATATTAAAAATCGACATTGTCACAAGACACGAGTCTACAGGGGAACTTGCACAAATCTTTGAGAATGTGCAATCTCTACTGCTGCCTTGATTATGTTTAACAAAAGAAAGAGTAAAAATACCAGAAATAAATTATTAAAGGAAGGCCACATACCTGCAGTTTCCTTATAATAGCCTCATATTCCACCTTGCTTACAGAGTTCTCTTTCTGCACTGCTATCTGTTAAAAGAATGTTACATTTTATAGATTAGTTGTTTGTGTAAGAGAATTACTATTGGGGGGGGGGGAATGCTGAATGTATATTAGTTATTTTTGCAGTCTGATCCTATGCTGAGTTAGGTCAATCTATGTCTACTGATTGCAGTGGGCTTAGGCATATCTAGAGATGTGAAAGCATGCAGAAAAAATAAAAAATTGTGGAAAACCCACCCCACCCTATTTTTCTGTCCCCATTTTGGAAGCAACCAAACCAACAACAACAACAAACAGAAAAACGGTTGGGGGGGGCACGGTTTCATTTTTTTGTTTTTCCAAACCTTCACCTCTCTAGGTATATCTTTATCTAGATAGGCTCACTCTGTTTTATGGCTATTGCATTACAGCTTCTGCTCATTTTACGACTAACTACAATTTTATTTACAAAAGTACTTATATGTCAGCCACTGATGCAGTTTCATAATTTTTAATCAACTGCATAGGCTTGTCGGTATAGAAAAGTCTTTAAAAGTGAGGTTGCCTGCCAAATCTCTGCTTGAAGAGTGTTCCACAGAATGGGACCAGCAATACTAAATGCCCAACTTCTGAGGGAGTTGAGCTCCTATAGGGGTGTTCTTGGTAACTGGGCAAAGCTAGGATATAAAGGCTCAGGCAGTCCTGGATCCAAGTTGTTCAGGGCTCTGTGTATCAATCCAAAATCCTTAACCTGTAGCATATGGGCAGCCAGTGTAGATGTTTTAACAGCAGTATCACATGCTGCTGGCCATCCAACTGCAGCAGCAGCCTAGTCGCAGCAGTCTGCCCTAGCTGGAGCTTCTACACTAGGCCTAAGGGCAGCCTTACATAGAACGCATTGCAGTATTTACCTGGAGGTTCCTACAACAAGCACTACACACATATGACTGGTGTGCTTTATTTTAGATACGCGGGTGGTGCTGTGGGTTAAACCACAGAGCCTAGGACTTGCCGATCAGAAGGTCGGCGGTTCAAATCCCCGCAACGGGGTGAGCTCCCGTTACTCGGTCCCTGCTCCTGCCAACCTAGCAGTTCGAAAGCACGTCAAAGTGCACGTAGATAAATAGGTACTGCTCCGGCAGGAAGGTAAACGGCGTTTCTGTGCGCTGCTCTGGTTCGCCAGAAGCGGCTTAGTCATGCTGGCCACATGACCCGGAAGCTGTACGCCGGCTCCCTCGGCCAATAAAGTGAGCTGAGCGCCGCAACCCCAGAGTCGGTCACGACTAGACCTAATGATCAGGGGTCTCTTTACCTTTACCTTACATCATGTTGAGGGTCCTGGCTGAAATCTTAATTTGGCAACCACCTTAAATAAAACCAGAGATATAATCTCATTATGTTCTTGGAGGCAATTGCTTCCATTTCAGAGCCATGACGGCACACATGGAATAATGAAAAACCCTGCAGAATTAGACCAAATGTCCATTTAGCCTTCCGTCCGGTTTCCAACAGCAGCCAGCTATATGGCGCTAGAAAACCCACATGGTCATCCCTGCCCTCCAGCAACTGGTCTTTAAAGGTACACTGCCTTTGAGGCTGGAGGTTCTATCTGGAGATACAAACACACACACTATACTTAATCCTTATGTTCTGCTGGATCAGACTAAAACTCCTATTTAATCCTGTTTCCAGCAGAAAGGGCACGAAGTAAACAATCCTCCATTGTTCGCACTCCCAGAAACTGGTATTCAGCAGCCTACCCACGGGACCGCCTCTCCTGGTATGCCAAGCAGAGGACCTTAAGGTCCACAAATGACAACATTTTGGAGGTCCCAAGTCGCAAGGTGGTTAGATTGGTCTCAACTAGGGCCAGAGCCTTTTCAGCACTGGCCCCCGACTTGGTGGAACGCTCTGTCACAAGAGACTAGGGCCCTGCGGGACTTGACATCTTTCCGCAGGGCCTGCAAGACAGAGCTGTTCCACCTGGCCTTTGGTTTGGACTCAGTCGGACCCTTATGTTTCCCTCCCCTTATGGTTTTGATCTATGGGCTACTTTTAAAATGAGGCAGCAATTTAAATTGCATTTTAACCTGTATTTTAAATTGGTTGGTTTTTTTCCCTATTATGTTTTTACTGTGATTTTACTGGTGCTAACCGCCCTGAGCCCGCTCTGGCCGGGGATGGCGGGGTATAAATAAAATTTAGTATTATTATTATTATTACAGTGGTACCTCGGGTTACATACGCTTCAGGTTAGACTCCGCTAACCCAGAAATAGTGCTTCAGGTTAAGAACTTTGCTTCAGGATGAGAACAGAAATCAGGCTCTGGCAGCGCGGCAGCAGCAGGAGGCCCCATTAGCTAAAGTGGTGTTTCAGGTTAAGAACAGTTTCGGGTTAAGAACGGACCTCCGGAACGAATTAAGTACTTAACCCGAGGTACCACTGTAATTACTGCCTTTGAACACATAGGGTTTTCTGAAACTACCATGCCATTGACTAATGGCGAGAAGCAGGACGTGCAGCAGTGGCAGTGTTCTTGCTCAGTGTCTAAACTACTACTGCTAATAATAATATATTATTAATATATAATAATAATATAATAATATTTTTTTTTATATTTAAAAAAATAATAATAATGACGGACTACATGGAATTGGCGGAAATGACTGGCAGAATCCGTGACCAGGGAGAAGAGTCGGTGGAAGAAGATTGGAAGAAATTCAAAGACTATTTACAGAAATATTGCAAAATTAATGAATGTTAGAATGATGTTGGATTGAAGTTAAGGGTTTCTAGCTGTACAGGCTAAAGAATATGGAAAAATTGGTTTTAATATGTAAAATCTAAAATTTAAAGTTATATTATATCAAGATTAAGATTAGGATTAAAAAGGAGGAAAGGAATTGTTGGATTAACATATTTAATTAGAATACAAAAGGGAGGTAAGAGGAGGTCCAGAGACAAGTAAATGTAAAGAAGTGAGGAAAGATGAAATTGTTTTTAATTGTTTTTTCTTTTTTTACTTTGTGTTTTTTCTTTTTATTGTTAATTCTTTCTTTATTAATGTGGTTTTTTCCTTGTGAAATTTTATAATAATTATTTTTAATTACTGCCTTTGAACACATAGGGTTTTATGAAACTACCATGCCATTGCCTAATGGCGAGAAGCAGGACGTGCAGCAGTGGCAGTGTTCTTGCTCAGTGTCTAAACTACTACTGCTAATAATAATAATATATTATTAATATATAATAATAATATAACAATAATTATTTTTAATTACTGCCTTTGAACACATAGGGTTTTATGAAACTACCATGCCATCGACTAATGGCGAGAAGCAGGACGTGCAGCAGTGGCAGTGTTCTTGCTCAGTGTCTAAACTAATAATACTAATAATAATATATTATTAATATATAATAATAATAATATAATAATAATTATTTTTAATTACTGCCTTTGAACACATAGGGTTTTATGAAACTACCATGCCATCGACTAATGGCGAGAAGCAGGACGTGCAGCAGTGGCAGTGTTCTTGCTCAGTGTCTAAACTAATAATACTAATAATAATATATTATTAATATATAATAATAATAATATAATAATAATTATTTTTAATTACTGCCTTTGAACACATAGGGTTTTATGAAACTACCATGCCATCGACTAATGGCGAGAAGCAGGACGTGCAGCAGTGGCAGTCTTCTTGCTCAGTGTCTAAACTACTACTGCTAATAATAATATATTATTAATATATAATAATAATAATAATAATATTTTTAATTACTGCCTTTGAACACATAATAATACTAATAATAATAATAATAGGGATTTGTGTGCGCAGAGTGTTGGGTAGGCCCAGAGGGCTACATCCGCGAGGCTTTTTGCCAACGTTTCCCCCAGGCTGCTGCCCAGCTCGGTGGCCGGCGACCGCCGAAGGGAACCAGCGCGCCCCTTCCCACAACCCTTGACTGGAGGGAGAAGAGACGGCGCGGCCGCCCCGGGCGCCTCCAGCCCCACCTGTCGCCTCAGCCTCTCCAGCAGAGCCTCCTGCGTCTCGATCAGGTCTCGCAGCTGCTGGAAGGCCACGGACGACGCCATTTTGTGTTTTTTTTCCCTCCTTCACCGGCCGTTGGAAGTGCGCGCGCTTCCCCCCTCCGGCCAATCACGCAGCGGCGCCGAACGTGAATCACGGGAGCTTCGCCCTCGCGAGACTTCTTCGCCCGCCCCTTCCGCCCAGTCGCGTCAGAACAAGGGAGGGGCGGGGCCAGAGCTGCCTGTTCTATCTAGAGCCCGCAAAGCGAGTACCGTAATTCCCCTAATGCAGGCGCCGAGAGAGAGAACCGTAATTCCCCTAATGCAGGCTTAGAGATGGACAAACACACAAAAAGACACACAGAGATAGTGTAGTGTAACGGTTTGAGCGTTGGAGTAGGACCTGTGAGACCAGGGTTCAAATCCCCACTCATCCACGAAGCTGCCATCCTGCTGATCATGTATATTCAGCCTTGTTTTTACCTTGTCATCTTTGGGGAAGGCAGGAATTATTAAAAAGTCTGTCAGTTGCCAAGTTGTGTTGCTTCTCCTTTTGCAAATGTTGCAAAAAGCCACCTGGACGTTTCTGCACACTCGTACTTCAAAATCTGCTTTGTGATGAAGGGCGGTTAAAACAGACACACAACCCAAATAAATAACCATGTTTTGTGATAATACAGTGTTGGTTACTGCAACAATTTTCACTTTTGCTTTCCTCGCTGACCTGTAACTATCCAGAACTCCAGTACCAAATTATTCATCTCTTGCACAGCTCCTACCATGGGACAGTCTTCTTCAGATCCTCCTCCATGGTTTTTTTTTTACTTTTAAATGGTACTCATAAGGTAAAGCACTATGTTGGCATAGAGATTAACAATGTGTCGTTTCATTTTTTTCAGCACTCTTGTTTGTGACTTTCTGTGGTTACAAAGCAAGTTAAAAAGAAATCTGCCATAGGTTTGTTGTCCTTAATTACCTAACTTGAAACCAAAGGCTCAGTGGGATCACTCTCCAAAAGCTGAGCAAAGCCCCGAAAGGGTGGGGCCTGCTTAATATACATAAAAAGGTAAAGGGACCCCTGACCATTAGGTCCAGTCGTGGCCGACTCTGGGGTTGCGGCGCTCATCTCGCTTTATTGGCTGAGGCAGCCGGCGTACAGCTTCTGGGTCATGTGGCCAGCATGACTAAGCCGCTTCTGGCAAACCAGAGCAGCGCACGGAAACGCCATTTACCTTCCCGCCAGAGTGGTACCTATTTATCTACTTGCACACTGAAGTGCTTTCGAACTGCTAGGTTGGCAGGAGCAGGGACCGAGCAACGGGAGCTCACCCCGTCGCGGGGATTTGAACCGCCGACCTTCTGATCGGCAAGTCCTAGGCTCTGTGGTTTAACCCACAGCACCACCCGCATCCCTTAATATACATAGCTGTTATCTATTAAAGCCATACATATGCATAAACCTCCTCTAAAGATACAACACAATACTAATTATACCATGTATGGTTTTTCCTTCATTACCTATTCATCAGCCCCGACTGCATGCGATCTCTTTGCATTCTTTTCTACCTGAGGGGGAAAGGAACAGATGAAAGTACATCTCAGAACAGCAGGGTACGCCTTCTTTCATATGTAGACGCTTAGGAATGTGCTTACAACCTTGGGCATGGATCAGCAAACTTTTTCAGCAGGGGACCGGTCCACTGTCCCTCAGACCTTGTGGGGGGCCGGAGTATATTTTGAAAAATAATAATGAACGAATTGCTATGCCCCACAAATAACCCAGAGATGCATTTTAAATAAAAGAACACATTCTACTCATGTAAAAACACTCTGATTCTGGAAAGAAACAGTAGGCACAAGGCCTCTAGCTTGGCTAGTTAGCCGAGCTTATAGCTCTCTATGTGCATCAAAACAAAGATCAATTTGAAATAAAGATCATCTCCTGCATGTAAGTGAGCTTTGATACTCATAATCTTTTATTTCATTTCTTATTTCCATACAACACAGCGGAAGTTGTCATTTTCATGGCTGAACAATGCAATACATTTGTAAATTACTTGTTTTTGGTTTTTTTTTTATTAAAAAAAACAACATACTGAAATTTTTGTTCCCGAAACTAATGGTGAAATCTTCAAACACTGCAATAGTCCTAGTGAAATTGCTCAAGGGCTGAGGCCAAAATAACAGAAAACTGTTGACTGCAAATCCACTAATCACTCCAATAAATTTCCTGATTTCTCACTCAGGACTTAAAGGATAGCATACCTAATTTACTAGTCATCTGGTGTACAATACACACCTACATGGTTTATGAAAAATGAACTGTACAATCAAGATTCAATGAAGTCATATACAGTTACCATATTGCCATATTTACAGTCAGAAAAATTAATCTCACCAAAACCACAACAAATAAATACATAAATAAATAAATAAATAAATAGAAGATTGTGCTCAATGTGAAGTTAAAAAAAACCAGTAAACTTTTCAAATACCATGCACATGAAGTACATTTAATTATAAGGGTAAATCAAGTCTTTAACTGATGCTACAACTGACTACAGATTTACTTGTAGCCTAACAGGGACAAACAAATAATACACTGTTAAATTTGTATACAATATAAATCAGGGTGTTAGCTTTCTTTCAGTTTGCCAACCAAGTCATTTCTAAAATGTTATTACCGTATATACACGAGTATAAGCTGAACCGAGTATATGCCGAGGCACCTAATTTTACCACAAAAAACTGGGAAAACTTATTGACTTGAGTATAAGCTGGTTCTCCACACCACAAACCTGGTGGTGGCGGCAGCGGCGGAGGAAGAACAAGCAGCCCAAAAGGGCTGCTTTCAGCATAAAAAATGTGCCGAAAAAGTCGGCTTATACTCGAATATATACGGTATTAATAAAGCAGAGGCCTTTTGCAACTCTGGCCAAATTTTGGGGTCATTTGCTACCTAAAAGTATCATTAGCTCCAAAATATAACTTAGAAATATTCCCAGGCACACGTTACCTGGGAATCTGTGCAAGCAAGCACAGCTAGGACATAATTGTCCCTGGGTGTTAGGTGAATCACTGACATAAAGGGAAGGGATAAACTATATGCCAAAATGTATGCGTATCATTCAACAATCTGGTTTAATTGGAGAACAGTGGAGGCACCACTTTGTCATAAATGACCGCTACAACCCTAAGCTGTACACATCTACTCAGAAGTCCCACTAAGTTCTGACTGAGTTTCAGTGAAGCTTATTTCCAGTAGGATTGCAACCTCAACCACGATGTTGGATAAGCACATGCCAGCAGATGTTTTGGGTTACAACTCTCATCAGCCCCAGTCATCATGGGCAATGATCAGCGATGTGAGTTGTGGACCAAAACTTCTGGAACGCACTAGGCTTATTTATATCCCTTTAGCAAGTAACCAGAATATTCAGAACAGATAAAAGCCCACACTCTTAAAAAATGTTATCCTCTTCAAGTACCTTTTAGCTCATGAGCAAACGAAATTATTAAGCAGGAACCTCCTGCCAAATTAACTTTTTGTGTTAATAGGCTGTCTACGTCTTTTAAATTAATTCAAATTCCATTAGTTTCATTTAATCTCTTTTCACAGGCGTTTTAAGTACCAGGACTGAGATCAGATACCTTGACCCCAATAAGAAATAGCTTTCCAGAATAAAGAAAACATGCCTGTATTTAAAAAAGCTTTACAAATTAAGCGGTTTTTATTTAATAATGCCTCTTAGGAATTGAAACTGTTATTTCAATAAGGGTATGTCGCAGTGCAGCTGCAATCTGCTACAAATCTGAACATGTATATAGGTGTTTCTATATAGTGCTGTTGGTGAAGGATGTGTAAAATAACTCTATAGAACTGTTAATATAGCTGCTGTGATCAATCGTTAACTCTTCCACCTCCTGTTACATGAAAGATTCCAAGATCCCAGCATATGAAACTCAGCGGAGTGCAATTGTAGCTGTTCCATGGACATACAAAAATCATAGCGCCCCAAATCTGAATGCCCCAAGGTCACCCTGAGGACCAAAACATGAAGCCCAGGTATTCCTGTTTACTACGAGACTGTTTAAAAATAGGGTTACATCCTTGAGGCTGCCTTCACTGCAAGCTCTGTAGAAACAGAGTAGATATATATCAAAACCAAATCTTGTCCCTTCTCTCGTTTGCTGAAAGTGTGATAAACAGCAGCTTCAGAGGAAATGACAATGTAAGATGTTCAGGGAGTGACTGATCTGATTTTGTGGGCGCTATGCTTACGGCAACACCAGTGAGAATGAGGGGGGTATGTTCCCAGGAAACATCTGCAAGGCCCCCGAATGGCAGCAAAGGATCAGATGAAGACAGCTGCCGAATGCAATTAAATTGCCAAGGAATCATTAACACTGAAACACTACTGGGCCTTGGAAGCAAATATACTGTATATCTTACAGCAAGTGTTGCCTCTTGGGGCTCAGTTCATTCATCTCCATGTACATGATGATGATGATGATGAGGATACTAAGTATTAAGTCTTTACGTTATGCTTTTCCTCTTCATTTAAAAAGGAAAACAGAACCAAGAAGAAATTCCTCGCAGTAGCACACGTGGCCTGTTAGTGCTGCTCCCTTCATGCCTCTGCCCACTGACGACTCCTTTGTAGTCCTATGAGATTGGAGAGCTTTTCACAGTTCTCAAGTTTCACAGATTCTGCTTTCTGTTTCAGCCGCTCATCTCTGTACAGCTTCGCCAAATTCGATAGCTCAGATTCTAAGAAGAAAGAAAAGGAACAGCCTGGGTAGCAACACTTTTGTCTTAAAAAACGGTGTTGAAGAGCACTGGGAGAAAAAGATACAACTCAAAAGAGGCTCTGCTCAGCGCTCCCTTTGAATATTTTTTTTCTTGAATCCCCCCTCTAAAAACTAGGTGCACCTTATGGTCAGGTGCGCCTTATGGAGCGAAAAACACGGTACGACGTAGTGGAATACAGAGAAAACAGAAACCACTGTGGGCTAGTTCAGCAGGACACAGTAGAGAATTTTCCAATGGTATTGCTTCCATGCTATCAGCCAGCTCTAAACTAGCGTGGAGTTTGATATCTACTTCTCTCCTTGTATCATTATAGATGCTAGCCATTTTTGTGCACCTGACTTTGGCACACCACGAATGCTCTTTGACATTGTCAGAGTTCGTTGTCGAGATTTTAAACCAACGCACACACGTGGGGTGCTTAAGAATGAACAAAACACAACCTACTTTGTTGTTTTTCTTTCCTGCAGCTAGTCTGGATATAATCGATATAATCTTTTTCAATGTGTTTTTCAAGCTCTTCAAGCTCTTCGGCGTTATAGTTATGCTCAAAGTTTTTATCAACATAGTAAGGCACCTGTAGATTCTGTGTTTCTCTAACAATCGTGTGCCCAAGATTCCTGAAAGAGGAAGCAAACAATGAAAGCATTTTAACCACTTGAAAAAGAAAAGGAAATACGGTTTTGCCATATTAACATTGGTATTTGAAATTGCCTGTCTTCTAAAAACAGAAATGTTCTCAAAGTAAATTGCATATTCTTTCTCTGTTCTGAGAATATGCAATTTTTGCATATCCTTTCATGTATAGGATCCTGTAATTCCTGGAGTCCTGTCCAGCTATTATAGAATCCACATAGATGCTAATATAATCCAAAAGAATTGCAGCTCTTTGAACTGGTCAGCATTATGACCAACTCATTTCTGAAATGTACAGAAGGATCTGAAAAATAAAGCAAACCTGTCAGGATGTGACATTATGTGTGGCATCCGACTAAATTCTCTGAGTGCAAGGATTTCCATTTGTGAAACAGAACATCCAAATCTGCTCCGGGGGATTGGAGAAATCCCCAGAATAGATTTTGGGGAGGGGAGAGGGTGGGGAAGTTGTGTTGCACAGTTAGAAGCCCGTGTGCTAACAGAACAACTTGGTTGAATACTGCCAATAAGGAAGACTGAGTGATGTAAATTAAAACGATTCTTCACACTATTTATTGTTATATCAGCTAAGAATTGTATTGAATGTTGCATGGGCAAAAGGCAGCCACCAAATATAAAATAAAGCTGTATCTTACAGGACTGCAGAGCTGTTGCCGGTGGGAAATCACTTGAAAATAAGGCAGAGGTGTCTTGCAATAGCTAATTGCAAGATTTCTCTGCCCACCTTTGAGCAATTTCCCCATTCCATTGTGGCCCTGAAGGACCGACTCCATCACGTTTTGCAGACTTCTCCATTCCACTTAAAACTGGGAAGGTGGGTTGGGAGAGACAGGGGAAAGATCTGTTTCACAAGCTTGCCTTCTCCTCAAGCAATGCTAGACACAACCATAAATATTTATTAAATTCCACCTTTAATGCTAGTTCCTTTGTCTAAAATCTAGCACACAAGCTTTTAAAACAGCCAACGGTTTTCCACATGCCTTAGTCTCTATTTTTCCAAGTAATGTCTAACTCACCAGTTGAGACCGAAGCTTTTTTCTACTGGTTTTATTGAAACTTTATTTAAACTGGGCATGAACATGATGAAGAAATCAAGCAACTATGAACAGGTTTTAAACTATCCTGCGGTATCAGAATGTTCCAGTTTGCTTTTATTTCAAGTACAGTGGTACCTCGGGTTACATACGCTTCAGGTTACATACGCTTCAGGTTACAGACTCTGCTAACCCAGAAATAGTGCCTTGGGTTAAGAACTTTGCTTCAGGATGAGAACAGAAATTGTGCTCCGGCGGCGCGGCAGTAGCAGGAGGCCCCATTAGCTAAAGTGGTGCTTCGGGTTAAGAACAGTTTCAGGTAAGTACGGACCTCCGGAACAAATTAAGTACTTAACCCGAGGTACCACTGTAGTTCTTGACAGTGTGGCTCTCAGGAGTGCATTTAGTATTTATTCAGCTTTCATAAAGTCCTCATTTATAAAAAGGATAACTGATTCTCTGTAAAGTGCTAAAAGGAAATATATAGTTGTTGCATTACAGCTATGACCTATATCTTTCAAGATGGAAATTAATCACCCTGTTTGAAAAGGCTGTGCTTGAATATATGGCTGTGGGGGCTGCCTTTTCCACAGCAAAAAAGCTTTAATCAGCTTCTCAATTTTACTGGTATTAATAGATAACAGATCACATGTTAATCTCTATATTGGACAAGTCAATTCTCCCAGAAGAACAAAGAAAAACATCAGGACTTACGACTTGAAGAAGAGGCTGTAGGGTGGGTTAGTTGCCATCAGTTGAGTTACTATTGACACAACTATTATAATAAAAACTGGCAGTAACTGGATAAATGCAGAGTATGAATTCTGGAAATGAAAACCATCGTTAGTGAAACATATAAGCAAGGGATTTAAGAAAATCAAAATAATAAGCGTAAAAAGTAGCCTCCAGATAAGGCAGATTAGCTAGCTATTAGTCTTTTAAGCAAAACTGGTTGTGGTTTAAATTAGCCCAAGTAAAGTATTGATAGACACCTATCTATCGATCAAGGCTCTTTAATACAAATAATATGGGAAGGGGAGAGCAGCTTGCTTATTCCTTTGAGGGCTATAAAGAAATAACACATGCTTGCTCCTTTTTTTAATTTGATTTTTATATACACAATGCTGCCTTAAATAGGTCATCACAACAACTACCGCCTAAGACTAGCTTTTTGTCATGTAAATGTTCATTTCTACTTAATGCTGAAGACCTTGATGGCTTTATTAAATTAGCGGTGCAAGGATTCTCCTAAATGTGTTCAATTGTTTTTCTTCAATGTAATTCTCTGTGTTTCCTCCTTCCTGTAAGTAAATCCCTGATGGTCAAGGTGGGTTATATCCAGCAGTATCACTCACCTAACAATTTTCAGCGATTCATTCCCCTTCCTCCTGCAGAACCCACCCCCAAATCTGCTCCAGAGCAAGGAGGAATTTGCAGAATCTCTCCCCCCAGCCCCGCATAGACAAAGCTCCTGCTGCAACAAAGTGCTTTTCACGAACAGAGGTCAATATGCCCACTCCCCAAACTCAATAAATATGCCTTTTGGCTCCATAACCTCTTCCCATTCTAGAGAATCAAAGCTTACCTTGGCCCTTTGTCACTTCATGCAACACAATCCTTGCACATTCCCCCACCTAATATTTCACTCCCCAAACGCCCACAAATAAAGTTAATTTTCAGTTTCATCTTTTCTCCGAAGTGTGCCCCATGCTGTTAAGTGAAATTTGCATCCACATAGGAATTGGAGTCCCTGTCTCTCTGTTCCTGGCAAAAGCTGTTCAAATTCTTTGCCAGCAAATGTTCTTGAAGAGCAACTTACAATTAAGAACTGCAACAATTACCGTATTTTTCGCCCCATAGGGCGCGCCGGCCCATAGGGCGCACCTAGTTTTTTGGGGGGGAAATAAAGAATTTCCCCCCCCCCAGGCGCGGGGGAAGCCCGAGCTTCCCCCGACCCAAGTTCCCAGAACAGGCTGCTATCCGCAAGCCTTGGGAGCCCGGCGGGAACTCCCGCGGTCTCCCCAGGCTTGCGGATATCTGCCCGAAGCCCGGGGCACGCTCCTCTGCGCTCCCCGGGTTTCGGGCTGCAGGCTGCTGTCCGCAAGCCTTGGGAGCCCGGCGGGAAGGTGCACGCCAACCCCTCTCGCTCTCCAGGCTTCAGCGAAAGCCTGCATTTGCCCCATAGGACGCACACACATTTCCCCTTCATTTTTGGAAGGGGAAAAGTGCGTCCTATAGGGCGAGAAATACGGTAAGTATCACTTCCTCTTAAATGCCGGGAAATCAAAAGCAACGCCAGATTCTTTCCTAAGGAAAAGAAACAGGTAGAAGTGTTTTGTGGGTGCTCTTAACGGCTCCCTGCTCCCAAGTACCTGTGGTCTAGTTTCTTCCTCCTCCTCTTCCTCTGTCCAAGTCCTATCATGCCTGTTCCGTGGCTGATAACATGGGGGATCCATTGATGAATTTGAAAACATGTGGATATTTCCTGTTGTTTTTTAAAAAAAAACAATGGGCTTTGTTTACTTATTTAAGAGTAATGCATGTCCTATTTAAATGGGAGAGAAGAATAGCTACTTCCCTTGTCATAAAAATATTAGTTTCAGAGTGAGATGATTTATTACGGTCAAAGACCAGCTCACTTAACACAATAAAAACAGCGTTCATAAAGATAAAACATACAATCGGAGCAGATTGCAGCAATAGCTCATGAGTTAAAATTGAGATATATACATATATCTGTACAACTGAGATTTGGGCTACCATAAAAAAAAAATTGACCCTGAGGCGCCCCAAAGGGCAACTTCAGCATTTCCCTAAGTAATCTATTTTATTCTAGAGGATGATCTGTGCCTACAAATCTGGGCGCAGAATCTGGCTACCAGCCAGGTCGTCTTGTGATCTTTGCCTAAGAGGAGAGAATTAAGTTTAGACTTGTCTGAAAGATCGGCGAGCCTCTTCAGCAAAGGATCAATGGTGTCTCTACGAATCTCAACATAAAAAGGACATCTAAAAAATATATGTTCGGGGCTTCCTATTTCCCCTAATGGGCAGGCACAAAGTCTCTGTGCGTACGGGACCCTTCTATAGGAGCCTTCCAGAACCGGTGAGGGCCAGACTGAGCTTCTAGCAAGAATAAAAGCCCTTCTTGCGTTTCTGGATGTGAGGAAATAGAGATATGCTGCTGGAGCGACTACGTAGCTCCCGTTTTCTAGGATTTTATAATCGGGGACCCTTGTACAGTCCTGTTGTCTCTCTATATCCATGATTCTTTGCCTAACCACGGATCTAGCTTGGCCCAGACCCATAGTTATGAGGGTTTGGGGAGCAAGGATCAGTTTCTGAAGTATTAGTTTCAATTTCCATAAAAGCTAACAACTGTGGACCCAAGGTTGTGAAAAAGGCTGCTCTAGATAATCCCAGTTTTGGAAATAAACCAGGTATTATGTCATAAAAGTCTGGTTATCTCTGGGTATATACAAATTTCTCAGAGCTGAAGTAAGAATCTATTTATTAAGAACATATGTAGAATCTTCAAGAGTAATATCTGTCTAGGTATTAACCGGACACCTCAAATGACTGCAGTTGCAGAATTTCTGGAATGTCATTGGCAAAGGAGAACAAAAAATGCAGTTACTTGAACTTTTGTTACAGGGCTTTTATTTACCGGCTGCCTGGAGTTTTGTGAAGCATCAGTTAATAATGGTTTTTGTAGCACTCACCTGTTGGGAAGTTGCCTCCAAAAAACATGTTAAATATTTCTTCTGGTGTGATGTCTGCTTCAAACTCTCTGTAATAGTTATAATGCTTGGGAAGATTGGTATAACAAGTCTCCTGTTCATCTCCAAATTGATCATATTGTAATCTCTTTTCAGGGTTGCTCAAAACTGCAAAAGCAGTGCCTATTGCTGCAGGATGGAAGAAGAAGAAGAAAATGTTGCATTCTTGTCACTTATCACAATGTCTGCAATCTAGCCTAATGCCCAACTTGCAAAGGACTGCAATGTGCTAAGTGTTTTAGAAACACTTTAACATATAACTAACTACCTGGACAAATACCTTTTCATTAAAGTATAAGGTAAAGGTAAAGTAAAGGGACGCCTGACCATTAGGTCCAGTCGCGGACGACTCTGGGGTTGCGGCGCTCATCTCGTTTTATTGGCCGAGGGAGCCGGCGTACAGTCATGTGGCCAGCATGACTAAGCCACTTCTGGTGAACCAGAGCAGCGCATGAAAACACCGTTTACCTTCCCGCCGGAGCAGTACCTATTTATCTACTTGCACTTTGACGTGCTTTCGAACTGCTAGGTTGGCAGGAGCAGGGACCGAGCAACGGGAGCTCACCCCGTTGCGGGGATTCAAACCACCGACCTTCTGATCGGCAAGTCCTAGGCTCTGTAGTTTAACCCACAGCGCCACCCGCATCCCATAAAGTATAAGGAGACAGCCTCAAAGCCTCATACAATTGGACCTCCCTTTTCTCTCCTCTCTGAGCACACCCACCCAATCTGTTTTGCAGAACTGAGGAAACTTCTGCAGCAGTTTGTGGAACCCTTGCTGGGAATCTGAGGTGAGATACCCACGCAGTGGAAATTGCCCCCAGTTGCAGTCGCCACATGGAAGCAGGTAAAAAGGTAAAGGGACCCCTGACCATTAGGTCCAGTCGTGGCCGACTCTGGGGTTGCTGCGCTCATCTTGCTTTACTGGCCGAGGGAGCCGGCGTACAGCTTCCGGGTCATGTGGCCAGCATGACTAAGCCGCTTCTGGCAAACCAGAGCAGCGCACGGAAACGCCGTTTACCTTCCCGCCAGAGTGGTACCTATTTATCTACTTGCACTTTGACGTGCTTTCGAACTGCTAGGTCCAAAATAGTTTACTGCTATAGAAGAGAAGGCTCAGCAAAACATTCTGGATGTGGATACACTGGTGGAGGAAGAGGGGGGCAGGGGGAGCGCACCTCCCCCGGCGGCGTGATCCCAGTTGGGTACCATCATGGCTGCCGCCCCCGCTGGGCACCATGCCCCCGCAGGCATGGTGTGCCACGCCTCTGGGACACATGCCACGCCCCCACAGGTGCACGCCAGCCACGCCCCCACCTGCTCTCCGCCACTGTGTGGATATAAACACAGCTTGCAGGCTTTGGCTCTGGCAGATAAAGATACAGACAAGTACAGTGGTACCTCGGGTTAAGTACTTAATTCGTTCCGGAGGTCCGTTCTTAACCTGAAGCACCACTTTAGCTAATGGGGCCTCCTGCTGCCGCCGCGCCGCCGGAGCACGATTTCTGTTCTCATCCTGAAGCAACGTTCTTAACCCGAGGTACTATTCCTGGGTTAGCGGAGTCTGTAACCTGAAGCGTATGTAACCCAAGGTACCACTGTATAAAGAATTTCTGTTGTTCCAGCAGTTTAAGATGTAACACAGACTCTGACTAATCAAAAGACTAACTCATTTCACAACTCAGCGTGAAATACAGAACAAGACCTTGGACCTAATGAGTTGGTGTGCCTTAATCATTCATATAAATAGCACTGGGCCATTGCCATAGCAACTGGCTTGGCTGACCCTGCATCAGTTGGCTTATCTCACCCCTTAACCCCTTCCTCCGTGTCCAGTTTCTCCAACAACTCTCTGGATCGAACTTAGGGGGAACAGCAATGGAAGACTAGAAGAGAACATTCACTTCGGCAGTGTAGAATGTCAACCAGAACATACTAGTATGAAACATATCAGAAAACCCAAACTCACATAGGAGCTGATGAGCCTTAATTGCAGAGTCCTCAGAAATTAGTAAGATGGTATGTATTTTAGAAAATGATCCATTATCTGAGTACTTCTTATACCCCCTTGTTTATTACCTCATTAATTAAAACTGCAAGATCATAACCACAGGATTTGCTACAAGGCTTCAGAAGATTATAGCAAAATACATTTCAATTAATTAGATGGGATTTATATTGAAAGAAAATGTATTGTTTATTATAGGCAGGATCTTAAGTATAACTGATTATGTAAAAGAATGGAATATGTCTTTGCAATATTCTTCAATGCAGAAAAAGCATTTGATGGGCTTAAGCAGAAATCCTTGCTGAAATAATATCTGCTTTTACCGTTGGCAATGAATTTAACATATGAATCACCTAAAGCAAGTATGGTTTGGAACAGTTCTCCTATTATATGCAGAGGAACAAATCAAACATGTCATCTACGAGCTTTATGGTTTGCTGTTTCAACAGAACCTTTTGTGCTATATATTAGCAAATTTTAAAAAATGCAACACCTGCTAATAGATAACTGTCATTTTTAACATATAATAATATTAATAATAGTAATTTTTTATTTATACCCCGCCCTCCCCAGCCAAGGCCGGGCTCAGAGCGGCTTACAAGCAATAATAAAAACAAGATGAATGATTACAACTTAAAAACAAAAATAAAATACAACATTAAAATAATGGAACATTAAAATATTAAAATGTAGCCTCATCGCAGGAGGAGAAGGAAAAGAAAAGAAAGAAAGAGAGGGAGGGAGGGAATCAAATTGGCTCCAAGCCAAAGGCCAGGCGGAACGACTCTGTCTTACAGGCCCTGCGGAAAGAAATCAGATCCTGCAGGGCCCTGGTCTCATGAGGCAGAGCGTTCCACCAGGCCGGAGCCAGTGTTGAAAAGGCCCTGGCTCTGGTTGAAGCCAATCTAACTTCCTTAGGGCCTGGGACCACTAGGGTGTTGCTATTTATGGACCTTGAGGCTCTCCGTGGGGCATACCAGGAGAGGCGGTCCTGTAGGTACGAGGGTCCTAGGCCATGATGGTGCAGCTTTATTGTGGTAATCTACAAACCTTTAAATGCATCTGTTGCTCCTGGTGCACAGTTCTTGTCTGGATGAAATTTCAGGGCAAGTTTTCGGTATGCTTTTTTCAATTCTTCGTCTTTGGCATCTCTCCCAACACCTAGAATCTCATAGTAATTCTTACTGTTCTTTATTCTACAAAAGAAGCACAACCCTTTACATACAGATCTTTCCTCATAGGACTTACAGAAAGCTTCTTACTAGATTAAGGTTACTAGACGTCCCCGTTTCCTGGGGACAGTTCTTGGATTTACAGCTTTCTCAGCATTCACATGTATGTAGCGAATAATAAGTGTCCCCGGATTCATTGAAAAAAATCTGGTAACCTTATACTAGATACCCAAGCATGACCTCAAACACTGTAAAGAAAAAGTAGAAGCAGATGCATGTTTTAGACTTCTGCACCAATGGAGAAGCTATTTCAATAGCCTATTCTATTGGAATAGTTATACTTTACTATGAATCTGTTTCATTGATGCTGAGTCCACCAGTCTTTATTTGGCACCAGAAATAGCCAAAGTTAAGTCTGATGTGTATGGAATGTCTTATTTAGATCAGCAGCTGCCTATACGGCACCTGTGGGTACCACATCATAGTGTCCACTGTTACAATTCCTAGCTAAATGATAGCCAGGTGGCAGTTTGGTGGAAGAATGTATACCCACCACTTCATCTAGGAAGAAAGCACATGGGCAAACATTTGATCAACTATCACAACACACTGTTACTGTGATAGTGCTTGTAACCCCTGGGTAACCAGGGGATTGGCTCTGAAGATCAGCAAAGCGGAGATTTGCCCCAAAACTTGTTCTGACCATAATGCGGTGAAGATGGAAATGAAACTGATGCCAATGGGCTCCTTTAGATGGATGATGAATGACACTTTGTTTAGGAATGAAGAGGTGACCAAGAAGGCCCAAAAAACTCTAAGAGATTACTTTGAGATAAACATGAATACTACAGTGGAAAAAAGAGTAATTTGGGATGCAAGCAAAGCGGTTATGAGAGGATTCCTAATACAACAGAATGCAATTAAGAAGAGAACTCAGAATGAAAAAAAGGATAAAATCTTGGGAAAGATAGAGGAAGGAGAGAAGAAACTGAGTGCAAAACCAAAGTCACAGGAAATTCTGAAAGAGATAAAGTTATACCAAGTACAATATGCGAAGCTGATGAATCAGGAAATAAAATGGAAGATTAAACAGATGAGGCAAAAGACATTTGAATTGGCAAATAAATGTGGGAAATTATTGGCCTGGCAAATGAAGAAAAGACAAAAACTCAATACTATTACGAATTTGGAAGTGGAAGGAAAAAATATACAGAACCCAGCGGAGATTAGGAAGTGCTTCCAGAGGTACTTTAAACAACTTTATACACAGGAGAAGCAGAAAGAAATGGACATTGATCGATTTTTGAAAATAAATGGACTACACAAAATCTCTCAGGAAAAACAATTAATGTTGAATTACAAACTAAAGGACCAGGAGGTGGAAGGGGCTATTCAGAACATGCAATTAGGTAAATCTCCAGGACCAGATGGTTTGACTTCAAGATATTACAGATCTTTGAAAGAATGGTTAATACAACCATTGAAGGAAGTCTGTAATGAAAAAATGAGTCCACCAGTCTTTATTTGGCACCAGAAATAGCCAAAGTTAAGTCTGATGTGTATGGAATGTCTTATTTAGATCAGCAGCTGCCTATATGGCACCTGTGGGTACCACATCATAGTGTCCACTGTTACAATTCCTAGCTAAATGATAGCCAGGTGGCAGTTTGGTGGAAGAATGTATACCCACCACTTCATCTAGGAAGAAAGCACATGGGCAAGCATTTGATCAACTATCACAACACACTGTTACTGTGATAGTGCCTGTATGGCTAATGAGATAAGTAAGTAACAAGCTAATTTGTTGTTGGTTTCAAAGGCAGTAATGCAACCTATAAAAGGTAAAGGTAAAGGTACCCCTGCCCGTATGGGCCAGTCTTGACAGACTCTAGGGTTGTGCGCTCATCTCACTCTAGAGGCTGGGAGCCAGTGCTGTCCGCAGACACTTCTGGGTCACGTGGCCAGCGTGACAAGCTGCATCTGGCGAGCCAGCGCAGCACACGGAAACGCCGTTTACCTTCCTGCTGGTAAGCGGTCCCTATTTATCTACTTGCACCTGGGGGTGCTTTCGAACTGCTAGGTTGGCAGGCGCTAGGACCGAACGACGGGAGCACACCCCGCCGCGGGGATTCGAACCACCGACCATGCGATCGGCAATGCAACCTATAGCACAAACCTAACATCAAAGTAAACAGGCTTAAGTCTCAGTGTATTCAGGGTAGGAAGTGTGCATAGGTTGCAATCCTATGCATAGTTATCTGGGAATAAGACTTACTTAATGGCGGAAAAAACCATTCAGTCTGAATTATAAGAAAACTGTCCTACTTTGCACCTCCCAGGTTTATGTACAGACGGCAATGTGTCCTTCAAATTTCACATTTCTTTGAATTTTATGATCAGGTTTTTGACTCAAAAGTACCAAAATGCGTAAAGGAATACATTTAAAAATGCAGATGTATTGGATAAAATACATATTTACATCATTTTTGTATAAGGTTTTTTTTAAAAAAAATACAGGTTGGTGCAAGAATGGGATGGAACAGACTTGTACAGCAAAATACTAGAATTAAAATAGCCTCCTTTTAAAAAAACCCTATTAGCAGTTTCTCATATTAAATCTGGCTTCTGTGGATCAGCTAAATTGATTTACCCATTAACTAGATGGACAGGCTGTGAGCCTAGTATTCTAGGCAGAAGGGTTTTCTATTTACCTTTGTACCCCAAGTAGCTGTTCTTTTGTGTAGGTCATGCTCCCTTCCCCAGACGCTGACTGACTCCTGCCACTGTCACAGAGATGTTCCTTTTTTATCCTCTTACAGTCACTACACCCACAGTAATCAAAGTTGTCTCTCATTTCCTCCGATGTACATGCATTTCTTCTGAGCTCGTCAATCAATGCTGCAAAGAAAGACAGTTAATTTTCCTCAAATGCTACTACACAGTAAGTGAAGGTGGATGTTAAAGAGTCCCACCCCCATGGCAAACGCAGAATGTGAAAACTTTGCAAAGATGCTTAAGTGTGGTCCCTGTTCCGCAGGAGCTAAAGACCAGAAAAGCATTAAGAATTTACCGAACAGTATAGTTAAATTGCAGTACAATGGTAAACATATCTGCTCAGATGTTTAAGTCTTGTGTTTAATGGAGTTTGCTCCCAGGCAAGTGCATACAGGCTTGCAGACTAGATTTGGGTTTAGGGTTCAAATTGGGGGGAAGCGGGGTTATTGTGCCTTCAGTAATTGTGTGGCAGGCAGAAATTCAACTTGATAAGTTTTTCAATAGTATGGTAACATAGTTAGGAACAAAGCTTCACCCATTCACATTTCATCTGTCACACATTTTATGACATTTGTGGCCATTTATTTTTGGGTCTTCCATTCCACCTGCAAGAGCACACTAAGCATATGGTGCCTCTTTTGAGGGTGGGTTGGAGGGCCCAATTCACATAAAGTGAACCGAAAATCTTGTTGGCGCCTCTGGGGAATAAAGAACAAAACTTCTGCCTGTGGTGCTTGGCCCATGATGGCTCTTTCATATACACAAGTTGCCACCATGATGTATTTTATGCCACCGATGTATTTTATATGAGTTTGTGGTATATAAATAGAAATGAAATAATAATAGTAAGTGTGGGACTTCATTATTTAAAGCGGTAAACGAAGGCAGTATGTTTGCAATCTGTACAATGGCACAGAATGCTGACATAGAATGGTAAACAAAAGGGTATGCCACTAAAATCCAGTTTTCACTCCACTAGTTTCTTCCTTTATGCTTTCCATGGTTGGCCTTGAAACCCCCAAACTGAAGATAACTTCAATTCTCACACCCCATCTCCTCTTCCTGTTGCCCCCTTTGGCCCTATAGTCTACCCTTCACTCCAGCCCTCAATGATCCGAGAACCACCAAACAGGGAGCTGCGTTAATCTACTGGGGAAAAGAACACGGGAAAGTCACCTTAATATAGAATAAAAACAAATCATAGCGGTGTGATGCAGCAGATACGCATGTTAAGCACACAGGCACACACACGGGCAGGGAAAGATACTGCAAGGAGTGGGGAACATTTTGTGTGCCTGGAACATTTTGTGTGCAAAGCTCAAGCAGCACCCAAGCCCCTGTTTTATATACAATTAAGCTTGGCACAGAAATGCCCCAGACCTACTGGACCTCTTCCAGCACTTTCCTCTTCCTCTCTACCAACTAAGGATGGCAATTCATGCATTTGAGGGATGCATCTGGAGAGCGCTTCTGCCACGCAAAAGGAAGCAACCCCTCACGCTGGTCAGCCCTTTTAAAAAGGCCAGCGGGCTTTCTTTGCGGAGGCGATCTGAGATCCCACGCCCCATATGCCGATCTCCCACCTTAAGGCCGATTCTCAGCCTGAATCTCAGCCTGCCCAGGCTCTGAGGCGATGGCACCACCAGCTTGAAGGGTTCGTTACCTTCAGCCCAGCGCTCCCCAGGGCTCAGCACTGCCATTTTCCAGCTGATGGAGAGGGAGGACCGGGGGGGGGGGGAGGGACGACCCCGGAAAGATCACGTGGCGCAGGATCCCCACCGCAGGGCAATCTGGGTGTTGTAGTCCTCGCATATGAATGGAGGCCTTACACCTCGCTATCCCCCCCATAAACCCGTCCTCCTCGCGAGGAGAAATTTACACCACGGGGATTATTTTTAAAAAAATATTTATATAATGTATCTTAACGTATAATGTATCTTAATATATATATAATGTGTGTGTGTGCGTGTATATATATATATTACATATATATATATATATATATATAAAATATATATTATATGTATCTTATATATATATAAAATATGTATCTTAACGTATAATGTATCTTAATATCTATATAATGTGTGTTTGTGTGTGTATATATATATATATATATATTACCTATATATATATATATATATATATATATATATATATATATTATATTATATGTATCTTATATAAATATATAATATGTATCTTAACGTATAATGTATCTTAATATATATATAATGTATCTGAACGCGAATTTCTTCTAGGAAATCGCCATTGCAAAGCCTAACTGGCGCTTCGGAGGCTTTTCGCCACAGAGGCTTCCGCGGGCCAGAGTGGCGCACCTCTCGCCGTTCCCTAGAGCGCCGCCACTTCCGATCAAATACCGGAAGCTGAGGCTGTGTGACGCATAGAGAGGAACGGGTTTGGGTTGGCTACGACTCCCGTATATTCCGCATAGACGGGCACTGGAGTCATCCAGAGGTCAGAGAAGACCCTCCCGGGCGTCCAGCTCGAGTGCTTTCGAATTTTAAAGAAAATAACGGAAAGCAGTCAGCCGTTATGACGCTGAGGAACCTGTTCCTCTCGCTTATCCCCCGACTTCTTTTATCTGCTGCGCAAATCACCTCACGATCTAACCCGATAATAAACGAAAAGCCTCTATAATGCCCCTTCCGTTAGGCTCTCTGAGGGAAACGATGGCGGAGGGAGGGGTTTCCGTTTCCGGTATCCATTGCGGCAGAAGCGAGGCCCCGCGAGAGGAGGAGCGGCCGTGCTTGGTCGCGCAGGCGCAGTGGGGAGGGGGGGAAACGAATCCGTTGGGGGAGGGCGGCAGTGGGCTTCCTGCGCTGTGGTGTTTTTTCCCCCCTCAGACGAACAGGGCCGCGAAGGGGAAGAGGGCGCCGCCGTCGCCGTCGTGGTGCTGCTGCTGCTGCTGAAGCGGCGGCAGCCGGAGCAAGGCCTGCTCCCCGCTTTCCTCCCCGTGTGGCGCGGCTCTTAGGCCCGGGAGGACGGACTCCCCCCTCGCCCTCTCCCCCCCTCTCCGCCCTGTGCGGCGGCGGCGGCGGCGGGGAGGAGGAGCAGGTCGGGGGCGGAGGAAGCAGGTGAGTCGTTTGGGCCGTGGGGGGGGGAGGGGAGGGCCAGTTATTTCACCCTCATTTTTATATTTTGTAGGCCTGAGGTAACTCAGTTGGTAGAGCAGGAGACTCTTAATCTCGAGGGTTCGAGACCCATATGGGGCAAAAGGTTCCTGGTTGGTCCCTTCCAACTCTTATGAAGGAGCAGCAGTAATCATCCCCGCCCAGCAGTTATCCCGTCCACTTCTATTTACAGTGGTACCTCCGGTTACTGATGCTTCCGGTTACGCAGTTTCGGGTTGTGCACCACACCAAACCCAGAAGTACCGGAACGGGTTGCTTCCGGGTTTCGGCGCTCGCGCATGCGTAGAATCGCACTTTGCGCATGCGCAGAAGTGCCAAATCGTGACCCGTGCGCGCCCAGATGCAGCACTGCAGGTTGCGAACAGTGCGGGTTGTGAATGTGCTTCCCGCACGGATCGTGTTCGCAGCCCGAGGTTCCACTGTACGGTGGTACCTTGGGATGCGAACGGGATCCGTTCCGGAGCCCCGTTCGCATCCTGAACAGAACGTAAGATGCGCGTGCATGGCGTCATTTTGACCCTATGCGCAAGCGGCAAAACCCGAAAGTAATGCGCTCCATTACTTCTGGGTCGCCGCGGAGCCCAACCCTAAAATACTTATCCTGAAGCATATGTATCCCAAGGTATGACTGTATTCACTTATTTTAGCCAATTTTACACATCCCGCCTTGGGGAGGCAGCAAGCAGCGTTTGAAATTCCCCAGGCACATTTTGCACCTTGCGACCAAGTGAAGATGCCTGTGGGTGCCAGGATCGCACCTGGCGTCTTCCCCTGTCTGGAGGTGTGGGGTGCCTGGGGATCCTTGGATCTTGACTGTTTTCACACACTTAGCAACACATCCTGTAGACAGTGTTCCCCAACCGTGGGCCTCTAGCTGTTTTTGGACTACAATTCCCATCATCCTTGACCACTGGTCTTGCTAGCGAGGGATGATGGGAGTTGTAGTCCAAAAACAGCTGGAGGCCCAAGGTTTGGGGAACACTGCGTGTAGAATACTGTTTGACCTGCACAATCAATGAATTTCAGGAACCAAAAAGTCATATGGAAAAATACGACTTTCGGGCCATCTGGCCTCCCAAGTAACAACTAGGCTTCCCATTTTGGCGACTGTAACCCTGGCTTAAGGAGTCATTTGGCATCCAGTCTAAATATCTGAGTTTCTAACACTGGTGGCAAAGCACCAGTATAGGATCTTGCTGTGAGTTGACAAGGAAATAGCAGCCAAGTGAGGTGACAAATAATGCCGACTCCTCTTCAACATGAGGACAGGGGCTGTTTTGACCTTGAATAAGCCCACAGGACAAGTGGTGAAGATGGAAGCAAAAGACAAGAGTGGGAAAGAAGTCTTGGGTGTTAATTGAGAAGCAGGTGACTGCTGTGATGGACACTGACTGCTGTGAAAATTGCAGCATATATGGGTGTTTGCATGAAACTAATAATCAGCTGAAGTTCTAGCAATGGAAAAAGGAGGGACAAGATTGAAAATCACTTTCAATACTATTGTACGTTAAAGTACATTAAGAAATCTTTTGTTGCCATAAGTGTAGTATGAGATAGTATTGGGAGTGGTCTGTGCAGGCTACAGTGGTTATGAAAGCACTTATGTTCTGAACATTTCATCCAGAATGCCACAAGTTGTTGAGAGATGGGATATAAACCCCTAAATTAAATAACTTCTCTGAAGTCCTCACACCATGAGTGTGCAGAGTTTATTCACTGCAAACAATTTTTTTAAAAGTTCAGTTGTGTTCTAGAATTTGGTACCCTGCATCACATGATGCTTAGTGATGGGTATATGTTTGTTTTTGCAAATATATTGGGTGGGAATTAAGATAAACTTGTACTCTGAATCTGGTGATGGGCAGGCAGGTAAAAAACTGTGTGGAAAACTGAATGCTGAAGTAGATCTTTGAACCCAGAGGCATGGGTTCCTTTGCCTCCCTGAACCCAATAAACCTACTGGATTCAGTAGGTTTTTCTGTGCAGCATTGCATCTCTGACAGTGGCCAGCTAGGTCACAGAATATGAAGGAAACAGTTTTCCTCATTTAATTTTGCACTCTGTAATCTGTTTTCATGGATTTATGGCACAGCATTATTTAGAAGAGGGTTAGAATAGCAGGGGTGTGGAACCTTTGGCCTGTAGGCCAGTCTTGGCCCGCCATTCTCCTTCCACCACACTCCAAGGGCCTACTTTGACAGGCAGGTGAGTCACATTCTGTCAGGTGGTGGTCATGCCCTCTTATGAAAGTTGCCCCACAGGGGTGTGGGGAGGTAAAAATCTGGCACTCTGGGCCAAAAGATCCCGTACTCCAAAATATATACCATCAATTTCAGCATTGAATCCACTGAGAGGTTCGTTCGCTGGAACACATTAGCAGGACACTGACAGATCTAAACCAAATGAACTTGAAAGGAAGCCCCACTGTTTTCAGTGGGACTGTTTTCTGAGTATGCATATTTGGGAAAACACGTGATGCTGTTTTTATGAAAAGGTTTATCTACCACTATTCTTCCACCATAGCTATAGTGGCATTCATCTCCTCTGAGTAAAGATATATTGCTAGGACTACTAAATCAGTTCTGACATATTTTCAAGTCGGTGTGCACAGAACTGTAACATTAGTTTTGTGATCAAATAGTACTTATTTTTAGCTTTGTAGACTAAGCAGTGGTAAAAAGTTAAATGTAATGTTTGCTCGTTACCCTCTGATTTCCTTGTTTTTGAATGCTCAGATGCAAAGGAGGATAGCAGGGATTCCATGCCTTTTAATATTTATATAGAAAATGAAATTTTGTCAGATATAATGTTTTTTATTTTGGTGTGGGAAGCTGAAATTCCCTTCTTTCTTTCGATCTGATCACTTTATCAGAAAGATTTAGAACTGTGTAGCACAAGCTAGTACATGTTTTCTTGAAATCAAGTCTCACTGTGTTAAGTGAGGTTTACTCCAGGTAAGTGTATGGAACTGCAGTTTTGTGTATGCTTACTCAGAAATCCCACTTAGTTCAGTGAGACTTACTTCTCGGTAAGTATGTAAAATTGCAGTCTTAAGTTATTTGACTCTATTCAGAGAGTGCTTTATTCAGTTGGTGCATGTTCTACACCAACTCCCTTTCTTAAGTTGCTGCTATTCTACCATCCAATTTTACTAAAAACCCATACTCAGTCCTACTGAAATTTGGATATAAAGTTAACAATGTTTCTTTTTATAAGATGTTGCTGTGGATCATAGTTCTGACTTTGGTAACAAGCAAATACAAATGGTTTGCCCCAATATTTAGGCTGTAATAATAATAAGGAAAGCTCCCTATTACCATGCATCTTGCTGGCAGTCTTTTATTTCAAAAGAGCTAAATTCAATAGTTACCCTTCAAACATCCATAGAAAACCACAAACAGGATACAGAGGAGTTGCAAAGGGTTAGGTTTTTTTTAAGGTACCCTTCACATTCATATTATCTGAACTGCCCTGAGATCTTACGAAGAAGGGTGGCATATAGGTCTAATAAATATTATGAATGTAATAAAAATTGCAGTAAAATGTAACTGCAGTGTGAGGGAATTGGCTGTTTTGGATATACCGTATTTTTTGCTCTATAAGACTCACTTTTTCCCTCCTAAAAAGTAAGGGGAAATGTGTGTGCGTCTTATGGAGCGAATGCAGGCTGCGCAGCTATCCCAGAAGCCAGAACAGCAAGAGGGATTGCTGCTTTCACTGCACAGCGATCCCTCTTGCTGTTCTGGCTTCTGAGATTCAGAATATTTTTTTTCTTGTTTTCCTCCTCCAAAAACTAGGTGTGTCTTGTGGTCTGGTGCGTCTTATAGAGCGAAAAATACGGTATTAGCCCACAGTTGAAGCATGTGAGGTTGGTCCTGTGTTTGTTTTATCAATGAGTAGAAACTCTGAGTAGAAGCTGGTATGAAGAATACTAACTGTGTTCCTAGGAGACTCTGGAAGTTTCTTGGTGAGAAGTTCAGTATTAGTGCATAAATTGCCTGAAATACAGATCAACCACCACCAATGCCAATTTTCCTTGATAACATACATGTTGGCATTTCTAGAGGTGCCTTGTGTGAACTGGGAATGCACCCCAAAATGTGTTCCCTAGAACTGTTTGCACATGAAAGGAATTCTCACAAGAAAATTGGTGGATGAAGTGTGCCATTAAGGTAGGAAGTATGAAAATACCATTCTCTAGGACAGTGAATGTGAGACTGTTGCATTTTTCATAGAAAAGGAAGTAAGTGTTACCACATGGCGAGTCCACGAGGTGGTGGAAATAGAAAAGAGGAGTCTATTTGGTTGCTGAAATTCTTAGAAATTTGATCCTGATGCCCCAGATGGCATTGTAAAAGCAAAGGGGGGGGGGAATTATGGGTGGGAAAAATTGGTTTCTTTCCCAAAGACTTAAATCCCCCCCCCCCGAAAGAATAACTGGAATTTTTGGGGAATAGTGATAACCCCGTCATCTGCATTTTTTTTTCTTTTGGAATATGTAGTATGAAGATTTTCATAAAAGATCTTTGAAACTGATGGAGGGCGAATATTGTTATTGTTTGCTATTATGATATGTATTTTTGTGTTTTTATATTTTATGCTGCCCTTCAGTCTTTGGATGAAGGGTGGTTTAGAAATTTAATAAATAAAAAACACCACCACCAGACAATCTGCATAAAGCGTCAGAGATTTATAATTCCTGTGTATACCGAAAACATACACAAAATTCAAATCTGAGATACATTCTGCACCTATAAGATTCTGCCGTCTTTATGAGAGGAGTATATAGGATCTTCATCACTTGTGAATTGCTTCTTGCCTTCTTCTGGTGACTTTTGATCTAGGTTGGATCTAGACACATAAAAAAAGTGATTAAGTTAAACACGTTGTAAATTTCATAACAGAAATCCCGTTGACGAAAGACATCAGCGCCATTTGGTTTCACAGTATTATAATGCATATAAAGCGTTTTCTCTTTACCACTGTAGCTGAGTCCCTAGTTTAGAGATACTAAATGCATGTATCCTATGTCTGCAGTCCATTTGACGTAACCCCTTCCTTGTTGTAGTTCCTTGCTCCCCTGAAACAAATTATCCTTACACACCATGCAAGCGTACCCAATAGTAAGGTACAGTATATAGAGTGGGTCTCACTGCTGAGTAAGCATGCATAGGATTGCTCTGTGTAGTTCGTAAATACACTAAAGGATGCAGTTAAGTTATACACAATGCATTTTGTGTTAAAACAGTAAAATAAGTTTAGGTTTGATAATAAATTATTGTATAGATTTAGTCCCAAAATTTCCACCCCCCTACTAAAAAGAGGACCCATTTTCCCCTCTCCCATGGATTTCATATTTTTGTACATTTTACATATTGACCTAGGATTTGAAATTGTCTTCAAGCTCCTGGCCCCATGCATTACATGCAATTCTCATGTAAGAGGCGCTTTCTGAACATATATATGCAACACAGTTTATGTTTTATGTTTGCCTATTATGGTTCCCCCTCCCCCCAATAATTCTGGGAATTGTACTTTCCTTAGAGTGTTGAGAAAATTTAGATCTATAACTGCCTTCAAAGACTAGCACCACGATCCAGCTGGATGCATGCAAAAAACACTACATGACCTATTTTTTTATACACATGTACTCTTCATGTCTGCACAGGCTGTTTTGTAATTAGTTATGGTGATTAAATACCTAGTTTTGTGAAACAGTCTTTGGATATGATGAAAGGGAGATAAGGAAAAAATGCAGTTGAAAATAATCTGATATTGTCTCTAGCAGTTGTTTAAATAAGTATGTCAGCAGTATTTTTTAAACTAGACAGGCACATTTTAAGTAATCTGTATGTGAGATATACTTGCCAGTTCTATGTTTTATGTGTGTAACCCTAATGGGTGATATGCAGCAGTGTCTGTCTTGTCAGTGGAAAAGACACAATTGGTAGAATGAATTTGCCAGCCCCCATGTGCCCCCCAGATTTGTTCCAGAGTGTTAGGAGATTCCCCTGAGCATATTAAGATGGGAGGGGGTGCTGAAAAGGGAGGAATGGAAGAAGAATTTCTGTTGTGCAAGTGGAAGTCCACTTGTAGAACATTGAACAGTGTCCAGTCGGAATCAATTTTATCCAGTCATAGTTTGAACTTGTATTCAGAATTGAACTAACTAGTATACAGCGCTGTGGTAGCTATTGTTAAAACAACAGTAAAACAAGAAAAAAGGTAGCTATTGTTAAAACAATAGTAAAACAAGAAACATAATATTATTTTCTGGCAGCCAACAAATTTCAGGTCTCTAGACCAAGGAATTTTTAAAACTGGTATCTCGGGTTACATACGTTTCAGGTTACATACGCTTCAGGTTACAGATTCTGCTAACCCAGAAATAGTGCTTCAGGTTAAGAACTTTTCTTCAGGATAAGAACAGAAATTGTGCTCCTGCGGCACGGCGGCAGCAGGAGGCCCCATTAGCTAAAGTGGTACTTCAGGTTAAGAACAGTTTCAGGTTAAGAACAGACCTCCGAAACGAATTAAGTACTTAACCCGAGGTACCACTGTACTTGCTTGAGAATCCCATATGTTTGGGTTTTTTTTAATAACCTTATACTGATAGTAATGAAAGCTTACTTGTACTTTTGCAGCCAGAACCATATTGATGGCACTTCTCTTGCTTGCTTGTCACCTTAGGGGTAACCACGAACATATGCACAAGTACAAAAAATATCTGCAGGAAAAATTATAAGGGTGTATAGTCCTCTCTCCCCAGCCTGCCAGCCTCTTAACATTGAATGTTGACTGAGTGAGGGGGAAATAGATTGCTGATACAGTAAGACAGATTATATTATTTACATATCTGTACAGTCATGGGGACACGGGTGGCGCTTTGAGTTAAACCACAGAGCCAAGGACTTGCCGATCAGAAGGTTGGCGGTTCAAATCCCCGCGATGGGGTGAGCTCCCGTTGTTCAGTCCCAGCTCCTGCCCACCTAGCAGTTCGAAAGCATGTCAAAGTGCAAGTAGATAAATAGGTACCATTCCAGAGGGAAGGTAAACGGCGTTTCCGTGTGCTGCTCTGGTTCACCAGAAGTGGCTTAGTCATGCTGGCCACATGACCCGGAAGCTGTCTGCAAACAAACGCCGGCTCCCTCAGCCAATAAAGCGAGATGAGCGCCGCAACCCCAGAGTCGGTCACGACTGGACCTAATGGTCAGGGGTCCCTTTACCTTTACAGTCATACCTTGGGTTATAGATGCTTCAGGTTGCGTTTTTTTGGGTTATGGACCACCGGAACCCGGAAGTCCTGGAACAGGTTACTTCCGGGTTTCGGCGCATGCGCAAAAGTGCTAAATCGCGGGTTGCAAATACTGCGGGTTGCTAACATGCATCCCACACAGATCACGTTCGCAACCCGTGTGTCCACTGTATCTACAAACACACACACACTTTGATTAGGTAGAAAGAACCATCTTATTGTATATGTAAGTCACTTTCTGGTCCACACAGAAAAGCTACCGGTATTCTTAAATGTCCCCAGAGATTAAAAGGGGGGGCGGGTGTCCACATAAATCGTTGAACAATCCAAATAATTTAATGTAGCTGGTCACCTGTGTGTCCACCCAAAATCCAAAGGTGAAAAATGGAGGGGGAAACCCTGCCAACATCCACTGCACCATTTGGTTGCAGGGCCCCAGGGTAGAATAATATTTCTCCAGAAAGTTGGAAAATGAAGTAGTGTTGATTCATGAAGTGATCTTTCTATTTTCATCTTGTTGAAAATGGCATATTTAAACTGTAAGCTGAGAGCCCCAGGTTCCCCATCCATATTATAAGTTGCCTTGATAATTTGTTGAAGGTTGGGATATAAATAAAATAAGCAGCCTATTGAAGTTGTGATGGACCAATTTTATTTTTTTTAAAAAAGATAAGTGCCACTATTTTAGGATTATTGAAATCCCTGCATTGCAGGGGGTTGAGCTAGGCGAGCCTAAGGTTTCCTTCCAAATCTACAGTTCTGTGATGGCAAACAAATTGTTTTGGAAGGAGCTCCAAACCTTGTAGGAATTTGTGAGACTTGACTGGATGATGCCCAGAATCCTGTGTTGGCTTGACAGCTGGTGATGGTATTTTCAGTCCACAGAGACCACTGAAATTGAGTACATATTGTTTAAGGCCCACCGATCCCCAGTAAGTTCTGACAATGGGACTGTTCTACACCAAACCATTAAAATTTGGGGCAAGCAAAGGTGGTTGGAATATTGAAGTGTGGGGCCTATGTTACTGCTTTGCACATTTGAGTCAAAGCTGCGTTTGGAGGATGCATCATGACATAGGAAAGCAAACTGTAGCTTTCCATGTATCCTCCATGTATTTATTTCATAAATAGCATAGCAACTTAATGAGCATAAAGTCAGGTTAGATAACAGGAGAGGTTACAATACAAATCAAATTTAAAATCAATATTGTGTATTATTATTTTTTAAGATGACTAGAATGCCTTCATTTCCCCCCTGAAAAATCTTCAGGCAAATGTATATTCTGGGAAATACCTGGAACCTACCCTGTTGTTCTAAAATGAGATCCTCTACTATACATTACGAGTGAGGGATAGACAGTGTGATGCCCTTCAGATGTTGGACTACAACCACTGCTATTTTTCTAGAAAAAGAGGTGCCAAAACTCACCATAGACACCTCCCTTGTTCTTTCATAATGGCAATGGCACCCACCTGAAAGGTGCCAGAGCAATGTTCCGGTGAGTTCCAGCTGAAAAAGAAGCCCTGACCACAACTCCCATCAGCATCAGCTAGCATAGGTAATAGATGGTGGGCGTTATAGCCAAACAACATCGGGAGGAGGCCACATTTGCTATCTTGCTATAGATTCCAGTGTTAGAGGATGGGATAGGAATGCTAGGGGCCATGCGGCTCCTGGAACCTAGGTTGTGGGTGCCAAAATAAAATGTCACGGCACTCCCCACCCCACCCCCTTCCAGACCAGGCAGCCCTGCGGCAATAAAAAATTACTGCTGGGTGAATTTTTAGTGAATCGGGGTCTGCAGGGTCTTTTGCTACTGCTCTACCCTGACAAACATCTTGCTCACTCAGTAGCTCTGCAGCAGCAATTCATTCATTCATTGGCTGCTGGGTGAATCGGAGGTGGGGGTGGATTGTCAGTACACCTTTGAGCCGATGCCAGTGACTGGGCTCAATATCTGGATCTGCCCCGACTGGGCTAGGTGAATGAAGCACTTCCAGAGACCTTTCACTCCTGGAAAGCAGGTCTAAGTGCACTGGACCCACAACTGTGAGTTGTGAGCACCAAACTCAGCAGAGTATGAACATCACGGAAGAAAGCTGTGAAGCGTAACTTCTTTTATTTTCTAATAGCTATTGCAAACTAAAACTAAAGAGCTACTGGCTTGCACGAGTGTTACAGCTCTCACTCAGCCATCTAATCTCTACAGGGATAACACTCAGACTCCACACAGAGTCAGGCAGGAGCGGAAGAAGCAAAGAGCAGTTTCCGCCCCCTCCTTTCTGAAAACATCAGGAGATTCTTGCAATGGGAGGGGGTGAAAATATCCACAGGGGTGTCTGGTCTGCCTGATTCACCTAGCAGTGTGAATTCACCCAGTGAATCGGTCTGGAGGGTAGCGCGGCAGCAAAAGATGAGTCTTTTGCTCTGCTTTACCCCGCCAAACAGCTGATTCACCTGGTGGCAGCAGCAGCAAAAACAAAGACATGTCTTTTGCTGCCACGCTGCCCTGCAAACTCCCTGAATCAACCGGCCAGGCAGGTGGAGATGCTAGTTGTCAAAAGTGGCTCCTGGATATCTCCATCAAGTCGCAAAAGGCCGGTTGCCAGTCGCAAAATGTGACTAGCACCCGCTAATTTCAAACTGTGATAGATTCTGTATATATAGGGCTTAAATGACTGCCTGTCAAAATAAATACCCTCCAGTATTCGTTCCGGTGGTCTGTCCGCAACCCAAAAAGTACGTAGGCAGAGGCACCGTTTCTGCGCACATGCGTGAAGCGCGCAGAGCGCTTATGTGCATGCTGCTCGGTGAAACCCGGAAGTATACACTTGCTAACCTTGGCTTAGCAAGATTGCATGAATGGTCTATGCTTGCAGTTGCTTTACTCCTACCCAGTCCTTTTTTGGCCAGGTAAGCCAAGAATTGAATGTACAGTGGTACCTCTAGTTGCGGACTTAATCCGTCTCGGGGTGCAGTTTGCACCCCAAAAAGTCCGCAACTAGAGTGCCTCTTCCGTGCATGTGTGCGGCACGATCGAGCGCTTCTGCGCCTGCGTGAAGTGCGCAGATCGCTTCTGCACATGCACGCGTGGCGAACCCAGAAGTAAACACTTCTGGGGTTGCCGCTTTCGTAAGCTGAAAGTCCGTAACGAGCAGAACGCAACTAGAGGTACCACTGTAGTATGTTGTCTGAACCAGGACCAGTGGTTAATCTGTCTTCTCACTACTCACATTCTGTAATCAAGGTTGCTTCTGTTTCACTGGTTGGAGAAGGCATTTGAAGGAAGATGGGAGAGCGGGGTAGCAAGAGACTGTTGCGGGAGGCAAACACAGCCATTGACTTGTGAGAGACGAATACATATTTGCTGTGCTGATACTGGCATGGTATGATATCCAACAACAGGTTCACCAATAGCAATGCCCTTTGTATAATACTACATTCACCTGCAATTACGGTACTTCCCACACAAATATTGTGTGCATGGAGGGCAAGCTTCATTCACAGTAGATGCCCCTTACCTCAGTGAGAAAATTGCCATCTTGGGCCTGAAATGTTGGTGTTCATTTCATCTTCCCTCCTGACAAAGGGATTGTTCCAATTTATTGTTAAGTATTCCTTATGCTATTCACTTAATGAGTTTTCATTTTGAAAACAGTTGCTCCTTTGCCATCCTGCTCCCTGAGCTGCAATTTTCCCATCAGTGGAACAGATGTGTTGGTTGCATGCTGGATTTGCAATTTCAGTTATTAAGATTATAAAATGAAAGCCTTTCCCTGGAAAAACCAGTCCTATAAATTAGCATGCACCAGAACTTAACTTAAATAGTGAGAAAATATGCAAACTTTTGATGTGATTATTATACTTGGAAAAAGATGAGTGCCACTTGGCTTGAATTACACAGATCAAGAACACAGTTCATCTTACAAATGGGTCTAAATTGTATTAGTATCACAGTTGGCTGCTAAATAGGTCTTACATTTGAGCACAAGTAGGTTCCACGTTTGTATTTTTGGCTGGGATCTGACATCTGTCCCAATGCTTACCCCCTGAACTCTTGCTGGTAATGGATCGTGTAGCTCAAAGGAGAAGCAGCCCATCTTATCTCTGAAAGAAGCCACCCAGAACAGTGGATTACATTACGAACATTGGTATTGATTTGTTTGCTATTGTTTACAGATTCAGAAAAACTACTGTGACATGAAGACTGATCTATTTGGCATTATTTTTTCTAGGCATGTTGGTATCTGATGCCAGCAATACTTTTGGTTGCTGCTACAGGTATAATTATTGTTTAGGAAAGGGGAAAAGTCTAGCTTTATAAGTCTGTTTTAGGTGCCACTTAGACTTGATATTATTTGAGATGATAGTGAAGGAAGGGTAAAGAAGCCAAAACATAGCATAAACATGAAATAAAAATCATAATAATTCATCTTGAATACAATCCAGTATTTGTTGCTTTGATTTCTGCAGAAACTCCTGAAGATGATTTTTTCTATGAGTTCAGTTGCAATAGATCAGCTTGAGAATTTTACAGTGTTGCTTTTTTTTTTGGTTGAAGTAGTACAAAATGTCAAAAATTAGAAGGAAGGTCACAGTGGAAAATACCAAGACCATATCTGATAGCACATCCAGAAGACCCAGTGTATTTGAAAGACTTGGACCCAGCACTGGAAGTACTGCAGAGGTGAGTTGAAAAGTATTATTTGTATTTAATGTAGCCCCTCCTCTCGTAGAGCAGACATGTTTGGGAATAGTGTTTCACTTCCCTCAGTTGTGGGAGTTTATGTTTATGAAGGCTTTCTTATTGCAGTTGGATGCCTTGTGGATGATTATGCTGGGGGCATTGGAGCATGGCACAACCAGAGATGAGGCTGGGTGGAATGGACAGAGCCATGTTCCGAAGTAACATTGTTGGCTTTCTAAATGCGGTTCAGGGAGATGGGAAGGAGTGTTGGGCCCACATGCTCATTTCTCCATGTGCCAACTTTGGTGCCGCTGCCCTGATTAAACTAACTTACAGATCCTCATTGCATCCAAAATGGGCACTGTGGTTTTAATGTTAGGATCAGGGTCTTAAACCAGAATCTACCCCATTTGCAACACCATGTGATGAGAGCGGATGGCCATGTGGAGCTGATGCTTTCCCCGGCTTAATAAATTATGATTTACTAAGCAAGGAATGCTAAATCCAAATTGGCTCGCACTCTCTTATGATATTTCCTGGGGAGAATCTGTGGATAACTTTTGATTTCATGATACGGTATCCATGTGTGGAATAGAGAATACATTTCCCCCAAGCGAGATTGGCTACAGGCTTGTTAAGGTAGTGGTGGTGTTGTCTTGCCCTGTTTAGTGCAGCTTGGCTTCATGGCTGCAACCATTTAGACATTCCTCTTCTGCAGGTTCCCTTGATGTAATGCACCTTGTTTATTTCTGTGGCCTGTAGTCTGAATTATGCAGGGAGTTAACGGTTGAAGGACCCTTCTGTGGGGTGTGGCAAGACGGCAATTTGTTCTCAGTGCCGTTTCTCAGATCTGTTGAGTGCTATAATTATTGAGGACCACTTATTTATTTTTGCTTTTTTGTTCAAAATGTACCCATACCCTGTAGGATGTGATGTGTGCATGGATGAATTGTACTTGCTTTTTTTAAAGTAGATGATTGGTCATCAGAAAAAGAGACACACACACACAAGAAAGTGTTTACATGCACACTTCACATCTGAGGTAGTACACATTAAATTTATGAGTCACCTATTTAAAAAGCCTGTTATGAGGCCTCCTACTATTTAGATGAGATAAGCACCATACAGCTAAGCAACTTTGGAGTACAAAATCATGACTAAACTACATACGTCAACAACTTAAGAACAAATCTCTGCAAGTGTGCGTGTGCACACAGACACATATATAAAAGCAGAAATCCCTATCAGATTAAACAACACCAATAAACAATATTAAAACACTGGCTGATAAAATGAACTAAGGTTGTTAAAAATGCTGAAAACCATTTAAGGGCCTGGAGAAAAGAAATGTCTTCACCTGCATTACGTATCAAGGTAAAGTGCGATTTTGACCCTTAGTTGGTGAAGAGATGTGGCGAGGCAGTGTAGTTAATGAAAATGCATTTTGAAATGTCTTGGGATAATCCAAAGTCTCATAAAGGATCACTATCAGATCTAAGACTATTGATTTTCATCAAGTTACTGTTGGGTGGGAATAATATGTGGAATTATTTGTTTTGTGAATTTTCACACAAGCACTACTTCCAAAATTAGTTTGAAATTCACCCAGTAATGTCTGTCTCTTAGACACAGTGCCGTAACTGGCTGAAGACTGGCAACTGCCTCTATGGGAACACATGTAGATTCGTACATGGCCCTTCACCACGAGGTAAAGGCTTTAGCAGCAGTTACAGAAGGTAAATGAAGAACTCAGCTTTATATTCACATGCTTGCAAAAGCTGTTTTCTTGTAGTTCTTTAAAACTTACAATGCAGCAATATGGCTTTATTAAAAATACAATTAATTTGGAAGTGTGATTATGCCTTGCCTTTTGAGTGTAACTTCAGATTGATAAAATGTTCTTGTTGCATATTAATTTTTGCTTGAACAATTTTACCTGATGTCAAATGGGAATGGAAACCCTAATAAATGTATGGTTGCATAATGTTACTGCAGCTTCTGATTTGCTCAAATTTTGTATTGTAGCTGCTTAATACAACACTAAAAATCTCAACCTATGACGTCACCACAATCATTATTATTAGCTAGACAGTAAAACGGTTTACTGTGCAATCACAATGTAGCATACCTTTGTGCCAAAACTGTGCTTTCATAACTGTGTCTCTACCACCAGAAGGCAGGATTAAAAATACTGCTTTAAGTGAAAATATTGTTTTGATTTGTAACTCCTGAAGAGCTACAGTTGTCTGTGTTTTCACTTTATGTAGCATTTTTTAAAGCTAAAATGCTTAAGATTGAATATCTAGTATATGGAATTAATTTACAATTAAGATTTAATACTGTGCAGTTAAAGATCTTCTGTAGGAGATTTAGGCTATAATCCTATACACAGCTACCTAGGAGTAAGCCCTTTTTAATGCAGTGGAACCTACAGTTGCATAGACATGTATAGGATTGCAATGTCAACGATTGCTGAGAAATTGTACGTCTCGTGATGCTTTTAGGAATCATTTATTTTTTATTATAAAAGAGACAGAATGAAGGATAGCTGTGATGTGAAGCACAAGGTTATGATTGACATTTATTACTCTCACACGAGCATGGAATTGCTATGAGGACTTGCTTCCCATTTTTAAATGCTTTTGTTGATTGCAGACTAAAAGATGTTAAGATGTACTCAGCCAGCAAACAACTACTCTGTAGGTATTATAGATTCAGGGCACCAGTGATGAAAGGAGAACAAAACCAAACAGAAGATTAAAATATTATTTCCTCACCCCACAGTAGATTTCTTTGTGTAAATTCATTTGCTAGTCTTGATTATACATAGTGACGATATATCACTGATATACTCCGTCGTAGCATGCCTTCAGCTTTGTAGCCAATGTGGGACCACCAGGCGAATCCCAAGGCGCCATTAAATATTTTTACAAAACCATAGGGGGCAAATCTCCCCCCGCAAATTAAAAAAAACCCAGGAAGATTGTGCATGCCTGCAGTTACACGAGGGAGAGGTGTGGAGCAATGAACAGCAATTGCATGTGCAACCCAGAGAGGCATTTAATTCTTCCTGGTGCTGTTAAGCTGAAATGACAGGAGCTCAGAAGAGAAGACAGCCGAGAGGACAGTGGCAATGGAAGAACAAGAAATGAAGGGGGAGGGAGAGAGCCTAGGGAGCAGAGGAGAGCTCGAAAGGAGAGGCAGCTTACGGGAAGGATGCAGGAGGAGGATGGGAGCAGAGGTTCCTATGTGGCAGCAAGACCAGTAACAGCAGAGAGATGACAGAGAACAGAGAATGAGTGAGAGCTGTGAAATAGGAGGCAGTGAAAAAGTAGAGTCCTGAAATGGGAGTGACAGGCAGAGAGAGGAAAGAGAATAGGGCTGAGTAGGGTGCTAAATTGTTTAATTAATCCAGGCCACATTTTGTTTTGGTTCTGATTTGGTAACATAAAACTGAATTTTCTTTTAAATATAACCTAAATGTGTATTTATCAGTGGTTTTTTAAAAAAAGTTGTGTGTGTGTGCATGTGTGTGCGTGCGCGCAAAGTAGCTTTGCCAAATAAAGGGTAAAGGGACCCCTGACCATTAGGTCCAGTCATGACCGACTCTGGGGTTGTGGTGCTCATCTCGCTTTATTGGCTGAGGGAGCTGGCGTACAGCTTCCGGGTCATGTGGCCAGCATGACTAAGCCGTTTCCGGCGAACCAAAGCAGCACACAGAAACACCGTTTATCTTCCCGCTGGAGCGGTACCTATTTATCTACTTGCACTTTGACGTGCTTTCGAATTGCTAGGTGGGCAGGAGCAGGGACCGAGCAACGGGAGCTCACCCCGTCGCGGGGATTCGAACCGCCGACCTTCTGATCGGCAAGTCCTAGGCTCTGTGGTTTTAACCCACAGCGCCACCCGCGTCCCTAGCTTTGCCAAATAGTTACTCATAAATTTCATGTACAAATATGCTTACTAGACTAGCGGAGAGGGAGAGTCTTTGAAATCAGTAGATTTCTGTGCTCTCTATACACTTGCAAGGGGACCTATCCCAAGTGCAGATGTAACACAGATGATCTCTTGACAACAGTTGAGAGATCAGGAGCAGGGTTGCAGGCTACCTTCTCCAGAACAAATTCTCCTCCCTCTTGTTCGCCTTCTAGACTGGAAGCATAATATTGTAAAATACTGTGTTTTGTCAAGTTAGAGCAAGGATGTCTGTTCACAGTTGAAATTTCTATAGTGGTGTTCTTTGCAGACATAAGGAAAGGGGAATTGCACGTAGAGGAGCACAACCATCAATATATTAAAGGAAAGTTGCTGTCCTTCAAACACTGAACAGTTGAACAACTCTGCTTACTAAAAACCACATGTTTTGTTAAACCCATTTACCTCTCCATTTACATGGAAGTTCCACTCCTTTCGAGAAAAACTGTTTCCAAGTCAAATAAAATGTATTTCTTAGAATCATAGCCAAAGCCAGTATGAACTGGAATAAACCATAAACCTTTAAAGAAATAATTGAAACTGGATACTTGTTACTTTGAGAGCTTATTTGTGATTTTAGTGTATGTGTGGATATGTGTGTAGCATTAGGCTGCATGTAGGAAAGTATTAAGTGATTCATATCACTTTATTGAGGAGGATTGCGCCATGACTAGATTTCCTTTTGGATAAAATAAATTGTTGGGACTATTGCTGATGGGCACAATGCCTTTTGAAATACCCCCAGTAACTGCAAAGTAGGAGTTTACTGCTTAACTTATGTGTAAAAATCTGACGCAAGTGTGTTCTAGGTATAAAATACTGTTTCCCTGGGGCTGAAACAATATACTTTTCAGTAGTGCTATTTTTCTAGAAAAAGAGGAGTCAGAACTCACCATGAATGCCTCCCATGTTCTCTTATAATGGCAATGGCGCCCACCTTGAGAGGTGCTAGAATTGAGTTCCTTGAGTTCCAGTTGAAAAAAAAGCCCTGCTTCTCAGAACATATAAAATACACAGAAAGCTCTCTGAAAGCACTGAACATTGTCTATGTAGGAGATGGTTGGACTATTTTATAGTGTTTTCAGGTACTGTATATTACTTAGTTTTCAATATGGGTACAGTCCTCATTTTCATTCCTCCCCCCAAATTACAAGTTTCATACTAGCTCTAAGGCAGTTGTATAAGGGTTCTATTTGAATGAACAATTACTTCTTAAAGAGAAACAAAAAAATTAAAAAAGAAAGAGAAACAAAATAAAAAAGCTCATACCAATAACAAACTTAGTTGGTCTCTAAGGTGCTACTAGAAGGAATTTTTTTATTTTGTTTTGACTATGGCAGACCAACATGGCTACCTACCTGTTCTTAAAGAGAGTAAAGTTTTTATATAAAGAGTAACATACTATTCTCTGGATTGCAGAATGTGGCCTTCTTGAATACTTGCAATTCACACAAAGTACTAAAGTAATCCAACACCTTCTAAAATTCCAGATATCTGGAAAAACTTTCATTGCATAGTCGAATTTGACTGGACTTAACCGTCCGGGGTCCTTTACCTTTACCTACATTACTTGAATATATTTTTTTTTATAAAGAGGAAGTAGAAATGAATTTCTTTTCATGAATTTTGATTCTCCAGATATGCTTCCTTTATAGCTCAATTCCTGAGGCTCTTTACTTCTAATTTTGATTAGTTAAAAATTGAATATGGAGAATAGCAAGATTTTTTAGGTATGTGGTTTTTCTGGTTTCATATTTTATATTAGAACTTAAACCATAAAAAGAATCCTTTTGACATAGCATCAGAAGGCACCTGTTACTTATGGATGAAATAAGTATTCGGAGATTGAAATGGAGCTTGTTTCCATAAATATTGTTGGAACATCTAAGGTTCTAGAATTTTCTGCTGAATTAAATCCTTAGCCTCTTCAGATTTAAGACTCTCTTTGCCTCTGTAGGATTTTAAGCTGAGCTAAATCCAAACAACATTTTGTAGCATATTTTAAGTACAGTATTCAAAGTAGCTGGCTCTTTCTTATACATGAACACAATAATTCTTACTAAGATGGGTGACGGGACTGAGAGAATAAGGGCTTGCCTAAAATCACATGGTAAATTTGTTACCAATATTAGATTTAATTAGTGACCTCCTTTGTTTACAGTATTACTTGCGGAGTTAGCTAAAAAAATTAAAATGAGAAATACATTCTGATTCACCTTAAAGAATGGGAAGTAATATTTTCTATGTCACAACCACCACCCCAGGTTTGCTTCAAGAGTATCTGCTCAACAGGAAGCCATAGCCAACCCTTGGTCTCCCCTGAGTGTATGCGTATTACATGTGTAGTTTTGAACACCTGTTTTTCACATTCACAGTTTACATTTTTAGGTGCGCACTTGAGGTGTCCACCTGAAAGAGTAATGTGCAAAGAGTCTCTTTACTTGCAGAAGAGAGAGGAAGCTCTTTGAAACCTGTTTCTAGTTTCCTTACAGTTAAGACTTCCTAAATAAACTAAATATTTAAGCTCAGGAGAATAGGATGTATTTTCCTCCCTTTCCCCCCAAAATCAACCCATTTCGTCTTTTGAGTGATAATATTTTATTATAAACTTTAGTTAAGATATGATGAAAATAAATGCAAGATGCCAAGGTTTTTCCCCTTGAGATTCATCTTCACAAGTTAACAACTTATTCAGTCATCTTTGCTTTATTTTCTTTTATTTTCATAGCTAGATATATTGTCTCAAATTGAGCATGTACTTAGAATAAGCTGGGCTGAGTAGTTAGCACAGGGTGAAGAAATATTGACCCTTGTATTGCTTCAGATTCAAATCAGAACTTTTTTCAACTTTGGGAAATGTAGAACAATCAGCAAAAGCTGATTGTGGTGCCCTGCAGACATTGTTGGACTCCCAACTCTATTTTCCAATGACACCTAGAGAGTACCAGACTCTTCTGTCATGTAGAAGAATAAATGCAGACCAGGATTGTAAGAGCTACTTCAAGCATCCTCAAAGCTTTCACTAGTCCAGTGGAATTTCATGCTTTTCTTCTTATGTCCCAGCCCCACTCCACAGAACTGGATATGGCACATAACTTTATCTGCATTAGGCATGTTCAGATTTTCATAGGAATACTGGGGTAGTGTGCTGTATAACTTCAGTTTTCTGGTAAGATAGTCTTCAGAAAATAACTCAAATTTTAGGGTGCTTGGTTTATAGTTGACTTGCTTTTGTGCCTCCTTTTTGATTGATCTAAAAGGCATTATAGCACCTCTTACAAGTTTAAACTATCTCTTAATGGCTCCTGAATTCATTATTGCACATAATTACAAGATGGCTCATTTGGTTGTTGGAAAGCAGTGACTGGATAAAGTTTGGCATATCCTAGTCATGGGAAAATGTCAGTTCAGCTAAGAGTATGCAGGAATCATGCTGACAGATTTTTGTTGTTGTTTTTAATCTGGAATTTCCTTCATTTTGTTAAGGTTCCAAGTAAGATCTACTATGTTCAGAGTTAACCTTCAGCGGTTTACTTGTATTAAGTTAGATCTGGTGTTCTGTATATATCATGTATTTTGAATTGCCCTGGGGCAGGCTGGGAGATTGTTAGCTTGTTATGTATTTTCTGAAAAAAATATTATTTAAAACTACAAAAAGGGTTACCAGGAGAGCGCCCATGGATGCCAGTGTGCCCACCAGAGCCTCCTATGGCACCTGTGATTGATCTCAGTAAATACACATCCAAAGTCCACAGTGCACAAAAGACAGCTTGCTTGTCCTGCTTAGCTCTTGTTTGCACTGGTTTGACCTCTTTTACATGGAGTAAACATGCTCGCATTTCATTGGATGCTAGGATTGGATACCTAGCCTTCCTCCCGTATGTTCTGAACAGAGGAGAGGTATAACAAGATTTTCTCTGTGAGTGAATGTGGTGGGGGCTGATGGAGGTGCCTTTCCAGCCCATTGATGGGGTGGTTGATGTGGGGGCATGACTGTACCATTTGTGTAGTCCTGTCTCTTTTGCTGCTCTTTTAGATGTTGCAGCCGTTTTATGTTATGCCACCCCCCCTCCCTCAGTGGCCATCTTGTGGCTGGTGGCCTCGGCACTTTCTAAAAATTCCAAGTGTGCCCAATGGCCCAAAAAAGTTGGTGACCATAAAAATCAAGTTGTTTGCAGTAGAATGACATTTACATCTCAGCCTAATCAAGCATTTGGTCTCATGAAAGTGAATTGCTAATATACACTGGAAGACATAAGGAAACTTTTAGGCAAACTTTGAATTTTATTTTCTAAAAGGGTTAGGCAAGCCTTCTTCATACTGGGTAGCTTTAATGGCAATTTATTTAGGGTTGGACGTTCTTGTATAGCATATTACATGGCAGGAGCTGAGTGAAGACAGGAAACATGATGGCAAAGCACAACTGTATTATAAAACTGCAGATCTCAAACCTGTAAACTGTATTTTTAAAAAGGATGTAGAAGCAGTTATATTTTCTGTCTGTATTGTATAGGTCACCCGAAAGGCCTACAGGGGATCTTCGGGAAAGAATGAAGAATAAGCGTCAAGAAATTGAAGCTGAACCACAGAAGCATAATACAGAAGAGCAATCTTCTCCTGTCAGGGTGAGCATGGGATGTTCATATATCTCCTTGCTTTCTTCAGTTGTTTTGGGATGCAGGATTTCCTAATGTGGAACAAAACCGAGCACTGTGTTGCACTTAACCCCAGTTACCTAAGATGTGTTTAGAGTTCCCTGGTCAGGATCCATTGACCCTAACAACTAGTTCTGTATTCCCAAGCAGGGTTGTCTTTGTGTTCTCAAACAACACCACCACATCACACTGTCCCTGTCTGGCCCATGCCGAAAACAAACTCCTTTTGACATAGGGCAAAGCAGTTTATGACATAACATGAGATTTTCCTGTTCATAGGAAAAAATTCACTGAGCAAGTCCAAGCCATTGGGTGCACCAGAGGCAGGACTCCTTAAATGTTTTTTTTAATCTTGGCCTTAACTTCTCAATGTAGATTATGGATTGGGCCCACACATACATGAGCGGAAGTGTGTGCATATAACAGGGATTTTTCCACCTCTCTTCTCCACTGAGCTTGCGTCCTGTGACAACCAATCGTCTCCTGAGGGTTGGAAGTTCACTTGCATAAGAAGCCTGGACCCAGTTTCTGCCAATTTTGTGTGTGCTACATCAGACCTTTCCAAGCAATTCCCCAAACCACAGGACAGTTTTTTTTAGCTCCATTGGAGGAAGGTATGAGAAAGCCTCGTGCAAGGGAACATTTGCACAACAGTGGTGAAAATTCACCTTAGGATTTTCACCTCTGCCCAATTGAAAAAGATGGTATGTTTAATATTATATTAAAACCTAGCCAAAATTTCTTCAGCATATATACAAGTTAAACTCATTAGGGTTTCAGTAGAACACAATCTTAAATTTTCTGTGGTATTTACTACTAGAAGAAAGTCATAGTAGTTTATTTGAGAAAGGTTCCTCTGTGCTAAATTGGATATAAACCAGAACAAAAATCCATTTTTTTCTTTCTTTGTACAAAAATTGAGAACTGCGATATTTATGCAGTCTGTACAGACATAGATTTCTGGGGCCTGGAATCTTTACTTTGTGTGACAACGTTGGTAGCTGAAAGCTCTAGTTAGAATGTGCATTGCTTAAGTGAGAGATATAAAGCTCCTGTTGCTTTTCAGATTCTCTAAGAGTCCAGTCTTCTAATGTCTTTTTACAGCCTTAATTATTTTAAATGAAATGAGTTCTTCAAAGGGTTAACTCAATCCCCCCAAATATTGGATTGTATCCAGTGAAGTCATCCCATTAAAACACAAGGACTGTACAATGGGACTTCCTCTTCCTGACTCGCCCACTGCAAATGAGCTCCACACTGTTGAGGGAACTCCCGGAACAGATTGTGGGTGGGCACAGGGGGAAGAAGTTCTGTGGCAGAGGTGGATATCCTTGCACTAGTGGGACAACTTCATTGGACGCTACCCTAAGACTTGAGTGGTTCAGAATGTAAATACTTTTCAGGATCCTAAAATATGGTTGACCAAGGGAAAATAATGTAAAATGCTCCACATCACTGTCAAATGCTCATGAATGTCTAAAATGCTCATGAAGGTCACATTTCCAAGTCTGGTGAGAGACTCTAGGACTGCCAAGTGCTTTTTAGTATGTCCCCTAATTTCACATCAGATTTTGTTAGACAAAATCGTAGTAATTTGCCCCAGTCAAGACCCCCCAAACCCATAACAATAATCAGCTTTTCTTTTTAAAAGAAATGGCTGAAATAAGTAACAACACTTGATTGGATTGTTTATAGAAGTTCTAAATTGAAGCAGTGTGGGGAAATCTTGCATTTTGGATGGAATAACTGGCCGATTCGGAAGGAAAACTTCATTTTCAGGTTCCACGTGTGAGTGGTTTGTTTATATCATTACTTGTATATATTAAAATGCTTGGAGCTGACTAACCCATGAGGGTATTGAAATTATTAGTTCTCTGACAATTGGTCCAAACATAAACCAAGGCATCCTGGTCAGTAACTAAGCTGAAAATGGGACATTTTAAAATCTGATTGTCGACCCATGACCATGCATGGCAAATCCTGAGCAGTTTTAGTGTTTATGAATATTGCTTGACATCACAGTACTGATCAGCCAACAAGATAGAGGCAGTATATGATTATATGGCTTTCAGCCTACTTGTTCTCCCTAACCAATCTGCAATATTTCATAGCCATGCAGAAAGTTGTTGGGGTGTATGTGTGTGTTAGTGGGCAATATTCCCCGCCCCTGATTTCCCCCATTCAACACCCCAGTTTCTGGCCCTATCACATTCAGAGCCAAACACTGGATCCTTCCCTCTGGATCCTGAAGACCCAGGCTTTTTAAGGTGGTGACTGTTGTAGAAAGGGCAAAGAGACAAGCCTTTTGCAGATTAAGCCTCCTAGTCCAGTTTGCTGCAGTAGTGAATGCAGCATGCTTGAGGGACAGGTAAGGGAATCTCTTACCTGTACCTTCCTGCCCAGGAGCTGAGCACAGTTTTTGCGTTTCGGGAGGTTAAAGATTCAGAAATGCATCTTCTCCTTCCGCTTGGTTGCAGGGGAGTGATTACCACCACTTGTTTGATATGGAAGAAAGGAATATATCACCCCCACCTTGCCTCTTGTTTATACAATTAAAATATACTCTGGAGTATTTTTGTGTCCCTGAAGCCAATGCTTTCCCCCCTGATTAACATTGTGGTCTTTTGCATACTTGCACCAGTCTTATAGGGTAGTTGTTTAAAACTTAGCATTTGCCAGGGAACGATCCATCTATGCTCATGTATTAATTTGTTCTGCTGAAGTATCTTGCATTTGTTTTATGAATGTAATCTTAATGCTGATTCTGTGCTGTTCATCACACTGCGGCATTTTTCCAAACGTGGCCTTTGTTAAATAAATTAGCAAGCAAGCATAGGTCTGAAAAGTGAATAGCATTCACCTGGTGAATGTGTAAATGCAAAATAGAGCCTCCAGTTGTTTTAGAAATTAAGGGTTGGAAATGAAGATACAGCTGTCCTCTTAACTTCCTCGGGCCCTTTCCTGGACAGTTACTATATGCCCACAAGGGCTTAATGGTGTGGATATACCGTAAGATCTCTACATCCCGCACCCTCGTTGCAGAGCTGCCTTAGTGATTCAGCTCACCCCTGCTTTCTGCCTATCCAGTAGCTACTCCTCTCTGTTTTAAGGCCTGTATTTTGTCTCCCACACAAGCCCTACTGGAAATTAAGCTCTAACATTTCCAGACATCTGGCTGAGTAACTTGCACCCTTATGACTAGTGAGCTTTTCATACAGCTGGTTCAGTAGCTCTGTTTTGATGACCTGAAATCCTACCACAGGAGACAGCACAGAAATTCCTGAGCTGGTTTCAGGGTGTGTGTGAGGGGAGGGAAGCCCTGTTTACACTAGAGGAGGTCCTTTTGTGGGCTTCCACTTGCACAGCTGGTTAGTTGGATCCCACCCATATTTTAATATCCTGATTTGTGAATAAACTGACGTTTGAACCAACCAGTTTCCTGAGTTTGGACGCTAAGGAAACTCTTAATTCAGAACCAATATCAACAGCCTTGTTTTATTTCCTTAATTGTTCAATCCCCAAGCTTCGTGCCTTCTTTTAGAATTCTAAGCATTATATCTGAACTAAGCCTTTCTCTTTTTTGAGTTCTTGTTGTAGGTATTCCTTGACACACACGGCATACTAGAGGGAAGAGTATGTTCTATAAGTCTGAGTTTTCAACCTTTTTTTTAATATCTGGAACTGGGGAAAAGCAAACCCTTCTTGAATGTTTTCATGAAAAAAACAATTAGAATCATGAAGTGGTGGGAATACCCCAGCCCCCCAGCTAAATGTACCTGCTTCCAACTATTCTTTTTAAAAATCAACTGACTTACTATTTATTTATTTGAATTTCTATACCACCTTTTATCCAAGGATGACAGGGCAGTTTATAATATAAAAACACAAAAATACATAACGTAGTATGAAACAAAACAACACACGCCCACAGTTCTAAAGGTCTGTTTCGTTTGAATTTGCCTGTTTTGTTTTCCTCTGTAGAAAGAGTCCTCCAGGGGGAGGCACAGGGGGAAGGAAGATATTAAAATTACCAAGGAGAGAACTCCAGAAAGTGAAGAAGAAAATCCCGACTGGGAAACAAACAGAGACGGTAGGTGCCATAGCCTACTAGATTCATGGAGCCAAAATAAAAAATGGAGAGAACTGCAAAGAACTTGAATTCTTAATAAATATATCTCCTGAAATAAAATTACTTTTAGTAGCTTTTGAATCCTGAGTAGTTTTTAAATAAAAAAGTAGACTGGACAAGATTGGATACATGGCATGCCAGAAAAGTGCATTGGTTTGTCTAGTTTTAAAATCTCTCTTTTCAAAATACATTAAAAAATATGTACTGCGGAAGCATTACATAACAGAGTCCAGATGGAGAGCAAAAAATCACTGTTGAATGGAGAGAGAAATGAATGTAACAATAAGGCTTTCAGAACATTCAGACCATGTATTATATAAAGGAACATTTAATAATAGTCGAACGGTCCCTTTAGCACAGGAAAAAGCAGTTCTGATGGAGTGGAGAAGCATTGGTGATGGCACATTTTTCTGCCCACCTTTTCCCCTGTCTAAATCTCCTTGTGTTAGACTAAGACAAGTGTTGTTCATAGGATAAAAGTGAGATGAATAACCAATTATGCTACCCGGAACTCTTTGGGGAAAGCATTATTTAAAAATAGGGAATTTAAAGAATTACCTTTCAGGGTAACATAGTTTAGGCCACTGACATCACTGAATAATTTCAGTTCTAAAAGTCAGTGTCTTCCTGATTCCTAGTAATGTTACGTTGATCACCCTGAACCCTAATATCCTTATCCATTAAATCAGTGTTCCTCAACTTGGCTCCCCGGCTGATGTTGGACTATATCTCTCACCATCCTTAGTTAGCAGGACCAGTAGTCAGGGATGTTGTAGTCCAACAGCAGCCGGGGACCCAAGATTGCATTAAATTATAGTCATCCTATAGTTGACATGTTTTTAATATAGAGAATGTCAAGGATACCATTTCACTGACTTCTTTTGTTTGCTCTAATAAATTAAGATTCTGATAACGGAGACGTTAACTACGATTATGACCACGAGCTTTCTTTGGAAATGAAGCGTCAGAAGATCCAGAGAGAGTTAATGAAGCTTGAAGAAGAAAACATGGAGAAAAGGGAAGAGATAGTAATTAAAAAGGAGGTTTGTATCTCAAAAATAAAACACCACACAGCCAATAAAAGTTTAAGAATTAAGATTTGAACAAGCCTTCAGGATAATAGTACCGTATTTTTCGCTCTATAAGACGCACCAGACCATAAGACGCACCTAGTTTTTGGAGGAGGAAAACAAGAAAAAAAATATTCTGAATCTCAGAAGCCAGAACAGCAAGAGGGATCGCTGTGCAGTGAAAGCAGCCATCCATCTTGCTGTTCTGGCTTCTGGGATAGCTGCGCAGCCTGCATTTGCTCCATAAGACGCACACACATTTCCCCTTACTTTTTAGGAGGGAAAAAGTGAGTCTTATGGAGCAAAAAATACGGTAATTAGTGACACATTTATTGCTTATAATGGCATACACTGTGTGCTACGGGCTCTTGAGCTTCCTTTTAGCTCCACAAATAAATGTGGAGTCACAACAATTTGTTTTTATTTAGTTCATAAAATGTGTAAAACACTTGAATGTAAAGAAAAAAGTCAAAGCAGTTTACAAAAAACAATAAAGTTATCACTAAGTTATAATAATAGTATAAGACAAAAAAATAATAATAGTATAAGACAAAAAAGCTAGAATAATAGACTAAAAACAGATTAAGGCTCATATCAACTTTCTAGACATCAGGGTAGACATGTCAAAAAAATATTTTTAGCAGGCACCAAATAGGAGCGGGTTTTGTGTGGCACCTGTTAATAGTTCTGCCAATCAAAGTGGTTGAGTGAGCCCATATGGGGTAAGGCATTTTTCGTAAATAAAACCAAGTTGTTCAGGGCTTTATCTACTAATAAGGACCCTGACCATTGGATCCAGTCGTGACCGACTCTGGGGTTGCGGCGCTCATCTCACTTTATTGGCCGAGGGAGCCGGCATACAGCTTCTGGGTCATGTGGCCAGCATGACTATGCCGCTTCTGGCTAACCAGAGCAGCGCACAGAAATGCCGTTTACCTTCCCGCCGGAGCGGTACCTATTTATCTACTTGCACTTTGACATGCTTCCGAACTGCTAGGTTGGCAGGAGCAGGGACCGAGCAACGGGCGCTCACCCCGTTGCAGGGATTCGAACCGCCGACCTTCTGATTGGCAAGTCCTAGGCTCTGTGGTTTAACCCACAGCGCCACCCGTGTCCCTTATCTACTAATAGTAACACCTTGAATTTGGCCTGGTAGCAAATTAGCAACCAGTGCACCACTCTTTATCCTTTTTGTCATTTCGTACTTCATTTTTATTAAATTGTTTTTAATATTGTGCTTTGATGCTGTAACCCACCCTGGGTTCTGGCACTGAAGGGTGGATAATTGATACAAATAATAATTTTGAATGATTTCCGTGATCTCAACCTTCAGCGATACTTTGATAAACGTCTTCACAACATGTGTGTATATCCCAATCAAGTTGTCTTTGTATCTGTGTTTACGTAGCCAAAACCACAGCACTTGTGAGCCAGAGAGCAAGAATCAGAGTTGGAGTAACCCTGAGACACAAATACAAAAGAATATTTAGGGGAATGAACTCGAAAGGGGTGGGGGCACAAAACAATGGCATGTTGTTTAGAGATTGAGGGGGTGCAGGAAACTAGAAGGGACAGGAATTAGAAGACAGACTTGGAAGACAGAAACAGTTACGTGTACATAAAGAACCACCTCTCTGCCTGGGTATATCACTTCTAGTTCACACTGAGAAGCTGTTTTTAAATGTCCATAGGGATGAAGGCGTGAAATGCCCAGAGACATCTGTGGAGACAATGATAATTTAATGCAGCTGGGACTGAGCACACATGTGGCCATTCCTCCTCAAAATAAAAAGGGTGGGATGCAAATGAAGAAAAGTTGAAGAAAACTGGCAAATGGTGAATGAGATACTTAATGAACATGGAATACTGACTGATTCTTTGATGGAGCAGTGGGGAATGAATGAAATTGAGTGGCTGGAGCCGCAAGCACTCCGCACTGGAACATGAGTGAAATGAGGTGCAGTCAGACCACACAGAGCTCTCTTTGTTAAACCAGTAGTTGGGGGTGATCTAGATTAGCAGTGGGGAACCTGTGCCCCTTGATGTTGGATTTCAAGAAACATCAGCGCTAGCCAGCTTGGTTGGTGGTCAGGGATGATGGGGGATATAGTTCAGCAATATCTAGAATACCACAAGTTGCCCAGCCCTGCTTTTTGGACCCAATACCAAATAAGTTTATGAAGTGCCTGTAGCCCAAACTAACACCCACCCGTAAACAAGAGGAAGGTAAAGGGTAAAGGGACCCCTGACCATTAGGTCCAGTCGTGACCGACTCTGGGGTTGCAGCGCTCATCTTGCTTTATTGGCCGAGGGAGCCGGTGTACAGCTTCTGGGTCATGTGGCCAGCATGACTAAGCCGCTTCTGGCAAACCAGAGCAGTGCACGGAAACACCGTTTACCTTCCCACCGGAGTGGTACCTATTTATCTACTTGCACTTTGACGTGCTTTCAAACCACTAGGTTGGCAGGAGCAGGGACCAAGCAACGGGAGCTCACCCCGTCACGGGGATTCGAACCGCTGACCTTCTGATTGGCAAGCCCTAGGTTCTGCGGTTTAACCCACAGCGCCACCTGCGTCCCACCCAAGAGGAAGGTATTTGCAGATTAAACCCCAAAGTTTGCTGAACACAGCCTGACTGGAAGAGGAAAGAAAGAAGTGGAGCAGAAAATCTGAACAGAAGCATTCCACATTGCGACTTTTTGTTGCTGGACTCGTAGCAATGTAAAGCAAATTGGGGCATTAACAAATTTATTGTTTCCCTTTGTTAAGATTTCTCCAGAGGCTGTTGGGTCAAAATTATCCTCACCTTCACCCAGAAAATCTAGCAAATCTCCAAAACTGCGATCAAGCCCCAAATCTTCCTCCTCAACCGCTAAGAGGGAGAAAAAGACTTCTGCAGTTTCTTCACCCCTCTTGGACCAACAGAGGTTAGTATATATGCATGTTTGGTAAAAGAAAACATGTGTTATTCCTTGAGTGGTGGTGTGGCCTAAAATTTGTTGAATGGGACGGATGGTGCTGGTTGTTTATCTTAGCCAGAACTCCCTGAGTATTAGAGGGGGGGAAATGCTTTGCGTTTTTTTCTACAGTCAAGTGGTAGATAATTCTTATGACATGAATAAATAACATTTATGTTATTTGAAATTTGTGAAGCTTCAAATAACATCTGCAGTAATAAATACCTTGAATTGTTGTAAATAGAATGGGATGACCTTTTGCTGACATAACATGCAAGCATAGTTCATTTCAAAGTTAAGAATTATTCCTAGGTATCTCAGCCATAATTCAGATTGACTGCAAACCAAGCTACAGAACCCTGCTTTGCAGTGTGTTCGCAAAGTGTGATTTTCATTGTCTGCACCAACCAAAGCATGCCTAAAGCAACTTCGCCACTTCTAACCTTTCTGCTTGCAAGGTGGCAGACAGGTCTCCCTGCAGATTCTCAGTGGGTTGAGATTTCCCTCAGCAGTTTAAATGATCGTTTCACTGCTCTTAACTAAGGATGAAGTAACAAAACCAAGTTTCATGTCAACTGTTGTTTAAACAGTTCATGAGAAATAAATGTAAAATTATTCGTAAAAATAAAATAATTTATCTTGGCTTCAAAGGAAAGAAATGTTGGGAATTATAATCAAAACATTAGAGATGACACGGGATAATTATGTAATCTAATGGATTGATGTTTCTGTATCTTAATCTGCTTTATGATCTTTTTGAACAGTGATGAAATGTAAATAATCAACTCTTGGGTTGGGGCAACTGTCTAAAATGTTTTCAATGGTTCTAATTTTGGCTCCTGTTTTTTGTTTTGTTGGGTTGGTATTGGTTAAATGTTTAGTTGGGGTAGGCAGTTATTTTAATTGAGTGTAACTGTAAACTTTATTATTTTTTGTTATCATTATTGGATTCTGTTGATTTATTGGTTTCTGTTATTATTGGTTTCTGTTGGTTTGTTTGATGCTTGTATAGGATATATTTTTTAAAAAAGTTTGATGTTTTGTTGTGTTTTTATATATGTTGTAAGCTGCCCAGAGTGGCTGGGGAAACCCAACCAGATGGGCGGGATATAAAATTTATTATTATTATTATTATTATTATTATATCAAATCTGGTATGCTTTCTGTTTCTATTCTTTGGAATAATACTTTGTTACTCTGTACTGTCGTTCCTCTGCTTACGTATCCCTCTGGATACGTAAACTTCGGGATGCAAACCCGGAAGTATTTTTCCAGGTTTCGCCGTGTGCGCAAAAGCGCTTTATGCGCCATGCGCAGAAGCAGTCCTTCAGTTGCAGATTCCTTGGGATGCAGCAGGACCTCCGGAACGGATCCCGTTCGCAACCGGAGGTCCCACTGTACTTGATTCTGTTCCAATTTGAATATGTACCTTCAGTAAAGGAACAATCACTCAATATCAGTTTACATTATTAGGGGACCCAATGGCATTTTTGCTCATTTTTTAGCTGCAATGCCAGTGCAGCTCTGTGCAACTGTAGCAACCTCTTGGGGGCCCTGGACAAGCTTTTGTGTGCTCAGATTCACCAGATGGATTAGCCTTAATCACGTGTAGCAAGTTGATGCTGGGAAACAGCTCTTGCTGTAGAGCAGTGTTCCCCAACCTTGGGCCGCCAGCTGTTTTTGGACTACAACTCCCACCATCCCTCACTAGCAAGACCAGTGGTCAAGGATGATGGGAATTGTAGTCCAAAAACAGCTGGAGGCCCAAGGTTGGGGAACACTTCTCTACAGCAACCATCATTCAGAGCCAGTTGCATGAGGTTTCTGCATGGCAACCACATTGTGAGCAGCAGTCCTCCCTTTCAATGGCTACAGCAGACTTGGAGTGAGAATATATTATGGTGGTGGTAATTGCTTTGAAACTTTAGGTAACTTTCCCCCAGCCTTCTGGAGTGCAGCTCTTAATTCAGGTAGCATTTTGTGATTAAAGGCACGCCGATTAACCCTTCCAACACTTGTTTCCTCAACCTGTTTTAGGAGTTCCAAAACTAACCACAGTAAAAAGAAAGGTCCTCGTACGCCTAGTCCTCCACCGCCAATACAAGAAGACACGGCACAAGGAAAGAAGCATAAGGAGAAACACAAAGCGAAAGAGCGGTTAGAAGAGAAGCCAAGGGAGGTGAAAGAGAGAGGCCGTGACTTTGAAAGACACAATAAAGAGAAAAAAGAGAAACAAAGGTATTCTTAATGTTTGTGTACAGTTGTTTGTCTAATTTTGCTACATCTGTAATTTATAGACTACTAAACACTCAAGGGCTTATGTCCAGCTTGCCACCACTTAAGGCTTTTGATTTGTAGTCTGTTTACCTTTCCCTGATCACATGATACACTACAAGTTTTGGAACTTACTTGTTGCGATCTGAAAGTGAGCAAACGACACCTGAAATCCAGAAATGGAAGGCAGTCTTCAGCAGGGTCCACCTTAGCTAAGTGATGACCATTTGCAGCACATATGGCATCTCTTCCTGGTTCCCTTCTTTATTTACAGTTGGATGGGAACTGAGCGTCACTTGGCTTGTTCATAGTCTCCCATGGCTGCTTCGAGAGAGCAGCAAAAATACCAGACCTCATCAGCTAGGACATCACTGTACTGATGACATCAAACCTTGGGTGGCCCACAGGTGGTTGGCATAGTGGAACTTGGAGGACCTCAGAGGGAGACCATTTTCAGGAGGTTGCCAGCAGCTACTTGGTGCCGCCATCCCCCAAACTGGATAGCAACTCCATAGATACCTGCCAGGTCTAACAGCTCTCACCAGTGCATTATTGAAGGACTGAAGAAAGCTCTGAGAAGGGTGCACGTTCATCTCTAGCCTAAGACATGCTGACCAAAGCCGCAAGCAGTCTCCATGTCGTTGTTGTTGATGATGTTGTTGTTGTTTAGTCGTTTAGTCGTGTCTGACTCTTCGTGACACCATGGACCAGAGCACGCCAGGCACTCCTGTCTTCCACTGCCTCCCGCAGTTTGGTCAAACTCATGCTGGTAGCTTCGAGAACACTGTCCAGCCATCTTGTCCTCTGCCGTCCCCTTCTCCTTGTGCCCTCCATCTTTCCCAACATCAGGGTCTTCTCCAAGGAGTTTTCTCTTCTCATGAGGTGGCCAAAGTATTGGAGCCTCAGCTTCAGGATCTGTCCTTCCAGTGAGCACTCAGGGCTGATTTCCTTAAGAATGGAGAGGTTTGATCTTCTTGCAGTCCCTGGGACTCTCAAGAGTCTCCTCCAGCACCAGAATTGAAAAGCATCAATTCTTTGGCGATCAGCCTTCTTTATGGTCCAGCTCTCACTTCCATACATCACTACTGGGAAAACCATAGCTTTAACTATACGGACCTTTGTTGGCAAGGTGATGTCAAGGTGATGTTGTTGTTGATACCATGTACCTATTGCTGTTTGTCTATTCCTCAGAGATCCCTCAGAAAGTTCTCATAGACAGAGACGTTCGCCTAGTCCAGAAGAACAGTCTGGTAGTAATTCTTCTCCTTCAAGAGAATATTCTCCTACCACAAGGAGAAGGCAGACATCTTGGGCTCCAGCTAAATCCAGCAGCCATAAGCATTCCATTTCGCCATCTTGCAGGTAGAATAATTACTTACATAGATATGTTTGTTGAAATACCGAACTTGTGTAGCCCAAGATACTCTGATTACTGAAAATGGGACACTTTTACATCTACTAAACCTGGGACATGTTTACCTTTTACTGACCAAGCCACCAAACAGATTGGAATCCTGGGGCTTAGGCGTTCCACCGCTTTTTCACATATTTGATTTAAATTTCAACCGGGGGATTGTGGGGAAATCCTGTGGCAACGAGGGACATACATCTCTGCTTGCAGAGTGGTAGCTTTGTATAATAATGTGTGAATGTGCTTAGGATTGACTCACTCTTGATGATTGATATTAAAATTGATACCTATACACTGTCTAGAAACCTGAAATCTAGAAAAATTTCAGCCCTGGTTAACAGTCTAGAAATAACATATATGCATCTTCATATGTGGGATGTTAAATGTACAACAAAATGGTTGTTACACACAGTGTGTGGTACATTTGATACTCAAATGGCCCAAGACACCCCAATTTGCAGAAAAGCCTGAAAAAATGATATCTAAAAAGTTTTTGCTGCAACATGGGGTGTTGAAGGTCCTCTGTCCCCCTTCCTACAATAGCTAGTTAGGCTGCTTTCCATTGTTAGCTACAGTATTGGTTGGTGTGATTTGATACACACATGCTCAGTTTTGTTGCCAAAGGTATGCAAGTTCTGGCTGTGAACCCCCCAGGTGGTGAAACCATTTAGGATCTATACATAAGTTGTTTAGAGCTCTTGTGAGAAAAAGCCATGGGATTAGTACAACAATAATACCCTGAGACTTTTCAAACGCTTCTAAAAAGGTCAGAAAATGGAGCGTCATCTCTCCCGCTTAGACATTAACTGTACTCCATAAGTGTTATATTAACTCCATTCCAGATAGAAGTCTGCAATTTGTTTCTCATGTAGACTCATTGCTAGACAGAATTAAAAATACAGTGGTACCTCGGTTGTCGAATGTTATCCGTTCTGGAAGACCGGTCGACTTCCAAAACGTTCAACAATGGAGGCTGAATGGACAGTCCTCAGAATCCATTGAGAAAATGGAGAAACACGCCTCGGAAGCTGTTTGACTTCCAAGGCGCGTTCAAAAACGGAAGCAATTACTTCCGGATTTTCGGCATTCGAAAGCCGAAACATTCGGCTTCTGAGACGCTCAAAAACCGAGGTTCTACTGCAATCCCTATCTATACTTAGATAATGCAAGCTGTTTGAATGCATTAGCTGCGATTTTAGCAAGAAGCTAGTAGCTTAAAGTGATCAATCCTAAGTCTCTGCATTATTGGTCATGTTACTCAGGATCAAAGTAGAACATCACGTCTGAAATCATATTGTTACATACTATGGTTGTTTTTGGATCTCACATTGATGTTAATACATATTGCATAAAATGATTGTCAGAAAATTACTTGCCTTTCTGAGTCCGCAACATTACCATTTTGGTCGCAGTGTAAGCTAATTGCAAATTGACGGGCAGCATTGTTATGAAATTATATGTAAATATTATTTCGTGATCAGAGAGAAATATTTTGTAAATTTAGGCTAGCTGTATTGGATTCATTTTCATCAGTTGAAAAAATGTTGTACAGTGGTACCTCGGGTTAAGTACTTAATTCGTTCCGGAGGTCTGTTCCTAACCTGAAACTGTTCTTAACCTGAAGCACCACTTTAGCTAATGGAGCCACTGCACCGCTGGAGCACGATTTCTGTTCTCATCCTGAAGCAAAGTTCTTTACCCGAGGTATTATTTCTGGGTTAGCGGAGTCTGTAACCTGAAGTGTATGTAACCTGAGGTACCACTGTATAAGGCTCAGGATGTTCATTCCACAGATTTTTCCCCGATTTCTATGTCTGCAGGTCTGCCTCACCACCAACTCAGCACCATTCTCCTGTGTCCTCAAGACATCACTCTTCCTCATCTCAGTCAGGTTCTTCCATTCAGAGACGTTCTCCTTCGCCACGTCACAAAAGAACTCCTTCTCCCTCTTACAAAAGGACCGCTTCCCCACCAGTAGGCCGTTCCTCGTCTCCTTATCCTCACCGAACCTCACCTTCTCAGCAAAAACAGACCCCTTCAAGGCATCGTTCACCAGTCCGGGAGAGAAGCCGGCATGATCGTGAACGGATTTCACAGTCGCACGATCGTGAACGGATTTCACAGTCACATGATCGACGCCACGAAAGGAGGGATGGTATGAATAGGGATAAGAATAAAAGCAAACTTTTTATTTGTAGTTTGTAAGAACAATTTTTTTAAGTTACAAGAGGCCAGGCATTTCTCCCAAGAGTTGTTAAACTCAAATATTGCATTGCTGGCTGCTGTATTAACTACAAAAGACAGCATTACTAGCATCATCAAGCTTATTGAGAATAAAGTTAATGGGGTTGTTGATCTAACTCCTGTCCCGGGAGTTAATAATAAACCATTAGTAAATCTTTTAGAATAAAAGAGCTTACTGAGGAAGAAAACGAATATGCTGCTGCAAAGGGAAGTTACTGCTCATCACATTTCTAGAATTATTTGAGGGTGTTATCAATCATGTGATCAGTGAACATTTTATACCCTGATTTTTCAAAAGCCTTTGGCAACTCTTGCCTATGCAAAAACGCCTGTGGAAATTCAGTAGGAATGCCATAAATGGAAAGCACTTTTTTATTATTGATAACTGGTTAAAGATAGGAGGCTGATGGGTCTAAATTAGTCACATTGGTGAAAGCCTGAGCAGATTCAGAATGACTTCTCTGAAGTGGCAGAAGAGTAGAATGGCAGAAGAGAAGCAGGATGAGTGCAAAATGATAAAACAAAAACTTTGTACAAATCAGCAATCTTTGGAAACCATAATGTAAAACTGCTGTGAGCAGAGCTCAGTGTGTTGCAGGATTAGGGAGATGGAATGCAGTATTCTTTGTTTTTAAGTTTGTTTAAAATGTGTTTTGCCACAACAGCTTGATTGATTGCATTAGACATATATCAGGCTTTGCCTGGAGTATTGAACAAAATACACATTAGCCCCCTCCAAAAGAGAGGGAGAGAATTTGTGTGACTTTTCGTTTAAGGCTTTGGATGGGGACCACCATCACCCTTTAAAAATGTCACTCTGCTTCCAGCGTTTCTTGTAGTTTTAATAGATTGCAGTTTGATATGAGGACTGTTTGTGCAATTGACTGTTCAACTGCAGGTGTGCTAAATTCACTTTCAGAGACGAGAGGAAAAAGGGGAAGAGAGCGAGACACTCAAGAGGAACGTGACTACGACCAAGAACAGAGCACTCCCCGCGATCACAGAGACGATCGAGAATCGAGGGATGGGCGGGACGGGCGGGATCGAAGAGAAACCAGGGATAACAGAGACCGTAGGGATTTAAGAGAATCTCGAGACACCCGGGACTCGCGGGACACAAGGGGCTGTAGCAGAGACAATAAAGAAGGCCGCGATCAGAGGGACCTGCGTTCTGCACGGGACACCCATGACTACAGAGACCGCGAGTGCCGAGACTCCCATAAAAAGGAAGAACAGTATTTGGAGGAATCACGCAGCTATGGAAGAACCCATGGCAGAGAAGAGAGCTCTCGTTCCGAAACGAGGACAGACTCGAGAAGCGAGAGCAGAAATGAATCTAGAACTTCTGGAAGAAGTAGAGGAAGAGGACCTGAATTATCGGACAAAGGTATAATGAAATGCTGGGTTTTTGTTGCATGATTCAGAGGCAAATTTCATTAAAGTTGAACTGTTTTCCTTCACTAAATCTCCTTTCACCATTAAAATCCTGTCGGCCTTCTGCCCCACTTACGAACTACAGACACCATCCTGTTTAATTTATCCGCAACTATGTGGGTATTCCAAAGAGTTATAAAATACTAAGGAGCAGATGGGTAATGGGAAGGTAGAAATCCACTTGATTGTTGCCTTTTTAATAAGCATTTTCTTTTACGTGTTAAGAGATCTAATGTTAGACTGTATTTTTCTACATCGCCACTCCGATCCCTTCCACCTCTGCTTCACATGATTGCCCCAGATTTCTTACCCAGCAGGTAAACTATCAAGTTTAGGGGATACAATTTTAATTCACCAGTGTACCTACTGAGAAAATAAAAGTCTGGTAGTGAAACTCAACAAGGTTGTCTCACTTGTGCAGCAGACTTCCGCTCATGTAAATAGGCTTGCTCTGTCATCTCCTCCCTCCTCTCCTGTCCCGGACTCCAGATCCATTTCAGAGGGTTGCAAGACACTGCAGCATATTTAGAGAGTCACAGGAGGCTACAGTGCAAAGGAGAGGAAGGGGAAGTAATTGCTGAGTCCGCCGGCACAACACTGGCTCTCCCCATACAGTGGTGCCCCGCAAGACGAATGCCTCGCAAGACGAAAAACCCACTAGACGAAAGGGTTTTCTGTTTTTTGATGCGCTTCGCAGGACGAATTTCCCTATGGGCTTGCTTCGCAAGACGAAAATGTCTTGTGAGTCTTGAGATTTTTTTCGCTCCCCCCCCTTTTTTCTAAGCCGCTAATAGCCTTTTAGCCGCTAAGCCGCTAAGCCTTTAATAGCCGCTAAACCGCTAATAGCGCTAATCCGCCAAGCCGCTAATAGGGTTGCTTTGCAAGACGAAAAAACCGCTAGACGAAGAGACTCGCGGAACGGATTAATTTTGTCTTGCGAGGCACCACTGTACATGTATTTTTAAGTCAAAACGAATTACAAACATTTTTAGATTATAAAAAAGGTTTTGGCGATCCTGTAACCGTTCAGCATGGCAGCAGGCCACCTCCCTGTGCTTTTCTACATGTCTGTTTTCATTAGGTAGTCGAGGAGCAAGGGGCTCTCAGGTCGACAGCCACAACACCAGCAGCAGCTACCACGACAGCTGGGAATCTCGGAGCAGTTATCCCGACAGGGATCGCTACGAAAACCGTGAGCACACGAGGGATTCTTCCTTTGAAAGAAGGCATGGGGAAAGGGACAAGCGCGACAACAGAGAGAGAGGTAGGTACTGTTTATACTTTATCAGTAAGTAGCTGAAGCAGAACAGTTTCCCAAGGACAGTTATGCAGCGGGGAGAGTGACTGTTAACAATTGAATAAAGAGGGAAATGGGCTCCCTGCATGAAAGAAACGCAGGTAGAAAGCGTCTCCCCAGGGTGAGAGGCTGAGAGAAGAAGTAGGCTCCCAGGTGGAAGAGTCTATCACCTCTGTATAATAATAATAATAATAATAATAATAATAATAATAATAATAATAATAATAATTTATACCCCGCCCTCCCCAGCCAAGGCCGTGCTAACAAGCAATAATAAAAACAAGTTGAATGAATACAACTTAAAAACAAGATTAAAATACAACATTAAAATATTGAAACATTAAAATATTAAAATGCATCACAGGAGGAGAAAGGAAAAAGAAAAAAGAAGGAGGGGGAGGGAATCAAATTGGCTCCAAGCCAAAGGCCAGGCAGAACAATTTTGTCTTACGGGCCCTGCGGAAAGAAATCAGATCCTGCAGGGCCCTGGTCTCATGAGGCAGAGCGTTCCACCAGGCTGGAGCCAGTATTGAAAAGGCCCTGGCTCTGGTTGAGGCTAATCTAACTTCCTTAGGGCCCGGGACCTCTAGGGTGTTGCTATTTATGGACCTTGAGGCTCTCCGTGGAGCATACCGGGAGAGGCGGTCCCGTAGGTATGAGGGTCCTAGACCGTGAAGGGATAAATGTGGATAAATGACAGGGTATACATGATAGAAATATGCTGAAGGGCCTTACAAGTATTTTTTTCCTCTTTCCTCTTGCTTTTTTATCTTTTGGCTTTTTAAATATTCTTATTCTGTAGATTAGTTTGATTTTTACTGTATTTTATCTTGAAAATTGTTATTAAACTTTTTTTGGGGGGGGAGGAAGGAAATGGACTGACTGGTCCTGCTACTTCAGCAAACATATTAGTTGTTAACTAGTTTGGTAACTTGGGCCAATATTAGAAGCCCAAAGTATTAGAAGCACCACCATTTGGCTGATCAGTGGTGCCTGCAAATCCAGTGTCAGGTGTAGGGTAGATGTAGGGCGGTTTGGCTTGGCCAAAGTGCCCTTATGTGACCAGTGGGGAAGCCTGCCAGACTCATGGGCTGGAGGTTCCCTTCTGCAGGAATACACAAATAATTAGCGGGATGTTGAAGTCTGTCTGTTTATGCAGGGAAACGAAACCTGTTTTATCATTTCAGATCCGAGACCAAGCTCGCCAGTACGACACCAGGGAAGGAACGATGACGTCGAACGTGATGAAAGATTAGAAGAGCGAAGGGGAGATAGGGGTGAAGACCGAAGAGATGAAAGACAGAGGGAGAGGGAGAGAGAGCGTGAACGCGAGCGAGAAAGGGAGCGCGAGAGAGAAGCTGAACGTGAACGTGCCCGTGAGCGAGAACGCGAGAGAGAAAGGGATAATAAAGACAGGGAACGGGACAGGGATCACGACAGAGAAAGGGAGAGGGAGAGGGAAAGAGAGAGGGAGCGAGAACGGGAGCGAGAAAGGGAACGAGAGCGTGAACGAGAACGAGAGAGAGGGCGTGAAAGAGAGAAGGAAAGGGAGCGCCAGAGAGAGTGGGAGGACAAGGAGAGAGGAAGAGAAGAACGCAGAGACAAAAGAGAAGACATCCGGGAAGAAAGGGCCACACGAGATAGCCGCGAAGAGAGGAAGTCAAAGTAAGTTTGGTTTTTAAAAGAAAATGAACTGATATTTAGAATGGCCAGTTTGGCAGCACCAGACGGCAAAAGGACTAAATGCCTCTATGGTTAGGCCTGCAAAAGGATAATTGATTGGGGATACATTGAAGGTTCATATGCCATATGGTTAAAAAAAATTTTTTTTAAAGAAGACACTTTACTGATCCCTTGTAAAAATTTTATCTCATAGAATGGTATAGTTGGAAGGGACCCCCATAGGTCATGTAGTGCAATTCGCTGCAATTTGTTACAGTTCTGTTTGTTTTTATGGTGAAAGATGAGAGATTTCTTAGAAGTGCATTAAATTTGATTGTGTTTTTTTGGCCTGATATAGAAAACGTCACAGAAATGAAAGTAGCCCCAGCCCTCGTAAATCACCTAAGCGCCGCCGTGAGCATTCACCTGATAGCGATGCCTATAACAGTGGAGAAGATCAGAGTAAGTGAGAGCATGCAGTCCCCATGCTAGATGCAGATTAGAAGTAACTGCTTTCATTTCGCAAGCTGAGATAGCAAAGGATGACTTAAAAGTATATGCCTTTGTATGTCTGTAAGTATTTTATTGCTGAGTTGTATGTGCAAGGCTATCATTCTTGCAGAGATTTGCTTTCTTAAGTGAAGCATTTATCTTGCATTTTACATTTCAAAGTCCATCCTATTTCTAATACTTACCTTCCCCTGCCCATTTTTGAGGCACTTTACCATGATCATAAAGATGTGAAAATGTCAGAGCTTTTGCAGATTAGCTAAAAACATGAGTGGAACGTGAAAAAACAATGAAGGCTGAGTTAATTAACAGTGGCGACTAACATGTCAGTCTGCAAGTTCTCCTTGACTGTTGGCTGTGCGAGCACAAAACTCCAAAAATTAGAACTTAATCTAATTTACCATGTTTCATGTACTTGTATTTAGTAAACAAAGCTAATAATTTTGAAACTGCCAGACTTTCCTCATGCTGTAATTGAAATTGTTATCCATTCTTTGCGGATTAGCTTATGAAACAGGAAATGTTCTGGTTTAAAAAGTCGGAAACATTTTCACCAAAAGTACATCACTGATGTTAAATGTGCAGTCTGGCCAAAGATATTCTAGAGTATCCTTCTTTACTTTAAGGTGGTATTTATAGGATAAGGAAACGGAGTATATGTATTGATGGCGGTTTTCTTATGAGCATCTTTCATGTCAAATGTGCTTGTGGTTGTTATTTTTTAAAAAATGGGCATTTAAAAATGTAACCGGCAACGGACGTACAAGGAATTGTGTCCCTTAATGTTGGATATGTGCAGGCCACTTAGTTGTGACCTAAGCGAGACAATCAGATGTAAGGACCTGTTGAGAAAAGAAGTGTCATGACATATTTTTCATCTTTCACAGACGAAAAACGCAGATTACTGAGCCAGGTTGTTCGACCTCAGGAATCGCGCTCACTTAGTCCTATGCACCTTTCAGAAGACAAGCAGAGCCGGTGGAAAGACAGCGACCGAAAGCCGGAGAGAAAGGACAGCTCCAGACACTATGAGGAAAGTGATTTCAAGGAGCGGAGTTCCTCTTCTGGGGACAAACAGCGAGAGCAGCGGGAGACCAACGAAAGTTCAAGGAGCCGTGTGCAAGAAAACATAAGCAACCGGGCTTCTGAAGAACGAGAGGCTGCTGACCATGCGCACGAAGATAAGAAAAAAGTTAAAATACAGAAGAAGGCCACGAAGAAGAAGAAAGAAGATGACGTTGCGCTGGAGCGCTTTGTTAGCGAGCCTGCTCCAGAGAAAGCCCAGGTCTTTTCTCCCAAGAAAGCGCAGAAAAAGAAGAGCACTGAAAAGAAGCGCAAAAGATCTAAAGGAGATTCTGAGGCTTCTGATGAGGACAGCGGCCCACACCAGAAAAAGAAAAAAGGCCCAAGGACACCACCGGTAACCACCAGAGAGGAGCTGGTGGAAGCAGTGCCTGAGAAATCTGTGGTCGTAGAAGCTGCGCCCAAGAGAGAGGACACAACGTTTAGCGACTGGTCGGATGAGGACGTTCCAGAGCGTGGGGAAAGTATTCTGGAGAGAAGTTCTGAGGAGCCCCACAGAACTAGCCATCGCGCAAGGACTGAAGCCGTGGAGCCTCCTCACGTGGTTGAGGAGCCCCCTCACCATAAACCTACGGAAGAGAAGAGAAGCAGCAGTCTTTGTAGCAATCGGAGCCGTACCTCCAGTCGACTTCGCTCGCCCTCCAATGATTCTGCACATCGTAGCGGAGATGACCAGACCGGCCTTAAGAAGATCCTGCATAGCAGCGCCGGCGACAGAGAGAGAGAGAGGAGGTGTCTAGAAATTGCCGGAGAGCGCAAGTCGAGAATTGATCAACTAAAACGAGGGGTTCCCAGCCGCAGCACCTCTTCAGGTAGTTCCACTTGTGTTCTTTGCTTGCACAAGCTGCCTCTGCCCGCTTTTTCCTCAGATTCTCATAATACCTCAGACCTTTGCTAGGGAGAGGCTGCAATGGGGAGAGGATCAGGAAAGTTGCTGGCTTCCGCTTACCCAAGTGTTGTCTGCATTTCATAATCTTTAGCCTCATAAAACAATTCCCTTTCATTGTTTGAAGGTTGGTTGTTGGTTTATGATTTTCCTGATGCGACGCCCTCTTTAAGTTTTGAAATTGATTTGTAGACTTCGTTATTGTCTTCATGAATTGCGTGAATTTGGACTCAAGAAGCTCCCGTGGCGGCTTTCAGTTTAAAATGGCATCATAAAACAATAAACAAACCATGATGCCTTTTCTAACCGTGGAACATCTTTAGATGTTCAATGGCAACTGCTTAGATCCTTAGTAGCGTCACCTTTGCCTGTATTCTAAGGCGGTACTATCACAAATAGATTCTGCCCTTGCTGGTTGGGGATAAATATTTCATTTTGACAAAAATGTGGGAAGGTGTAAAGGTGCATCTTCAGAGCAGAAGCATCCAAACTTTCTGCTTTCCAGGAACCCTTCCCAGATTGAGTCATTTGCTGAGGGAGTTTTTCCTGTCTGCCAAAGAAACAGTGAATTGTAGGGGTGGGGGTCTGGGCACATAGGATCATACCCTAGTTTGTAAAGCAGCACTTAAACCGCAGTTTCCTAGCGTGGACATCAGGGGAAACCGTGTTCTAACAAACCAGAATATCACCTTCAAAGGGGAAGAGCAAGAAGAGAGCTGGCGGAACATGGCGTATTCTCAGCCAAGCTCTGTTAGGTGTGTAGTCCATGTACAACACAGTCATGCATCTGCTTAACACTTTTATCCAGATCGACAGGATTCAAGGAGCCACAGTTCCAGGCGAAGTTCTCCTGAATCAGATCGTCAAGGTCATTCCAGATCTGGGTCCTTTGACAGCAGGGAAAGGGTGCAGGAGAGAGACAGGCATGAGCACGATCGTGAACGGGACCGACGAGAGGCGAGGCAGAGAGACTGGGACCGAGATACAGCCAAAGACTGGCTAAGGAACAGAGAGCGGGACAGAATTCGCGAACGAGAGAGACAGCGGGAAAAGCGAAGGGATACAGATCGTGAGAAGGAGAGGCTACTCCTGGAGAATCCTGAGAGAGATCGAGGTGCCAATATTTCCTCTCAAGCAGAGTTGTCCAAGCACAGTGAAACAAAACCGGGCAAGGAGCATCCAGAATTTGAGATGATCTATTTGGACTCTACCTCCCTCGAGAAGGAAAGGCTAGATAAAGACTTGGGACCTTTGCAAGGATTCGAAGATGGGGTTGAAGCTGAGAAAGTGGAACATTTAGAAGGTGATGTATTATCGGTCTGTTTTTGCTGTCCAAATACCTGAATGAATCTTCTTGATGGAGAATCGAGTGTTTCATCATCTTCTTGTTTGAGGGTTCTGATCTTGGGTCCAATTCACAACACCATCTCAGCAGTGTAGCCAGAGCCCTGAACAGTATAGATGCCTCTAGAAGAGTCTGTTTGACTCTTCTTCCATGATCTCCAATGCAAATCATTCTCATTCATATTCTCTCTCTCTCTCTCTCTCTCTCTCTCTCTCACACACACACACACACACACACACACACAGACACAGTTGCTCTAATATGATTGGGGAGGGACATGGGCATTATCTGCATCCTCTGTGCCCTGCCTCCTAGAGCCAATTGCAGTGAGGAGTTTATGCCAAGGGAAAGAGACAGGAGGAAAAGGTTGCAACATATTTCTCTTCAAACACTGTTTCCCTGCTAACAAGAACAGTAAGGTAAAGGTAAAGGGACCCCTGACCATTGGGTCCTGTCGTGACCAACTCTGGGGTTGCGGTGCTCATCTCGCTTTATTGGCCGAGGGAGCCGGCGTACAGCTTCCGAGTCATGTGGCTAGCATGACTAAGCTGCTTCTGGCAAACCAGAGCAGCGCACGGAAATGCCATTTACCTTCCCGCCAGAGTGGTACTTATTTATCTACTTGCACTTTGACGTGCTTTCGAACTGCTAAGTTAGCAGGAGCAGGGACCAAACAACGGAAGCTCACCCCGTCGTGCGGATTCAAACCGCCGACCTTCTGATCGGCAAGTCCTAGGCTCTGTGGTTTAATCCACAGCGCCACCTGCGTCCCTAACAAGAACAGTAGGAGATCCTAATCTCACCTCCTGCAGCATGTTCAGTTGGCACTTAAAATGACAACAAAGATGTGTATTTAGTATGGAAAGTTTCTTGTTAAAACTCTTACCCAAATAGGTTTTAAAAAGTCTTCCCAAATATAATATGCAGCTCACATTTGGTTTGGATCCAAAAACTGCTATGTGCTCACACCGAGGGGTGATCTCTGGTTTTTGCCCTTTGTGCTTCAGCCACCCACATCCCATGCCATTTCAAAGAGGGGCCCAAGACTCTGGAGCATTTTGTGGGGGTGGGTAGAGAGAGATAGGCAGCTTTAGTGGGATCACTTTTCTATAAATTGAACTGGACTCTCAGATGTTAGAATCCAAGCCATGGAAGGTCTGCATTTCATTGATGTTGGTATAGGTGAGCTTGAAAGTTCAAATAGATATCTTTTGGCACTGTTCTTCTGTAGGTGGAGATGATGAAGTCAAAATAGATGATATGCAGTCAATGGGATCCGGTGCCGGAGAATATGAACCAATTAGTGATGATGAACTGGATGAAATTTTGGCTGGTGATGCTGAAAAGAGGGAGGACCAACAGGACGAGGAGAAGATGCCAGGTGAGTTTTAGCAATCCCTTTTATGTCAGGCCTGTGTGAATTGAAATAAATTCAGCCCTTTTGTTTTATGCCTGCACAGCTTCTGTGTATAGATAATCTGTACTCTGCAACCTGCCTAATTTATACACATTAAATGAGTGGCCTTCATTTTGTGATTTTGCTTAATTCCACTTCTGTTAGTCACGGGAAAGGGGAGAGAAATTTTCCTGTTCTCTTAAGTTTTGTATCCCATCCAAATAACAGAATAACATATCAGTTTCTGGTTTGTAAACAGCTCTTAAAGTACAGCTTCCTGGTCCAAATCATGGGAAACCATAGTTTTAAGAAGTCATGACTTCAGCACCAAAGCTGGGAACATGATGGGAGGGGAAAGGAAAGGAGCCGTTGTGGCGTAGAGGTTAGAGTATTGGACTAGGACCTTTAAGAGCAAGGTTTGAATCCCCACTCAGCCATGAAGCTCACTGGGTGACTTTGATCCAGTGACCATCTCCTACCTCATAGGGTGGTTGCGAGGATCAAATGTGGAGAACCATATGACCACCTTGAGATCCTTGGAAGGTAAAGCTGGTGTATGAATGTAATGAATAAATATGGATGCAGGACTTGTTCCCAGTCTAATAAACCATCATTGGTTGCGATGTCTGAACCCAGCCACATCCCACTTGAGCCAGTCACCGCCTCGCCTCCTAATCTGCATCACAGGGTTGCTGTAGAGATGATGAGGGGTAAAACTCTGTATGCCACCTTGAGCTCCTTTGAGAAAAGATGGGATATAAATGCAACCAATAAGATAATAAGAAATAGGCTTAATAGCCAAGTGACTTGGAAAGAGTTAAAAATGTGCCATGATATTTTTTTAAAACCCCAAACTTTACTGTTTAACTTCTGTCCAATTATTAAGTCTTGCCAGGGCCAGAATAAAGGAAAGTCTCTCTCAATGTTTCTCATCAAGGAAGAAACTCAAGAGATTCCTCTCTTCTCCTCTTCCATCCCCCTTTGCTAGAGAGTAGCTGGCAACTGTCACTTACCATATTTTTCGCTCCATAAGACGCATCTAGTTTTTAGAGGAGGAAAGTGGGAAAGCCCTGTTTTTTGGGGGAGCAGCTCACAGTTGTGCAGCTTCTTTTGCAAAGGCGAAAAGCCCATTTTTTGAGGATCAGCTCAAAGTTGTTGAGCTTCCTTTGCAAAGGGAAAAAAATCCTGTTTTTATGGGGTTCAACTCACAGTTCTGCAGGTTCTTTAGGAAAGGAAAGGGAGCTGTTTCTATAGTTTCCAGGCAGATAATCTAATCAACCAGTCACATGTCACTGGGGAAACAAACAGCCTCTGCCTGCAAGACATTCAGCAATGGAGGCGGCCGGGGCCAGAAAGGGAGCCAGCGATCGACCACACATTCGCTCCATAAGACGCACAGACATTCCCCCTTCCTTTTTAGGAGGAAAAAAGTGTGTCTTATGGAGCGAAAAATACGGTAGTTTATTCAGAAATAGATGTCCTGTGAATTCCAGATTTCTAGCCATTTAAATGACTGTGGTATCCATTGTATGGTAATAAGTGAGAGACCATAATTTTTTTCAGCTCTGCCTTATATGTACTGTTGAGCGGAGGAATAACTTCTTTTTCGTGTGTGTTTCCAGATCCTGTGGATGTAATAGATGTAGACTGGTCTAGTCTAATGCCAAAGCAGCCCAAAGAGCCGCGAGAGCCCGGAGCTGCTCTTCTGAAATTTACTCCCGGCGCTGTTATGTTGAGAGTCGGCATTTCCAAACAACTCGCCGGCCCTTCACTCTTCACCAAAATTAAAGAAACATGCCAGAGAACAATAGAGAAGCCTAAAGGTAAAAATTGGCTTGCTGGATGTGTCCAAATGAAGCTAGAAAAACATCCAAGGATTTTGTTAGTTTTGTATAGTTAAAGGTAAAGGGACCCCTGACCATTAGGTCCAGTCGTGACTGACTCTGGGGTTGCGGCGCTCATCTCGCTTTATTGGCTGAGGGAGCCGGTGTACAGCTTCCGGGTCATGTGGCCAGCATGACTAAGCCGCCTCTGGCGAACCAGGGCAGCGCATGGAAACACCGTTTACCTTCCCGTTGGAGTGGTACCTATTTACCTACTTGCACTTTGATGTGCTTTCAAGCTGCTAGGTTGGCAGAAGCAGGGACCAAACAACGGGAGCTCACCCCGTCGCAGGGATTCGAACCGCCGACCTTCTGATCGGCAAGCCCTAGGCTCTGTGGTTTAACCCACAGCGCCACCCGCGCCCTTAGTTCTGTATAGGCTGTATCAAATCAGCTGTTTGAAATAAGTATGACGTGCGTAAGGGGATTTGTGTATGTGTTGCTGCTCTGTTGAAATATTGAAATGTTGCACACAAACCATCCAAGATCCTTGTAAGCGATATGGAAGGTAATATTTACTCTCACTATAAAGTATCCCCAAGTGCAACACTTTAATTTTCTGCATAGGAGTGAAAAGCCACCGTTCACTTAGCTGAGGGGGAAATAAAGGATCAGAGAAACTCTTGGGGCGTGGGCCACTCATAAGTTACCGTGGTCTCCTGATGACCCTAGTAATCAAATTTGGTGCTCCATCATTCACTTTAGTTACACACACTCTTCTCTTGACATAGTACAGCTGTATATTGGTGTCTTATCCATCATTTTACCAACGTTTCCTTAATATTATATTCTTTATGTTGCTTTTCTGTAGATGCCGAGAACTTATTTGAGCATGAATTTGGCGCCCTGAACATGGCTGCCCTGCTGCGAAAGGAAGAGCGATCTGGCCTGCTGTGTAATCTTGGTCCCTGTTGCAAGGCCCTGTGCTTTAGGAGAGACTCCGCAATCCGCAAGCAGCTAGTCAAAAATGAAAAGGCAAGTGCACCTAACAGGCCACTGCATCACAAACACATTTTAAACACTCAGTAATTGCAAAGCGACTTGATCTTTTAACTTTGAGACTTGTTTCTATGGAATCATCTTTATATGCTTCTAAACCAACCTGACGCACCCTCCCCTTGTTTCGTAAGCCACCTAAGTTAGGTTTCTTCTGCAAATAGGTTGGTACTTGTCCATATACCATTTTTTTCCCTTTTAAAAAGTGGCAGAAATTTACTGTATTTTTTGCTCTATAAGACTCACTTTTTCCCTCCTAAAAAGTAAGGGGAAATGTGTGTGCGCAGCTGTCCCAGAAGCCAGAACAGCAAGAGGGATCGCTGCTTTCACTGCGCAGCGATCCCTCTTTCTGTTCTGGCTTCTGGGATTCAGAATATTTTTTTTCTTGTTTTCCTCCTCCAAAAACTGGGCGCGTCTTATGGTCTGGTGCGTCTTATAGAGCAAAAAATATGGTAATTGATGACTGAACACTAGAGGCTTTTAAGACCTGATGACTTCTCACTTTTGTGGCTGTTTTGAGATGCTCTTCTCCCCTGAAATAATTCTAGATACCTGTGGAAATTAACATTTTCCAGACATACTGCTAAATGTTCTTCCAATAAACCAGGCACTGTTCATTAGCACTAGTTGTGTAGCATCTTTAAGTTCATAGAGTGACAGTGTCTGAACCCACCATGCAGCTGTGACTAACTTGGCAATTGTTCTCCATTCTCCAACAGGGCACAACCAAACAAACGTACACAAATCCTCCAGTGGTAGACAACGAGTTACTGCGGTTGAGTCTACGGTTGTTTAAACGCAAGACTGTTCGCCAAGTTTCTGGACAAGAAAAGACAGAGGACACTAAGCTTCCACAACCGTATATCCCAGAAATCTGCATGTCCTGAGCTGGTCGGTGTCTCTGGCCTTTTCACTGTTTGATAATAGTTGATGTTTCCATCTTTATTCCTGTGAAGAAGTATGTTTGTGCTAGAAGAGGAAAACACTTTCCATACGTACAGTGTGCATTATGAGATGGGATAACAAAGAAGGTTGTTTGTACAACAGTTCGAAGACCTTTCTGTTTGGTTCACTGCATGTTTTTAGTACATCTAACAACAGATCTTATTTAAGAACTCACTTGTATTTAAGTGTGTGAAGATGTCCATTTTTGGAGACTTGTTTTGTCACCTGCTATTAAATTTTTAAGAAAAAACGAGATTTTTTAAAAAGGCTTGTGTACAAAGTTTCTTCTGCAAAATTTTCTTATCAATGAGGTTTTTTACATTTAGTGCAAAGCTCGTTTAGTCTGTGGCATTCATGTCAAAAATACAACCACATAAAGTCTTGTTTTCTCAATGTGTGAACATTGTACTGTTACCTTCATTTTTGGCTAGCATAATTTACCTTCAGCAACACAGAAGCTAATAATGTGGTAGCTCTTTTTACAGATGAATGTGTTGCTTTTATAACCATTGCTTCCGTCTTCCACTTCCCCAACCAAAGGTAAATTGTTTGCTTGGCTAGTAGGAGAAACACCTGTTCCAGGGAACAAGGGTTGAGTAAGAAATAACCCCTTGCTTCAGAATACTCAAAGTACAATGTAGATTAACCTGAGAATAACAATTCCCATATAATGAAATTAGTTTATATACTAAAAATATAGAAATACATCTCCGCAAAACAGTCTAAAAGGGAGAACCCTGTTCTACTGAAGTGAATGGAAACATTCAGAATGATTAAATGGGATCAAGGGTGCAGTACAAATGTAACCTCCCTTGTGGGGTTTAAGTTAAATCACACAGAGTTGTTGCTTATGACTACGTCTCCCTATTTTGCTGGCTGAAGTGCTGATGTTTTAGGTTTTAGCAGTACATACCGACATGGGGATGCGGGTGGCGCTGTGGGTTAAACCACAGAGCCTAGGACTTTCCGATCAGAAGGTCGGCGGTTCGAATCCCCACGACGGGGTGAGCTCCCGTTTCTTGGTCCCTGCTTCTGCCAACCTAGCAGTTCGAAAGCACATCAAAGTGCAAGTAGATAAATAGGTACCGCTCCGGCGGGAAGGTAAACGGCATTTCCGTGCACTGCTCTGGTTCACCAGAAGCGGTTTAGTCATGCTGGCCACAAAAACTGACTGTGGACAAACGCCAGCTCCCTCGGCCTATAAAGCAAGATGAGCGCTGCAACCCCAGAGTTGGCCACAACTGGACCTAATGGTCAGGGGTCCCTTTACCTTTACCTTTACCAACATTATATGATTGCCATACAATGGATGGAACCAGTTTTGTGCCAAAAAGGGCATAGTGTAATGCAAGTGAGCTTCAGGGAACAAAGCCCATAAACTTCTTCATTTTACACCTGCATATCCTCAGAGTTGTCTTTTGATGTAATATAAAAACTGCCTTGCTGCACAAGATGAGGATCAAAGAATTGTACACTTGGAAGAGACCTTGAGGGTCATCGAGTCCAACCCTCTGCAATGCAGGAATCTCAGCTAAAGCATCTATGATGGATGACCATCCAACCTCTGCTTAAAAACCACCAGCTTCCAAGGGAATCTATTCCACTATTGAACAGCTCTTACCATCTAACCCAGTGTTCTATTTCCAGTAGTGGCTGGCCAGAAGACTGGATGTTTCCAAAGAGAACATAGCGGTGATTCATTCTTGGTCACATGCCTCTACATGGAGATTACATTTAGCTATCTTCTATGAATGTGCTATGAATAGCAATATACATGCTATTAACGCATTTCCAGATTGGCATCTTCTAACGTTTTTCCTTGGAGAATGGGCATTTGGAACCTGACAGTTTGTCTTCTGGTTGATTTATAAAGCCATGTGGAGAAGTTAACAAGTACTAGGCATGCTATTAGTATTGCAATAAAAGACAGGATAAGTACATGGTCAGAGTTTAATTTTCACTGAAATGAGAATACCAAGCAACTTGAATTAGGCTGCCCTATGGGCCAGGTAAGTTAGCTGATACTATACTGTGTGGCGCCAAATTGAATACAGGGGGTTTCACATGTTTTTAATAACATGATCAGCTATTACTTTGACTCCAGTAAGCGCTTCAGAGCAAGTTGGTTTAATTAAACTCTGAGGAAGCAAAAATCCATATGTTCCTCTGTCCCGAAGCTCAAAAGTGAAAGAATACTTTATACCAAGGTCATAAGCCCAGTCGTCTGAACCTCCTGGAGCTAAATCTGTGGAAAGAAGCCAGAAATACTTATTATTCATGTCCTGTTCACAAAGATACTAAAATCTTTACGTTCTTACTGTAGCATTTTAGGTACTTACAGATTGTTTGTGCACCAGGGCCTGCAACATAGCGGTTTCTATGTTTACTTTTAATGGTATTGGCTACGTTGCTTGCCAGAAGTTGCTAAAAAAAAAGGAAGAAAAGAAGTTAATTAGCCTAAGGAAAAAACCTTAATTGCACTAATTTATGTACATTTATGTTTAAGCTCCAGACATAGTTAAGACACTTACACAAGCAGATATACAGCGATGTGGCTAAGCCAAGGATTCTAAAGCATTCACACAGTTGTAACACAAGAAAAAATATCTGACCCTTCTTTAGTGCACAGTTTGAAAATAAAGTAAAATAGGAGAAGCAAACTTAGGAAAAAAATGCTCTAGGAAAACTTGCATAGAAATCTCAGTTCTATGTTATGTCATAATCATGCTGTTCTATTCTTGTCCCATTTATTGGCCATTATATATGCAGTAATATAAAAAGCTTCATTCTTTACTCTTTAAAATATGTGCTACAGAATTGGTGCACTCTGTTCTTGTGAGCATCTATCCACCCATCATCTCAATCAGTGCTTGCTTATATTGTGAAGGAAATAATGTTTTAGAACACAAAACCTTAAAGCCTAACAAGCAATTTATGTACACTTTCTTTTAGCTAAAAGGAAAAGAAACCTGACTAAATCAAAAGCCAGTACTGTTCAATGCTGCCAGGTTTGAAGAAAACAAAACAACATTAAATGTATTTGTTGTAAAAAAACCCAACACTTCCAGAATCCAGGATGAAGTCTCCTTAATTATACAGAGAAACACTCTTAGGCATGACATATACAAAAGCAATCTATATTTGCTTTATGTCAGTAAAGCCGTGTTAGCTAAGCAAGCAGATTTTAGCGATAGTGCTCTCTGCAAATCCTTGGAAGAACCTTTATATTACCATAAGGGCAGAGGCCAGCTGTAGTTAATTCTGCAAGATGTTTTTATAAGCAAGTTCAAGTTCCGTGCATTTGTAACCTGGTGATCCAATTTGCTTACCTTTCCAGAAAGCTTTTTATTTCCTCCTTTGGATTCTCAAGTGATCCACAACAAAATAAATGCTGACCATAAAAGCATTCAATCCAAATATTTGCTACTGGATCCCCCTAATTCCTTTTCATCCCATGGGTTGAGAAACTTCATGGTGGAAAGATAAACCAGCTCTCAGACTTCATTTGCTATAATTCTAGTTTTGCTAATCCGTGCAATTAAATGTTCCTGACCACTTCAATACTGAATATAAGGTATAATATTTTATTCATGTTTCCATAAATTAATTCTACTTGAATGTGGGGAAGTAGTAATTCTAGACAGGGTAGCCAATGGTTGTCGGTCAGATGTTGGACCTAGATCACCTAGATCAGGGTTTCCGAAACTTAGGTCTCCTGCTGTTTTTGGACTACAACTCCCATCATCCCTAGGTAGAAGGACCAGTGGTCAGGGATTATGGGAATTGTAGTCCTAAAACAGGTGGAGACCCCAGTTTGGGAAACACTGGCCTAGATTATCTCTCCTAGCCATACTCCATTCATTGCACAGTGTGGCTTAAAGCAGGGATCAGCAAACTTTTTCAGCAGGGGGCCGGTCCACTATCCCTCAGACCTTGTGGGGGGCCGGACTATTTTGGGGGGGGGGGGAATGAACAAATTCCTATGCCCCACAAATAACCCAGAGATGCATTTTAAATAAAAGGACACATTCTACTCATGTAAAAAAAACGCTGATTCCCGGACTGTCCATGGGCCAGATTTAGAAACCAGTTGGGCCGGATCCAGCCCCTGGGCCTTAATTTGCCTACCCCTGGCTTAAAGCTTCAATATGCCTACCTACCTATTTACACCCGTAGGAATAGTCTGGCGTTCTAGTCTTCCAAGAATTGAGCTTTTTCCAAAATACTATTTTACGTTGAATATTTTGTGCTTCACAAATGTGGTTCTGAGTCTTCAGTATCTCAAATAATGCACAGCACAGAATGGTCAGAGTCTCTCAGGTCCCTTAGTAAGAGTCGACAACCGGAATATAAAGCAGCTTTATCTATTCAGACACTCTGGCTCAATTCAGATGTAATGACAAACCATGACTTGTCCTTAGAATGAGTAACGTCACGTGCTGCCTCCACATGCAAGGGAAAGGACGCCAGAAGTTCCTGCCAGCTAATTTGCTATTTTGTCTGGAAACAGGAAAGTGGTTGGTTTTTAATCTAGGATCCCCAAACGATGGTTAATTCTGGTTTGTACGCAAACTATGGTTTGATGAAATGGGAAGCTAGATGGGAAGGAGGAGGGAGCACATGAAGATGCTCTCTGCTGCACCTTCTCATGATGTCAAATCCTTGTTTGGCGTTACATTTGAACCGAGCCTGTGAGTAGAAACTGCCAGCGTTTAGCAATTTATGAAGGAAATCTCTCTCTTGGGGGGTGGGGAATCCCAAGTTCAAAAACAGGACCATGACAGGTCTCTAAACGGGTAAAGGGACCCCTGACCATTAGGTCCAGTCGTGGCCGACTCTGGGGTTGCGGCGTTCATCTCACTTTATTGGCCGAGGGAGCCGGCGTACAGCTTCCGGGTCATGTGGCCAGCATGACTAAGCCACTTCTGGCGAACCAGAGCAGCGCACGGAAACGCCGTTTACCTTCCCGCCGGAGTGGTACCTATTTATCTACTTGCACTTTTTGTGCTTTCGAACTGCTAGGTTGGCAGGAGCAGGGACTGAGCAACGGGAGCTCACCCCGTCACAGAGATTCGAACCGCCGACCTTCTGATCGGCAAGTCCTAGGCTCAGTGGTTTAACCCACAGCGCCACCCGCGTCCTTGACAGGTCTCTAGGGCTACATAAAACGTGAATAGTAGGCTACTTACCATCTCATCATGATCTTTAGTTTTATTTCTTGTATAAGAATATGGAAACAGAACCATCTGGGAGTAAGAGTGCATTGTTATATATGCCTTAATATGATTCTTATGCTTCCTGAGAAAATTAGCCACAGCTTTTACTTCCGGTTCAGACTCAGGATAAGGTCCACAGTATGTCTCATCACAGGCATCATCAGATGCACCTATGCCTTTAAAAAAACAAAAGGAGCTGATTTAAAACGATTTCCTTTAAAATGTATGAATCCAATGAGTAACCAAATAAGGGGCATTTTTATTTATACTATAAAATCAAAAACTTAATTAAATATTGAAACATTACTGGATTCATACATTGCTACTGCAGTATTATTCAATTATTTGTTTAGTAATGGGATATATGACCGTAATATGTGAAAGGTCCAATCCTATATGTGACTTCTTTTTCAGGAAGACTGGAACGCAGAGATTTCAAGCTGCCATTAGTCTATAAAAATCCTCTTGATATTTCTACCTGTATAGTACTGGTGGCTGTTTCATACATAACATTTTATATATTCCTGTAGTATAAATAGATGGGAAATCTTGCTTAGCCAATTTATGGGAATGCAAGTTTTAAGCAGAAAGGCAACTACTAATCCAGAATCTCATAGACCTGGGAGAACTCACAGCACCCAGTATATTTAATAACAATTTGAACATTGTGGGTAAAGGTGAAGATCTGCTGAGCAGCTTATCCAAATGTAGGCAAACACGTGAGGGCACAAGAATCTCCTGGATCAGGGCATCAGCAAATCATCCTGTTCTCATAGAAGCTCACAAGCAGAATCTGAATGCAACATCCATCTCCCCTTTGATGGTTTCTTGCAACTGGTATTCAGAAGCACATTGGCTCCAACAGTGGAGGTGGAACCTAATCATCACTGTTTGTAGCCAGTGACAATCCTATCAGCCATGAATTTGTATACTGTATTTTTCGCTCTATAAGACACACCAGACCATAAGATGCACCTAGTTTTTGGAGGAGGAAAACAAGAAGAAAAATATTCTGAATCTCAGAAGCCAGAACAGCAAGAGGGATTGCTGCGCAGTGAAAGCAGCAATTCCTCTTGCTGTTCTGGCTTCCGGGATAGCTGCGCAGCCTGCATTTGCTCCATAAGATGCACACACATTTCCCCTTACTTTTTAGGAGGGAAAAAGTGAGTCTTAAAGAGCAAAAAATACGGTAATCCTCTTTCAAAGTCATTCAAGCTGATGGCCATCGCTGCCTGCAGTGGGAGCAAGTTCTGTAGTTTATGTACTGCATCAAGAAGTTCTCTCTTTTGACTGTCCCAAATCCTCCAACCAAACCTAGTTCTAATGGTACGAGAGAGGGAGAAAAAACTTTTCTTGATCTACTTCCCCCATAATTGGAAAGACATACTTTCCTAATCGACTTGAGGTTTGGCCATCAAGGCCGTGAGAACTTCAGTTAACACCCTGGGAGATAAGGATAGGTGGAAAGAGAGCTCCAAACTTGTACAGATATGGGCCTCATACATCTGCCAAATACACCGAGGCAAGGAAATCTTCCTCATTCACGACCTCCAGAGTAATCCTTAACATTTCCTTTTTGATTTCTTCTTCTCACAAAGCTATTTAGATACTTCCAGCTCAGAAAGGTTCTCTAGTAGTATGCTTTTTAGGACAATAAAGGAGAAATGTATAGATGCCAGACTGGAACTATGATGGAATCCAGATTACTAATGGCTTGTCTGATTAAACTTGCACATCCACAAAACTTTATTTCACCTGTATAACCTGGTGAGATCTGTGCCCATTAGAGTACACAACTTCGCAACTCTTGAAAGAGAAGTGAAGTTACAGGGAACCAGGCAGAGGGTCTTCTCAGTAGACCTGCCTGCCCTGTAGAATGCCTTCCCATCAGATGTCAAACAGATAAACAACGACACATCTGAAGGCAGCTCTGTACAGGGAAGTTTTTTAATATTTGAAGTTTTATTGTGTTTTCAATATTTTGTTAGGAGCCGCCCAGAGTGGCTGGGGCAACCCAGTCGGAGGGTTGACATATAAATAATATATATATTATTATGGAGCTAGACCATCAATATAGAATTCACATGTCATATGGCGGTTAAACATAGCAATGTTTTCCCAATCTGGTTTTATACTCAGCCCCAGCTGAAGATTCAGTGAAATACGAGACACATCTACTCAGAGGTTTGTCACACTGAGTTCAGCGGGATTTACTCCCAGGTAGGTGGAGAGGATTGTTGGTTTAAGGACAAAATACATATTCAGAAAAGGTGTCTTTAAAAAAAACACACAAATTCATCTTACCACACCAGCCCGCATCAAAATTTCTGTTCAAGTCTGTACCAGTGCATCTGTTGTCGCCATGCAAGGAACGGCTTTTTCTCCACATTCGATTCTGTATACAAATGTACCCCGTTAAAAAAGGATTCAAAAGTATTTTAAGGCTGATACCATCAGTCTTTAATGTATGTTATTAAACCAATCACAGCATCTGGAAAGGGGATCAGGTCTGACTCTCTTTCTCTTGATCCGCTTTAATAACTCCCTAGAAGGTAAAATGCCCTCATAAATCCCGTTGCAGATGTGAGATGAATAAATGGATTATTATGATGGATAATATCCACCCTGCTTGCTCAAGTCTTGCTTGTGGACGCAGACGGGAGTGACCTTTGGACACTATAACCAGGGCTACAATCTTGTTTCCAATCTGAGTATGCTTCTTAGAAAGAGCTCTGTGTCGATAACTATTTTTCCAACTAGGAAAGGTCATCAACTTGATAAGCAAAGGGAGATAAGTGGGAAAATAAGCCAACGTCTTAATGACAAGAAAAGGAAATGTCTCGTTAAGAAGAAGAATGCTATTGAATTCCGCAGGGAGACACTGAGGAGATGCTCAGTTTGTGTGGTAACAAACTTGTTTCCTCCTTTCCCCTTGGCATGGAAGGAAATCTGGATAGAAAAAGTTTGTCCTCCAATGGAGGGATGAATGCCTATCCAACTAAAAGATCTCCAGCTGTCCTGTGCACATGCTGTTCTCTACACAGGGCTACAAGACGAAGAACTTAAAATTATTCAATGTGGCTGATCTTGGAGAATGCCAAAGATGAAAACAGATGGGAATCCTTCTAGATGAGACAGACATTATTATTTTATAACCAGGAGGGGGGGGAAAGAGGTTGCCAACCAACTGCACCTTTCCTGTCCAAAATACTTTGGCCTTCAGAACACGTCAGTCAATATTCCTATAGAAATTATACGCAGAAGATTAAATCAGTGGGTTGTAGCCAATGTTAGTCATACTCTGAATAGATTCATTGAGATTAACAAACATGACTAATTCAGGTCCATTAAGTTCAATGGGTCTGCTCTGTTGGATACAACTCAATGCTTGAGCAAAAGGAACAAGAAACAGGGTGGGTGGGTAACATCACTCATGCCCAACATTTCAGATGGCTATGAATGGTTCCCATCTTAAAAAGCAGAGACATCACCTTGCCAACAAAAGTCTGTATAGTTAAAGCTATGGTTTTCCCAGTAGTGATGTATGGAACTGAGAGCTGGACCATAAAGAAGGCTGATCGCCGAAGAATTGATGCTTTTGAATTATGGTGCTGGAGGAGACTCTTGAGAGTCCCATGGACTGCAAGAAGATCAAACCTCTCCATTCTGAAGGAAATCAGCCCTGAGTGCTCACTGGAAGGACAGATCCTGAAGCCGAGGCTCCAATACTTTGGCCACCTCATGAGAAGAGAACATTCCATGGAAAAGACCCTGATGTTGGGAAAGATGGAGGGCACAAGGAGAAGGGGACAACAGAGGGCGAGATGGTTGGACAGTGTTCTCGAAGCTACCAGCATGAGTTTGACCAAACTGCGGGAGGCAGTGGAAGACAGGAGTGCCTGGCATGCTCTGGTCCATGGGGTCATGAAGAGTCAGACACGACTAAACAACAACATGAATGGTTCCGTGAAGTCAGAACACCCTCAACCTGTCACCATCAGGTTTAAAGTTCTATAGTTTAGAAAAAAGAAAGAAAAGCCAATCTAATCCTAATTATGTATATATGGTATTGTATGAAACCAGGGTACATTTTATATTATTGATTTTTTAAAGAAAAGGTTAGTTTTCCCAACAATGCGGAAGAAAGCATTCTTAAGAGCATGCATTTCATTTTGCGTTAAGATTGTGAACTTATCCTGCTCCCCACTGGATCTTTTCAGGTGGAAGGACTAGGAAGAGCTAGCCATTTCATGGTCTTCTTGAGCTTTGCGATGCTCCAAACCAAACCCCACAATTCTTCTATAAAACGTGTACTTACAGTAGTCCATGTGTACTCATAACCGTCCACATTCATTACTGGCATGACATAGAAATCAACGTGCCGCAGAAGTCTTGCCATGGCCTGATCTCGCTGTAGAAACTGAGTGGCCTACAGAGAACGAAAGAATGAGATTTGATGGGAAGTGTCGAAATATGACAAAACCTCCACCCACTCAAGCTCTCTAAGTCAGGGGGCAGCAAACTTTTTCAGCAGGGGGCCGGTCCACTGTCCCTCAGACCTTGTGGGGGGCCGGACTATATTTTTTTTGGGGGGGGGGGAGGAACGAATTCCTATGCCCCACGGATAACCCAGAGATGAATCTTAAATAAAAGCACACATTCTACTCATGTAAAAACACACTGATTCCCGGACCGTCCGCGGGCTGGATTGAGAAGGTGTTTGGGCCGGATCCGGCCCCCGGGCCTTAGTTTGCCTACCCATGCTCTAAGTGATTGTGCATGTTTTAGCCAGCCCTGCTCAAAAATGAACTGCTTATTCCTCTCCTATCATGTCCTTCCCACTCCAAGCATGGGCATTAGAATCTTACATCATTTGGCAATTGACAGGGCCATAGTGTCTGTCAGGGCTTGAGCCAGCTTTAGAAACAAACAAACAAGCAACACAACACAACACAACACAACACAACACAACACAACAACATCATCCCCTCAGGTCTGGGACTTTGAGCAATGCTGGATGGCTGTGAGCTATCAATGAAATTTCTCTCTGATATAAGAATTAGAGACCCCAGGTGTATATTATTTAATATTTTAATAAGGTTTCCACATTTCACTTTAATTGTATTTAACCTTTAAGAATGTATTAGGCTTGATTTTTGTGTGTTCTGCATTTGCCAGTACGCTGCATTCCATCTCTCCTTATCTACCCCTGAAAGTGGTACAAATGCACCCGAGTGCAAACCAACTATCCTTGAAGCTATCTGAGACCCAGGAAGAGGATTTTATTATTCTCTTCCCTTTCACTGAAGGCTAGGTTGCCAGGGTAACACCAGACATCCGAGACCTAAAATGGCCAAATGGCCTGGGCACATTGGGGCCACTCCAAGGTGACTATGGGGATGAAGATACCAGTATGGAGCCAAGCGTGTTTTACTTCTCATGACCTTTCATGACACATGTGAAAATATTTTAGGACTATTTGTGCGCTGTGTTTGAATTACTACCGTATTTTTTGCCCTATAGGACGCACTTTTTCCCCTCCAAAAATGAAGGGGAAATGTGTGCGTGTCCTATGGGGCGAATGCAGGCTTTCGCTGAAGCCTGGAGAGCGAGAGGGGTCAGTGCGCACCGACCCGTCTCGCTCTCCAGGCTTCAGGAAGCTATCCACAAGCCTTGCAAGCCCGGCGGGAGTTCCCGCGGGCTCGCAAGGCTTGCAGGCAGCAGCCTGCAGCCCGAAGCACGGGACGCCCTCCAGAGGGCACCCCGGGAATTGCGCAGGTGTCCGCAAGCCTTTCGAGCCCGGCGGGAGTTCCCGCGGGCTTGCAAGGCTTGTGGGCAGCAGCCTGCAGCCCAAAAGCTTGGGGGACAGCGGGGAGGCGCAACGCAACTTCCCGCTGTTCCCCGACCTGGTTTGGAGGCTGGCGCTGGGGAGAAGCGCGTTTCTCCCCAGCGCCAGCCCCACAAGTTCGGGGGACAGCAGGGAGGCGGAGCGCCGCCATCCCGCTGTTCCCTGACCTGGTTTGGATTCCCCGACCTGGTTTTGGGGGGGAAATAAAGGGGGGGAAATTTCCTTTATTTCCCCCCCAAAAAACTAGGTGCGTCCTATGGGCTGGAGCGCCCTATGGGACGAAAAATACGGTATATAAGCTTTTCTTCTGAAGCGCCTTGGGGCAGGCCTTCTCAACTGGCACGTTGAGTCGAGTGAGCTCTGTCCTACTGCAATAGCTATATAATAAACACTGGGTCCCTAAATCCAGATGCTGGACTTGAAAATAGTTTCCTTGGTTCTGTGGTTTATTCAAAGGGTGGTTGTTCCTCACCTGGGTAACGAACAAGGTGGTGTAGAGGCGAATTCTTACCACCTCACAATGAGGCTATATTATAGGAGCATTGTGGGAAATTAAAATGGTGGGTAGAGCAAGCTACACAATACTTCCCAGAGCACAATTGCTGCTACCAGATAAGCCCACCAAGGGGGGCCCTTGCAGACCCTATAAGTGCCCCTATTTTCCAGGGACAGTCCTGGATTTACAGAAGCCATTCTGGGTTTACAAAAGCTGTCCCGATTTTAAATTTGATCCCGGAACATCCTACTTTTCCTTAGGATGCCCCTGTTTTCATAGCAGAAATGTTGGAGGGTGTGGAGTTATGTAGCCCCTGAGCCAAGGAGATGTGTAACTATACAACCTTTAGAAGACATCTGAAGACAGTCCTGGAAGTATTTTTTTAATGTTTAATGATTTTATATCTGTTGGAAGCAGCCCAGAGAGGCTGGGGCAACCCTGCCAGATGGACAGGGTATAAAGGATTTATTATTATTATTATTATTAGGGATGTCCCTATTTTTAAGGGACGCGGGTGGTGCTGTGGGTTAAACCAATCGGACTTGCCGATTAGAAGGTCGGCGGTTTGAATCCCCGCGACAGAGTGAGCTCCCGTTGCTCGGTCCCTGCTCCTGCCAACCTAGCAGTTCGAAAGCACGTCAAAGTGCAAGTAGATAAATAGGTACCACTCTGTCAGGAAGGTAAACGGCATTTCCGTGTGCTGCTCTGGTTCGCCAGAAGTGGCTTAGTCATGCTGGCCACATGACCCGGAAGCTGTATGCCGGCTCCCTCGGCTAATAAAGCGAGATGAGCGCCACAACCCCAGAGTCGGTCATGACTGGACCTAATGGTGAGGGTCCCTTTTACCCTATTTTTATCAGAGAAATGTTAGAAGGCATGCACTTGACTGAGAGACCGTAGGAGAGGCAGAAAGTCCCCGACAAAGGCTTTGGGCTTGACCACTAAATCCTCATTAATAACTTAATCAAGTGTTTTAAGTAAGTGGAATTTCATTTGCCAGCATCCTTCCTATTCTACCCTTGTCCCTCCCCTCCCCTCCATTTATTTTATACTGTAAGCTCTTTGGAAGCAGGGCCAAGGAAGTTCTGAGGCAGGGGTGGGGGGTGGTGGACTGCCCCAGGTGCCATTCCAAAGGGGGGAGGGACAAAATACCGACCCCCGATCGGCGGCACCTCCTGGGGCGCGCGGCGTGTCACGCTCCCGGAACCCGTGCCACGCCTCCTGGGACGAGCGCCGCTCCGGGTACAGGGTCAGGTTGCTCCTCCTCTGAGCAGGGCCTCTTTGTATTTTACCTATGACAGTCTGTATGGGACCATATACACGAATGGGTGTCCCATGTACGTCTAAATAAAGTCTGTTTGGGGGAAATATGACATGTACTTACGTGTCCTATGAACCAGAGACAAAAGGCAGGAGCAACCCATTCTCTGGCATGGATGCCACAATCAATCCAAATGGCATTCTTTGGAGTTCTGTCTCTGTTAGAAAGCTAGTAAGAGAATAGAAACAGAAAGTTCGGTTGTATAGGGTTTTCTAGATGGTACCAAGTTTCCTGGTCATATCCTTTTCCTGAAGAATTTTCTAAATATAAAAATAAAATAAAATAAATTGTCCAGTAGCACCTTAGAGACCAACTACGTTTGTTCTGGGTATAAGCTTTCGTGTGCTTGCACACTTCTTCCGATATCTGAAGTATCTGAAGAAGTGTGCAAGCACACGAAAGCTTATACCAAGAACAAATTTAGTTGGTCTCTAAGGAGCTACTGGACAATTTATTTTATTTTTTATATATATTTCGACTGCGTCAGACCAACACGGCTACCTACCTGAATCTAGAATTTTCTAAAGAAATCCCTGGGAAATGTCATCCATAAAAATCACACCACCTGCTGGTTATCATTTCACAACAACTAGCATAGTTTGGAATCTCCACGCTATAAAAATAAAGTAAAACGATGCATAACAACAGTGTGAAAAATCTGCATTGTCCACCGATTTTACAGACAAAATACTTGCGTGTGAGACACCTGTAGCGCAATTCTATGAATCCCCACTATTGAGTTCAATGAGACTTATTTCCCAGTCAGCGTTCTCTTATGATTGCAGCCTAGATCACTGTTCAGCTATAGTTAAAGAACATCTGCCACCCCATATCATAAGCATATTAAATCCCTCAATTTGAACTAATTGAACGTTATTTCAAACGACTGGGATAGCTCCGTCGGTAGAGCATGAGACTCCTAATCTCAAAGTTGTGGGTTCGAGTCCCACGTTGGGCAAAAGATTCCTGCGTGACGGGGGTTGGACTAGATGACCCTTGTGATCCCTCTACAGTTCTAGGATTCAAAGCACATTTGTCAAGGTGAAAAGTGTTCTATATCCCCCCCGCCTCAAGTCTCTGTTTATAAAATGTTATTATAATACAATCCTCTCAACCTTTTCTCAAAGTGCTTTCCTATACTGTACAGACTTTTCCTACCTCAGTGGAGAAAGTAGTTCTGTCTGAATATTTGATATTACTACCACAGTGGTACCTTGGGTTACAGACGCTTCAGGTTACAAACTCCGCTAACCCAGAAATATTACCTTGGGTTAAGAACTTTGCTTCAGGATGAGAACAGAAATTGTGCGGCAGCAGTAGGCCCCATTAGTTAAAGTGGTACCTCAGGTTAAGAACAGTTTCAGGTTAAGAACAGACCTCCAGAATGAATTAAGTTCTTAACCCGAGGTACCACTGTACTACAAAATGATACTCACCCTTCACCGTCAGGTCCCAGGGCAAATTCCATCAATTTAAAATTCAGCATTGAAGACGGACAGGACAAATTACACTCACCGGAATACGGCGAATCCTGAAAACACATTTCTCAGGTGCTACCCTGGTCCCTGAATCTTGTTCTTGTTACCTCCTCCTTCCTTCACCCAACTCCATTTACAAAAACCAGTCAGACTGGGAATTCAACCTTACTACACTGATGATGGGACACGGGTGGCACTGTGGGTCAAACCACAGAGCCTAGGACTTGCCGATCAGAAGGTCGGCGGTTCGAATCCCCGCGACGGGGTGAGCTCCCGTTGCTCGGTCCCTGCTCCTGCCAACCTAGCAGTTCAAAAGCACGTCAAAGTGCAAGTAGATAAATAGGTACCACTCTGGCGGGAAGGTAAATGGCATTGCCCTGCGCTGCTCTGGTTCGCCAGAAGCGGCTTAGTCATGCTGGCCACATGACCCGGAAGCTGTACGCCAGCTCCCTCGGCCAGTAAAGCGAGATGAGCACGCAACCCCAGAGTCGGCCACAACCCTTTACCCTTTACCTTTACACTGATGATGGAACAGGATGGGGGCATAAGGCTAGTGTAGGCCAGGACACATGGCACAAACAGCTCTGTCTAGTCCCTGCTCTTCAGTATCTGCCGCCCAAGGCAGCTGCCTCACTCGGCCTCATGGTAGATAAATTCCACAAGCCTGACTCCAGAGATTATTCTAACTCTCTCAGGGTTCAAAAGGGAATCCACGCAAGGCCTCTGGTACAGGTGGGGAGCTCTTGACAAACCGTACCTTCAAAACATAGAGCGGTCGTTTCTCATAAGAATCCCCAATGTGTATTTTTTGGAGGATATCCGAATGTCGTGCTGCTATTTCTGTCATCCAGGAGTATATCTAAAATGGAATAAGTAGAATTATTTTAAAAAGTCAACATCGATGCCTATTTTAAATATGAAAATAAAGCATACCCCATTTGCTTTCTCATACCTAGAACTGGCTATTTCTTGAGACCAGGCTAGGTGCAATATTTTAAGGTTTAGGTTTCTGTTAAGTGTCTGAGCCCACCAGCCTGTCTGAGATGGGACAGAATAATAACAAGCAACAATAAGAATGCCTTTGCTGTGTGAGAAAAATTAACAATGAGTTCGAAGAGTCAGTGTGGCATAATGGTTAGAGCGTTGGACTAGGACTTGGGAGAGCAGGGTTCGAATCCCCACTCAGCCATGAAGTTCACAGGGTGACCCAGTCTCCATCTCTTAAGATAACCTCTAGGTTAGGTGAGGACGAAATGGGGAGAAGGAGAACCACCTTGATCCTTGGGAGATAAAGATGGTATATAAATGCAAACAAATAAATGCATTGAATTATACAAATGATGTAGACCATTTTGTCGAAATATGGTACCTTTCAATAAAAGACTTCCAGATAACCCTGAAGAATGGCAACCATGAAAATTACAGACTGGACTTTGGAAAACTTAAATAAACTGGTCCATCCTAGAAGTGTGTGGTTGAGGAGAGAGGATAAGTTGGAATTCCCTGTTTAGGGAAGCTTTTAATGTCTGAAGGACTATTGTATTTTAATATTTTGTTGGAAGCTGCCCAGAGTGGCTGGGGAAACCCAGCCAGATGGGCGGGGTATAAATAATTTTATTATTATTATTGTTAAGTTGTGGGTGAACATATCAGACGACACAGCGATTCTGCAAACAGCTCTTGTTTATTCACAGGCCAGAACAGAACTGAACTGAAGGGTTCAGCCAGCCTGCTTATATAGAGCTCCAGAACAACGTAATTGTAACAACTTTCTGTAACTATCCAATCACTGAACGTCACTTTCGATCCCTTATTTGCATATGTGGACCTGAACTATCAACAGTATCCCCCTGCTGGCCCAGGGTGAGAACTTCAGTACATAACAATTATTATTATTATTATTATTATTACTTTTTCCTTTTTCTGAAATGTTTGTTATATGTATATCAGAAATTAACAGAACTATATTATAATAAAGAAGAGAAACAACGAGAATGCCTTACTTCTTTTAGAGAGTGATATTGTTCATAATACGATAAAGAGCTCCGCGGGGAGACGGTGTCGTTGACAGTTTGTATCTCAACCATTTTTTGAACGTCTTCCAGCAAAACTCTGAACAAGAAAGAGAGAGCATATCGTTTAACAAAATGGTTAGATTCTCTTTTGTTTCGTGCATGAATAGCAGGAAATAAGAGTCTCCCACCCCTATCGTTCTGCCCGGACACTGAGGTCCAGCTCCGAGGGCCTTCTGGCGGTTCCCTCACTGTGAGAAGCCAAGTTACAGGAAACCAGGCAGAGGGCCTTCTCGGTAGTGGCGCCCGCCCTGTGGAACACCCTCCCACCAGATGTCAAAGAGAAGAACAACTACCTGACATTCAGAAGACATCTGAAGGCAGCCCTGTTCAGGGAAGTTTTCAATATGTGACATTTTAGTGTATTTTTCATCTTTGTTGGAAGCCGCCCAGAGTGGCTGGGGAAACCCAGCCAGATGGGCGGGGTACAAATAATAAATTATTATTATTATTATTATTATTATTATTATTATTATTATTACTTGTACGGAACAGTTGATTGGTTAAGCGCTGCTTTCACATCGCCGACATCGGACACATTGACGTAGAAATGCACCTCTTTGCTCTTCATAATGTTCCTGGGGGAATCTGGCTGCCACAGCACAATCTATTCACGTTTACAAAAACATTTAAACAAAATTGAAATAAATGATGGATTAATTAAAAGGAATCACAATGGCAAATGGTAACAGGTAGAAAAACTCTTATGTTTCTGAAAGTGTTTCCCCAGGCTGTCTAAGAACAAGACAGTGGTACCTTGGTTCTCAAACTTAATCTGTTCCAGAAATCCGTTCCAAAACCAAAGCGTTCCAAAACCGAGGCATGCTTTCCCATAGAAAGTAATGCAAAATGGATTAATCCGTTCCAGACTTTTAAAAACAACCCCTAAAACAGCAATTTAACATGAATTTTACTATCTAGCGAGACCATTGATCCATAAAATTAAAGCAATAAACAATGTACTGCAGTCACACAATCAATCAGTAGCTGAACTGGGTTCCACACAGTCACAAAAACAAAACAAAAAAGAGCCGCAAAAACTAAACCGCGAAATAAATAGCAAAAATAGACAAACCTCAGCATAACACTCAAAATGGAAGTGTGGCACTCAAACCGGAAGTGTAACACTCGAAACGGCGCATGTTCGGCTTCCGAAAAAGGTTCGCAAACCGGGACACTTACTTCCGGGTTTGAAGGTTTGGGTTCCAAGCTGTCTGAGTACCAAGGCGTTTGAGAATTGAGGTACCGCTGTACTCTAATGAGGAGTTCTACTGGGTTGGTGGCCTATCAAGTCCAGCATCCTGTTCTCACAAGGGCCAACTGGATGCCTGCGTGAAGCCTGAAAGTAGGTTCTCCTGCGCACAAAACCACTCTCCCCACTTGTGATTCAGAGCAACTGGAATTCAGTACATAACCCCAGTCAAGCTTGCAAAAATCTACCATCTGCCCGATAATAAATGTTGGAAATGTAAAGATACTGAAGGTACATTCTTTCACCTTTGGTGGACGTGCCCAAGGATTAAGGTTTTCTGGGAGATGATTTATAATGAATTAAAAAAGGTATTTAAATATACCTTCTTGAAGAAACCAGAGGCCTTTCTCCTGGGCATAGTCGGCCAATCGGTGTTAAAGAAGGACAGAACTTTCTTTATGTATGCTACAACAGCAGCAAGAATACTTATTGCAAAGTATTGGAAGACACAAGATCTACCCACACTGGAGGAATGGCAGATGAAAATGATGGACTATATGGAATTGGCGGAAATGACTGGCAGAATCCGAGACCAGGGAGAAGAGTCGGTGAAAGAAGATTGGAAGAAATTTAAAGACTACTTACAGAAATATTGTAAAATTAATGAATGTTAGAATGATGACAGATTGAAGTTAAACAGTTTCTAGCAATAATGGTTAAAAGAATTGGAAAAATTGGTTTTTAATAGGTAAAAATTTAATGTTATAATACATCAAGATTAAAGATCAGGATTAAAAAGGAGGGAAAGGAATTGCTGGGCTAACAAACTGAATTGGAATACAAAAGAGGGAGGTATGAGGAAGTCCGGGAAACAAGTAAACGTAAAAGAAGTGATGAAAAGACGGAATTGTTTTTAACTGTTTTTTCTTTTTTCTTTTTGTATTTTGTATTGCGTATTTTTCTTTTTATTGTTAATTTTTTTCTTTTTTTATTATTAATGTGATCATTTTCTTGTGAAATTTTAATAAATATTATTTAAAACAAAAACAAAAACAGAGCAACTGGAATTCAGAGTCATCGCAGAGGCAGTTGCCCCCTGCCATGCTCTCCAGAGCTGAGCTGAGCCGAGGGAAATGTTTGCAGCAAATGTCAGCTGCACATTTTGCGGATTGGCTGATGCCTGTTGTTGACATCATGAATTTCACCACCTCCCAGTAGCCCTGGGTGCAATTTGTTTAACTCTCCCCTTTACAGATTGAAGGAGAAATACATGAAGATGATGTATAGATGGTATTTGACACCAGTGCAGTTAGGGAAAATGTACAAAACTAGTTCAAATATATGTTGGAAGTGTAAAGAAAAGGAGGGGACATTTTATCATATGTGGTGGGATTGCAATGCAATCATATTTTTTTAATTAAACAATGAATTGAAGAAAATGTTCCATCTAACATTTGTAAAAAAATGTGAAGCATTTTTGTTAGGGATTGTGGGAAAAGACCTGCCAAAAAAGCTGAAAAATATCTTCATGTATGCAACAACGGCTGCAAGAGTTTTAATAGCACAAGGTTGGAAGAACGAAGAAATCCCAACTAAAGAATCATGGCAAGAGAAATTGACGTATTAAGCGGAACTGGCAAAATTGACACATAAGCTACGGGACAAGGACAACTGTGACTTCAGAGATGAATGGGAACCTTTACAAAGTATTTGATGATGCAACAAAGTGAATTGGACTCCTTGGCAGGTTTTGAATAAACACTCACAAACTCTTTACTGACAATAATCAGTTAGACAATTTAAGGATTTATACAATTTTGTAACATGCAGAGAACAGTATTCACAGAGAAACCAAAGACTGGAACTGAGGGGAGCCGGGTGGGGTGGGGTCCTTTATGGGAGGGTGGGAGGAAAATGGGGGAAAATTAAGGATGTGATATTATTGGATAATATGTTTTGTTTAAATCTTTAATAAAAATTTATTTAAAAAAACCAAAACTCCCCCACTCCCCCCAAAACCCCTCAAAAACAGCTGGCTGAGCTTAAGATATATATAATGGCAACAAATACTGTTTAATTGAATGAGGTAAAAAGGTCAGATAAAAGACCCCTGGATGGTTAAGTCCAGTCAAAGGCGACTATGGGGTTGCAGCACTCATCTCGCTTCGGGCCAAGGGAGCCGACGTTTGTCCACAGACAGTTTTCCGGGTCATGTGGCCAGCAGGACTAAACCGATTCTGGTGCAACGGAACACCGTGACGCAATCCAGAGTGCATGGAAACACTGTTTACCTTCCTGTCGCAGCGGTACCTACTGTATTTTTCCATGTATAAGACAATGCTTTTTGCTAAAAAAAGTTAGGCAAAAATTGGGTGTCTTATACACAGATAGTGAATGTAGAGGAGGGGGGACGTGCAATTAATGGCAGAAGCAAGCAGGAGATTGGCAGCGGCGATTGGGCGGGTGATCGGCAGCTGCGGCAAGGCCTGCTGGTGACTGGCTGTGGCTTCGGCAATTGGGGAGGCAATTGGCGGCTGCAGCAAGTGGGCAGGTGGGTTGTTGGTGGCAGCAAGTGGGCAGACAATTGGTGGCTGCGGTGAGGTGTGCAATCGGCAGTGGCTGTGGCAAGCGACTGGCAGTGACAGGCAGGCGGGTGAGCGATTGGCAGAAGTGACCTCCCCCATCCCCCCAAAAGCTAAACAATTTCTTAACTCTGAGTTTAAAAAAATAGGGGTCGTCTTATACATGGGGGCGTCTTATACACGGGAAAATACGGTATTTATCGACTCGTGCTGGCGTGTTTTCAAACTGCTAGGTTGGCAGGAGCTGGGAGCTCATCCAGTCGCAGGGATTTGAACCGCCGACCTTCTGACTGGCACATCAATAGTAAATATACGGACAGCCCTGAAGCATGTAGGGAAGATTGTGTCAGCATGATGATTGTGTCAGCATGTGAATACCATGCCTCTATCACGACAATTACATGGAATGTAGAATGCAGGCTCTCCGTGAAGCAATATTGTGCAACTCCTGGTTTAAGGTGTCCTTTGTATTCAGGCCCAGTGGTGAAAAGAATTGTGTTCTTTGAAATAAAAATTGAAACAGGATGAATCACACACTCCCTTACCACTTTGATCTGTGGAAGTCTCTTTTGCAAGAGCAGAACAGGAATGTTGGATAACACCACCCATTAATTGCAATGGCTTCCCCCCAGAAGCAGTTACCTTAAAAGTAGTGGTCAAATTCTGAAGGAACTCAACATGTCTGTCCGAATGAGGAAGAGCCCACAAAACCTGATCACTGGAAGAGAGAGAGGGGGAAAGGGGATTACAGTCATACCTCTTGTTACGTCCGCTTCATATTACGTCCTTTCAGGATACGTCCCGCGGCGACCCGGAAGTACTGGAAAGGGTTACTTCCGGGTTTTGCCGCTCGCGCAAAATGACGGCACAGGCATGCGGAGAAGCGGCGAATCACGACCCGCACAGACGCGGGTTGCAATCTGTTCATGTTGTGAACGGGGCTCCGGAACAGATCCCGTTCGCAACCAGAGGTACCACTGTATTGGTAGTAGAGAAGCACTGAAGACATGCAAAGGAACCACCAGACCCCTAATATGAGTAGAACTCCAAAAAAAGTGTGCCAGGGATGCTTTTATGAGTTCTTAAAACCACCCAGCGCGTTTTCAAGAAGCCTCACAATCCACAGACACTGGTGATGGCTGTCAGGCGGGTGGGCCCAAGCATAGCCAGGTAGGGGCAAGAAGGGCACAACAAAAGCTGGGTTCTTAAAACATGCCTGTTTCATATGCTATCTTTTTAGCGACTATGGGGTTGCGGCGCTCATCTCGCTTTCAGGCTGAGGGAGGCGGCGTTTGTCTACAGACAGCTTTCCGGGTCATGTGGCCAGCAGGACTAAACCACTTCTGGCACAATGGGACACTGTGACGGAAAACAGAGTGCACGGAAACGCCGTTTACCTTCCCGTCACAGCAGTACCTATTGATCTACTTGCACTGGTGTTTTTAACACCCTAAACCAGGCATAGGCAAACTCGGCCTTCCAGATGTTTTGGGACTACAATTCCCACTATCCCTCGCTAACAGGACCAGTGTTCAGGGATGATGGGAGTTGTAGTCCCAAAACATCTGGAGGGCCGAATATGCCTATGCCTGCCCTAAACACATAAGAGGGGGTGGGGTGATATTGTTATTGATTGTTACGTATTTTTGTGGTATATTGTAAACTGCCCTGTGATCTTGGGATGAAGGGTAGTGTTAAGTTGTGGGTGAACATATCAGACGACACAGCGATTCTTCAAACAGCTCTGGTTTATTCACAGGCCAGAACAGAACTGAACTGAAGGGTTCAGTCAGCCTCCTTATATAGAGCTCAACTACAAAGCAACAGTAACCATTTTCTGTAACTATCCAATCACTGAACGTCACTTTCAGTCCCTTATTTGCATATGTGGACCTGAGTGAAAACTATCTACAGTATCCCCCTGCTGGCCCAGGGTGAGAACTTCAGTACATAACAGGTAGTATAGAAACTTAATAAATAATAATAATAATAATTAGTACAGACCCTCCAAGTGTCCCTATTTTCCAGGTACAGTCCTGGATTTACAGAAGCCATTCTGGTTTCTGATTTGATCCCGGAACATCCTGCTTTTCCTTAGGATGTCCCTGTTTTCATAGCAGAAATGTTGGAGAGTATGGAATTATGCGATCCCTGAGCCTAGGAGATAAGTAACTAAACTACCTTCAGAAGACATCTGAAGCCAGTTTTATTATGTTTTTATATAAGTTGGAAGCCTGAGAGGCTGGGACAATCCACTCAGATGGGGCAGGGTATAAATAATAAAATTATTGTTATAGGATGTCCCTATTATCATTGGAGAAATGTTGGAGGGTATGTTAGCATGGCTATTTTAATTGGAATATCAACTGAAGCTAAAAGGCCAGCCTGCGTCTACACAGCCAAGGTGCACTGACGTCGATAGGATTTAACAAACTTGTGCTCTGCTTTTGAGGTGATGGAAAAGTTCTGCTTGTGGCATTCGGATGTGCGAATGAGCTATTCACAGGTCCAGCTGCTGTTTGATACTGCAGTCCTGAAGTGAGTCACTTACACCTGTGAGCTAGACCATTCTAAAAGTGCTTGGAGGAGGTTTAATTTTAATTTTAAATCCCTTGTACTCTCTGTCCCTCATTTAGTACACAGTGAGTAACTCTGCCAACCTTGCTCTTGGGCAATCACCGCAAAACACAGCCCGACACACGAATAGCAGGCCCAAAGCCCAAAACTAAAAATGATTATTAGAAACCAGGGTGGATAAAAAAACAATGATTATAAATAAATAAATAAATCAGATTGTTATTCTTTTTATTTAAATTGGATTTTTTAAAAAATAAAATGCTTTTGGAGCAAAAATCTTTCTAAAAACAGCTTTCTATTTAAGTTACATTTTAGTCCGTCAGGAAATAAGGATTTGTTTTAAGTTTTTCATGTATGCTAAAGTCAGTTTGTTTGTTTTATTGTTTAACCACATCAGTTAACGAACATGGATACACATGATATAATGTTATTGTCTTAGTTAAATAAACTGTTTAAATTGTCAATAAGGAAATGATTATTTTTCTTCTTCCAATAAAGTACAGCAGAAAAGTTGTCCAAATATAAACAGTTAACTTACTAAACCTCACAATAATTCAATAATTATCGGTCTATGTATTTCTAATACTGTAACCAAATCAGTAATTTTTGATATAACTGTAAAAACTACTCTGAAAATGTATTATTCCAAAAATGAAACCTTCATCTGGTTTTAAATATTAAGATTATACCAGCAAGTATGAGTCTTCCTGAATTTTTTTTAAAAAATAATCTTTATTAGTTTCAATTAAAAAAAAAAAAGCCTATATATATAGCAATATTCAATACAAAAGCTGAAATGAAGGGGGGAAAGGGAAAAAAGAAGAAAAGAAAAGAAAAAGCAAATACATAATATTATACAATTCTTCTGTACAAATATAGTAACATATTGTCATTTATGTTCATACAAATACAATTTTGTAAAAATAAAGAAAAAGAAAAAAAAGATTTCTAAGAATAAACTTTAAAAAGACTTCCAAATATTCTCGTTTACTCTGTCTATTCTTTCCTTTATAATGCAATTTTTTAATGTAAAAAGAAGAAGATTTAAATAAAGTCTTACTGACTAGTGCTTTAAATCGTGATTTAAATCAAATCAACTCTGCTACAAACCAGGACCAATTGGACTAAGGACATGTCCATACTTTGGGTAAATGCGGATTGTGCCTTTTTCAATTCCACAGCATGTCCATACGGAGATTTGCTCCGCTTTGAAAATCTGAATAAGAAAGCTACATCAACTACATACAGCATAAGGTAAGTAAAGGTAAGGTAAAGGACCCCTGGATGGTTAAGTCCAGTCAAAGGCAACTATGGGGTTGCGGCGCTCATCTTGCTTTCAGGCCGAGGGAGCCAACGTTTGTCCACAGACAGCTTTCCGGGTCATGTGGCCAGCAGGACTAAACTGCTTCTGGTGCAACAGAACACCGTGACGGAAACCAGAGTGCACGGAAACGCCGTCTACCTTCCCGCCGCAGTGGTACCTATTTATCTACTTGTACTGGTGTGCTTTCGAACTGCTAGGTTGGCAGGAGCTGGGACAGAGCAACGGGAGCTCACCCCTTCGTGGGGATTCGAACAGCTGACCTTCCGATCGGCAAGCCCAAGAGGCTCAGCGGTTTAGACCACAGATTTAGGGAGGCAAAAGTGTGGAACAGCAGTACAGTGGTACCTCGGGTTAAGAACTTAATTCATTCCGGAGGTCCATTCTTAACTTGAAATTGTTCTTAACCTGAGACACCACTTTAGCTAATGGGGCCTCCCGCTGCCGCCGCCCGATTTCTGTTCTCATCCTGAAGCAAAGTTCTTAACCCGAGATACTATTTTTGGGTTAGCAGAGTCTGTAACCTGAAGCGTCTGTAACCCGAAGCATCTGTAACCCGAGGTACCACTGTAGTTGGAGGAAGAGGCCACATGGAGAAGAGGAAATTAAAGGAGGCATAAGGGGTTCACAACCACATTAAACTGAAGTATGGACAGAGCCAGATTAAACTGTATCCCACCAGCAGAAGCCTGAACAAGGACTCCTGCTGGCTCAATGGGGCCTCCCCCTCCCTCTTGCCCCCCACTGCCCCCCACATACTCAGGGGGTGAGGTGGGAGACCCCCCCAGAACAGCACATGGGGGGGGGAGGGGAAATGCTTGCTCAGACTGAGGGACTGCAATAGCGCTACACTGGAGTCCTCCTCCCAGATTGACTTACCTGGGAGTAACTCACATCGAAGTAGGATTGACTTCCAAGTAAACATGCCCAGCGTTGCACTGTAAACCTATGAGACTGTGATTTTAGTGTCTGTGCATTATATGATCGTTCTCGTGCTGTACGATCTTGGGGAAGAGGCATACTTGTCTTGTGGGAGAATTTTGTCTGCTTTTATGGGGAGAATATATCCTATGCCCTTTTAAAATGTGTACTTTTGGAGGGGAGGCTATTGGGTGGTTGTTTTTATTTTGATTATGTGTTTTGATTTTATTCTGTGAACCGCCCTAAGACCCCCAGGTATTGGGCTATATATATTCAATAATAATAATATACCGTATATATTCAATAATGATGATGATGTTCAGTTTTCCTCAAAGTCTAGTGAAATGCAATGTTTGAGTTTATCAAAGTCCATGAAGTTTTCTGAAGTCCACGGAGTGTCAAAACATTATCCTAAACTTGTACATTGGAAAGAGCTGAAGATTTGTATGGTTTAATCTTTCCTGGCATTTTTTTTATGTTTCTCTTTTTATGTTTCTCTCTTTTATGTTTCGGCTCTCAAATAAATATATCTGCCTTTGCTTCTGAAAAGCATAACAAGACTTAGACAAAATGAACCGTAACCCAAATGACTCATTGCTCTCACAGAAATGGGTTCTGTTTACACATGGGAGTCATTATTTTAAGATTTTGGTAAAATGAAAATAACGTTTCCTTATTTTAGGACACAATCCCATGCCCACTTACTTGGAAGTAAGTTCCATTGATCTCAATGGGACTTGCTTTGAGTATAGGTCTTGGGTTTAGCTATTAGTCTCAGTGTGCAACATTACAGTATACAAGTCCATTTGTAATTTGACCGTGCCAAATACTTCATGTAATGAGTAACAGCTAAGAATTTATGTTTCCAAAAGAGACGTTTTGCTACATTCTACACTGGTCTATATATCTCGGTTAAAAAGTAATAAGCATATTTGGATATCTGTCTCATGTTAGGTTCAACCATTGGACAATATGCTTCTATTCTATGTGGAGTTTTCCCATCTCTCTCATTAGAAAACAAGTACTTACCTTTGAAGAGCAGCAACATTCTTCTTTTGGCCAAAGGTGGATATTATACAAATTAAAAGGAAAAACTTCAGAGCCGCCATTTGCAAAGAAACCGAGCGAGACAGTGGAGGTTCAGGACAATGCGTTGTTGATTTTCTAAAGTCTCTGTTGAAAGAATGGTTAAAATTTAATGTTATCGCTCTTAGTAATCTTCACTGCTCCCATCCCCTGTGTGACTGAGTCAGAGTGGATTCCTTTACAATGACAATTTTCTAAATGTAAAGTGATCGTCTGTGTGAGGGTCTAAGCAGTTGCCAAGGGGATTCCCAATTCTCATTTAACTCCCCAACCAGTTGAGGTGTTATGCTCTGTTGATTTGGCCTGGAATCAAACATTTATTTTAAATGTTTACGCGCAATCTTTCAGGCCTCCATGGTGGATGACAAGAAGTAAAAATTAATATATAGGAATGTATACGGTTATATCCAATCACAGTTTACTCAAGACATGTTGGAGGGTATGATTACTTAAAATATACCCAGTTAGCCCTAAGGATCTAAGTTAGCCCTGTCCATTCATTTCAATGGGTCTACTCTGAGCATGACTAATGTTGGATACAACACACACACCCTCCAACATTTCTTCAGTGAAAATAGGGGTGTCCTATTTAATAATGATGATAATTTTACTATTTATACCCTGACTATCTGACTGAGTTGCTCCAGCCACTCTGGGTGGGTCCCAACATGTGTAAAAATATAACAACACATTCAGCATTTAAAAATCTTCCCTATAACAGGGTTGCTTTCAGATGTCTCTGAAAGGTTTTATAGTTACTTATCTCCTTGGCTCGGGGGTTGCATAACTCCATACCCTCTTAGTATGGTTTTTTGTGATGGAAAAACAATTAACAATGATATCGTCTCGTAAAGCGTTTTACAAAATGTACAGCACATCATAGTACAGACCAGGACTCATATATTCTGTTAAGTTGTGGGTGAACATATCAGACGACACAGTGATTCTTCAAACAGCTCTTGTTTATTCACAGGCCAGAACAGAACTGAACTGAAGGGTTCAGCCAGCCTGCTTATATAGAGCTCCACTAGAACACAATAGTAACCATTTTCTGTAACTATCCAATCACTGAACGTCACTTTCAGTCCCTTATTTGCATATGTGGACCTGAGCGAAAACTATCTACAGTATCCCCCTGCTGGCCCAGGGTGAGAACTTCCGTACATAACACCCCTCCCCACTGAGATAAGGCGTTAGTTACAATTGTAATGATTTCCTTATATACAGCACTACACGTAATGGTTCAATTAGGCACAAAAGCGTATCGGTTACATTTCACCTACTTCCATTAGACCGACAGTATTACATGTCCAACAACATAGTCCTTTAAATAAGTTGGGCGCTTGGAAACTCTGCCAGACTGCCGGGGACCGGTACCCAGGTCCGGGGGGCCGCCCGATTCTTGCTGAGGCTGTGGTGCGACCCTACGTGGCGTTGAAACCAAGTCCCCTGGATCCGCCGCTGTGGGTGGAACCTCCACGAGTGGAGTTGGCGGAATGTCAGGCATGGCGGTGGTCTGAGTCTGTGGGAAGTCCGGCAGACCCTCTGAAGCGGCTTGGTTCGGCTCCATGCCTGCAGTTTGCGAGAGAAGTGTAGGTGGAGCCTCGCCATCTGTAAGTGTCTGTTCCGGAGCCACGAGCGCAGTTGGAGGCACTGTGGTAGTGTCCAAGTCCCCAACCCTGTGCCTAAGCTGGTCTATGTGCCAGCGCCACAAACGTCCGTTTTCGAGTGCCACCTGGTACCAGCGATGTCCAGCGACTCCCACTGCTGTGGCTGGCACATAACATATTAGCCCTGCTTTAAGAAGGAGGCAGCAGGGCTCAAGCATCCTATCAGAGGCCTGGCACCTCCTTCCCAAATTTGGGGAGTTTAGGGAGAGAGCTGTAATGCCCACATCCCGTCATCTGCCCCCCCAATCGCCCTCACATGGTGGCACCTCTGGCCCTAACTGTTCCCCTACAAAAATATTCACCGCACGCCACTGCACATTTAAAGCAGTTTGCCCCACAAAGAAATTCTGTGAACTGTGGTTTACCCCTTTCAGAACTACGATTCCCCCCACCCCACCCTGGTAACAAACTCCCAACAGCTAGCACTCAACTCCTCTAACTTCTAAGCTTGTTTTGGTAGTAGAACTTCCCCTGCCTTTTCCTCCACAGTGCCTCTGTGTGGCAGCAAAAGTTAGCATAACGGAAAAGGACAGCAGAGTCCTGATCTTCACTCTGTGAGGATCAGAGCATGGCAAGAGGCAAACAGCAGCAGCACCAACCAAGACATAGCTCAGTTGTCATGCCCAGAGGGTTTCACCCATAATGCTTTCATGGGGTGCTTCTAGACAACCTGTTTGGTAAAGGTAAAAGGTAAAGGACCCCTGGCCGCATAAGTCCAGTCAAAGGCGACTATGGGGTTGTGGCGCTCATCTCGCTTTCAGACCGAGGGAGCCGGCATTTGTCCACAGACAGCTTTCCGGGTCATGTGGCCAGCATGACTAAGCTGCTTCTGGTGCAACAGATGGAACCAGAGCGGCACCTGTTTATCTACTTGCACTGGTGTGCTTTCGAACTGCTAGGTTGGCAGGAGCTGGGACAGAGCAACGAGAGCTCACTCCGTCGAGCGGATTCGAACCGCCAACCTTCCGAACGGCAAGTCCTAGAGGCCTAGTGGTTTAGTGCCACCCGCGTCCCATTAGACAACCTGTTTATTTCACATTCATCATGATTTGTTTGGAGACTAGATGATGACGAATTAAATTTATATGCCACCCTTCATCCAAAGAGGGGGTTATGGGTGCCAGGGGAGGGGTAGTACCTCTGATGGGAGACAGACACATCATGCTCCTTCTGGGGCAGTTTGTCCACCATATCAATGGGGCCAAGAAGTGGGTCTTGTCGTCTGGGCAGCCCAGCGCCTCCTCCAAGTTGTTGAGCTTTTTTTGGGGGGGGGGGCACACAACTCTCTCCCATGCCGCTGTACGTGGAGGGAGGAGAGCAATCCCCACAGAGGCTTGAGAGGGAAGCTGCGCCTCATGTGAGCAGCTTGCATGCGCTGGGTGGGCCTCTTGACGGCCCGCCAATCCCAGGCACGCAGGAGGGGAGAGCCAGCCGGCTGCCTCAGCGCCGGCAGCAGGAAAGGCTGAGGCGCTCCGATGAGCTCTGCTCTGCTGCGGCTGTTGCCTGGCCTGGCTCTTCAATCCCCGGACTCCAAATCTCGGCCCCGGACTCTCAGCCTGGCGCCCCTGAGAGCCCAGTGCCCGGGTGCCCCGCACCCTTAGCGCCTATGGGTAAGCTGGCCCTGGAGGCAGCAATGACAAGTTACCTCTCTGCAGCCACAGCAGGCGCTGCGATTCTCCAGCAGTTTGACTGCAACCTCTGGAGGTGTACTCCATTGTCTCTCGAGACAGACGGACGCCAACAACAACAACATCCGCAGATCACAGGGCAGTTTCACAACATCTAACTACAAAATGAGAGCACAGAATGCAGAAGAAAAACAAGAAGGATATCAAAAGGAAATCAATAACCCATCACTCTCACAAACACATTTACAAGGACTTGTGAGTGGGCTATTTAATGAGCACTCATTCTGATATGTTTGTGGGAAGGTGAATTGACATCACATCAAAGCAAGCATTATCCCACACTTTCCGGTGCATTTTCCTGGGTTTGCTGTGCAAGTCTTCCTGATCAACTATAACTGCACTACCTGAATTTGCCAGTACAGTATATGAACAAATTGCACCTGGAAGCTACCATAACATGCTTGACAAGTCCTTAGAGCACAAATTACTAAGATCTGCAGCAGGCTCGTCCTCCATATTGCCTGGATTCAAGGTTTTTTGTTTAATGACTTTCAGCAAACTGGTACCTCACTTATACAAGTTGTACCAGCAATTCCATTATGAGAGCTTTTGGGATGGTAGCCTGAGGGCCTTATGATGATGTGTTTAAAGTAGAATCTTGGGTTTAAAAAATAAAAAAAAACCAGCAGAATGTATTCATTTTCATTTTTCCTGCACGTGTGTTTGCTGCCTTTGTGTATGCGTTTCTGAAAGAAAGAAAGAAAGAAAGAAAGAAAGAAAGAAAGAAAGAAAGAAATATTTTTTTTGATAGCACAGAATAATATAAATATGCTACTGCATTACTAAAAATCATAAAAAATTAAAAAGATTTGATAGAGATAATATTCCATTGTATACTAACTAAATGTGACCTTTGGATGAAGTGTGGTATATAAAAACATAAATAATAATAATAAAGATCATATAACTAGTGGAGAGATTTTATAATTCATTTAAAATACTGTCATAAAAGAATAAATATATTGCACCTGTATATAATTATTAATCTCTACCTCCTGCCTTTGCTTAAATGATAGCAATATCAACAACACTAATCACATATCAAAGCAATAATATGTGATCCATATAATACACTCCTTCTAATGAGTATAGATTAAAATCTTGCCTTTTGTAATTTTAGTAAATGATAAACAGACTCCATTTTTCTACAGAATGGAGTCTAGTTATTAAGCTCAGTTGCTTTTATCTTTCCTCCTCCCTCCTCCCCAAACTGCTGTTGCTCTTACAGTTTCAGCAATACAAGAGGAAAGGTTCCGGTAGTATTCTTCCTGATTATTCATTAATCTTATATGTGTGGTTTGCACTTGCATTCTTAATTTTTTTTTTTTTAAACACCTGGATTTGGGGGACAATCTGTGGGGTCCTTGAGGAAGGTGGAGGGGAACCTTCTTTAACGTCTTTAGCGTATTTGCGGTCTCACCAGCTTGTAAAAACTTGCTTCTCAACTAAAACAGTAGCAAATGTTCTTTGAGGCCTTGCAAAGAAGTTAATTCTTAATTTCTCTGCAACTTTTATTAATAGACCCCTAGTTAAAAGAGCTGTGGTTAAAGAGATGGACTTTGATCTGAGTATGTGGCAAAGCCTGAATTGTAAGTGCTGAATCTAACCATTTCCTTGCTGACACTGCCCAAAAGTCCTGAATTCAATGACTGTACACTGGAATGAGCAATTTCCTCTGCCAACCGTTTAGCATTCTGCCTCTCTTTGTTCTTATTCTAATAATTCTGCTACACATTCCTCACCATAAGGGGAGAATTGATGATCACAACTTTTCTGTCTCCAGTGTCCTCCAAAGGCCACTCACAATGGCATTCACCTTACTCTTTCCTTGCTAATCACTTGTTTCTTTTTAAAATTAAACGAATGGGTACAGAGAGATATACTCTTCACACAAAAAGATGGTGACCAAGCTATTTCACCAAGAACTATGGCACGAGAAAAGCCCACCAGGGTATCTTTTCAACCACCTGAGGAAATCAGTGTAGTGCTGTGGACACAAGCCTTTCTGTGAGAGGATTTCAATGTTGTTGTTTAGTTGTGTCCGACGCTTCGTGACCCCGTGGACCAGAGCACGCCAGGCACTCCTGTCTTCCACTGCCTCCCGCAGTTTGGTCAAACTCTTGCTGGTAGTCTTCAAGAACACTGTCCAACCATCTCGTCTTCTGTTGTCCCCTTCTCCTTGTGCCCTCCATCTTTCCCAGCATCAGGGTCTTTTCCAGGCAGTCTTCTCTTCTCATGAGGTGGCCAAAGTATTGGAGCCTCAGCTTCAGGATCTGTCCTTCCAGTGAGCACTCAGGGCTGATTTCCTTTAGAATGGATAGGTTTGATCTTCTTGCAGTCCATGGGACTCTCAAGAGTCTCCTCCAGCACCAGAATTCAAAAGCATCAATTCTTCAGCAATCAGCCTTCTTTATGGTCCAGCTCTCACTTCCATACATCACTACTGGGAAAACCATAGCTTTAACTATATGGACCTTTGTTGGCAAGGTGATGTCTCTGTTTTTTAAGATGCTGTCTAGGTTTGCCAACGCTTTTCTCCCAAGAAGCAGGCGTCTTTTAATTTTGTGACTGCTGTCACCATCTGCAGTGATCATGGAGCTCATCCTGTACTTTTTAGAACATTGTCCTATCCCATTCAGATGATTAGAGTGGATTGCATGGTTACATGGCCACAAGAACAATGCCTTTTCTGAGCATCACCAGCATGGAGCAGAAGGTACCACGGGAGTGGACTATGTAAACATTTCCAGTAGAAATGATCAGGCTACTCCAGTTGCCATACATATGAAACACATCAGAATTAATGTCAGGTGAAACCTTGTTGGTGGTGCTGCCTGGTTGGTGCTACCCCATGACAGGGCCTTTTTGGTGGCGGCTCCCCATTTGTGGAATGCCCTCCATGCTGAAGTGTACCTCTCTCTTATTATTGACTTTCAGGTGGAATATATATATATGTGTGTGTGTGTGTTTGCCACCTTAGGCAGAAGGTGCAGCGTGCAAACCAGGAATTACAGCGTGAACCGACTCCTCTTTTACAAAAATGAGATTTTGTTATACACTTATATGAAATTTGGCTGTCAACTGAAATACATTTCCTTATTTACCCAGACTGCCTTCTCTGAAATAGGCCTTATAGCATGACAAGCCTGGGCTTGTCCAACCTGTTTCTGGTCTCGGGTGGGACAAAGAGGTAAGACAGAGTGCAACTGTTTAGAGATGGATTAGAGAGAGCTTACAATATCTGCAGCAGAAGTATATTTATGGTATGTGTTGTCCTTTTAAACCATTTGTACATTAAAATTGGCACTGTTGTTCCTTCTTTGTCATTGTTCTTGTTGTAATAGTAGTAGGCACTCTGAAAAAACATGATGTTTCCTGGTGGTTATTAAATATGTACCTGTCACCTGTTGTCCAGTCATTTGGCAGTGACCTAATAATAATAATAATACAGTGATACCTCGGGTTAAGAACTTAATTTGTTCTGGAGGTCCGTTCTTAACCTGAAACTGTTCTTACCCTGAGATACCACTTTAGCTAATGGGGCCTCCTGCTGCCGCCGCACGATTTCTGTTCTCATCCTGAAGCAAAGTTACTAACCCGAGGTACTATTTCTGGGTTAGCGGAGTCTGTAACCTGAAGCTTCTGTAACCCGAGGTACCGCTGTAATAATACCCCACCCATCTGGCTGGGTTTCCCCAATCACTGTGGGCGGCTTACAACACATAAAAAATGGTAAAATATTAGACATAATTTTTTTTCTGATACAGGGTTGCCTTCAGATGTCTTCTAAAAGTCTGATAGTTGTTTATTTCCTTTTACATCTGATGGGAGGGCGTTCCACAGGGCGGGCGCCACTACCGAGAAGGCCCTCTCACAGACCAACTCACAGTTGCATTACAACTGAGGTGCAATCATTGTTCTCTCTAGATGCTCCATCCTCAGTGTGTTTCTGAGGGCAGGATGTTACACGCAAACACAATGATGGCACCAAACATGGCATCCCTGTGGGGTCATTCCACGCCAAATCACCTGGTGCCATGAAAAATGAGCGAAACAGGAGGTTTTTTCTAAACTGACACAGAAATTGCATTAGCCTAAATCGCTCAAAAATCAAAACTTTCAAAAAATTGTCCTGTGCTCAATTTTGGACCAAAAAAATCTTAAAATATTAATTTGAGGTTATCTCATATATATTTTTTGAAGAAAATTTGAGTCGTGAGAGCACGGTCAAGTATTAAAATCAGGTGATTTGGCGTGGAATGACCCTGCGTTCCTTTGTACAGTGGTACCTCAGGATACATATGGTTCAGGTTACATACGCTTCAGGTTACAGACTCTGCTCACCCAGAAATATTACCTCGGGTTAAGAACTTTGCTTCAGGATGAGAACAGAAATCGTACTCCGGTGGCGCAGCAGCAGCAGAAGGCCCCATTAACTAAAGTGGTGCTTCAGGTTAAGAACAGTTTCAGGTTAAGTACGGACCTCCGGAACGAATTAAGTACTTAACCTGAGGTACCACTGTAATGTGAAGGAACACTGACCCTGTGAATACTTCCAAGTCCTAGATATCCACAGTCTAATGGGCTGGTGAAAAATGGTGTCCAGAATGATCTAGAACACAGGATTCAAACACAGAGCCAGCCTCGGCTACGCTAAATTACAGGACTCTTTCCTTCTGAACTGTTGTTTGGGAGAAAGCGAAGAACGATATTTGTTTAGTCCTAAACATCCAAAAAATTAATTGGTTGTATTATTTCATATCCAGGTATGCCCCGAGTCTTCTTTATTAGGCCAGCCTAACTAAGCTTTCGTAAGATTAAATTTTGTATTGTGTAAACACTTTATATTTGAAAACCAACAGGAACTTTCCACATCATCTAACAGCAGAAAGCACTCGTTTCTCCCCTAAATTTAAGTAACAACCTTTCATCTCACCCTTCCACTATTGCTGCTTCCCCTCCACAGAATCACAGATCCTCCACTTCCTTTTAAAACAGTCTTAAACAGATTTTGCATTGTGCACCTATTCAGCACCTCCCCTCCAACAGACATCTTATTTCTTTCTTTTTTTCCAGGAGGGCTATTTATGGCCCTAGATTACCTCGATTACTTCACAATCCCATGATAAATGGCTCAAGGAACTGGGGTGGGTGGGGTTTGCCACAGTTGGGCAAAGATATTGGAGTGTGTACTGGCACCGCACATGCAAATTCACTGTTTATGTTGTTGTTGTTGTTGTTTTTAAAAAAGAAAAAAACCAAAACTCCACTAGCAACAAAACAAGGAATCCAGAGTCATACTCTTGAAAGGAGGAAGAAAGCACCTTTTCACTGGGTGTATATATGATGTGGAGCACATTTGCTTAAGAAAGACTGATAAGAGACAACCCAAGCAGAAATGAATTGTGAAGAACAGCAAGGGGCAGGTAATTGCAGATGTGCTCCCATCTCTAATGCAATATCCCAGCTTTTAAAAATCTTCAGATTTGAAAAGAACTACTAGTCAAGCCGATAATATATGCCTTTTTTTATTCACAGCTAGTGGGCGATATCCAACCAAGTCCTATGGAGAGAAGACCCATTGAAATTAGTAAACTTAAGTCACTTTGGTCCAATGATTTCAATGGGTCTACTCTGAGTTATGCTGGATATCATCCGGCATGTTTATTTTCTATTCTACATATTATTCTTTCTCTAACAATTATATCATTGATGAAACTGCTTGATCTCATTCATAACCTTAGTGTCTCAGTGCAGACTGAGATTTGGCTGTGGAGATGTAGAAATTAAACTAATTCACACAGTGTAATACTACTGGGTTATAGGGGAAAGGGTGGGTGGTGCAATTTGGGGAAGGGGTACTAGAGAAAAATATGAAAGAAAACAGTGTGGGCTGGCTTGTTTTCTCGCTGTCTACCCACCTATTAAAACAATGTTAACTGAGATGTTTTCGTTTTTGTGGTTTCCAACAAAATGTCACGTTTGGATCCTGGCTGGCTCAGTTGAATTTTTCTGCAAACTATCATCTAGCCAGTCGGTTGTGCAATAACTCCATTCTATTAATGTTTATCCAACGAAGCTGTGAAAACTGTCATTCTGGAAATTGAGGTAGGGATGAGTTTTATCCGTGTAATGTCCTGCTCAATAGAGACTGATGTGTGAGCTTTCAATACCATAAATTTATTTCACAATCAGCAGCCAATAGCTGCGGTTACAGATTGACAGGCAATCTTTGGTATGTTGGCTAAAGTCCTCACAGAGATTATAAATATGCCTGGAGTCAGACTTCCTCTTTCTTTGGTTCTGCACAGGAATGGGAAGCAGCTCCGAAGGCCCGGCTCACTTCAAGGTAAATCGACTGCTTCAAATTAACATATAGACCTGCATGAAATTTATGGCTTGGAAATGTTTAAGTATGGCTTAAGGCCAGGGATAAGGAAATCTGTCAGTTTTTGTTTCTCTCTTTATCATTTTTTTCTAGTCTTAGGTTTGATTCTCTGCATTTCTACATTGGTTTGCATTTTTTTTTAAAATCCTCATGCAAGTTCACCATTTTATTGCAATTTTCTTCCAAATACACGTTTGTACACAATTCTGCCTAGTACACACTTTTTTGCAGCAGCAACAGTTTTGCCTAAAACAATGTGGTTTTGAATGTTTTTTTTCCACCAATGTGCATTTATATGCACACTTTACCGTAGTACATACGATTTTGTGCACATTACTCAGCTGGAGAGCTGCGCAGCAAAATTCAGAGAAATGCAAATTCCAATTGATGGTTTAGGTTTGCGCACTCTTTTTAAAGCGTGAATTAGGTAGATTTTCCTTTCAACCCAAACTGAATCAACTTTCTCCCCCATCTCTACATGAGGCAAAGGTGATGGAAGTGTATTTTGTAGCTATTATAAGAGGATAAGGAAACCACGAGACCAGAGAACAAACATTGAAAACTCTTTTTAGCACTGTGGAAGGTAAATAGGGAATCAAAACAGACCGCAGATGTTGCATGGAGTTCACGGAACATGGGACATTCGCTTAAAATAAAGTAAATCTCTTCAAACAAGAATACAAATCAACCCTGCTTCACACTGATTCCAATACATATCCCTATCTCAGAAGTTTTCAGTGGCTATCATTCTGCATATGGTGACAGATGGCCAACTTGACATTCAAGCAATTTCTAACACTACTTTTTGCCAAACTTAGGTGCCAGTCCCTACATGACCCGACTTGCTGCTTTGTGCCATTCGAAATGTATGGATTATTCCCAGGTTGATAAAAGCGGCTTCCACAGTGTTCATTTACTGTGAAACAAGCCATGGGGCACCGGAACAAAGCACCCCCTCTCGTGCTTCTCCAGTTCAGCACCTGTTCCTTCCAGAGCTCGTAATAACAGAATAATTGCAATATTTCCTCATGTGTAGATAAGCCGTGAATGTGTTGCTGTTCCAGCCTCTACAGCTCTCCCTATACAAGATGGTAGTGACCTGAACAGATTGTGTTCTAGACATTTCTTTCTCTATAGACCATCTCTCCCCTCTAGAGACCAACTCTTATCACCATAACAGTTCTCTTTCCAAATAGCATTGCCTTCTATTTATTTTCTTTACTCTATAGCCTCTCAATTGCACCTGGGGCAGGGATTCATGCAAAGGGGGAGACTGGAGGAAGGGAGCGTTTACTCCTTTCCCCACATACAATGGTCCCAATAAAAATCTACCCACAACCACCTCAAAGCAGGGATTGGGAAAAGAGAGGATGGATGGCTGCTAACAGGTTCAGGTTGAATCCTGACAAGACAGAAGTACTGTTTTTGGGGGACAGGGGGTGGGCAGGTGTGGAGGACTCCCTGGTCCTGCATGGGGTAACTGTGCCCCTGAAGGACAGGTGCCCAGCCTGGGAGTCATTTTGGACTCACAGCTGTCCATGGAGGCGCAGGTCAATTCTGTATCCAGGGCAGCTGTCTACCAACTCCACCTGGTACGCAGGCTGAGACCCTACCTGCCCGCGGACTTTCTCGCCAGAGTGGTGCATGCTCTGGTTATCTCCCGCTTGGACTACTGCAACGTGCTCTGCATGGGGCTACCTTTGAAGGTGACCTGGAAACTAAAATTAATCCAGAATGTGGCAGCTAGACTGGTGACTGGGAGTGGCTGCCGAGGCCACATAAGACCAGTCCTGAAAGACCTACATTGGCTCCCAGTACGTTTCCGAGCACAATTCAAAGTGTGGGGGTTACCTTTAAAGCCCTAAACAGCCTCGGTCCGGTATACCTGAAGGAGCATCTCCACCGCCATCGTTCAGCTCAGACACTGAGGTCCAGCTCTGAGGGCCTTTTGGCAGTTCCCTCCTTGCGAGAAGTGAGGTTACAGGGACCCGGCAGAGGGCCTTCTCGGTAGTGGCACCCACCCAGTGGAACACCCTCCCATCAGATGTCAAGGAAATAAACAACTATCTGACTTTTAGAAGACATCTGAAGGCAACCCTGTTTAGGGAAGTTTTTAATGTTTGATGTTTTATCATGTTTTTAATATTCTGTTGGGAGCCACCCAGAGTGGCTGGGGAAACCCAGCCAGATGGGCAGGGTATAAACAATAAATTATTATTATTATTATTATAAAAGAGAGAGAGCCCAATTAACAACAGGATGTGATTTGGATTCTCAGTGTTGTTATTCCACTCTCAGCTTTAAAAAAAGTACAGCAGTGATTTGGATCTGCCAAACTGTGCACATCTTAAAGCACCCCTAGTGATGGCAGGTAAAGAAAGCATTCATTGCTGAACTCTTGTAGTCTCCCCTGAGGTCTGGCTTGCCACACATACCGTTTTCTGGCCTCCACCTTCTTACACTGAACCCAGGACTCCTGGGCACATTGCCCAGTACTGAAAGAAGTACTGGGCTGTAGCCCTGTGGAACAACATGTGCTACTTGTGTACTGTTCCATTTTGTTTGTCTCAAGTCAAGCTCCTAGCTCTTTGAGTAGTTCATCTGGTGCTGCTAACAGCAGCAAAAAGGAAAAAGAAAAAAAGCAGCATAAAACAGTCAGGTCAGCAGAGTTGAAACTGCATCTAAAAAGAAGTAGATGTAGAAAGGACAGTAAAGTAAGTGCCAGGCAAACTTCTTTGGGAAAAGCAATCCACAACTGGGGTGCCACCACTGAAAAGGCACCCCCCTCTCTGATAGCTACCATCCTCACTTCAGAAGTTGAGGGCACCCATAGGAGGCACCCCCTTGACAATCTTTATGTATAGGTAGGTACCTGTATGGGTTTGCCCCCAAAATATTGCAAAAAGCGCTCCCCCCCATCACTATCCACATCCTCCAATAACCACATACGTGCAATACTGCTTATATAATGTGTTATGTACTGAGTTGAATAGGATCCAAAATGCAGCAGTCTGATTGGTCCTAGAACAATAGGATTCAGAATGCAGCAGTCTGATTGGTCCTAGAACAATAGGATCCAAAATGCAGCAGTCTGATTGGTCCACAGGAGCCACCCAATCCAGCTCCAGGGGGAAATGAATCCGCAACCTGATTGGCCTACAGGAGAATCCCAGAAATAGCCAATCACGTGGGGCCCATTGTGTAAATAATTTATATAAAGCAGACATTCTGGGGGAACTTCCATTCCTCCTCACCACTATGAGCTGAATAAAGAGCATGAAATCCACTCTCGACTCCGAGTATATTTCATAATGGATTCAAACAGTTCATCCAAAGCTGGGTTGATGTGGCTGTCATTCTATGGCTCTCCACTATTTGGGGATCCTCGATGGAACTATGAATTCCTTTAGCAATGTTACAGCTAGTATTGTTTGATCAGCAAAGCGTACACCTGTTTGCAAGATCTTTCTGGCAGCCTCTCCTCACCTGGAGGTGAATGCCTGTTTCCCCTCGTCCGGCTTCAATTTCTGCCAGGCGGGAGATTTCTTGGAAGAGCAACGAAATGGCAAACCAACACAGACACCTCGTTCCCCTCCTACTGCAAAGTCCTGTTCCCCCTCCCACAGGTACATCTGGAATGTGGCTTGGAATGTGGCTATAATGTGCCCACCTGCCTTGATCACACCCAGTGCATTAGCATAGCAGTACCAGGTTCAAGCCAGAACACAAACTCTTCCTGCATTCCACTCTCTGATTCCCTCCAGATGTGATGGTCTACAACTTCCCTCACCATGGTCAGTACTAAGGTATGATGGGAGTTGTAGTCCACAGCTGGAGGACCTATCCCTGGTTAGCTATCCCTGGTTCAGTCTCTTAACAGTCCTCTTCTTTTATTTCCAGCAAAAGGCAGATGGGAACCATGCCGGACCACCGATATATCCTGAGCAGAAGGATTTTGATATGATCTATAGAATTGAAGATGCGCCACCCTGGTATCTCTGCATCCTGCTGGGATTTCAGGTAAAGGTGTAATCAAGCTCCACCTGTGACGTGCTTTGAGGTGTGGAGCCAAAGAAACTCAACTGTTCCTCATGACTTTTGTTTATTCCCCCATTCCAAATAAGTCTCATGCTGCTTGTTTCTGAAGCCACTTTATCAAGGTCTCTAGTTGTTAAGTATTCAGATTTTGTTATATGATATAGTAGCCTCATTAGCAATACTATTGTTGTAAAAGTACAGGGAGTAAAAGTTACTAGGGGCACACATAAGGTGCCTATAACTTTCCATTCATTGTTTACGTTGATTAAATAATTGGCCTTGTTGATTTACAGTGTTGATTTCTATGGAATTGTTTGCCTTGATCTTCCCTTTTGACTCCCCCTCTGTACTTTATTTAAAATGCATTTTAATCACTTAAATTCTGTGCAGAGTTAACTAAGACGCTGTGCCACCCCCCACCCAGTTAAATTCTAAATAGTGTCCTATAATCCTAGCTACTGGTTTAGTGATAAATTGGGTGCATACTCACATATACACAAACAAGGTGGCAAGTTGGATCCCCATATGGGACAGTTGAATATTCCTACAACTTGGACTAGATGATCATCGCATAGCTGTCAACGTTTACCTTTTTTTAAGGGAAATTTCCTTATTCCAAATAGGATTCCTCGCAAGGAAAGGGAAAAGTTGACAGCTATGTCTTTGGGGTTCCTTCCAACTCTCCAATTCTATGCATCTATGATTCTATGAATTGCAGGTGTGTTTTTCATGATATCAGGAACTGAACTGGACTGTAGGGGAGGTATTTGGACATTTGGGGTCCTTCCAGGTGTGTTTAAAAAGATGTTCGCACTTCTGCAAACCCTTGGGGTTTCTTTGAGTGTGTCGACAGCTCCCTATTATTTGTCAGTGGCTCCATTCTGGCTTCAGTCCTATTGCTTGACACCTTTTGCTATTAAAAGGAGTGATCTGGATATCTCACAGTTAGTATTTTTTTAAGATAACATTTTATTAATTTCCCCAAAAATAACAAAAGACCCACAAAAATCGAAACAACAACAATACAAATTTAAAGCAAAACAAAACAAATATATAAATTCAAATCCTATATCTTAACTCAGTTGACTTCCCTCCACTCCCCCTCATGGTTCCATTATATTAGCTTATTCATGCACTTCCGTAAAGCCTTATATTCTTAACAATCCAATTTTAAAACCTTATTCATCTTAATACAAGTGACTTTTAAAAGTTCTGCTAATGTAAAAATCCGTACGCAACCCTTAAAAAGTATGCCTTAAACATCCCCCCCCTTTTTTAAAAAAGACGATGTCCTCTTCTTTCTTGGGTTTCAAATTAACTAATATGTCCTGCATAGTTCATTAATTAATTTCCCCCAATCTTATCTTCTTTGGCGGTGGCTTCTTCCTTCTATAGGGATGGGCTGATCTTGCAGGGACAAAGTCTTTTGCTCTATAAGTCCATCAGGTCCTATACAATCTCAGTACCATAACTTCAGGATTTCTTTAACAACAATCATTTCCCACATTCTCTCCAAATCTTTATATGTCTTTCCCCAGGCTTTTTTAATATTAAAAAAGCATGGGAAAAGACGCATAAAGATTTGGAAAAAGCCTGGGAAAAGACGATTGGTATTTTTTAGGCATGCATGACCTATATCTGCTAATAATGCTATGCTCAATCAACAGCCCCAAAGAGAAAACACACATGGCAGAATACATGTGCACTAAGACACCAGTCTGGAGGGACCCTTATGTGATTGATTGATTGATTGATTGATCAAATTTGTATACCGCCCTATACCCGTAGAAAACACAAAATGCACAATAAACACAAGAACAACCCTATAACCTCAATCCCACAGCACATTTAAAAGGACATAGAATGTTAATCAGCCAAAGGCCTGTTCTTGTTTTTATTGTGCATTTTGTATTTTCTAATACTGTCGTTTTATGTTGTAAATCACCCTCAGATCTACGGGTATAGGGCGGTATACAAATTTGATCAGTCAGTCAGTCAGTCAGTCACATAAGGGTCCCTCCAGACTGGTGCCTTAAAGAAAAACATTTTCTCCTGGTGCCTAAGGGAGGGCACCAGGCGAGCCTCCCTGGGGAGGGCATTCCACAAATGGGGAGCCACTGCAGAAAAGGCCCTGTTCTCGTGTTGCCAACCTCTGGACCTCTCGAGGAGGAAGGGCCTCAGAGGATGAAATCTCAGGGGTAGGTTTATATGGAGTAGGATTATACGGAAGTATTGTGGTCCTGAGCTGCGGTTTAAATTTTGGGAATGTGTCTAATCAGGTGCTCTTTTGACCTAGCCTCCTTCCCATTTCCCCCCTCCAGCATTACTTGACATGTTTCAGTGGCACCATCGCAGTTCCCTTCCTACTGGCAGAATCCCTGTGCGTAGGGAAGGACCAATACACCATCAGCCAACTCATTGGTACCATCTTCAGCTGCGTGGGGATCACGACTCTTATCCAAAGCACTGTGGGAATTAGGTATGTTTTGCTCAGCTCCCCACCTCCCTACCCGTCAGCGAACTTAAGGAAGTTGTGGGTGGCTGATGGTGGCAAGTCACTCTCTCTTTCTTTTTGGCAATCTAGACTGCCTCTGTTTCAAGCCAGCGCCTTAGCGTTCCTGGTTCCCGCCAAATCCATTCTGGCCCTGGAGAAATGGAAATGTCCTCCAGAAGGTAATTCAAACTTGTTTCATCCTGAAGGTTGTTAGGAGATAGAACAGGAATAATAAAAGTCAATCCTTTATTAGGCGTAGCAAACCTCACATTATCAAACAAACACCATATACAAATTGTGCAGAATACAAATTCAGCATAACAAGGTTTGTCCCAGTCAGATCTTTAACTCTAGAGAAAATGAATTTGCATAAATAATACAATATAACACTACCGCATCACCGATCAATTAAGAACCACTAAATCTCTTTATAATGGCCCACATGGACAGCACTCAGAAATTCAGCCACTATTAAAGTAATTTGATCGTTCCTGTCTGAGAGCAGGTCTTGAACCGTTGGTGGCATAGAATTAAGCCTGTTAAGTTGTGAGGCCTCTAATAATTGTCTTCTGGCATAATTGCCAAAATCACAAGAAAAGAGAATATGCTCCAAAGTATCAGGTTCCTGTTTACTACATTTGCGGAGACGCTCTGCTTCTGGGACAGCTAAATATCTTCCTCTTACTATCATCGAGGGAAACATATTAAATCTGGCTAACATAAACAGCCTGCACAATTCATGATTCTTCAGATTTGCCATGTATCCCTTTTGAAAACCTCTACACAAAGGGAGATTTAAATACAGAGGAGAGCAAGTGAACAGGAATAATTTGAGGGCCTCCCCATGTTTCCAAGATGGTAACATAATGCGTAGTCAATCTGTGAATCTGTCAATTTTTATTTCTCTCCATTACGCCTATTCTGATTGTTATATTTAGTTTTTAATATTTGTACTATGTTGCTAGCTGCTTCGGGTTAGTTTTTGTTTTTAAAAAGTGACTAAAATGCAATAAATACTAAAATCCTCACTTTTCCAAGCTTAAATTCAGTGTCCACATCAGTTTGTAACTCTTTTAAAAAGAGCTGAAAATTCATCAGCATTTCACTCCATATTTCTGCTAATAGAGAGAGAGCTTGCAACCGTATCTCATGCAGCAATTATAATAGCAGCGAATGTGCAGGGATAGAGTGGGAGGATGGATAAGATTTCGGTGCTCCGTGTAAAAAAATATTATGTGTCTGGCACCGGGAAACAACAAGAAGCGCAAACTTGGAAGGGGAAGTGCTTGGATTGCGTGCAACAAACGTGTAACAACTGTGCACTTATTGTGTTTATTGCTGACCATGTGGAAATTGCCTCAGGAGGGTTGAGTAACACAGTGTAAGGCTGACAAGCTTCATTTGCTAACTGATTCTCTCTCGGTCTCTACTTAAACAGGTTGCTTCGTTCTACTGGCCTTGTGCTTATATTTATCTGTTGACCTTTCTTGCCTCATTATGCAGGGGAGATCTATGGCAACTGGACCTTACCTTTAAACACGTCCCACATTTGGCAGCCGAGGATGAGAGAAGTAAGTTGAACAGCAGCCTTTTCCAGGAAGGGGCCTCTAAAGTAACACTGATCCTGGGATTTCATTGCCGAGGAGTTATTTGGAAGTAATGCATATTAAACAAAAACGGAAGCATATGAATCGAGAAGGCTAATTTGACCCATCAAACCCCCTCTCCCTTAAACGCACAAACAAAACACACTGCAATCAGTTGAATGCAACCTACCAGCCACGCTCTGGGCTCGCCAACGTGTCGCACCGCCAACGAAAACACATAAATGAATAGGTGAACAACCTCCTCCCCGCACATACACTATGCAGAAGAATGAAAGATCATTACCCCCCCACCTCACAATGCCTAACCCAGGCTTCCTCAGCCTCAGCCCTCCAGATGTTTTTGGCCTACAACTCCCATGATCCCTAGCTAACAGGACTAGTGGTCAGGGATGATGGGAATTGTAGTCTCAAAACATCTGGAGGGCTGAGGTTGAGGAAGCCTGGCCTAACCAGTAAAGAGGACTCTCTGAATTGAAAACAGAGACGTTACATTGACCTTTGTTGTCGTTGTTTTCAAATTGTTTTATTAATTTTTCAAATTTATAACAAACATAAACAACATAAAAGAAAAAACATTACAATATAAAAAACAAACAAACAAACATATATCCTACCTGTTATAATCATACTTTTATAACCATTATTAAATGACTTCTTCAAATTCCTCAAGCTGTATTTCCATGTAGTTCATTGTAGCAGTTTTCCAAGACTAATTTCCAATAAAATTAACTTAATCAGTTAACATCTTTCTTACATGGACCTTTGTTATCCATGGAAATCTTTCAGTAAAAACGAATTGAACCAAAACGGGCAGGGTTATATTTTTGCAGGAAAGCTAAGTTGTTATCAGCGGAGTCCTGTTTGCCTTTGCAAGCTTAGTTTTCATAAGTGAAAGGAGTCAAGAAAAAGTGGTTTCAGTATCTGCCCCCTGCTGCACCACCATCTTTGTCTTATTCGTGATCTAAATCGGGGTAGCCAAGACGTAGCCATGAGCCCTAGCCAGCATGAACAATTACAGTGGTGCCTCGCAAGACGAAATTAATTCGTTCCGCAAGTCTCTTCGTCTTGCGAGTTTTTCGTCTTGCGATGCACGGTTTCCCATAGGAATGCATTGAAAATCAATTAATGCGTTCCTAGGGAAACCGCTTCAGACTCAGGTCCGGGGACAGTCTGTCCCCGGACCTCTTCTGAAGGCTGGGGGGCAAGGGCTTTTCTTCCCACCCCCAGCATTTTAAAACCCCGGGACAGCGGAGGACTTCTCCGCTGTCCGGGCGATCTTAAAATGCTGGCGGGCGGCATTTTAAAATCACCCGGGACAGCGGAGGACTTCTCCGCTGTCCGGGGCAATTTAAAGCCCCTGGGAAGGCAGGCAGGGGGACAAAGACTTTGCCCCCGCCAGCCTTCAGAAGAGGTCCTGGACCTCTTCTGAAGGCGGGCGGGGCGAAAGTCTTGCTCCCCGCCTTCAAAGCCCTCCGGGACAGGCAGGCAGGGGGAGCAAAGACTTTCGCCCCCGCCCGCCTTCAGAAGGTCTTCCCTCCCCCGCCCGGCTCGGAGCACCGTTCCGGGCCGGGCAGCGGCGGGAGGTCTTCCCTCCCCCCGCCCGGCTCGGAGCACCGCTCCGAGCCGGGCGGCGGCGGCAGGTGTTCCCTCCCCCGCCCGGCTCGGAGCACCGCTCCGGGCCGGGCGGCGGCGGCAGGTGTTCCCTCCCCCGCCTGGCTCGGAGGAGCCTTCCGAGCCCGGCGGCGGCGGGAGGAGGTGTCCCCGCCCGCCGCCAGGCTTCGGAGGAGGTCCGAGGACAGTGGGAAGACGCGCTGCGCTTCCCCGCTGTCCCTGAGATTTCCCTATGGGCTGTCGTCTTGCGAAGCAAGCCCATAGGGAAATTCGTTTTGCGAAGCGCCTCCAAAACGGAAAACCCTTTCGTCTAGCGGGTTTTCCGTCTTGCGAGGCGTTCGTCTTGCGGGGTACCACTGTATATTGTATAGTAAGAGGCTTAACCTGCAACGTCTGTAGGTCACCATTTAGCCTACTCCTGTTCTAGATGTTTTAAGCTGTATAAAACATTCTGAAATGTTTTATACAGTGGAACCTCGGGTTGCGAATGTGATCCGTGCAGGAGGCACGTTCGCAACCTGCACCGTTCGCAACCCGCAGCTCCACATCTGCGAACACGCGGGTTGTGATTCGGTGCTTCTGTGCATGAGCAAAGTGCAATTTAGTGCTTCTGCGCATGCGCGAGTGCCGAAACCCAGAAGTAACCCGTTCCAATACTTCTGGATTTGGCGCGGTGCGCAACCCGAAATCACATAACCTGAAGCGTCTGTAACCCAAGGTACCACTGTATTCTGTTGGAAGCTGCCCAGAGCGGCTGGGGCAACCCAGCCAGATGGGTGGGGTATAAATAATAAACTTCTTCTTCTTCTTCTTCTTCTTCTTCTTCTTCTTCTTCTTCTTCTTCTTATTATTATTATTATTATTATTGAAATACAATTAATAAGGTAAAGGTAAAGGAACCCCTGACCATTAGGTCCAGTCGTGACCGACTCCGGGGTTGCGGCGCTCATTTCGCTTTACTGGCCGAGGGAGCCGGCGTACAGCTTCCGGGTCATGTACCGCTCTGGCGGGAAGGTAAATGGCATTTCCGTGCACTGCTCTGGTTCAACAGAAGTGGCTTAGTCATGCTGGCCACATGACCAGGAAGCTCTGTCTGCGGACAAACGCTGGCTCCCTCGGCCAGTACAGCGAGATGAGCGCCGCAACCCCAGAGTTGTCCGCGACTGGACTTAACTGTCAGGGGTGCCTTTACCTTTACCTTTACTAGCTCACTAGTGTGAGTGAGGAAGGATAATATTTAATCAATATGGATAATATTTAATCAATATATCCTCTCCTACTGTCCACAACATCTCACATTTCTTGTTGCCAATACTAGTATCTGTTAAGTTGTGGGTGAACATATCAGACGACACAGCGATTCTTCAAACAGCTCTTGTTTATTCACAGGCCAGAACTGAACTGAACTGAAGGGTTCAGCCAGCCTGCTTATATAGAGCTCCACTAGAACGCAACAGTAACCAATTTCTGTAACTATCCAATCACTGAACGTCACTTTCGATCCCTTATTTGCATATGTGGACCTGAACTATCTACAGTATCCCTCTGCTGGCCCAGGGTGAGAACTTCAGTACATAACAGTATCTGTGGTGAAACGTGACCTGATCCACGTTGTGTCTCTCTTCTCCCACAGATCCAAGGAGCAATCATCGTTTCCAGCCTGGTTGAGGTGGTCATTGGTCTGGTGGGCCTCCCTGGGGCCATGCTAAACTACATTGGGCCCCTCACTGTCACCCCCACCGTCTCCTTAATTGGGCTGTCCGTGTTCCAAGCTGCCGGCGACAGAGCGGGATCGCACTGGGGAATTGCAGCACTGTAAGCACCACTTTTTCAGTACAGCAGAATTTCAAATTGACGCAAGAGTAGAGTTGCAGAACTACAGTGGTACCTGGGTTTACGAACGTAATCCATTCCCGAAGTCCGTTCTTAAACCAAAGCATTCTTAAAACAAGGCGTCCTTTCCCATAGCAGCGGGGGACTCAATTTACAAATGGAACACACTCAACGGGAAGCAGAACATGTTCTGCTTCCAAGGCAAAGTTCACAAACCAAAACACCTACTTCCGGGTTTGCAGCGTTCTTAATCCAAGTTGTTCATAAACTAAGCTGTTCTTAAACCAAGGTACCACTGTACTGCATAATCTCAAAAGCAACCAACTGCAGATGCACAAACTAGCCAGTTGCCAAAAGACTTCCTCATCAAGGTGTTTGACTTCCAGGCCAATTCCCTTGTGTGTAATTATGCGTCTAATTTTGGAGCATTTCCTACTTGATCCTCAGTTTTTTATGAAATGTGTAAAGTGCTCACTGATATGTTAGTTGTAATGATGTCGTTCGAAAGGGAGCGATAAGGAAAAGGTCACAGAACAGTATAGGATTTTCTAGCTACTGCTTTGACAATTATCGAGATTCAGGTTTAAATTCCAAAATGTGTTTCTCTGGTACGTCAGCTTTGACCCGATAATATCTCAATTAAATCCTGATATATGTGACATAAAATCTTTGTAAAATCAGAAAATAAAAACAGATCTTAAATATACCGGGTACCATCCAGAGCAAACTAGGTACAGTGGTACCTCAGGTTAAGTACTTAATTCGTTCTGGAGGTCCGTTCTTAACCTGAAACTGTTCTTAACCTGAAGCACCACTTTAGCTAATGGGGCCTCCGGCTGCCACCGCACCGCTGGAGCACAATTTCTGTTCTCATCCTGAAGCAAAGTTCTTAACCTGAAGCACTATTTCTGGGTTAGCGGAGTCTGTAACCTGAAGCGTATGTAACCTGAAGCGTATGTAACCCGAGGTACCACTGTACTCTGAGATTATTAGATATGAATTATTACTGCCATGTGGCCTCAAGTATCTCAGGGTTGTGGGTCTAGATTCAGGTAGGTAGCCGTGTTGGTCTGACGCAGTCGAAATATATAAAAAAAATTGTCCAGTAGCACCTTAGAAACCAACTAAGTTTGTTCTTGGTAGAAGCTTTCGTGTGCATGCACACTTCTTCAGACAGACTGAAACAGAAGGTTTGTGGGTGTTTGTTGTTGTTTAGTCGTTTAGTCGTGTCCGACTCTTCGTGACCCCATGGACGCCAGGCACTCCTGTCTTCCACTGTCTCCCGCAGTTTGGTCAGATTCATGTTTGTAGCTTCAAGAACACTGTCCAACCATCTCGTCCTCTGTCGTCCCCTTCTCCTTGTGCCCTCCAGCTTTCCCAACATCAGGGTCTTTTCCAGGGAGTCTTCTCTTCTCATGAGGTGGCCAAAGTATTGGAGCCTCAGCTTCACGATCTGTCCTTCCAGTGAGCGCTCAGGGCTGATTTCCTTCAGAATGGAGAGGTTTGATCCTCTTGCAGTCCATGGGACTCTCAAGAGTCTCCTCCAGCACCAGAATTCAAAAGCATCAATTCTTCGGAGATCAGCCTTCTTTATGGTCCAGTTCTCACTTCCATACATCATTACTGGGAAAACCATAGTTTTAACTATACGGGCCTTTGTTGGCAAGGTGATGTCTCTGCTTTTAAGATGCTGTCTAGGTTTGTCATTGCTTTTCTCCCAAGAAGCAGGCGTCTTTTAATTTCATGACTGCTGTCACCGTCTGCAGTGATCATGGAGCCCAAGAAAGTAAAATCTCTCACTGCCTCCATTTCTTCCCCTTCTATTTGCCAGGAGGTGATGGGCCCAGTGGGTGTTAGTGTCAGATTAAAATCAGAGGGACATTAGGGACTCTACTGCACTCATTTTTCAACTTGTGGAGAAAGAACGAATCAAATCTGCAAAGGAACAGAACAGCTGCAGAGTTGTAATTCCTAAGCACAAATCACATTATAAGGCCAAATCCTGCTCCAGTGCTGTTAAATTTCTCCATCCAGAACAGATTCGAGGCCAGTTCATGTGACTTGCCGCTGCCAGCAATGCCAATTTTTGTTTTTGAAAATGTAGAAGTCAAAACTGCACGGATAACATTACGTTCTTGGCAAGTGAATCCTTAACAGTAGCAAAAGACGTGAAATTTGAAGTTGTGTGAATTGGTTCTAATGTTTCTGTGCCCTGATTGCTCTTGATCTCCGCTTTTCACGATGCCTTTTTCTGTTTGGAACAGGTCAATTTTCTTAATCATTTTGTTTGCTCAGTACCTACGAAACGTGTCTTTTCTCCTCCCCGGCTACAAATGGGGACAAGGGTGCACTGTGTTCCGAATTCAGATCTTCAAGATGTTCCCGGTAAGAAAGGTCCCCATTGTTCAATAGGGCAAACTTGCCGTGGTCACAGTCTGGTCAGATTTTGATGATTTCACTCCATTATCCAAGGGCTTGTTTTATTTATTTATTACATTTTAATTCCAAAAACAACCTCAGGGTAGTATACAAGGTTCACTTACCCGAATTCTGGGTGGGAGTCTTTTGTGGCCTGGCCCAGCCCGCCCCCCGCCCCCCACCCCCCGAGACATGGAGGAATTCTTTCCCGGCTTGTGGGACTTCCCGCCAAAATTCTTTATTTGAATCGGCTAATCAGGGCCTTGGTGGGCAGACTGGAGTGAGCAAGTCTTCACTCTGGTCCATCACTGGAAGGTTTAAACTGAGTGCGCCTTTGAATTCCAAAAACAACATACCAAATGTCCTCTATTTTCCAGGACACGCCCTCATTTTCATAGGCATGTAAAATGAGAGTCGTCATAGCGATCCATAGCTAAAAGCAGAAGTCTACAAATGTGTCCTCTTTTTTTTTTTTCCTCTTCAAAATATGGCTTCCCTACCACCATTTCATTCCCGCCCTGTGGGAAAGATTTAAGCTCAGAGTAAATGACTGGTTCAAGGGAACTCAACAGAGTATAATAATAAAAATAACTTATTATTTCTACCCCACCCATCTGGCTGGGTTTCCCCAGCCACTCTGGGCGGCTCCCAACAGAACATGAAAAACACAATAAAGGCTCAAACATTAAAAACTTCCCTAAAAAGGGCTGCCTTCAGATGTCTTCTAAAAGTCAGATAGTTGTTTATTTCCTTGACATCTGATGGGAGGGCGTTCCACAGGGTGGGCGCCACTACCGAGAAGGCCCTCTGCCTGGTTCCCTGTAATTTCACTTCTCACAGTGAGGGAACCGCCAGAAGACCCTCGGAGCTGGCCCTCAGTGTCCAGGCAGAACGATGGGGGTGGAGACGCTCCTTCAGGTATACTGGGCCGAGTATCAATGAAAATTACCTGGTGAGAATGAAATATCCCTTCCCTAGCAAAGAGGGAGAGAGAAAGAATGGCAGAAAGAGAGAAGGGTGGGGAAAGAGGGGACGGTTAGGTTCTCCTCAGTGCCTCACTGGCTTAAGCTATCCGCTTTCAACATCCCTCCAAGGAAATCCGCTATATACCACCCCTACCATATCCTAGATCACAGATGTGGGGAACCTCCTGTCTGCAGGCCAGATTTGGCCTGACACAGGTGTCAGCTTGTCCCAAGAGGCTGTTTCTGTCGGAACCTGCGTTCAACCGAGCTCCTCCATAATCGCCCTCTGACGATAATTAATGACCTGAGCCTCTAATAAGGCTCCAAACACGTTCCCATTTCACAGAGTTTCAAAGCAGCAGAAGTGATGAGAAATACAAGCTACATGCTAAGAGTTTTATTACTAAGCCACATAGACAGAAAGGAAATACATCGTCTCTCTGTGAGAGCAGAGAGCAACTGAAAAACAAAGGAACAGGAAACCAGTAAACATCACATCCGTCTCCTGTCTTCCATGAGACTTCCAACAGTCTGGAATCCCAGGAATGTAAACAGAGTCCTGTGACTCCAAGCACTGCACAGTGGCAACACACAGAAACCAACAGTTTCCACCCCACACCTAATACCAGAAGGCCAAATTGTCCATTTGGAGCTGGGAAAAAGGGACAGGGTTTAACTCTTCCGTTTCCTACCACTTTCCCCATCTGTTTCCCCAGTCATGGGGGTCCTGAGCGCATGCTTATCTTGCAAATGCATAGAACATGTAGCTAAACCCTTAGCAAGACACAGATGTGAAACTAGGAAGGGAACTTCTCTCTCTGTTTCTATTGAGAGCTTACTTTGGCTCGAGGGCGAAGAAAAACGGAACGTTTCCATTTTCATGCAATAAAAAGAAATGAAAGGGTTGACATGCGGCGAATGCTGTGAGTGAGGAATTAATTGTGTTGATGGTCACAGTGTCGCTCAGAATGACTTGCACAACCCCGTTCCTCACAGCAATTGCAGTGGTGCTGAAAAAGCTGTCTCAGGGAAGAATCTAATATTCCCAGTGACAAAACGTAGCAGGATGGATGCTAGGAAAATGCAATTTCAAGAGAAGCAATGTTTGGATTCCGTGCTATGGATGAGGGTAAAAATTGAAGCACGTTTGCAAGCACGCACATCATATTGAAAGGACCCTAACCTGTGGGTTGTATAATGCAACAGCCTCTCTGGAGTCTTGTCATCTTGGATACCAGAAATAATTTCAAAATGGAACGAGCAAAGACTTTTATTTAATTTACAGATTGCCTCCCCTGAGGCACCCCAGCGTGATTTACAACAGTTACATGCATAAAAATAGTTTAAACCATGGGTCAGCAAACTTTTTCAGCAGAGGGCCAGTCCACTGTCCCTCAGACCTTGTGGGGGGTGGACTATATTTTGAAAAATAACAATGAACAAATTCCTATGCCCCACAAATAACCCACAGATGCATTTGAAATAAAAGCACACATCCTACTCATGTAAAAACACGCTGATTCCCGGACCGTCCGCTGGCCAGATTGAGAAGGTGATTGGGCCGGATCTGGCCCCCGGGCCTTAGTTTGCTTACCCATGGTTTAAACAATCACATATGAGAGAGAGAGAGATTAAAACAACCACCGCACATAAATAAAATTATGTAAATTCAGTACAGCTACTAACTGGGAAAGGTATATGTAGTGACTGCTAGCAAAGCAGAAAGGTTACGCTCCTGTTTCCCTCCCCCCTTTGAATTACTCAGGCTGCAATCCTGTCCAGTTTCCCAGAAGTAAGTCTCATTGAACTTGGCAAGATTTACGTCTGAGTAAATGTTCACAGGATTCGCTCTAAGGCTGTAGGAGTGAGGCAAGTTAGGGCAGTGAAAGCAGTGGGTACCATTGCCATATCTGTTTCCTCTTCAGATCATTCTGGCCATCTTGGTTGTCTGGCTGCTGTGTTACATTCTGACAGTGACAGATGTATTTCCTCGTGATGTAGATGCCTATGGATTCAAGGCCAGAACAGACGCTAGAGGAGAAATAATATCCATTGCACCGTGGTTCCGTCTCCCTTACCCTTGTAAGTAACGATGGATCTTCCCTTCCGACTCTTGCTTCTCCATCTCCCCAGCTTCCATCTTCACAACAACCCTCTGAGGTAGATCTGTGGGCTCAAAATCACCCAGTAAGCTTCAGAGCTGAGTAGGGATTTACTGGCAAATGTAAAGGTAAAAGGCAAAGGACCCCTGGATGGTTAAAAGGTAAAGGTAAAGGTACCCCGACCATTAGGTCCAGTTGTGGACAACTCTGGGGTTGTGCGCTCATCTTGCTCTATAGGCCAAGGGAGCCGGCGTACAGCTTCCGGGTCATGTGGCCAGCATGACTAAGCCGCTTCTGGCGAACCAGAGCAGCGCACAGAAACGCCATTTACCTTCCCTCCAGAGCAGTACTTTCGAACTGCTAGGTTGGCAGGAGCAGGGACCGAGCAACTGGAGCTCACTCCACTGTGGGGATTCGAACCGCCAACCTTCTGATTGCCAAGCCCAAGAGGCTCAGTGGTTTAGACCACAGCGCCACCTGCATGCCAAATGTATGATGTGCAGGACCTCGTTAGAACACCCCCCATAGCCACAGCCCTCAGGATAGTCCATAGCTGCATCTATAGGGGAAGAGCCCAAAATTTCATGAGTCTGTACTACTCACACATACTCACTAAGTGCTAGCTATTATTATTATTATTATTATTATTATTATTATTATTATTATTATTATATTTATTTAGAGTTTGTATACTACCTTATACCCAGAGGTCTCAGGGCGGTTCAAAGAAAAGACCACAACATATATAATCAGAATAAAAACAACAACCCAATAACAGCCTCACAGAAAAGAGCCACATTTTAAAAAGGTACAGTGGTACCTTGGGTTAAGAACTTAATTCGTTCCGGAGGTCCGTTCTTAACCTGAAACTGTTCTTAACCTGAAGCACCACTTTAGCTAATGGGGCCTCCCGCTGCCGCTGCGCCGCCGGAGCACGATTTCTGTTCTCATCCTCAAGCAAAGTTCTTAACCTGAGGTACTATTTCTGGGTTAGTGGAGTCTGTAACCTGAAACGGATGTAACCTGAAGCGTATGTAACCTGAGGTACCACTGTATAGGATGTCCCTAGCTAGGTTTTGGGAAGGAGGCCGGAGGATTCTAGGACCCTGTCAGAGCCCTCACACGTCCTTCCCGAAGCTTGGTAAACAGCAGGGGGAAGGTTGCAAGGGTGGGCTCGGTCAAATGTTGATGAGGGCCGTCAAAAATGTCCTCAAGGGCCTGGTATAAAGGATTGTGTGGGTTAATCTGTGAGAGAGTTGATGTGGTATGGATGAAGAATAAAGTGTTCAGGTTATACCAAGGGCCTTCTCGGTAGTGGCACCTGCCCTGTGGAACGCCCTCCCATCAGATGTCAAGGAGATAAAGAACTTTTAGAAGACACCTGAAGGTAGCCCTGTATGGGGAAGTTTTGAATGTTTGGTGTTTTATTATGCTTTTATATTTGTTGTAAGCTGCCCGGAGTGGCTGGGGCTAATAATAAAATTTATTGTGATTATTGCTGCTGTTGTTATTCAGTTTTAAAGTGAAGGCAACATTCTGCTCCAGCTAACAGCTGCTCCCCTTTGCTTGCTCTAGGCCAGTGGGGCATCCCCACAGTGACAGCCGCCGCCGTGCTGGGCATGTTCAGCGCTACCTTGTGTGGGATCGTTGAGTCTATTGGCGATTATTATGCTTGTGCTAGGCTTGCAGGTGCTCCACCTCCACCTGTGCATGCCATTAACAGGTAGGAGAGATACAGTTCCCTTGCATTGCATGGATATTTGACGCATCGCCTCAGGGAATGGTAGTTCAGTAGCCGGGGCACTAGGTCAGAGATGGGGAGCCTGTGGTCTTCTTGGACTCCCACCTTTCATGGATTAAAATAATCTAAACTGCAGGGGTCCTTCCTGCATTGTCTCTGTGTGGGAAGCTGGCCTATCCTACCAAATATACCGTATTTTTTGCTCTATAAGACTCACTTTTTCCCTCCTAAAAAGTAAGGGGAAATGTGTGTGCGTCTTATGGAGCGAATGCAGGCTGCGCAGCTATCCCAGAAGCCAGAACAGCAAGAGGGATTGCTTCTTTCACTGCGCAGCGATCCCTCTTGCTGTTCTGGCTTCTGAGATTCAGAATATTTTTTTTCTTGTTTTCCTCCTCCAAAAACTAGGTGCGTCTTGTGGTCTGGTGCGTCTTATAGAGCGAAAAATACGGTACTTGATTCCATTGAAATTTCCAGAAGTTGTTCCCACATCAATGATGGACCTGTTGAAACAAATTGGAAGGGATGAGGAACCTGTCTCGCACCAAGTGCATGCCACTCAACAGTCCCGATTTAAGCGGGTGTGGCGATCACACAGGGTCTTCGGACGTTTCACCGTCTATTGATCCCTGTGCCACCACTTTATTTCTTGCTGCCACCACCCGGGCCCTACCTGGTACAATACTGAGTCCAGTCAGGGTTAAATTGGAACATAAATTTCTGTTTATTTATTGCAGTTTAACAAGCGTGTGGGTTCATAAACAGTATCAGTCAATTACATTCATGGGGTGCCTAAAGATAAAGGTAAAGGGACCCCTGATCATTAGGTCTAGTCGTGACCAACTCTGGGGTTGCGGCGTTCATCTCGCTTTATTGGCCGAGGGAGCCGGCGTACAGCTTCCAGGTCATGTGGCCAGCATGACTAAGCCGCTTCTGGCGAACCAGAGCAGTGCACGGAAACGCTGTTTACCTTCCCACTGGAACAGTACCTATTTATCTACTTCCACTTTGATGTGCTTTCAAACTGCTAGGTTGGCAGGAGCAGGGACCGAGCAACGGGAGCTCACCCCGTCATGGGGATTCGAACCGCCGACCTTCTGATCGGCAAGCCCTAGGCTCTGTGGTTTAACCCACAGTGCCACCCACGTCCCATGGGGTGCCTATCCAGACCTATAACTTCCACTACCTGCTCTCACTCACTAAACCACCTCTCAGATATTTACTTGTCTTCCTAGCCCCTAACTATTCCTGACTCAGCTTATTTCGCTACACTAACTCAACCTACCCCCAAACTCTATCCCAATTCACTCCCACTCCAACCAACCACCCAACTCCCAACGAACTCCCCCCAAAGTTGGTTTTATAGTCCCTCTGACTCCACCCCCTGGGTTCTGATTGGGTAACCTGTTTAACTATTTCACCTCCAGCACTCTCATATGTTAACGTCACAGCGGGGACATCCTGGAATTACAGAAGCCAATCCCAGATCCCAAAACGTCCCATTTTTTTGGTCTGGCGTTCTGGCACGAGTGAACTGGCAGAGTGCCGGAACGAAAGCCCCTTGCTTTTGGGTCTTGTCCTGCTGCGCATGTGCGAGAGCTCGGGACCAAATATGGCGCGTCCTGATTTGCGTCCCCAGGATGTTGGAGGGTGTGCAAGTGAGACCATTGGTTCAATCAGCTCAGGACTGTCTGCTTGAACAACATCTGTACAGAATTCAAACAAGAGCCCTTCCGGATTCTGCCTGGAAACGCTAGCCCACTGTGCTGCGATCCTGTCTCCAAGCATGAGGAATGGTCATAGACTTGGGAGTTTGGTGGGGAAAGGAGGGTGTTTGCTCCTATTCCTGTTGGTGAGATTGCTTTTTTGGGGTACCTCTGTCAGAGTATCTGGAATATGGGATGCAGCAGAGCAGGGCAATTGGTTCGGGATATAATCCATCACATAATTTTGCAATGCTGAAGGAATGGGTTTCCCAAACCCAAAACTGACTGTGCAGGCAGTTTGAAACTGCACCAAAATCCCTATTTTTCCTTAGCTAAAATGCTTTAACTTGAGCTCTTGAGCCAAAAACCCAGCTGTATAAACAAGTGCTCAGAGCCCTCTCCTTTATCAGTTTGTGACGGCAAGTATGGCCTTGACTGTACCAGTAGAACAGGGAAGACACGTCTGTGCCTTATCTTATATCCTGACCAAAAGGCGCACAGACCTAGTCTGGGAACAGCGCCAGAGGGTGTTCTTGAAGATGGTGACCTCTTGCTCCAATATAAGAGTAGGAACAGGAAGAACCGTTTATGGTCAGAAGTATAGGAAGGAATACCCTTTTATGGTTAAGAGTGCCGGAGCAGGAGCATCTGTGATGTCAACCTTCGTGTACAAACTGATGTGGCTGGATTCCTGGGGAAGGGGGAGAGGGTGCCTGGAGGATATATATACTGCATGTAATCTCTCATTTCTTTGGACTTGCTGTGGACACACCACGCAGGTGCCTTTCTGCTGTTCCAGAGAGCAGAAATAAAGAACTCTTTCTCTGAATCAACCCTCGGTGTCATTTGACTTCCTTCCTCCTGTCCAGGAGCAACGCAGACCCAATCGGTGAACAATAAGGCTACAATGCCACTGCATGGTCTAAATTTTACGTTGCTGATGGTTATGCTTTTCATCATAGTTTTGGATTGCTTTGTGATCGTTTAATACTGTAATTTACCACGGAAGCCCTTCAAGGCTGGACATTTGTTGGGTGGCGGGCAGGAAAATAAATGATAAAAAAGGAAAGTATTACTGCATTTGATTTTTATTTCTTTTTTGCAGCTTCCTCCTGCAAAAATAAAATAAACTGTTGGAGGTAGGCATGCGGAAAACCTAATGCAATAATTGGAGTTCTTTTCTCTTTCTCTTTCTCTCCCTTCTCAGGGGCATTTTTACAGAGGGAATCTCTTGTATCATTGCTGGTTTGCTGGGCACTGGCAATGGTTCTACTTCCTCGAGCCCCAACATCGGCGTCTTGGGCATCACCAAGGTACCACCCTGAGATGTTTGATGGCGGCTTCTGTTTCTTGCTGGATTTCTGCCAGTCACGGTTCCTGGGGCTATGCTGGGAGGAGAGTCGGGAACATCTGCCGGAGCTGAATGCAGCAGCTGCTTGCTTCTCCAGAAGCAGCACGAGGCTCCCAGTTTCTGGCACCTGGGCAAGATCAGCAGCAGGTTTTGATCTTCCAGTCCCATCCTAGTTTGGGCTTCTGGTTACTTTGATTTCATGTCTCCCATGGAATCCTGGGACTATTCCAGTGGGTGCAGAATTAGGAAGATGAGGAAGCTCCCATTGACTAGGTCAGACTGTTGGTCCATCTAAGGTTTTGGCAGAGGTCCTTAACATCTTTATAAACTGTATAAACTAAGTCAGGGGGCAGAGAAGCTGTGGCTTTTCAGAGGCCACTGAACTATAGCTCCATCTCTGGCCAAGTTACCCCTGTGGTAAGGACAGAACATCAGGAAGCATGCATCAGAACTTTTATATGTGAATGAATGGGCTCTCCTACAGAGATCGTTTTTTGCACCAGTGGTTCTACAGGTGTAGCTCTGGTGCTGAGATTGTCCATTGAAAGTGAAATATACTCGGAGTCGAGAGTGGATTTCATGCTCTTTATTCAGCTCATAGTGGTGAGGAGGAATGGAAGTTCCCCCAGAATGTTTGCTTTATATACATTGTTTACACAATGGGCCCCACGTGATCGGCTAATTCCAGGATTCTCCTGTAGGCCAATCAGGTTGCGGATTCACTTCCACCTGGAGCTGGATTGGGTGGCTCCTGTGGACCAATCAGACTGCTGCATTCTGGATCCTATTGTTCTAGGACCAATCAGACTGCTGCATTCTGAATCCTATTGTTCTAGGACCAATCAGACTGCTGCATTTTGGATCCTATTCAACTCAGTACATAACAGAAAGATTTGCCCATTTGTATTGCTTGTCATGCAGAATGTCCCACCTGTACAATCCCTGGCGTCTCCAGTGTCAGTTGCAGGAGATGAAAGGAGAGGCGAGACTCCCATTTTCTTCCTGAGACCTGGGAGTGCTGCTGTTTGCTGGAGCAGAGAGTGCTGGGCTAGAGGCCTGGCTGAGAGGTAGCCTCTAGATGCTGTTGGGTTCCAGCTGCCGTCATCCGCAGCCAACATGGTCGATTGTCAGGGATGATGGGAGCTGAAGTCCAGCAATATCCGGAGGGCACCGTGTCAACTTTCCTCCATATAACCTGTTATAAGTCAGCTTCACATGCAGAATTTAAAGGCACATAGCTTAGATGGCTGAATTCAAGGGGAGTTACTTCCAGGTAAGGGCGCAGGTGGCACTGTGGGTTAAATCACAGAGCCTAGGACTTGCCGATCAGAAGGTCGGAGGTTCGAATCCCCACAACGGGGTGAGCTCCCGTTGCTCTGTCCCTGCTCCTGCCAACCTAGCAGTTTGAAAGCACATCAAAGTGCAAGTAGATAAATAGGTACTGCTCCAGTGGGAAGGTAAATGGCGTTTCCGTGCGCTGCTCTGGTTCGCCAGAAGCGGCTTAGTCATGCTGGCCATGACCCGGAAGCTGTACGCCGGTTCCCTCGGCCAGTAAAGCAAGATGAGCGCCGCAACCCCAGAGTCGTCCGCGACTGGACCTTTACTTCCAGGTAAGTCTGCACAGGATTGTAGCTTAAAATCTCACTTTGCTCATGAAAACATGGGACTAATGATCTCTTATGACAGTTAGAAACCCGACTGGAAAGGCAAAGCTTATAGTCATCAGGTACTATACAAAAGAAATGCAAATTCTCCCGTCCTGGAGACGTTAATAGTCTAGCTAACAGTACAACACCAATAAATAGATGCAACAGAACCCCCTTCTCCCTGCAGCAATATGGGAAGCAGACATGGAGATGAATAACAGTATTGTGAAGGACGAACATTTGATTAACTGGCTGTTACTCGTGTGTTTGCTCTTCCTATACAGGTAGGCAGCAGAAGAGTGGTACAGTACGGTGCTGGAATCATGCTCATTTTGGGAACCATTGGCAAATTTACAGCTTTGTTTGCCTCCCTCCCTGACCCAATCCTTGGAGGGATGTTCTGTACGTTGTTTGGTAAGTTACCTTTATTCTGCTGTGCAAAATGCAGTAAGCAGGATATTATTATTTCTTATAAATATAGCAAGAAAACCTATAGAATATAGTCACTTATTTGTAGTAGTGTGGCAATGATTCTTCAACTTCGTTGGACTGGTCATATTGTTCGGATGCCTGATTATCATCTTCCAAAGCAACTACTTTATTCCCAATTTAAGAATGGAAAGCGAAATACCGGTGGACAACAAAAGAGGTTTAAAAAGGTACTCGCAAGGCAAATCTTTTTTAAAAATGTAGTATAAGCATAACTGGAAAACACTGGCCTGTGAGCACTCCAGTTGGAGAACAACCTTTACCAAAGGTGTCATGGACTTTGAAGATGCTCGAACTCAGGACTTATGGACTCACTGTTAAGGCCATATTCATGGAAGACAATCTCACTCAGCTACAAGCGATTGCCGAGGAAGAAGAAGAAGAAGAAGTCATGTGGAAATAGCTATGTGTTTTTAGTCATGACCAGGATCTTAATGGCAGTTGTTGTTTGTTGTTTAGTTGTTTAGTCGTGTCCGACTCTTCGTGACCCCATGGACCAGAGCACGCCAGGCACTCCTGTCTTCCACTGCCTCCCGCAGTTTGGTCAAACTCATGCTGGTAGCTTCGAAAACACTGTCCAACCATCTCGTCCTCTGCCGTCCCCTTCTCCTTGTGCCCTCCATCTCTCCCAACATCAGGGTCTTTTCCAGGGAGTCTTCTCTTCTCATGAGGTGGCCAAAGTATTGGAGCCTCAGCTTCAGGATCTGTCCTTCCAGTGAGCACTCAGGGCTGATTTCCTTAAGAATGGAAAGGTTTGATCTTCTTGCAGTCCATGGGACTCTCAAGAGTCTCCTCCAGCACCATAATTCAAAAGCATCAATTCAAGCAGAGCCAAAAGCACAATTTAAACCACAGCTGAACCTGAACAAAGTAAAAGCTTGCAATGGTTTGATTCCCTGCCAGCATTTCAGATATTAGGTCTGAGATTGCCCTATTTTTCCTCCTCTTTTTCCAGAATACACATTTATCTGAATGAAAGTTTTAGAGGTGGCCACATGAGGACTATTAAATTAAAGTGAAGAGTGAAGTGTGTTTTGCAAAGTTTTGACAAAGAGCAAAGCTGTGGCAGTTTAAAAACAACTCAGAGACTTCCCAAGCTAAAACACAAAAGCAAAAGTACTAGGAAAGCATCTATATATTAAAGGAGATTTGTCAATATTATTTCTCCCACTTTAATATTCACTCTCAGAACACACACACAAAAATGTTTCCAAATCTGACGTAGCTGTATTTTATTTTGCCAGCTACCCGGAGGCAGAGCAACAGTCTCCTTAAGGAAAGCAAAACTGTCCGCTCCATTTAAGTAAAGCAGTACTAAAAATTTAAGGATGACCATAAAACACTTATTTGGGGCAATCTCATTCTCACATTACTCTTTCCCGGTGTGTTTATTTTCTGCAAAATGCTAGGCACACCTTAGCCCCTTAAAGTGTCCATATTGTGGGGATTTCTCAGTTAACTCTGGATGATTTGCTGATGCTTCTCGGATTAAAAGGGGGTTTAATATATCTTATATGCAACCTGATATGCTTTCAGATGGATTAGACAACACTGGCTATTTAATGAACGTTCATCTTGATATGTTGCAGGGAGGTTAGGTGATTGTTGCATCAAAACAGTGTTTTGCTACATTTTCCAGTGTATTTTCCCGTCACTTCCCTTACAGCAAAAAACTGGGTTTGTTGTGCAATCTCCCTCCCCCAATCAAATATAAATGTGTACATTTGATTTACTAGTTACGTGATTGAATCCAACTCAGAACTAGCAACAGACTCTGGAAGCACCCTTAGAGAGGACTCGAAGAAGTGATATGAATGTTCTGTGATGCATAAAAATATCCGAAGTTGAAAGGTTGAATTGTAGGGTGACCTGCATCAAGTGTGAGAACTAAGGAAATCTGAACACACAGTTTAAGCTACACACACACTAAACTGTTAAAGAACAAAACACATTCCTCCCCTCAAAGAATTCTGTGTGCTGTAGTTTGTGAGGGACAATTCTTAGCAACCTTTAACAAACTACAGTGAATCCTTTGGGGTGGGTGGGGAGGGGGCTGAACTTTAAAGGTGTAGTGAAGGGGTAGGCAACCTAAGGCCCAGGGGCTGGATGCGACCCAAATGCCTTCTCAATTTGGCTCGCGGATGGTTCGGGAACCAGCGTGCTTTTACATGAGTAGAATATGTGCTTTTATTTAAAATGCATTTCTGGGTTATTTGTGGGGCATTTCGTTCATTCCCCCCCCCAAATAAATAGTCTGGCCCACCACATGGTCTGAGGGACGGTGGACCAGCCCAAGGCCGAAAAAGGTTGCTGACCCCTGGTATAGTGTGTATGCAGTCTTAGTTTGTGTAATTTAGCCAGGGTGAAGGGCACTAAAGACTCCCTTGAGCACTGAAAATATAAAGAAGCTTGTACTTTCTTGAAATTTCTTTGTGTAAACCCACATATCATGGTCTGCGCCCCCGCCCCCAATCCTGAACTAGTGACGTTGTGTTTGGGGCTACAGGGGTGTTTGTTTCCACCAGGGATCCAAAACCCTGGATACCATGGGCAGAGCCAAGATTTTGGTTTTGGGGGAGTGGACACCCACCTGCCAAACGTCCAGATTTTTGCAGGGGTTTTTGATGCTTTTGTAAGAAAAAGCTCAACATTTGAAATGTCTCAGCAACAGTTGCTTTAAATTACTTTCTTTTGACCCAAAGTGCTCATAAAAATCTGTCAAAAACTTTCTACAATTTCTACTTTTAGTTAAGGATTGATTGATTAATTTACTCCCCTGACTGCACCCATACCAGACACTATAGATGGCACCCACCGCCTGTCAAAATACAGCTTCTCTACCCTTTAGAGTGGAATGCGGGTGGAGCTGTGGGTTAAACCACAGAGCCTAGGACTTGCCGATCAGAAGGTTGGCGGTTCGAATCCCTGCGATGGGGTGAGCTCCCATTGCTCGGTCCCTGCTCCTGCCAACCTAGCAGTTTGAAAGCATGTCAAAGTGCAAGTAGATAAATAGGTACCACTCCAGCGGGAAGGTAAACGGGGTTTCCGTGCGCTGCTCTGGTTCGCCAGAAGCGGCTTAGTCATGCTGGCCATGACCCGGAAGCTGTATGCCGGCTCCCTCGGCCAGTAAAGCGAGATGAGCGGCGCAACCCCAGAGTCATCCGCGACTGGACCTAATGGTCAGGGGTCCCTTTACCTTTACCTTACCCTTTAGAGTCACTTGGGGCTGCTGCAATGTGTGTGATCCCAGAAAAACAGTTTACAGACAAGGATTGTTCTGAAGCAGCACTGACTGGGGAAGTCGGTCCCTTGCATTGGCCTTTTCTGGAACGTCATCCTTAAGAAGTCTACCGCGCATGTGTTATAAAGCCGAGTTTTTCCTCTTCCCCATTTGCAGGCATGATCACCGCCGTGGGTCTCTCCAACCTGCAGTTTGTCGACATGAACTCCTCCCGCAACCTTTTCGTCCTGGGCTTCGCAATGTTTTTTGGGCTCACCGTCCCAAACTACTTAGATTCGCGCCCAAATGCTATCAACACAGGTACAGTCATACCTCGGATGGAAGTAACTTCAGGTTAAGCATTTTCGGGTTGTGACCTGGAAGTAATGGAGCGTGTTACTTCCGGGTTTCGCTGCTCGCGCATGCGCAGACGCTCAAAATAACGTCACGTGCATGCGCCGAAGCGGCGAATCGCCACACGTGCAGATGTGGGTTGTGTTTGCTTCAGGATGTGAACAGGGCTCCGGAACGGATCCCGTTCGCATCCAGAGGTACGACTGTATTGAAAAGTCTCTGGAAAGTCTTTGCCTAATCAGAGGCATACAGAACCTCAGGACTGGGCTGGTCCTACAATTAAGAGAGAGAGAGAGAGAGAGAGAGAGAGAGAGAGAGAAGATGCCCTTCCTCTGTTCCCACCCCTTTGTTCCCTCCTCCTGAGCTGGAGCAGGAACAGCAGCCAAGCTTGGTTATCAGTCTAAGTGTCTCCTGCCAGTCTGGTCAGCTTCTGTATGGGTCAGCCTGGCTTCTAACTAAAGACACACATAGATCTTTCAGGCATCTTGTGGCTCCGCATTGTGATTACAATTGTTTGTGGCAGTTTTAGGATTCTATGATGTGCATGGTACATCATCATCATCATATTTTATTTATATCCCGCCCTCCCCAGCCGAAGCCGGGCTCAGAGCGGCTAACAACAGTAAAGTAATACAGCAGTCTAAAATCAATTCATTATAAAATCTGTTCAAATCAAATTAATGGCAACCATTGGGCTAGAGTTCTGTGAGGATTGCCAAAGGAGGGGGTCAGGCTGTGCCCTGGCCAAAGGCCTGATGGAACAGCTCTGTCTCACAGGCCCTGCGGAAAGATGTCAAGTCCCACAGGGCCCTTGTCTCTTGTGACAGAGCGTTCCACCAGATCGGAGCCACAGCCGAAAAAGCCCTGGCTCTGGTTGAGGCCAGCCTAACCTCCCTGTGGCCTGGGACCTCCAAGATGTTTTTATTTGAAGACCGTAAGGTCCTCTGTGGGACATGCCAGGAGAGGCGGTCCTGTAGGTATGAGGGTCCTAGGCCATATAGGGCTTCAAAAGTTAAAACCAGCACCTTAAACCTGATCCTGTACTCCACTGGGAGCCAATGCAGCTGGTATAGCACTGGGTGAATGTGATCGCGCAGCGAGGACCCCGTAAGGAGTCTCATCGCGGCATTCTGCACCCGCTGGAGTTTCTGGGTCAGTCTCAAGGGCAGCCCCATGTAGAGCGAGTTACAATAATCCAGTCAGGAGGTGACCGTCGCGTGGATCACAGTGGCTTGGTCAGGGCGAGAGAGGTAAGGAGCCAACTGCTTAGCTTGGCGGAGATGAAAAAATGCCGCCTTTGTTATAACTGCAATCTGCACCTCCATGGAAAGGGAGGTGTCGAAGATTACACCCAAACTCGTAACGGACGGTGCTGGCACTAATTGCACCCCCGCAAGAGATGGGATTGCCCCCCCAATCCCAAATCGTTCTGACCCAGGTCGTTCAGCCTTTGTCCCGATGACAGCCACACACGCCAAGTGTCTGCTAGCCAGGGGAAAGGACCACAGTTCCCTTAAGCTCAGAAGGTCCCAGCTTCAATTCTCAGCATCCCCAAGTAGGCTGGGAAATGCTTCATTTCCAAAACCTTGGAGAGCAGCTGCTAATCAGGGTGGACAATGCTGAGCTCGATACACCAGTGGTCTGGCTCCACATCAGGCAGCTTCTGACACATGTTCTTAATTCGATGGGCATGATTTTTTGAAATAGGAATGGCTTTTGAAACTGAATTCTGCGCTGATGACCTAGAACCTCGGCCCTCCAGATGTTTCGAGACTAGAGTTCCCATCATCCCTGGCTGCTGGTCCTGCTAGCTAGGGATCATGGGAGTTGTAGGCCAAAAACATCTGGAGGGCCGAGGTTGAGGAAGTCGGACCAAGAAGAATGGAGTGGCGACGTATTATGTACTGATGGAACCAGCTTTACTTTTTCTGTCTAGCCTGATGGCTAAAAAAGAAAGGAATGAGGTGTCAAAAGCTAGTCACCAGGCCATGATTTCTCAGTCACCACGGATGTTTGGGGGCAAAGGGCAGGTCAGAGAGAAAGGAAAGGAAACCGAGTAACGAGATAACTATGCAGAACACTGCATGTGTGAATGGAGCGATGGGTGGATTGGGTGGGAAAGAGAGGCAGAAAGACTCCACTTCTTTAGATTGCCTAAATCTACCAAATCAAAAAACGTGCTTTCTGGGACCTTTATCTTTGGCTAATGGGGGCAAGAACTTGGGGTCTGGGTATGTGTTGATGGTGAGGGCAAAGGATGGTAAAAAGGCCTCTTCCTTCAACTGGTTTGATTGATGTGCTACCTTCCTTTGTAGAAAAATGAGTTAGTATAAGAAAATAGGGTTCTGAACTCCATGGAAAGGCTGAGTTGGGGAAGGAGAAAATGACATACAAAAGCATATATACCACCGTTTCAACTGTAAACGGATTGTTTTTAATTTACTAAATTTAACATTTTCATGCTCAATCCATCTGCAGTTTTCAGTTCAAGCTCCAAAAGCAGTTTTGAATTTGTGATACGATAGGCATGTTGTCAATCTTATTTCTAGGTATTGCTGAAGTGGACCAAATATTAACAGTGCTCTTAACCACAGAAATGTTTGTTGGAGGTGGCATCGCGTTCATACTGGACAATACCATCCCAGGTACAAGAGTTTCATTTCCTTGCAGTATTTTCAGAGTGTTTGTTGTGGGGGAGGAAGGGAAAGGAGAATGTTAGCCGCTTTGAGACTCCTTTGGGTAGTGATAAAGCGGGATATCAAATCGAAACTCCGAAACCCAAGGCAAGCATTGCTTGTCAGAGGTGACAATTTTTTTAGCTCTCCTACCCCACTAACGGGACGCGGGTGGCGCTATGGGTTAAACCACAGAGCCTAGGACTTGCTGATCAGAAGGTCGGCAGTTCGCATCCCCGCGACGGGGTGAGCTCCCGTTGCTCGGTCCCTGCTCCTGCCAACCTAGCAGTTTGAAAGCACGTCAAAAGTGCAAGTAGATAAATAGGTATCGCTCTGGCAGGAAGGTAAACGGCGTTTCCCTGCGCTGCTCTGGTTCACCAGAAGCGGCTTAGTCATGCTGGCCACATGACCCGGAAGCTGTACGCCGGCTCCCTAGGCCAATAAAGCGAAATGAGCACCGCAACCCCAGAGTCGTCCGTGACTGGACCTAATGGTCAGGGGTCCCTTTACCCTTTACCTCACTAACAGTGGTGGAGTGTGGAAACGTTGACATTGACTCTTCATCGACTGCTGTGGGCTTGAGAGAGCGCACTTGCATATGCGGTGATTGTGGAGGGCTCGGGCACACACGCACATGTGTGTCTACACTTAAACGCAGCAAGAATTTCTTTAGTAGAATCCTGATCACACACTGACCATTTTCTGAATTTGGAGTGTTACGCATTTGCTGGAGGGTTGTTTGTATAAATGATCCATATTGCAGATGGTAAGAATTGTGTGCTTTCTACCAAGTTTGAATTAACCATTTGCAAAATGGAGCGTCTAACCATTGAACCATTTTAAGGGACTGGTCAGAGGCTGCAGTTTCTTTTAACTACTGTCCCTGTTTGGCCAAGACTGCGGCAGCTACCATTGAGGAAAAATAGTTTTTAAGTTGAGAAATCTCAGTTTAATCTGTGGTTGTAAACTTGCTTTATTTTGTTAAGAGATTATATGGTTCTCCTCTTTGTTTTGAACCCCCCCCCCATCTATACTCCTTCCCAGGGACTCTAGAGGAACGTGGTCTAGTACAGTGGAAGGCTGGGGCACATGCAAACAGCGGCACGTCTGCAAAACTGAAGAGTTACGATTTTCCATTTGGAATGGGTGTGGTTAGAAGGATCCAGTGGTTAAAATATGTGCCAATTTGTCCAGTCTTCATGGGTTTTCACTGCGGAACAAAGAGGGATTCCAGCACACCAGAACAGACAGCAAACACGGCAGAGATTACAGTCATATGTACAAAAGTTTGAAAAGACTCCCATAAGGTATGGAAGTTTGGACAATCTCAGATACTAGGGTATTTAAATCATACCCCATGCCTCAAGCAAATCACACCAGCAGAGGAGATTTTCCTCTGCCAACGTGTTGAGTTAAAGAGAAAGCAGTTAACATTCAGCCTGGCGAACGGTTTAGCAATCTGTAAATCGGAAAGACACCTTTGTTCATGGGCAGAATTCTGCCACCCCCTTTCAGTTCTGTTTATCCCGTATGTGCTTGGAAGAAAAAGATGTATTGGTGCTATGTTATGTTTTTGGGAGGCCATTAGCAGAATTGTGTGTATCCTCCTGTCGAAATAAGTAAATTCCACAGTCAAAATGATTCAGTCCAGTATTAAACTTACTTTGCTTTTTACAACTGGCCTACTGTTATGATTCAAATGAAGGAATTTGGGACTTTTTTTTTTTTTTGCAAGAAATGATGCAACAGGTGGAAGGTATTGTTTACATACACAAACATGAGGACTGCTTGGATTCCTCAAGGAACCAGTTCTGTTTCCAGTACACTTCTAAGTAAAGTGTTGTGGACACTTAAAAGTAAATAATTATTATAATGACCTTGCTGTAAAAAAAAATAAGCTAGCTAATAACACCAAACCGAGAACCACATTACTATGAAAGGTATTAAGTCATTATTAAGCATTTTTCTGAAATCCCCTCCACTGAAACCTCCTCACTGTTTCCCAGTTCAGGTTATGATTGCTCTGAAACTGTAGTATAATAATAATACCACCTTTATTGTCAATGTACAACCTGTGTACAATGAAATACAGGGCGTAAGTAGCACTCTCTACAATTTATCTCTGACAGTTAAAAATCACTGTTATCCTGCATCTGGTAATGTACGTGCCAAAGACTTAACATAGCTTTGATTTGCATGTAACCAGGTGCAAGACTACAGTTACTGTCAGTACCTAGGAAGTAAAGAAAGCTAATTCCACAGCAACAGGCTTAAAGTTGACAGCATTTAGTGAAATTACATGCCAAGGAGTAATCTTAAAAAAGGGCCACATTAACTCAGACCCATGTCTCCCCTAATTTGCTTCACTTTACAAATAACAGCACACAGCCTTTACATCTTTTCCTTATGTCAAGTCTGTTACCCTCTCTCTCCATCAAGGCCTGCACACAAGTTCTGAATAAGATGAACACTCAGGAAATAAAAAAAAACCCAAGAAGTCGTTTCTACTATTATTTATTTTTTTAAATATTTTTGAAAAAATATAATTTTTTTACAATATTTTCAACTTAAACACTATTCACACTGAACACGTATGGCAGCTTAAGCTACCCAAATATGAAGTTTAAGAAGCCAAAACTGTTCTAGTTGTATTTAAAAAAAAAAAAATGTGCTGCAGACTACTGTGTAGTGGATGATTAAACAAAGCAAGGGAAAAGCACCACTCAAATCACTAATGCTATAAAGTTTTACAGGTAAAACCAACTCTTTTGAGGTTGTAAAATTTTATACAGGCAGTGCCGTGTTTCTGGACTTCTGGAAGAAATTGTGACGCACAACCTCGCATCACTTTAAATATCAATGTATTAGTGGGACAAACATTCCAACATGATAACTTGCTGTAATACAATCTCATCTGCCAGTCATTTTTGTTTCTCCTCCACCAGATCTGGTAGCCAAGATAAAGGACTTTGTACAGGTCTGTAAAAGCAGTTCGTGTATAATACATTATCCACGCTCTTCTCAAAAAAGAAGAGCAGGATGTGAAATTTTGCTTCATCATGGGAAGAGTTAGTAGCAGTTCTGAAATAATCCAGCTAATCTGCATAATCAGATAAACCTTGCTTTCATTTTCATGTTAAGGCATTATCAGGTGCATATCGACACCAACTCTTGCTTTTGCTAAAACAGACCACTCTTTGTCACGAATCCTTCTAAAAAGTAGAATTCCAAGAGTTTCTCAGAAACTTGGTACATTTCTCAACTTGACTGGTGCTTCCAACCTCACTGTCTCATTCACAAAAAGAGCCTGGGTCCAATTGTAAGTGTTATTTCATTATTTTTTTCTCCATTCCATTAACCTCTGACAGCAGTTGACTTAATAACAGTCTCAGCACTTTTATTAAGCATGCAAGACTAACAAAACTTTGGCAATGCGTAAGTGTAACACAGTGACAAGAAGAGAGAGCGTTTTAACAATTAAATCTTCTAATACTGGCTTCACAGTGTGGAAATTGTGCTACATCCACCAAAAGAGGGCCCAGTCTACTCATATATTTAGTACTTCACCCCAGGAACAAACTCCTTTGCATTTGGATTCAGATTACTCTTGACCTGGAGGGGGGAAAAAAGAGACATTATAGATTGAGTTTATAGGGCAAAATGTGTCTATGACGCATTTGCACAAGGTTCAACAAAAGTTTTTAACAGCCAAGAGCTGCAAGCTGCAATCATAGAAAAGTGTTCTAAAGAACAAGGTAGTCTTATCATAGAAACAAAGAAGTTGCCTTATACGGGGGTCAGACGAGTTGCTCATATATCCCAGTACAGTGGTACCTTGGGTTACATACGCTTCAGGTTACAGACTCCGCTAACTCAGAAATAGTAGCTTGGGTTAAGAACTTTGCTTCAGGATGAGAACAGAAATCGTGCTCCGGCGGCGTGGCAGCAGCAGGAGGCCCCATTAGCTAAAGTGGTGATTCAGGTTAAGAACAGTTTCAGGTTAAGAACAGACCTCCGGAACGAATTAAGTACTTAACCCGAGGTACCACTGTACTGTCTGCTCTGACGGCCAGTGAGTCTCCAGCAGTAGTGTCCAAACTTTTTTCAAAGAGGGCCATATTTGAGGAAGTGAACATGCATGAGGGGCAACCAAAGTTGTTAAGTTTTTCTTAAGATTTTACCCCAGGAAATAAACTGCCACAGAGGCTGGATTAAATCAAACAGCAGGCTGAATCAGGCCCCCGAAACGGACTTTGGATGTGCCTGCATCGCCAGGAGTCTTTGCCATCATGCACTAATCCTTTTAGCTGGAGATTACAGAGTCTTGTTGGCATCCATGTGTCTCAAGAGACAATGGAGTGTGCCTCCGGGGCTGAAGTCAAACCAGGGTGTTAGCAGCGCCAAAGTGACCGCTTCACGGTGCAAACCTGGGCAGTGTGTATGGAGGTCCTGGGATGCCCAGATGACAAGCCTCACGAATGTGGGCCAAAGGAAAGCAGCTTAGCAGCAGGAATTGCAAGAAGGAGACATACAAGGCTCCATCCAACTGTCTTAGGGACTCCACTCTGGATTTGGGTCTCGTTTACTCCTTAGCCCTTTCTTCTGCCGAAAATATCCTGCAAGGCAGCTGGAGGTTGAGCATCCGAGTTTTCCTTCTCCTGGATGGGCTCCTTTCCAGGTTGTCAAGCTCCATCTGCCCCTCACTTCCCTCTACAGCTCGTGCAGAAACCGCCACTCTTAGACCCACTCTTAGTCTCATCCGCTCAATCTGCCGGACCCTGTCTTCACATGCAGAGGAAGTCCCAAACTCACCAAGACTGAGGTGGTATGTTTTGCATGCAAAGCATGCTACTGAGCTAAAGCCCCTGGCACAAACATTAAATTTTTAATGTTTAAGATTAAGAAACTGTTGTTAAAAACCATAGAGGAAACCCCACTGTTTTTCAAGGACACAATTATCTGAATGTTGAATGTAGGGCTTGAAGGATCCTTGGATGTTTACCAATTATTTTTATTGATTTTCCACAGTTTTGAACAAATTGTCACCAAATTAATACAGATCCTTGGATGTTTAGCCTCCACTATGATATATAAAGAGTATTTAGGAAATTCCATTCTTAAGAGTATACCCCAATACATCTGGTACAAGCCTATTAGCTTCTATCAAAAAACCATGCCTGTGGATCCACAGCTGTGTCACAAAAGAAGTCAAAGAGCCTAACTCACAGGCTCACCTAATTAGATAATGGATTAAAACAATGCAGCCTGGATGTCTTAGCCACTGTTCCCAATTCTAAACTTAACAGTGAATCCTTAACCATCAACAGCAAAAACATTAATGTGGCAATTTAGATGTTATTTTGTGGTTACTTTTAAGTAGTTCTGGTTTTAATTTAACACACCAGAGTTCCTGAATACTACATTCTTGTTTATTATTGTACCTGAGGCTTCACTATGACATTTTTTGTCACTGCACTTTTAACACGAGGTTCCTATCAATGAAAAAAATAGCAAAGATTCACATGTTTCTGCAAGTTTATCCGTCCAAAAACAACTGCTTTGATAACTTCTGCTGAATTCGAGTGCAGAGTATGTACTAAGGGAGGAAACTCCCAAATTGTGAGCCAGCTCACACAAATGTGCTTTATTAAGTAAGGACTCCGGTGAGGCTGTCAAAATTACCTGCCTCTCAGAGAAGATTGATAGGCAGGGGAAAAAATATACAGGGCAGCAATTCACACAAATGTTGCAGGTGACCTACCTCTGTGGGAAGGCAATTTTTCAGTCTAGGCATTGTGGTTCATGTGCACACAAGAAGGAAACTTCAATGGAACTGACTTCAATGGAACTGCTCAGGCAGATATTTCTAGGTGCCCACAAGTAGTTGAACTTTGGTCCCAATGAAATCAATGGTGCCAAAATGCAACTAACTTTGGATCTACTCCAATATTCAGCCAATTTCCCTCATTTTAGTCATTATCTATGCTCAAGGTGTTTTTGGAACAGACTTGGAAAGTGCGAGGAAAGGAAAATACGTTACATTGGCTAGTTCTATGCTTTTAGTCTACTAAAATTGGAGGCACGCTTCGTTCATCGATCCCAAAGTATTGCCCTTTTAAATTCAGAAGATAGCACTGAGCCTCCCAGCATTTGGGATATGTGTTATTACAATTTGCGCGCTACCAACGGACTTGATCATATGGCAGGTGCTAGACAGACACGGAGGCCACCTCCAGCTTCAGCCACCAGACATGCAAGCCACATTGTCACAGAATCCAAAAGCCAAATGAGAGCTGCTCCGGAGGTCTGCAAGCACACATTCCCTCTCTTAACCACCTAGCCCCAGACTATTTTTCCTAGACTCTTAACACATGCTTTCCTTATTTCTCTCCATTCTTTCCACTGCAAAGACATTAAGCGGGAGGGAGAGGGGAGAAGGAGAACAAGACAGAAGAGGAGGTTCTGTTATGAAGTGTCTTGATTTCCTTCTTTTTTAGCTCCTCTTTGAAATAAATACCTGACAAGGATTGTAGGCAGTCTTGGTACAAATAAACTCAATGTTTAAAACCAGGCACTTACCACCAGATCTTCCAGTGACGAACTGTCACTGATAACAAGATCATTGAGCTGGTCCTGAATTTGATCCATCGTTTGCGGGAGATCTCTGGCTGGAATAAACCACTCATGTTCTTCCTCCTCTTCCAGCATTTCTTGGAAGCAACGTTCTATAAATTCTTCTTCCCACAACTCCTCTTCGATCTGTATTTAAGACATAGGAGAGAAACTTTACCATTGCCACAGCCACCAATCTTAAGGCTTCTTCACAGAGATCACATTTAGAAAATGCTACAGCACTGCTCAACCAACTACTTCACAGTATTTTCATCTTGGAAAATAAAGGGGTTTTTTTTGTTTTGTTTTACAATTCAGCTGGTTCTAGCAAGAGTCATATTTTCCAGTAAGTAGCCTTGATGTGGCAAGTTTGTGCAATAATTTAGTTGCACAATAGTTTATTTCCCTTAGTTCCCATCCCACATGAGCTGACATCCTATGTAAAACGAGGCAGGCTAACTTTAAAGACAGCTACTAAGAGCTTGGGAAATAAGGAGAGGAAGAGTCTGAGAGGCCATCAGAACACACCTCACTTCTTTTCTAACACTAATATAAGTTTGTTTGAAATTGCCTTTTCACTTTACTTCTTATTCTTGTAATATAGCAACGCACAGCATTTAACCTAATACTAATAATAATAATAATAATAATAATAATAATAATTTATTATTTATACCCCGCCCATCTGGCTGGGTTTCCCCAGCCACTCTGGGCGGCTTCCAACAGCACACTAAAATACAATAACCTATTAAACATTAAAAGCTTCCCTAAACAGGGCTGCCTTCAGATGTCTTCTAAAAGTTTGGTAGTTATTTTTCTCTTTGACATCTGCTGGGAGGGCGTTCCACAGGGCGGGCGCCACTACCGAGAAGGCCCTCTGCCTGGTTCCCTGTAACTTGGCTTCTCGTAGCGAGGGAACCGCCAGAAGGCCCTCGGCGCTGGATCTCAGTGTCCGGGCGGAACAATGGAGGTGGAGACGCTCCTTCAGGTATACTGGACCGAGGCCGTTTAGGGCTTTAAAGGTCAGCACCAACACTTTGAATTGTGCTCGGAAACGTACTGGGAGACAATGTAGGTCTTTCAAGACCGGTGTACAGTGGTGCCTCGCAAGACGAAATTAATTCGTTCTGCGATTTTTTTCGTCTTGCGATTTTTTTCGTCTTGCGAAGCACGGTTTCCCAAAGTCTTCAAAATCACCAAAGTCTTCAAAAACCTCAAAAAAGGCTACCACACCGCGTGCTATGAGTTGCTCCTTGAAGTCACCCTGGGTATTAACGGTTTTAAGAAAAAGGAAACAAACTTGCAAGACGTTTTCGTTTTTCGTCTTGCGAAGCAAGCACATAGGGAAATTTGTCTTGCGAAGCAACTCAAAAAACGAAAAACTCTTTCGTCTTGCGAGTTTTTCGTCTTCCAAGGCATTCGTCTTGCGAGGTACCACTGTAATATGGTCTCGGCGGCCGCTCCCAGTCATCAGTCTAGCTGCCGCATTCTGGATTAGTTGTAGTTTCCGGGTCACCTTCAAAGGTAACCCCACATAGATAATCACTGATACTATTTGACAGTGGAATAAGAGGGTTAGAAATGGCTAGTAAGTTAAAAATTACACATGGCAAGGAATTCTTCAATCTCAGAAGGCCTTGCTAACTTGTGTATTTATTTAGCAACCAGGGGCAAAACAAGGCTTTATTTCATCTGGGTCAAAGACTCCATTTGCCCCCGCCATGTGCACTTGTGTACATGTACACACACACACACACACACACGCGCGCTGGGAGCCTCAATGGCACTTCTCTGGAAAATTCACCCGGTGCAAAAAACCTGGCTAGCCCCCCTCCCCCAATAGCTACAGCACTGAGCATTCTTCTCTATTTAAGTATCTAATTTAAGCAGAGAGCAGAGATTAAGCAACCAGAGTACCAAGCTGTGTTTCAGAATGAGAGACAAGACTATCAAGGAAAGAACTGGAGGAAAATATAGGCAAATGAGATACATATTGAGAGAACAACAATTCTTTGCAAAGGCTGTATCTGCAGAAAAGAGGCAAGAGTCCTTCTGAAATTTCTAATAAAATATGATACCAAAAAAAAACAAAACAAAAAAACACTACTTCTTTACAGATATGGAAGGGGTCACATTATCTGCTAACCCACCTGCCTGTTGAACTCCTCTTCGTTTTCCATCCACATGTACTCAGCAAATGGATTATCATCTTCATGAGAGTGACCATTCATGATCACATCTTCATTGATAATGCTTGGACTAGTACTCCTGCGACTTGGGTCTTTCATGGTTGTGCCTTTGAGCTTAAGCCTGAAAGGGGAAAAAAACACACCATGGTCTTAAAGATGTTCAGTCAAATCCATAACTGCACTTACTTGAAAGTCCCTTGTTGATTTCAGTGAAACATGATCCAGTGTCTGCAATGCTGGAAGAGAGACACATAGTTTGGGAAGACTTGTTCCTGCATTTTCCTCAAGCAGTGGAGATGGAATATCTATGGACAAGTTTCTAACACTAGATGTGACTATGCAAGTATCAAAATTTTCCTATTGGCCATTTTAGGGTGGAAACAAACACAAAGATTAAAACCTGTATTTTACACGGACTGTGAAAAATAATGCAATTATGGCCCAAGTTAGACAATATGCAAGGCAGCACTGACTTGTTTGACCCTGAAAATCTGACTGAGAAATAGTGGAGAGCAGTTCCGATCACTTCTGGCAGGAAGATTAACAGATAGCAAAGGGTCCTTCATCTTCCTCAAAGCCTTCCCTGCAGAGTCTGGCAAGGTTGTATTTTGTCATCTCTACACACTCCCCTCTCCCTCTCTCTCTCTCTGTGTGTGTGTGTGTGTGTGTCCAATAGGCAATATTCAATCAGGTTTGAACAAGATGCTATCTAAGAACCCTTTGCATGCAAGGAAGCTGACTGGTAATTGAAAAATGGGAGCAAGGCAACAATATCTGGCATATTTTCTGACTGGGAGAGGGGAGAGAAGATGCAGACAACTTTAACTGGTGGTGTTTAGCCTTGCCAGTCTCTGCTTCGTAGTAGATGCAGATTACAATGTTAAGCTAATGTATCTGTCATCAGCTCCCATACTGAAAGACGTCTCAAATCCTTTCCATCTAATGAGTACCTTGCTGTCTTCATTCACATGTTGGAACCCTGAGGTGAAACAGCTCTTTATGGGGTTTCCCTTGAGAATTATGGTATATTCAGAAATTTAATTTGGTGCAAAACATGGTAGAACTTGATCTCTCAACAGTGTTACATTAATGTCTGTGGGGTGCTGGAAATGTTTGAACCTGAGATTTTCTGATGTTCCGAGTTGAATGCTTTGCCTTTATTTACTAAGCAAAACTAAACAGCTGTGCCATGTTAAGTTTTCACACGCTGCACAACACTCAAACCAACAGCCAGAAAAAAACCCTGAATATATGACTGGCAAAAAGATTCACTTAAGTGTACTTAAAAGTGGCTTTAAATGTTACGTTGGCTCAAATGCAAAGCATTACCGGGGGGTGGGGGGAATAAAATAGTACAAATACGTTAATATGTGTAAAATCAGTAGCACACATCCCCTTCTGCCATTTAAATTTGTAGGGAAAAGTTAAGGCACTGGGTATTTTTAGAACACTAATTTTAGTATGCCTAAAGCACTGTGTGTATGGTATGCCACTCTTGTCCGCTTGCTCCTCCCCAGTCTTTCTGCTGTTGCACTAAGTCATGCTTTGGCTTAGCATGTCGCCCAAACCGAGGCTAATGCTTTAGCTCCTTCCTGACTAACCGTGAGCTCTAACCAAGGTTTGTCATATGGTTGATGAGCTGCGGTTTGTCCAAGAGTGCTAAACCATGATCTCATGAACAGGAAGCAGCAAACTACTGCAGTCTCTTCTCCTAGAGACGACGCACTTGTGAGAAGTCATGGTTTGATGCAGCATGCCATACAAACCTGGCCAAAGTCTGTACAGTGGTACCTCGGGTTAAGTACTTAATTCGTTCCGGAGGTCTGTTCTTAACCTGAAACTGTTCTTAACCTGAAGCACCACTTTAGCTAATGGGGCCTCCTGCTGCTGCTGCGCTGCTGGAGCACAGTTTCTGTTCTCATCCTGAAGCAAAGTTCTTAACATGAAGAACTATTTCTGGGTTAGCGGAGTGTGTAACCTGAAGCGGATGTAACCCGAGGTACCACTGTAAAACCACTTTCACTATGTATTAGTTCCAGTTGAGATGGAGATAAATCTTATCTAGTACTGGTAGGAGCACCATTCTCTTTTGCTAAAGAATGGTTCTACCTGCAAAAACTTGGCAGGCAACCTAATTGCCCTTTGTCCTTCTGACTACGACCGATGCAACTTTGAAAGCTGTTCAGTTTGGGAGGGGGGTACTGTTTCTTGTTATGTTACCAAGTTAAGATATAAAATATATTTTAATATTTTTTAACATAGTTAAACATAAGTCTACCACACACCAACAGTCCACTAATGTGTGCCCTGGAATGTCACTACTTTCTGCACCCAAAGCAAGATGCCTGGGCTTTGAACCACAAAAGCCCTCAACCTGTGGACCTAACAAATCTCAGAAGTATCTTCATTCCTTTACTCCTTCTTTAACACCAAAGTGTGCCTTCTTGGCTGGACCATCATGTAACTAGATTGATCAATAAGAGGCAGGCAAGAGGGATATTCAGTGTGGTTATCATAGTTGCTGAATGTCCTTCACCCTAGCAGTCTATCAAATTCTGACTCTGAACACCTTCTAAAAGCATTGCAAGGCTTTCCTGTTTGGGGTGGCTTCAATGGCTAGTAAGCAGCAGTATTAGAAACAGAGATATGAAAGCTAGGAGCTAAATGGCACCTTAAACCTAGGTTATGTGTGCAACAATGGAATGTCCAGGCACACTTTTTATAACAAGAAGCTGAAGCTGAAAATGAATGAACTGCAGCTAAAACCTTGTGATCATTTTTCACATGGTCTAGTCCTCATTTGAAGACTGCAAAAAACAAAGCCGTGCTTCCCCTGCCCGCCACCCTAATATTCTTAAGAGGGTCCCTTCTACAGTCTTCAGAGTGGCTGGAAGTGGGGAGGCAGAAAAAGGTCCTCCTTTCCTTCCACTCTGCAGAAAAACCCTACACCCACTTTCCTTCACATAAATATATCTTTTTGGCACCACAGTTAACACATATTAAAGGCCTATACAACTGATGGCAGAGACACCCACCTTGAGCGTCCAGTCCTTCAATGATCCCACTCCAAAATTTGTTTTGGTTTTAAGCATCACTGTGAGAGTCCGAGGTAGATAACACTTTAACCTACACCACTTAAACCACCGTAACTAACTGGCTAGTATATTACAAATGTAAAGCACATCGTACATTAAAAGTACATTAAACAAGGCAACTAAAGCCTAAGCAAAACATGTCGGGTTTAAAAAGAAAAAATAAAGTTTTCAGGTCCCCTATCCATGCACATTCTACTTGGGAGGAAGCCCCATTTAACTTGGTTGATAATAATGATGATGATAATTATTATTATTATTATTATTATTATTATTATTATTATTATTTATTATTATTATTTATACCCCACCCATCTGGCTGGGTTTCCCCAGCCATTCTGGGTGGCTTCCAACAAAACACTAAACTACAATAACCTATTAAACATTAAAAGCTTCCCTAAACAAGGCTGCCTTCAGATGTCTTCTAAAAGTTTGGTAGCTGTTTTTCTCTTTGACATCTGGTGGGAGGGCGTTCAACAGGGCGGGCGCCACTACCGAGAAGGCCCTCTGCCTGGTTCTCTGTAACTTGGCTTCTCGCAGGGAGGGAACTGCAAGAAAGCCCTTGGCGCTGGATCTCAGTGTCCGGGCAGAACGATGGAGGTGGAGACGCTCCTTCAGGTATACAGGACCGAGGCCGTTTAGGGCTTTAAAGGTCAGCACCAACTCTTTGAATTGTGCTCGGAAACGTACTGGGAGCCAGTGTAGGTCTTTCAAGACCGGTTGACATTTACTTCCGAGTAACAGTGGCAATTTTAATCTGAAATCGTAGGCCAGGGGTCGGCAAAATGTTTGTGGCTTGGGCTGTTTCACGGTCCCGCAGACGCCGCGGTGGGCCAGTGTGTGTGTGTTCAAGCACAAGCGCTATTTCCGGCGCTCCTTCCGGCGCGGAACAGGCGTGCGCAGCTCCCCATTGGCTGCAGGAGCTTCCTGTAGCCAATGGGAAACCGGCCACCATCACGGAAGTCGGTCCCTGCTTGCTCCGCGCCGGTTTAGTGTGGCGCACGGGAGCAGACTGAGTGGGGGGGAGGGGTCCATGGGCCAGTTAAACGACCCCCATTGGCCGCTTGTGGCCTATGGGCCTTAGGTTGCCAGCCCCTGTCTTAGGTGGGTACTGTGCCCAGAGCTCAGAAACTGCTTGCACTTATGAAATTCCCTGTCGCAAAACGCACCTAGAACAATGGGAGTCTAGAACGCTGGTAAGCAGGCCTGGGAAAGTTTTGATTCTTATATATTTTTTTTCTCTGTCTATCCCTCTTTTGTATTATTTCCAGCCTTAACACACTGAAAGCGACAGAAATGTTTTTCAACCACCACTCAGAACACAGGGAGGACTAAGTTCTTATTGGAAACACCCATTGTATATTGTTCTGCCAATCTAGTAAGGAAAGTCCACTTGTTGAAGCAATGAATTCTGCATTTAAAAATAAACCACTATTTAATATAGGGAATCTAACCATCTCTGACGGGTACAAGTTCTCCATCCCTGATTTAACAGAGGTTTAGCCACCTGATAACGGAACAGCTCTTTCTGTACACTGAAGGCTTTTTGATGCTGACTTCCCGTCTGACAATCCTAACTTCCAGAGTCCCAACCATCCAGAGCAGATTTTTAGAGACTACAAGGGGCTACATATTAAAGGGAGAGCTGGCAGAAGTGCTCCCTCCACTCATCTCCCACCAGCAGGCTCATCTTCTGAGCAGAACTCTGTACAAGGGATCCTCATGCTAGAGGATGGGCATGGAGTCAAAGTTACTTAAGTACCAACACTGAGAGAAATACCAGTTATTTTTCTTTCTCTTTTGAGAAGCATGGTCAGGTTTCAAGGTTAGCTCTGCAATACTTAGTTAAGCATTTATTGTCGGACTATACACCATAATAAAGCCCCATGGTATTTGGAGGGTTTATTTCACAGCTGACCAAACATTTCAGAGACTACTTATTAATAGCAAAGCTGATTTAATTATTGTCACTTGCAATTTAAAAGTCTTCTTTACTATAAGTACCATATCTGCTGACTATGTAAACAAGAACACGTTATATTGATGCAACCTTCTGCTACTGCTACAGATTCGAAGATAGGGCCAGAACACTTAAAAGGTTAGTTTTTAAAATGTATCTTGCAAGATATTCCAGGCTCTGCTTAAAACATCTCTGATTATTACATTCAAACAAAAAATAATTATTGTTCTGTGTCCACTTTTGATTTCAAAATGTACACCATTTCTATTATTTAGCTTGAGAAACTAGACTGCAAGTCACCTTAGAAATGTCATCATGTTCCTCTCTCCATTTGCAACAATCAAGGGGAGCTGTGTTTAAGTACAGACTTCCCTCTGGCAGCTCTATGTCTCTTCCTACTAAATCCTGCAATTCATAGGATCCTGATGTCAAATGAGATTGTGACGTCACAAACCTCACCTGAGAGAGATGATGTATGTGGGCAAATACCAAACAGTTATATAACTTAGCTCTAAAAGAACCGGTTCTCCATCTACCCTGTGATATTATGTACTGAAACCAATGATATATAATTTGATTCATGGATAAGATAGCTGCAAGGGTAGGCAAGGTCAGTGTATCTTTAATGTTTATTATAATTTTATCCATGTCTTCTGCAGAAGAGTTCAGATCAGCTTCCATGTGGCTCTCAGGCACTGCTGATGGCCAGGTATGGTTGACTTAAGTAGAGAAACTGCATCAAATGCCTTATTTAAATGTGCAGAAGACACAACTTTTAGTAGGTATAGCTTTTCTCACACCTGCCCAACCTCTCTCTTCCCCATACTGGAGAGTGTCTTCATCGTATATGGAAATTCTAGATCACTGGCTTCCAAACTGTGCTTAGACGAATCTTGAGGCTCCTCAGAAACTTACCAGAGGTTTCTGATCAGTAATTGTCAACAAGCTTCACTGAAAAGCAAGCTTGTCTACCATTTCCGAATCTTCTACAAAGCACAATGCAGAGGAATATGGGATGTATTATAGAACAGCATCCTGATTTAACATAGGGCAGGAGGCTGTCCCTGTGTACATTAAGTTTCGAAGTTCATACCAACAATCCTCCACAATTCTTTGGGGTTCCATGGCAGTTTTGTGGGAGTTCCTCATCTGATGAGGCAATGTGGAAAAAGTGTTTCTTGGAAGCAAATAGTTTGGAAATATGGCTCTAGATAAAAATTCAAATTAGAGTAAGATTTTATATATATATATATAAACTAATTTGCCTCTTCAAACAGTGAAATATTCTGTACAGAATGAGGGAAAAATAAATGGCCACTGAATTTTGAATCTTCGGCCCAAGTATCAATGTACTGTTTTGCAAGCCTGAATGGTACACAAACTATTTCTACCAAAAACAAACAAACCCCACACACCAAAAAAAAACCCCATTTCTGAAAAAGCCAGGATATAGCAATCTGTTTAAAAGGGCATTAGGAACAGTGACAGTCTGCAACATCAGAAAAACTAATTAAAGGATTGTTGTGACCTGTCTTTCCTCCCACTGTCCTCTCTAAAGGTAATATGTAGGTAAGAAATATGATGCCTATACCTGCCTGCTTAACTGTACCTTTCTGGATTCTTGTTTTTCTCTTAGTTAACAAAGAATAAATGTTACTGAGCGAAACTCATCTGATTTACTAATTTTGCTTCAAACACGAAGACTTTAGAGATGGTGCCTAGCAGAATAACCAAAGCACACTATGCCATCCCATACCATCTTACTTCAGTATCTGATTAGAGAATTCAGAGAGAAAATGAGGCAGAGGAACAGTGGCCAGCAGTATATTTCTAGGAATCCCAGCAAGAAAGGCATCAAAACAGCAGCCCTCCTCTACTGTTTGTCACCATGCAACCAGGATGCAGATGCATGCAGTATGCAGGCTGAGGCTCCTTTTAATTATCATGGCAAAAATCTGCAGGCAGACAAATTCATGGAGGAGAATAGGTGTTTAAAGTATCTGACTAGGAGTGGGAAGATGCAGGTTCATATCTCCACTTGGCCATGAAACCCACTGGGTGGCATTTGGTCAATCACAACCTCTCCTACCCTCAGTGTTGTTGAGAGGAGGAAAATGAATAGGAAAGCCATGTACACCATCCTGAGGCCTTTAGAGGAAAGACAGGATGTAAGTTTACTAAATACACATCCCCCGAACCCTGTGCTCATCACCATAACTTGCTGCATCAAATGTCATTTTTATTTGCTTAGCAGATGTATATCCCATCTTTCTTCCAGTATGGAACCCAAGGGGTATAAATGCACTAACTAGACCCTGGCCTGCTCACCTTCAACACGGTGGCAGCTGCATATGCCCACAATATAACCTGCATATGAAAAGTTAAATGTGTGTGCTGTGTGACAGCAGTGCTGCCTTCCACCACTCGTGAATCTAATTATCAGCTTCACTTATGTGAGCCCCATTTGTTTCAATAGGTAAAGGTAAAGGGACCCCTGACCATTAGGTCCAGTCGCGAACGACTCTGGGGTTGCGGAGCTCATCTCGCTTTATTGGCCGAGGGAGCCAGCGTACATTTTCCAGATAATGTGGCCAGCATGACTAAGCCGCTTCTGGCAAACCAGAGCAGCGCACGGAAACACCGTTTACCTCTCCGCCGGAGCGGTACCTATTTATCTACTTGTACTTTGTGCTTTTGAACTGCTAGGTTGGCAGGAGCTGGGACCGAGCAACGGGAGCTCACCCCGTCGCAGGGATTCAAACCACCGACCTTCTGATCGGCAAGCCCTAGGCTCTGTGGTTTAACCCACAGCACCACCCGTATCCCTATTTGTGTCAATACATCTATTCAAATAATACAGACACTTTGATGGAGCCAATGCAGTGTTTCTCAAACCAGGGTTCTCAATTGTTGTTGGACGACAACTCCCTGCTAGCTAGGGGACAATGGGAGTTGTCGTCCAACAACATCTGGGGACCCAAGATGTTTGAGAAACGCTGGGCTAGGGCCCAGGAGTTCAAAATCCCTGTGAAAGCCAGAGCTACCGCACAGGCTTGTTGATAAAAGTGGGGATGGTGAGAACCTGAGATCCTTGGATGGAAAGGAGGGATGTAAACATGGTAAAGGTAAAGGGATCCCTGACCATTAAGTCCAGTCATGGCTAACTCTGGGGTTGCGGCGCTTATCTCCCTTTATTGGCTGAGGGAGCCGGTGTACAGCTTCCGGGTCATGTGGCCAGCATGACTAAGCCGCTTCTGGTGAACCAGAGCAGCGCACGGAAATGCCGTTTACCTTGCCGCCGGAGCGGTACCTATTTATCTACTTGCACTTTGACGTGCTTTCGAACTGCTAGGTTGGCAGGAGCAGGGACCGAGCAACGGGAGCTCACCCCGTCGTGGGGATTCGAACCACCGACCTTCTGATCGTAAGCCCTAGGCTCTGTGGTTTAACCCACAGCGCCAACCGTGTCCCTTAAAACATGGTAAACAAACAAATATATACAACAGCCCTCTATATTGTGTTCCCGACCACCACTGCTGCTTTCCTTTCTGCGTAGGAAAACAACAAGACAGAGCATGACACGCTTAATCTCAGGGTTGTTGGTTCGAGCCCAATGTTGGGCAAAAGATGCCTGCATTGCAGAGGGTTGGACTAGATGACCCCTAGGGTCCCTATATGAACGAAAAGCCCCCCCCCCCCAAAAAACCCCACTTCAGTCCTCCCTTTCCTTGGCCAAGATGTTTGGCCAAAGCAAAGAGCAACCCCGACCCACAAGGAACAGCAGGCTGGAGGAGCAGGTCTCTAACTAGGCCTTTGCTAAGCCCCGCCCCTCATCGCTTAGGCCCCGCCCCTACCCTCTTTGTTCGCGCAGGCCCCGCCCCCCGAGAGCTAGAGGGGGGGAAGCATTCGAAGTACAGCAGACGCGGAAAGCCGTGGCACGTATCCCATCATGCACCACGCCCCTAACAGACAGGTACGCTGCCCCGGGTACCCGGATGAAGGGGGGGGGAAACCACACACCCTCCAACCCCCCAACGGGCGCCATTAGGCCGCTCTCCGACCAACCCCCCTCGCTTCTCCTTCTATCGCCTCAGAGGGATTCGTCGTCGTCCTGCCCCCCCCAAAGGTTTCCCTCACGCGGGGTGTGGGCGGCAAAGGGAGACCGACGTCCACGGCGCCGCCTCAGGGCGCTAGGCCCTGGCCCCACTTCCGCTGCAGCCGCACCTTTCGAAGAAGTGGGTCAGCCGCTCCTCGCCGCTCTCTACTCGGCTGCCTCGCTTCTCCTTCGCCGCCCCCTTCCCTTTGGAAACACAACAACCGCCCCCCCCTTCCCTCGCCAACCTATCTCTCCGCAGGCCGGATGTGAGGTCACTTCCGCCGTCTTGCGGCCGTCTCTATGGTCTGCGCTCGGCGACCGACCGAGCCGGGCTTCCGCTCTGAAAATATACGCAGGCCGCAGTCACCACAGAGCTACGAAACAAGGGGAAGACTCTCTGCGGTGTGCCGGAAGTCGTGCCGCAGCGGGACTCTTTTTACTTTTCCTACCTCTATGGTCGCCCTTTTTCCAAGAGGGAGGAAGAAAGACGCTGTGAATATAATGGAAATATAGGAAGGTGTGCAGCTGCTGAAAAATAAATCGGGAATTGTTCCGACAGTGAAGTGGACCCTCTCGGAAGGTTGTGGAATCTCCTTCCGTGGAGGTTTTTCAGCAGAGGTTGGATGGCCACCCGTCATGATCTAGATGAGATCATGCACTGCTGGTTGATGACCCTGAGTCCTTTCCAACTTGACAATTCTATGGTTTGATTTTACACATGCCAACTTAATTGGGACTAGGGATCTCTCTCCCACCAGAAAAAGGCGACTTCTGTGCAGCTTTTAAGATACTGATAATTTTAGGCCAACAAAGGTCCCTATAGTTAAAGCTATGGTTTTCCCAGTAGTGATGTATGGAAGTGAAAGCTGGACCATCAAGAAGGCTGATTGCTGAAGAATTGACGCTTTTGAATTCTGGTGCTGGAGGAGACTCTGGAGAGTCCCATGGACTGCAAGAAGATCAAACCTTCCATTCTGAAGGAAATCAGCCCTGAGTGCTCACTGGAAGGACAGATTGTGAAGCTGAGGCTCCAATACTTTGGCCACCTCGTGAGAAGACTCCCTGGAAACGACCCTGATGTTGGGAAAGCTGGAGAGCACAAGGAGAAGGGGACGACAGAGGATGAGATGGTGGGACAGTGTTCTCAAAGCTACCAGCATGAGTTTGACCAAACTGCGGGAGGCAGTGGAAGACAGGAGTGCCTGATGTGCTCTGGTCCATAGGGTCACGAAGAGTCGGACACGACTAAACAACAACAAATTTTAGGCATCCTGCTTAAAATGACATTCAACAGATCTGCCAGTGCCTGATAAAAGTGTGCAATTTAGCACAGTGCAGGTGGCTGGGTTGTTGCCAGCTGCAATGCTCATTCTCAGCAGTAGCACCTCTGCATGCATCTGAGCTTTGTGTAGAAATGTCAAGACACGTCATCAGTTTTTACACCCCCGTTTACCAGCACACCCCTCCCCCACATCCAAAAAGAAAGTTACACTGCCTTCTCTATCATTTTCCCAGGCGGGTGAGAAGTCGTGTTGGTTTTGCTACAGCAAAAAACTGCCTTGCTGCCGCTTAAAGACTAGCAAGAGTTTTGTGGCGTAAGCTCTCATGAACTAAAACCCTGCTTCATCAGATGCGTGTTGAAATTTCAGTTGGCATGCACTGTAGAAAAAATTCATCATCATAGAATTGTAGAGTTGGAAGGGACCCAGAGGATCATCTAGTCCAACCCCCTGAAATGTAGGAATATTTTGCCCATTGTGGGGCTTGAACTCATGAGCTGAGATTAAGTTTCGTGCTCTACCATCGAAGAGACCTGCCAACTGATGAAGTCACAAAAGCTTATACCATAAAGCTTATAGTTAGTCTTAAAACAAGACTTTTGGTGTGTATGCAGCTCTTGGAACATGTTTCTTGAAAACACCTTAAATATAGAGGCAAAGTGTAAATGGTGGTAACTGGCTACCCTGGGTTACATGATTCACCAGGGATGAGTCAAAATCTCCCTCAAAACAGCCCCAGGCAAACCTTGGCAGATGTCTATCCTCCAGCATACTGATATATGCCCGAAAAACCAAGCGGCACATTATGAGATGAAGCAGAACCACTGTTCAGCAAATGCAGCTAAAATGTTATTTTTTTGTGTTCTGACTTGAGCTGGATTTTCCATTAGGCAACTAACTACACCTGTTTATGCCAGTTCTTCATTAGATCCTCATGGTTTTACAAGTTTCCAATATTTTGTAATAGTTACTCTTACTGCCACAAAGAAAGTTGGTAGTTCTTTAGAAAAATACATCCCACTCCATCAAAAATCAGTACAGTGGTACCTCGGGTTACATACGCTTCAGGTTACAGACTCCGCTAACCCAGAAATAGTACCTCAGGTTAGCAACTTTGCTTCAGGATGAGAACAGAAATTGTGCTCCAGCGGCGCGGCAGCAGCAGGAGGCCCCATTGGCTAAAGTGGTGGTTCAGGTTAAGAACAGTTTCAGGTTAAGAACGGACCTCTGGAACGAATTAAGTACTTAACCCGAGGTACCACTGTAATAGTATCATCAGTGGGTTTGGTTGGAGTGTTTGGCTTGTGATCAATCCACTTTTGTGGAACATTCATGTCAAAAAGTCCCATATCAAGAGGCAATTCCATCACATCCCCTCTAGCACAGTGGACCTGTATTTAAATGTTCATTTAATTTTGTTGTTTATGTCCAGTGACGTTGACAGCTGAAGGTGAGCTGGCTATCTTCACTCAACCACAGAACAAGCTGACAGTCTTCTTGGATCTCAGAGATGCTCAGCCTGTGATGAGAGTACAGTGTACCTCGGGTTAAGTACTTAATTTGTTCCGGAGGTCCATTCTTAACCTGAAACTGTTCTTAACCTGAAGCACCACTTTAGCTAATGGGGCCTCCCGCTGCCGCCATGCTGCCGGAGCATGATTTCTGTTCTCATCCTGAAGCAAAGTTCTTAACCCGAGGTACTATTTCTGGGTTAACGGAGTCTGTAACCTGAAGCGTATGTAACCCAAGGTACCACTGTACATACCAGGTTTTTCTGATAGATCAGCTTTAGGAGAACAGGCAAAGAAGGGTTATCAATGACTCAGCTTTGCCACGAGTTCCAAAAATTTCCCTTTCCCAATCCTGTCACCACCTCATTCTCTTTTGGCTAAAGACCACCCACATGGTGGTGATGGTACTCATCCTAACTTCCAAACTGTTGCTGCCCCACATTTTCACCTAGCTCTTCATGTTAAGTCTCTTGTGTTTCTCTTCTTTTGGCCATGCACTAGCTAGAGCTAGTGTGGTGTAGTGGTTAAGAGCGGTGGACTCGTAATCTGGTGAACTGAGTTTGATTCTCCGCTCCTCCACATGCAGCTGCTGGGTGACCTTGGGCTAGTCACACTTCTCTGAAGTCTCTCAGCCTCACTCACCTCACAGAATGTTTGTTGTGGGGGAGGAAGGGAAAGGAGATTGTGAGCCGCTTTGAGACTCCTTAGGGTAGGTATAAAGCGGGATATCAAATCCAAATCCAAACTCTTCTCTGCTTGCTGCCTCCTACCACTCACATTCTACTAGAATTTCCTTTTTCTTGGGCTGTTTCCTTCAAACCTTTTCCAGAACATCAGCTTTCTTCACCCCTCACCTCAATCTCCACAGTTCTGTCTGCTTCCTTCTCTGGTCTCTGTCTTCTTCCTGCCCTACCTTTAGCTATGGCTAAACAAGACTAATCAGAACTAGGGGTCTATAACTATTTATATATTAGAGGGAATTTCAATACCTAGTTTTCATAATGCTTCCATATTCTGTAAATAATGGCACTAACCTTAGAAGTTATTCTGAATTGTGTGAAGTCAACTATTGGCAGATTTCAACTATGCAGATACCTACACATTCCATGTTTTCTGGAAAATGGCTTAGTTATTCTATGCATGAAGTTTGCAAAACTGAATGTTTTAGCATTGGTATTGAAGAGATCTTTCCATTCCATGCAAACAAATTATTACAGTCATGATTTTTTTTATTGACAAATACTGGGGAGTTTATTGCCCTTGTGAATAAAGGTTTCACATACTAGCTCCAGAGCTAAACATACAAATTCAGCTGATTACACTAAACAAGCTCTTTTGGAATGTGTGCTGTTGAACTCTAGCCTAAGTACAGTAAAGACCAGCTATATCACATGCTGTTCAGACAGTTAACACAAACTATAAATTATGGAAACTTCATGGAAGTGGAGGTCATGCTGTGAGGTTTAAAATCAGAACCTTTAATGCCATTGTAGTTGGTTGGTTGACCTTTCGTGGAAAAGCTAAGCGGGCAAAGAGCATGACAGATGATCTGGTTGTCTGTATTAAAAAAAACTGGCTATAGAGAGTCACATATACACACACACAAAAACCTCATGGCTGGTTTGGTTTATTGGTTTGACATTATAACAACCTGAATTGACATATATGTAAGCTGTTAAAATCATTAATAGAACTACATGAAAACAGATTATACACGCAAGCTCCCAATCACAGCCACACGAAGGTACATCAAGAGCACAGTTCTAAGATAAAACCAAATGTGAAGAGGTAAACTTGTTACTTTGAAGCAAGTCCCACCAATTTCAGTGACACCTTAGTAACTGGTCTAGGATCAGAATTGAAATACAAACATAAAAAGGTAACTATTTGCAATTTATGGTTCAAATGCTGCTTTTGCTTATACTTGAGATGTATGAAAAGTACTAAATTCAAGTTGCAAGCAAGAAAAATAATACTGGTCAGAAGAATAAGAATTTACTTTCTGCGCAAGCAGAAGAAACACAGCATTTTAAAAGCTGACTATCAGTTTTTCTATTCACTACCAAACACACCTAGACTAAAATAAAGCATTTCCACTTTTTAAAAAGTCACAAAAAATTAGTAAAGATTCTCAAAAGTGAAATGAAATCATGAAAGTCAGCTGGACATAGACTGGAATGTTCCAGAGGAGGGAAAAAAGCTAACTGCTTATATTGAACTGAACAGAACCAACGTTTAAAGGGATGTTCTTTGAAGCCTGAAAATATTAATGCTGATGAAATCCTTTCTTAACTCTTCAGAATGCTGTACATTTCCTTGGTAGCTTCAAGCATCAATCAGCACAAAAAGCTGTATTGTCATTCCCGTTTTTTTAAAAAAAGATTTGTTTTGACAATGCAGATTTTGCTGTAACATTAAACACACTAACAGAATTATACTTCTATTTTATTCCACTAAAATCTAAGTAGTATAGCGTTTCCCCAGTTTTACTGTATTGAAATTAACGTTGAAAATAAAACAATTTTTTCCTTAAATTGGCAAACCTCTTTTTTTGCATTTAAGTCTCTTTTTCCTGTTTCTTGTCTTCAGCCTTCTCCATGTGTTTCTGTAACAAACAAACAAACAAGGGAGGATTGGATTGTAATTTGTTTCTGTCGCCTGGATTTTGTTGCAATGGCATCATGAGCAACATTCCATAATTTTTTTCAAATTTAAGCTTGCTGCATCTCATGGCATAATCCAGTCTCTATACTTTGATTACAATGGGATGTCCAAGTTCCAATTTGGGCTGGATTGCATATGACACGGCGTATGCATGAGCTTCTGAACTAGGTGGTGTAGAATAACTTGAGATTAAATTTGCCACTTAAAATAAGCCAGAGCCTTAACAAAGAGCTACTTATCCTCAGATTTTAATTAAGCTTCTTCCAATAGCTGCATGAAGGTGAGAAATTCTACCTTACCTTCAACTTCTGATAATGTGCAAGGCTGCTGCAGTGGACCTTTTTTGCAGCATCTTCATTGGTGTAGAACAAGGAACACAACTTGCAGTAAAATCCAGTTCGGGGCACCACAAAGCTCACACCTAGATAGAAACATACACATAATTGCAAATCTGATGCAGAACAGAAGGGCCAGAAAGAGAGTCCCGAAGTTCCCTCTGTACTGAATAGGTGATCTGTAAATCAGTAGTCTTATACTGGCTACACATGCATCCTTGCCTTTAAAATGCTCTTAAATAAAATGGTTTAGTTCACACCTCACAGAACTGTTATTTAATGTGATATAAATGGAATACGACTGAGTCCGACAGTCTCAGAACATACACTTCCTTCTTCTCTTCCAACGCAATCAGGAGAGTTTGGAAGAAGTTTGTTGTTTGTACTGACAAACTGTGGTTAACATTGACTAGGGTTTACATGAAGCTAGTCACTTTGAAAACAAAAATAACCATAGTAAGTTAGTTTTATATTTATGTAATTAGCATGGTGCCCAGTACCTGTAGATCTCAGGATGATTCACAACATAAAACCACAACTTATTTACATTCAATGAACTGCAGTTAAGCAAAACTTCTGAACTTCTAGCTGTGTGTGCGCTTTAAAGCTGACTGCAGTTTAATTAAAAGGTAAAGGTAAAGGACCCCTGACAGTTAAGTCCAATTGTGAACGACTCTGGGGTTGTGGCACTTATCTTGCTTTACAGGCCAAGGGAGCCGACATTTGTCCACAGACAGTTTTTTTCGGGTCATGTGGCCAGCATGACTAAGCCGCTTCTGGCAAAACCAGAGCAGTGCACTGAAACGCTGTTTACCTTCCTGTTGGAGCGGTACCTATTTATCTACTTGTACTTTGACGTGCTTTCGAACTGCTAGGTGAGCAGGAGCTGGGACCGAGCAACGGGAGCTCACCCCATCGCGGGGATTCAAACCGCCAAACTTCCGATCGGCAAGCCCTAGGCTCTGTGGTTTAGACCACAGCGCCACCCGCGTCTCTTCAGTTTAATTACATCATACTAAACTATGGCTTGGCATGATGTGTATTCTATTTAGTGATTTAACAGTTTGTGCCCATAAGGTTTTGATGATTGAGCCTGAACTGACTGGCAAATTCTAAGCTAATACCTCTTTAGCAAAGGAAGTCTCTTTCTTGTGGTCCATTTACAACACGTTACATTAATTAATAATAATAATAATAATAATAATAATAATAAATTTTATTTATATCCCGCCCTCCCCAGCCGAAGCCGGGCTCAGGGCGGCTAACAACACTAAAATAGTGCAACATTATAAAAACAACATTAGAGGAGGATGAAGCATTCTTACCAACAGGAACACTTGGCTGATACGGTCCGATCCTATTTTCATCCGGAGTGTCCTGTGCAGTCTTACTTTCTTGCCCTTCTGTGTTTTCTTTTTTATCTTGTTCTTCTGACACTGTGCTGTCTGTCACCTCGGATGATTCTGACTTCAAATTCTCATTTTTAGCACCATTTTCCAGTGCCTCGTTTTCTTGCTGCCCTTCTTCTGTGTTTACAGTCTGAGTTTCTGTTATGCTGCCCTCAGTTTTTACAGCAGGTGTAATACCAGATTTACGTCTTTGGTGATCTAAATCTTCTTCATCACCAACTTCATCTAGAGTCACAAAGCCTTCCATGCTCCTTGGAAATCCACCTACATGTCGCTATTGAGACAATTTATTTTCATTTATTACATTAGATATGGCTTTTCTCAAATCAAGCTATCTCATTTAAAATACACACTGAAGTCCAATAGGGTAATTCCATCACATGCAAACACCCACTTTTATTTCCCTCTCTAGGAAGTGCTCCTCAAAAGAGATGACTTTTGGAGCGGTGGGGTACAAAAGACTATACCAATGGCCAGAGTTTAGGCCCAGCCACAGTGCAAAACTGGGTCAGGGCTCAGTATCTCCCCACTTTGCAAGCAACAGGAATGGGCAAGGAGCACAAGAAGGAACCATGTAGGCAACAAACTCCCACAAGGAAAATGTTCCTGTGGTGAAGGTTAGCACTAGGAATCTGGCACTTTCCTTGAACAAATACTACTTATTTATTTGCTTGCACTGGTGAAAGCGTTCTCTCCGGATCCCTAGGGCAGGGTTGCCTCCCTCCTAAACTTGTGACTTTCAAAGTTTAGGTTTGTAATTCATTTGAGTACCTTGCAGATGCACAGTTTGTCACTACATATCTTTGTTTCATGGTCAGAGATGAAGCAAGCTAGGGACTTGCACATGGTCTCATGAGTAAGTAATAAAATGAGGGAAAAAATACTTTTTACAGGACAGTATACTGCTGCAGACTACAGTCATCTATACCACCCAAAACAGCTATGGGGTGTATGCACACAGACTACACAAGAAGCTTCCTTTCTGAAACCCTTATTAAGATACGAAGTTACGAGGAGCACCTTTTCTCGAAAGGCAGAAAGTTTTTTGTGGCAAGAAATAATCTGATGGTGAAGCATAAACTTCTTCCAAATGATTGTTTTCTCTTTACCTTTTTGAGTTTTTTTGCCGCTGATGTGGCTGTAGCATTTTCTTCAGGTTTTGCAGTAGCATCATCACCAGCTGCCTCCTTTTGTTCAGAAGCCACATCACCCAAGTTAGCTACATCCGTATCATCTGCAGCTGAGCTCCCACTCTCTAGTAAAGCTGCTGCCTCCTCCTCATCCACTAATAGTTCATCTTCAGATTCAAGGAGTAAACTTGGTTCCTCCTGGTCTGCCTGATCATTGTCCTTTGTATCTGCCTCATCTTTCTTCTCTTCTTTATCTTCAGTGCTATTGCTTTCCATTTTGTCATTATCTTCAGTCTTACATTTTTTCTCACTTCCAGAGTCTTTGCTATCTGGAGAAAGACCTCTTTTTCTATAAAAAGAAAGGGGAAAATCTTGCTTACCCATTTCCTTTCTGTATTTTTAAACAAACTCAAGCTACCAGAAAGATTATTACCTTGGTTTATCTTTCTTCAGCAGATCTACTCCTTTGTTGGGAATCTGTAATAAGAATAATGATGTCAGTTGGTTAGAGCATAGTGCTGGTAACAACAAGGGTTGCAGGTTTGATCCCTGTAAGGGACAGCTGCGTATTCCTGCACTGCAAGGGGTTGGACTAGATCAGGCACCCCCAAACTCGGCCCTCCAGATGTTTTGAGACTACAACTCCCATCATTCCTAGCTAACAGGACCAGTGGTCAGGGATGCCTGGACTAGATGATCCTCAGGGTCCTCTCCAACTCTTTATAAAGGTCTTTGTGGATTTCTGTATTAGGAGCTGCGCACAGCTATTCAAGTGAAAATGGTTCCAGTCTTCAAGGCATATGAAAACACAGCTGAAGTAAGAACTGCCACAAACTGCAAGACTTCAGTTATTTTCTTATATGCACCATGGTATTCAGGATGGGGCTTCTCCCTATTCTTATTAACTATAAGCGGTAACCATGTGGATGCCAGATGTACAGGATGTGGAATTATGTCTCCCTGTCTATAAGCTACAGGAACAGGAAAAATTGCATTTCGCATGAGCAGAACTTGTGAGAAGTTATATAATCACCGTTACCAAGAACATTCAGCACAACAGTTGAAATTCATATAAAACATTTAAAAAAAGCATTTTTCCAAATGTATCACCACTGGCTCTGGCTTGAATCAGTCTTGGATTCTTCAGCTATCTCCAGATCCCTAGGCAAGTGGCAGCAACACTAGTCAGAGGCTTTTACACTAACTATTAAGAAAACATTAAACACTTTGGTTGTTTTCAACCAAGTCCTACTCAGAGTAGAAAATGTCAGTGTCTCCTGGCTGGTCAGTCGGGGCAAGCATTTCCATTTGTCATGTGGAATGACTGCCCCCTTCTCTCATAACACTGCAGACCAGATCTGGGGGAAGAGAGGCAGGGGAACCCCTTTCTGCTGGCTTCCACTAGCACACCAAGTTATTTGAATATGGGCCACTTAAATTAATGAATCTAAGTCAGTGTCCATTCAATGCGTCTACTCTGCATAAGACTAGTGTAGAGTATCACATTTCATATTACATTACTTACTGAACAAATACTCAAAATGAAAACTTACTCCAGCACATGGTACCCACCCTTAGTACTAGTTTCTTGTATTTTTCAGACAAATCTACTTTCACACATCTTCCCTGGAACCAAAGGGCTTTGTTGGAGCAGTGCTCCATCATTGCTTCAGCATCTTCTCTGGTCTCCATTTCTATGAATGCCTACGGATGAGAGTAAAGAGATTTCAGGGTCCAATATTTCAATAGGATTCTCCTACAAAGTTAAACCTAGGTAAATCACTAAAATTACAGAAACCCCGCTGGTGGAAGGATAAAGTTGATGAGCTTGCTTTTTGCCTCAAACTCTTGGAAGAGGAGGGGCCAAATGCTTTCTACTCTATCAGCCAATGGAACTCGCAATGAAACTCACAATATAGTGGTGTCATATACCAAAATGAGACTATAAAGATGAGATGTGGAGAAACAAGTAGACATGTGTTGGCCCAGCTTCCATTTTCCACCCCCAATCTTGCCTGATGCCCTTGGTTCTTTTGCCTGGTCTATTCAGACATAGGTATGAAACATATTTTACAAGAATCTACTCAACATCTATTTGTGGGGAGCACACGCCCATCTCTCCATGGAAGAGATGTTGTAAGCCTTAGTTTCAGTGTTTCATGTAAGCACCCATTTTTCTTCTATGATGTTACCAAAATGCTTAAGGATGCTTTACTAAACAACATTTTACTAAATATACCTAAGGACTGGTTTCTAATTATGCAAGCATTGTATAAATTACCTGACTCTTCATTCTCATCAGTATGTAATTCTTTATTTTTCCATAGGGCTCAGCTAGTTTAAGTACAGCATTGTCAGAATATCCTGAATGCGGCAGATTGCTGAGATGGATCACACGACCAAGTTCTTGTTTCGGAGGCTCAAATTTTTGGTTAGGCTTCGCTTCTGGTTTCTAAGAAGTTGAGAGAATATTTTAGTAATTCATTATATATATATATATAAAATTAGACCTTAGTTTAATGTCAGAAACTAAAGCACAGAATGCAGATTGTACGTTACAAGTGGAAATGCAAAATTAATGGAACTGACTTTACCTTTATTCTTTTATATTTCTGCGATAAATGGACTCTCACGGGCTTGCCGAACACTAAGGCTGGGGCTGCTGAATAATACTCTACTGCAGCTTGTGCATCTTCAGTAGTAGACATTTCAATGAATGCCTGAAATTGTAGAAGATAAATAAATTTTGGTGTCCCTCTTGAAGAGGAACTATGTCTAAGAATGAAATATGAGCAAAAATGAAATACAAAAATACTGTAGCCTTTAAGCTGTCAAGGGAGCATCAATAAGTACTGTACGTTTTCTATAGCATTTCTAAAGCAGGGTTAAGTGTTGCAAATCCAATCAGCATCCACTTAATAATACTGTTATTTGCAAGCCACTCTAGGATCCTTTCTGGATAAAGAATGGGATACGAATTCTTTAAATAATGTTGAAACATCTGATTTTACACCAGGAATAGGCAACTGGATGTTGAAAACTACTTTAAAACAGTTTCAGTCTTGCATATTAAAGTTTCTTCTTGCAACTATTCAGACTAGAAAATTACTTTGACATCACAAATCCTTGGCTCCCAAGTACAAGAGAGAGTTTGGGGTCATACACTTCCCTCTCCTGGTTAAAATTCCGATTGTGCACAGAGGCACCGTAACTGCTGCAGTTCAAGAAACTGCTTGTCAAATTAGAATAGAGCAACATTTGGAAGTATTTTCCCCCCAAGTAATGTCATGCTGTAACACCCTTCTACATGATTTTAACACTTACTTCATTAATTTTGTTCAAGATTAGGTGATTTGTAATTATTCCAAATGGTTCAACAAGCTGCAGTAGCTGATATCTCAGGTTTTTCCCTCTCTGAAAATCCATGATGTGCACAACTCTGCTTGTTTCCTGTTAATGACAAGTAGTAGCGTTCAATAAATTAAATTGTTAAGCTAAGTAAATGTTAAAATAACCATCCCATTTTGGAACATGAGCTCTTCTGGCTGGTTTTGTGATGAACCAGCCAATGCCAACATTTAAAAACAGAATACTATTGCCTTTCATCTCAGATTAGTCTGAAGAGTATGAAGTAATGGGTGGGGGACCTAATTAGCAGGAAAGCAAACGGTCTCAGAAAGCTTGCAGATGTTGGCCTTACTTGTAAAAAATGTTGGCATGGATGCCTTGAATAGAGACTTGAGAAAAACCATCACTGAGATCTTGAATATGCAAAAGGGTCTCAAAGTCAGTTAATGTGTATCTTGTTCTCAGCTGTTTGGGTTGCATTACATCAAGCTGCAGGTGAACAAAGGCTGCAGGCTCACATGGTAGAATCCTTTTCCAAACTCTTTTCCTCACCATACTAGTTTTTAAAAGTGATTTTTAGTGAAAGAACAATGATGACAACATCCCACTGATATAAGAATCAGAGACCCAGGGTGTATATTTTAACCAAGTTTCAAATAGTAATTGCCTTGAACCTATCAGAAAGATGGAATGCTTCACTGAGTAGTTTTATGTGCAGTTAAAGGTAAAGGGACCCCTGACCATTAAGTCCAGTCGCGTACAACTCTGGGGCTGCGGCACTCATCTTGCTTTACTGGCAGAGGGAGCCGGCGTACAGCTTCCGGGTCATGTGGCCAGCATGACTAAGCCACTTCTGGCGAACCAGAGCAGCGCACGGAAACGCCGTTTACCTTCCTGCCGGAGTGGCACCTATTTATCTACTTGCACTTTGACGTGCTTTCGAACTGCTGGGTTGGCAGGAGCAGGGACCGAGCAACGGGAGCTCACCCCGTCGCGGGGATTCAAACCGCCGACCTTCTGATCGGCAAGCCCTAGTCTCTGTGGTTTAACCCACAGCGCCACCTGCATCCATTTTATGTATAGTTCCTGTCTTGCTATACCTTACAATCCCTGTGCTCTCTAAGCCATAATCAAGAAATCCTATCCAACCCTGAAAGTGGCACAAATGGTCATTATGGATGTTGTTCCAAGCTTGTTTGGTTAACATTGCCAAACCCAATCTCTCCTTGAGGTTTCCTGAGAGGCTCAGAGACAAGAAGGGGCGAAAGAGTGAGATAGAGAATGTAAACAAGGTCTGAACACAGGCTTGGTTACCAGAGCAACATGTGACATCCGTAACCTAACATGCTCAAATGACCTAGGCACTTGTGGGCATCCTCAGGTAAAAGCAATAGCGGGGGAGGGGGAAAGAGCTGAAAGCAGGAAGATGCCATACGTGTCTACTATCCAATGACTTGTGACCTTTCTTGATGTATGTAAAGGGGATATTTTGTGCCCAAGAATGTTTTATGACTATTTGTGTGCTGTGTCTGAACTACTATATATAAGCTTTTGTTCTGGAGTGCCTCGGGTCAGACTTTTTTAACCGGTGTGTTGAGTTGAGCTCTGTCCTACTGCAATAGCTGTAATAACTGGATGCTGGACTTGAAATTAGTTTCCTTGGTTCTGTGGTTTATTTAAAAGGTGGTCCCTCACCTGGGTAACAAACAGAGGTGGTATAGAAGTGAATTCTTTCCACACTGCAGCCTGGGCACAACTACTTAAGTGAGAAGTAGACCCTCATTAACAATATTTATTGTCTAAAGCAACCACAGACACAGTGGAAATATCTGTCTTTATAGAGCAGTTCCTATGTCAATACTAACCACTCTGCCTTTCTGCAGGTGCCTTGGTCCTTGCATACTTCCATTTCCAGACCCTTAAAATAAACACATTGGGGGAGAGAAAAGGGGAACAGGAAGGGAGGGAGAACAAAAACAATGATTATAATTCACAAGATTGTTGGAACTGTGACATATCACAATGTCAAATTCTTTCATATGTGTTGTAATCTTGAGTAGAGCATAGGCACTGGGAACAAGATCATACGCATGCACACACGTGTGTGTGTGTGTGTGTGTGTGTGTGTGTGTGTGCATTTAAAAATGTAAGTAACAAAATGTGGCCTAGTTCAGTAGGGCACTGAATCCAATTAGAGGCGAGATCCAGAACTGACCCATCCTTTGTGGGTCATTTTGACAGCTGGGTTCCCCAATCTGTCAGTCACCAGACTCATATGACAACAGGTGATTCAAAGTGCAAACTGCAGGACCAGACTTATCTCTGATTTTAGCACAGTGGTGCTTAGCATTAAGATTGGAGGTAAGCCTCTCACTGCTCTTTGACAGTTTGCTTTATAGTACTGCTATGGATTTCTTGAGATTCCCATTTTCTGTCTTCTGATGTCCTAAGAACACCCAGCCCCCAATGAGGAAACATTATTGGAAATTTTATTCTTTATTGGCAAAGCACTTGATTGCATCAGCTCCTATGGTGCAAGAATTACATGCACCATTCCTACTAAATAGCTAATTCTTCAAACTTTTGTTGATCTGGACAGTTGGAGCAACAGTGCTAGCATGCCTCCATCAGCACATTAAAAACCCCTCTCTTCTGATGCAGTGGGTGCAAGCAACCATCGACTTCTCCTGTGTGGCAGCTCCAGATGCTCCTGTCACTTTATGTCCCCTCTTTGTCCTTGGAGACAGTGGGAGAGGGGATGGAGGAGATTCTAATGGCCCAACTCTCTCTGGTCTGTCTCTTCAATCGATGCGTTATTCTGCAACTCAGGATGCGCCTGCGCAACATCCTGTTGGGAATCTGCATATGTTGCAGCTACACACACAGAGTCAATTAGGGTTTGGCCGACAGCCAAGGCAATGTGAAGGAGTAAGTCTGCCTGGTGATACAGAGGCATGGAGACAGCTCCACGATTGGTCAAGCTCTCTTACGGGAATAATGATTAATGGCCTACTAACTGGAATGTGTGTTAGTACGAGTTCGAGTGCAGGAGTTGTGAGTCATGTATGAGAGAAAGCTAGCTAAAGATCCGTGTTCTGTTCTGTTCCTGTAAATAGTCCACTGTATGTAATAAACATCTAACTACAAGTTCCTGGTTCCTGCTTCGTCTATCCTGTCTGCAGCCAAGTTGCCAATTGCTTTCGTGAATTCTGCATTTACTCTGCTAGGTCTGGCTAAGGTCCTGCAACTAGTCAGAAAGTGGCGAAACACCAATAGGTTTTGTCAATAGTCCCCACCTTCTCTTCCTCCATCTCTGACTGCCCAGCCTTGTCCTCTTTCCTCTGCTTCAAGGGTGGCATAGAACCACACAAATCACTGGCGCCTTCCCCAGATCCTCCTCCTGCCCCCATGCCCGTCGTTTGGACTCCTGCTTATCCCTGACACTTGGATCTTAAGACATTTGCACAGCACAATTCCCTACTGACCAGCAAAGCATACTATATATAGCCAGGAACTACAAGTTTAAGAGTCCATTTCAAGATGCATTTCATAATATTACCTCTTGACCCAGCTGGTGGCCCTCCCAGATGAAATGGTGGCGGTGGCGGCCCCAGAATTCCTGGGGCAGGATTTGTTGACTGCAACATAAACGGATCACCCCTGGAAGTTCACACACAAAAAATGAATCCACATTAACCTTCAAATAAAATTAAATATTTACATAATCTTCAATCTAGTTTTGAATACAAATGCAAAGATGTCAGACAAAAAGTCAACAGGAGGCGAGCCGGAGTCCCACCACATCACAGTTTACTTTTATGTGCAGATAGTCGTGGGTATTTACTCTGCAGGCCTCTTCACGCAAATTTCAGATAAGCTTGTAGCCAATCCATTTACACATCACTTCTGACAGCGATATTCATGCATGCAGTTTGTGTGGAAACGTTCTAACAGGCGATATTAAAAACATTCCACTAGACTGAATACTGTTCCATGAGGATTACTGGCACTACTAGAGAAGCTGCAGAAAAGGATGTGATATGGACTGGGAGTAACATTTTGAATATCTGACAATTTTAACCCTTCTGATTACTAAAAAGTGATCCAGTTCCTTTCAGCAGGGCAATGAAATAGAGTCATTCACAATTACGCTTGGTCTAGCAGCATCTATTTTTGACAGGATGTGTCCTGGCTAATTAACTCTAGGGTGAATGACATTACAGCCGGTAATTAGACCTGTGAGAAGACGTGCGTGTTGCAACTCTCTCCCCCTGAAAGCCACCTCTGCTGATTCATGAGTGTCTAACCTTGGAGTGTACTGTAAATGTCAAGGGAGGATTTCATGGGGCTTCCCCACAGATTTTCCTGAGAAGTGTGTTTGTAGAGAAAACCACATACATGGCTGCTGCTGCTCAGATGGAAAATGCTGCAATGTCAAATTTTGCAAGGTGCTGGCATTATTATGCCATGTAGATGCAGACTTTAAGGCGGAAGTGGGGAAGCTCAGGTCCAGGAACCAAACCTCCAATGGGTCTACCATGAGTAAAATGTAGTTGAATGCCACCTAAGTGGCTTAGGGTGGAATTCAATGTAGAATATTGTTTTGCCAGCGCAAGCATTTCAGCTTGCTTGAGGGAATGATATCCCCCTTCCATTCCATGTGTGCTGTTCTGGAAATATACTCCCCACTGTACTGCTCAGGTTCAAGCTAAGTAGATCATTTTCTAATCACCTAGCACTGAACCTCAGTACTATACTAGGAAACTACTCAACTAGCTCCAGAGCTCATCTGTATCATGGTATTGAGAGAAGCTGTAAACTTGTTTCCTTCTACTTGGTAGTTTTTACTTACATTCCAGGTCCAGAATCACTTTCAGGGTTCCATTCAGGATATCTTTAAAGGAAAACAAAGTCTGTAAGATCACTGTCTGCAACTCATATTGTGGCTGGAGAGATACTATGCAGATATATTTTCCACCTTAGCACATTAATTTTTTTTAAAAAATGTATTCAGAAAATAAAAAACCCTCAGCATTATTAACCTTATCTTATTTCAGATGGATTATACCCAATTGTGTCCCTTTGCTGATGAAAGGTTCCTGTAGAGAAGCTTTCATGAACAGAAAGAGTAAGAAAATTTCAGATTATTCCTGCTTTAGCCTCTCAAATTTGCTCCAGAGTGTTTGGGAATAATTTTGCTGATGGAAGAGGCTACAGGAAAGGGGGCATTTGTGAACCTTGCACCCCCTTCCATTCGTGGAAGTCTCCACTGGCTCAAAGAGGCTTCTGTCACTAGAAAGGTACTGTTAAAATATATCTGAACTGGTGAAACGTATCAGTTAATGTGAAACCAAATGGCCACTACAATCCACCTTTAGCTTCCAGAATCCATTGCATACATACCTGGAAGTGAGTTCTGTGGATATCGCAATAATGTAACCTATTCTGAATACAGTGGTGCCCCACAAGACGAATGCCTTGCAAGACGAAAAACGCGCAAGACGAAAGAGTTTTCCGTTTTTTGAGTCGTTCCGCAAGACGAATTTCCCTATGGGCTTGCTTCGCAAGACGAAACGTCTTGCGAGTTCTTGCGAGTTTGTTTCCTTTTCTTAAAGCCGCTAAGCCGTTAATAGCCGCTAAGCCGCTAATAGCCGCTAAGCCGCTAATAGCCGTGCTTCGCAAGACGAAAAAACCGCAAGACGAAGAGACTCGCGGAACGGATTAATTTCGTCTTGCGAGGCACCACTGTACTGTATACCATTTGAACTTGAATTGTAAGTTTGCTTACATCAATGCCACATCTCAATGCACCCTGAGATTTTATGACAGAATACTCAAATTCACTTTTAGTCTGGTGAAAACTGATGAGGAGACTTGGGAGATTTATAAAATGAACTATTATCCATGAGAGAATTATATTAAGGGTATGGAGAGAAATTATTTTCACATACTCAACATGTTAAAACTCATGCAATTACAACCGATTTGCAGCAGGTTTCACGTCACTGTATTTCCCCCTTAACATTAATGTATAAAACTGATTCCCATGGAATATTTTCATAGGCGCTAATATCGGTCCTGTATACCTGAAGTAGTGTCTCCACCCCCATTGTTCAGCCTGGACACTGAGATCCAGCGCCGAGGGCCTTCTGGCGGTTCCCTCATTGCGAGAAGTGAGGTTACAGGGAACCAGACAGAGGGCCTTCTCGGTAGTGGCGCCCGCCCTGTGGAATGCCCTCCCATCAGATGTCAAGGAAATAAGCAGCCATCCTATTTTAAAAAGACATCTGAAGGCAGCCCTGTTTAGGGAAGTTTTTAATATTTAATGCTGTATTGTTTTTAACACTCGATTGGGAGCAGCCCAGAGTGGCTGGGGAAACTCAGCCAGATGGGCGGGGAATGAATGAATGAATGAATAAATAAATAATAATTATAGATGGCTTTAAAGAAGAGTGGTTTAACAAGATATGGAGCGAGATCCAATTTTGCACCAGCAGTTGGGACATGACCTCCTGGTCTCCCACCTGCAGTTCCCCAACTCTCCACCGCAGATTTCAGAGGCACATGGGAAAGGAACGACATGGGAAGTCCGGTATGTAGGTAGGCTGCCATAGCTGGCTATCACCTGTAAAATGTTTGTAAGTCTGGTGAAGAGCCCCAAGTCCATAACCAACCATCCACATTTATTTGTGATATTAATATGGACCTCACCCCCAAATAGTTAATTATGTAGATGTCAGTCAGATGTGAAGGTTGGGGCTTTTTATGCAGCTATTGTATTGCTTTGCCAAAAATGTCAGTATAATAGCCTACAAAAGATAAATAGCTTCATGGAATGTTTCAAACAAATCTAAAATAGTACGCCAAGTGTCAGCTTGAAGATGTGATCTATTCTTGTTTGTTGCTGGAACAGTTTGAATAAGCTAATTGTTTTCAAACTTTGCATATTGTAACTTTGAAGTTTCCTGAAACAAATATACACTGCAATTACAATGAAAAAGGGACATTTAAAATCATTTAGATCCATACATTTCCAGGAGAAGTTGACAACGTCGACTGTGTGTTGCTCCATTGATATGCTGGTTCCACTCCTGCAGCAAAAGTACAAAGTCAAAATTATCGACAACAAAGTTATTTTAAAACTTACTTCAAACACCCTACGGAATCATTTGCAAGTCAACCAAATTCTCACGTGTAAGTGAACGAATGCCTTTATCTTAGAAGACTCGTATCATGATCAAAAGGGTACCAAAAGTGTCATCCAAACAATGACAATCAGAACTGCAGTGTATTCTGGGAAAAGAGTAAACCTGAGCGTTAAATCAGCCATCTAACTATGCAATCCTATCCATGTATCCTCTGAAGCAAGTGTTCAGTGGTGCTTATGCCCAGGTAAGTGCTCAAAAGGGCCTAACTTTTATGTTCCTCTTTTTGACATTCAAACATCAGATTAGTTTGTATCCAATTGTAGCTTTGTGCCAGTGGGAAGCACGTTAGGCAGCCAATTCACATCGTATGTGCTACAACTCTGCATAGTATCAGATACTGTTACAGAGGGTCCCCAACTCTTCAAGAGCAGATTTTCAGGAGACGAGGGGAGCTGTAGTGGGTGAATGGGAAATACTGAGTGAAACTCCTTGTGTGTAAACTGAAGTTATTCCCCACTTGTGCAAAGCCTCCATTGTATGGAACCTACTGCTTATGAGTTTTGCATTCTAATGATTACAAAAAGTTGGAAAAGGAGCTATCAGGATATAAAACAGAAGATTCAAAGAACCCACATTCTGGCCATCCTTAACAGACTTTTATGCAGCGTACCTGAATATACATTTAGAAGTTATTAAAACTTGTTTTCAATGCAAGTCTAATAGAAGGCTGCCTTTTGTTGGTGTAAAATGCTTCTGCAAAAGTACATTTCCACTAAGATAAATAAAGGTACCCCTGACCGTTAGGTCCAGTCACACAAACGACTCTGGGGTTGTGAGCTCATCTCACTCCATAGGCCGAGGGAGCTGGCGATTGTCCACAGACAACTTCTGGGTCATGGGGCCAGCATGACTAAGCCGCTTCTGGCGAACCAGAGCAGCGCACGGAAACGCCGTTTACCTTCCCGCCAGAGTGGTACCTATTTATCTACTTGCACTTGATGTGCTTTCGAACTGCTAGGTGGGCAGGAGCTGGGACTGAACAACGGGAGCTCACCCCATAGTGGGGATTCGAACCGCTGACCTTCTGATCAGCAAGCCCTAGGCTCTGTTGTTTAGACCACATTACGACCAGCGTCCCTACTAAGATAAATAGTTTGCTGCATTTCCAGGCTGGGGAGGAACAACTGAATACTGTGGCTGCTGCACAGAACAATACTTTTAGGAGAAGAAGGAATAGAGATGCAGGAAGAGGGCACATTCCTTTCATTATTTTCAAGACTCTGCTAATAAGATAGCATGCCTTATTTTGTGTTGTATCATTCATAAGGCCAGCTTGTAATGAAAAGGAGAAAGAATCACATATACTAATCATGCTTTAACATTAACCAGTTCCTTAACTATCTTTTACTCCCCATTTAACGACTAACACAGTTAGCTATAGGTAAGTGACCAGGAATGATATTACCGTATTTATGTGAATGCAACGCACCACTAAATGTAATTTGCACCTAAATTTTCAAAAACCTTGAAACCAAAAAAAGTATTTGCTGGCAAATGTAAATGTGGCTTCAAATCTAATGCACCCCCTAATTTTCGCGATTTAATTGGCCAAAAAAATGTGAGTATTACATTTGAGTAAATATGGTAACTATCTAGATAGGTCTATGGCAGGGGTCACCAACTTGAGAAGTGGCATAAAGTACAATACCGGCCCCTGCAAACCATAGGACATTTGCAATCAATGGCAGATCCATGAAAAGCAATGTGCTACAGATTCATGGATACAATTTCTCATATTCAATGTTGTTGTTTTTGCGATCATAAGGCATTTAATATATACACTTTAAAATACAGAAGGCCTACTACATCTTATAATTTTACACACAATTTACGGTGAAAGGACGTCAACACTTGGTTCCCATATAAAACAGGATATCCTGCCCAGCTGCATCAATGCCAGCATTCAACAGACTTGCCAGACATTTGTGTCTGATTACCAAGCAGAGGATCCTGAGTAAATGGGAGTTTTCCTGGTTCTTTCTTCAATTTGATAAAGCACTCCTGACTAACCCCACTACAGATTATATTAGCAGCGATATTTGATTAACAGAGGTAAGGAATAATTAACTGTTACTTCCCACCTCTCCCTCCCCCCCAAAAAGATAAAACATTCTTCAACAGCCACAGCCTTTTCCCACTAATGCATAAGTACCGTATTTTTCGCTCTATAAGACGCACCAGACCACAAGACGCACCTAGTTTTTGGAGGAGGAAAACAAGAAAAAAATATTCTGCATCTCAGAAGCCAGAACAGCAAGAGGGATCGCTGCGCAGTGAAAGCAGCAATCCTTCTTGCTGTTCTGGCTTCTGGGATAGCTGCGCAGCCTGCATTCGCTTCATAAGACGCACACACATTTCCCCTTACTTTTTAGGAGGGAAAAAGTGAGTCTTATAGAGCAAAAAATACGGTAGTTCATCTGTTTGAAACAGTTGAAGCTTTTCTTGCTCTAATTTAAATACCCCAAACTCTACACAGAATTTTTTCCAGACAAACCAAACTGTTGAGTGTCAAAACCTATTCATTCCAGATTCCCAAATCCTGCTTACTAAATTATTATTATTATTATTAATTTTGTATACCATCGTCATCCGAAGGTCACAGGGTGGTTCACAGCATAAAAATACACAATAAAACCACAGAATACCTAATAAAAAGCTTTCTTCAAATAAAAGTTGTTTCAATACTGCACTGTTCAGGACTTAGAAACTCAAATATTTAAATCCCAAGCCTGAAACACTAGAGCTTTTTTTTGTGTGTGTGTGTGTGTGTGTGTGTGTGTATGTATGGCTAACATCTGAAATTACAGCAAGATGTTTCTTCTAGTCAGAACAAGTGTAAACAAGAAGTTGTCTGCTGAAGTGTGCAACTAGACATGACTGGTGACATCCATCTAAATCATACTTTGAAATCAATGGCCCAGAGCCCAACGATTTCAGTAAGTCTACTCTGAGTATGACTAACGCTGGATATCACTCAATAGACAGACAACTGGACACACACACACACACCAGACACAAAGGGGTGTGTGGGTGTGCATGCTTATCTTATGAATGGGGAAGGGGAGCCCTGATGAAAACTGTCCACAATGACGAGATGGCACTTCAGCAAATAAAGTGCTGGGTGGGAGGATAATTAATTCCCCTCTTCCAGCTATCATATGTAATCTGGCCCCATGGCAGGCTCGCCTGGAAGCTTGGCTATGTGTTTTTAGCTAGATCAGTCTCAAATGAATTTACTGTATTGTCAGTGGGTTTTTTTTTAAGATGACAAATACAGTACTTAAAAAACCTGATTCATGGCATGCATGTATTAGGAAATTTCCCATAATTTCACATGCTGATTGCATAAGTGCTTCCATTTACAAAGTTAACTTTAAACTTCCAGAAAAGAGACAACAACAACAACAAATTAAAATTGTATACTGCCCTATACCCACAGGTATATAGCGGGTCTAACATAACCTATGTTAGAAGATTTCCCCCTTAAAATGTGTCCCTCTCCTCAGCAGAACTGCTTGCACAAAGGAACAAAATTGGCAATGTAGCTCTTAATTTTAACAATACAAAGGAGTTTTAACATGCATTTTGTCTTTCAACGAGATACAAATTTTATAACGTAAGTTTTCTTCAGTTGAGAACAAATTGTACTGCATATTGATTTCTGTCTCCTCAACTTTTAGCAACATCTTTCCGTTAAGGTTTTTGTTTTTTAATCAGTCCTATAAAAGCTTTAACTGCTTTAAACATTTAACAATTAGCTGAATTCTGCATGTAGAGTTCAGAATGTATAACCTTTGAATCAATCAGTGAATATACACTGTAATGAAATTATAGACTTTAATATGCTGAAGAGAAATAGATGTTTTGAGGAAAAGAGCTTTTGTCCAGAAGAGTAGGTTTAAGTGCACAATGGAACATCACAAAAATGCCATTTTAAGATATTTTCTGTTCCTAGGGTTTTAAATAACTGCATCCTTTAAACTTCTATAGATCTGAGATTCACCTCAGTGTAACCCATAAAGACTTCAAATTAGGTATTGTTGGTAAGGAAAAAAATGTGAATTTTGATATGTAGATAATCAAACAGTAAATAAGATGAGAAAATACATTTCATTTTTTCACTATTGCTAAAACAGATTTGTTTCATAAAGGTATTTTCTGAGAATAAAATTAGTGACAACCCAATGAAACCAACTTAAGAACACAATGTGCATGCTTACCTGGAATTCTACGCATCATGCTTTAAAAAATAAAAGCAAGGACAGTATCCAATTGACAAATAGATGACTAGTTTGTAAAACAGAAAATCTGAATTCAGCTACACTAGGACACTTGCTATTTTGTTCAAGAACCTAATTACGAAGAATGAAGTTGGATCAAAATTTTAATAAGGAACTAATCTTATAAGTAGAGAATGCCAACAAGAGCATGATATAGCACAGCAGCAGACTGATGTTTCTGAGATTTTAAAAAGGGATAGATGCAATATGTAATAATAAAAAGTGACTCTGAAGTGTTTAAGAAGGCTGTGAAAGGGGAGGAAAAAATGAGAAGTCTCAGACACAGTATGAAAACAGTTTTTAAAGTGACTTTTAAAAAGAATGAACTCATTTAAAAATGTGAGCTGCAATCCTACAATTCTTTTCAAGGACTCTACATTAAGCTTTCTGGCTGGCCATGGACAAGAGGGGAAAAAGCAGAGTTGTGCAAGGACATATCTTAACTACAAATCAATCAGCAATCAAGACAGATGGGAAGGAATGCTGAATCTAGCCTCTTGAATAACTGCAAACCAAAACGAAAAAACTCTGCACCAAATTAAGTTAAGAGACTATGCAGATGCAAAATATAAAATAGACTAGATGATAACTGCCCTGCAGTTAAGCCATATGGGTGAAACAAATATTAATGTAAAGCCCTGGTTTAATGTGTTTGCTAATGACGCCCTGAAAATAAACCATGTATCAAACTCTTTTGAGTCCTTTGTGCGAGTCATCAGAACATAGAAACTGAGGCAAAGAAACAAGCAACAGGGACTACAAAGTAAAGAAAAATAAGCATCTGATGCTTAACTCACCTTATTGGAATGAACAGGCAAATCACAGATAGAGCACAGATGGGGATAGCCCTTCGGTAAGAGTCCATGGAAGTCTTCAACATTGCTATCTGGAGGAGCACCTCTCTTTTTCTCAAAGAGAGATCTCTCAGGGCCGCGACCCATCCTCTCATACTCACTGTCAAATTTACGATACTTATGCGAGGTTTCACCATAATAAGAGTCATCCCTATACCTTTCTCCATCTCTTAATCTGTCATCTTCATAATCCATTCTGTCATAAACAGACTCTTGAGAACGACTTCCATGATCATAGTCAACCACTCGGTTGAGACTAGAACCACGATCATCAAAGCTATCTCTTCTAAAATGCCTTTTCTCTTCCCAATCATCCCTAGGAACTCTGTATGCTGGATCCCGTGCAGCTGATCTGCCATCTCTACCATAACTCAGTGAAGGGCCTTCTTCAGCTCTCCTCCTTTTAAGTTGCAGAAGTATTTGAGGCAAGTTTTCAGGAGTGATCTTGTCCTCAGGGTAACGACTCAGTTCATCTAAGTCTCTAGCAGACAGACCAAAGCTGGCCAGAATGTTAGTGGCCTGCTCGGCATCTCCGCGGTGCTGAGAAGTCAGAGAGAGTGGGCCTCTACTTCCAATGTTAAATATAGACTGTAAGGCATGGGAAGATGCACTAGCAGAAGACAGTGCGCTATGAGATCCTTGTTGATTCAATGAAGAACTCATTCCAAGATTCATTAAGCTAGCAAGGCGTGCAGTACCCTGGTTCATCCTTCCAAGAGATGCTGGCACACTTAAAGACTGAGTAGCAGCAGCAAGAAGGCCTATTCCTGCAGACAGGTCACGTCCATGACCTTGGGAATCCCTACTTAGAGATGACTGGTGGAACGACTTGGACATTGCTGAACTATAGATTTTCTATTATGGATCAAACGTTAGAGATGTCTGAAAAGAAAGCTCACACTAGAAAGCTAGGTAAACTTCACTTCAAAAAGGTAACGCCAAGAAAAGGGATCAATAATGACTGTAGATCTTCTTCAAGCTGAGAACACCAGACAAGTCTGTAGAAAAACAAGCAGTTTTAGTCATAAATCCCTTTATGAAGATGCAGTTTTAAAATGTATGCATCATGTTGATCTAAAACCAATTTAAGATCTTACATGGCTTTTATTATGTAACGTCAATAGACTGAAGATGCAACCCAGAACCCTATTATACATAGCCCTCAGGTGAAAATCTAGCTTTCCCCCCAGATAAGCACCAATTGTTGCCAATCAATGTGCACTTTTGTTTTGATGAGAAATTGTTCTCAAGCACTGGTTGTACAGAACCGTCTGTTTTCAAGCCCCCTATTGAATAGCAGGGTGCATACATCTTATGTTACTGCTCTGGATTCCAGGAAAAAGACAATACACCAGTCATGGAACCAAGAAATGTAACTCAAATTGTTGAACATTAAGCCTATAGAGGAAATGATAGCAGGAACTTAGGAGTGGCTGATATCTGGACATGTGTCTAATGAAAGAGTTACTAAGTGAGACCAAATAATTTACACTCAGTAGAACTGAATTAGTACTATAAGATTTGTGAAGGAAAACAGGTTTAAAGTTTGGTAGAAGCACACAAGACCTCTCATTCAAGTAATAGTTTATATGTTGTTAGTACCACATATGAACTGTACCTGCATATTTTTAACATTACATTGTGAACATGGCACATTAGTCTGCGCTAAGATTTCAAGCCAACCAAGACCAGACCTCATTAATACTTGAATTGGGAAACTACAATTTTGTTTAAAGAAGAGAAATGCTATGGCACTATTCCAATCAAGCAAGTTGTTCAACTGTTATCTTTCAGATGAGACTTGACTGTAAGCTATAGCCACAGGTGGTAGTAAGTTTCCCATGACATGACTATTCTTTTAACAAACCCTTTTTTATTCTTGCAGTGCTTATCTAGGTCTTCCTATGCCAACAGTGAACATTAAGAAGCCCACTTGTCTCTCTACAAAGTCATCTTAAAAGAAGAGAAGATTTTTCTAAAGTACCCAAGAGTGAAAGTTTTATAAACTTCCACAGAAAACTGAGGCCTCAAGTTACTCAGGCACTTCCGAAAATCCCACTAACTGCAGTCTTATAATACTCAGTATTCTACCTACAGAGGAACAGTATAGGGATGGGCAGAAGAATGTTTTCCGTGGTCAGTTCTCCAATTAGCAGGGAAAGATGACAAAACCTTCAGGCAAGTTTTAATGAAATGTTCATTTTCTTAGAATTACCTATTATGTTTCAGTTATAAGTGAAAATGTTTTACTAAAGATCTGATTAACTTTGATAGTGTTAAGACGCTAAACCATATAGATGGATATTTATATTGCTTGAAAACCTGTATTACGTGCACACTTTTATCACCTGCGAAGAGATAGCACAGGGGTTTATTTTAACACACAGCTCTCAAACACTGTGATGCAAATGGTTACTTCTCGTTAACTGATTACCAGTTGTGTCACTATTATAGTAATGAGAATTTTCACTGTAACGTCCAGTTACATTTTGTCAAACTGAGTACCATGTGGGTGGGGAACAATTGAAAAGCATTGATGCAAGTGTAGAACTAGAAGGATGGTCCAGATATTGCAAGTTGCAGAGCAGATGTCAACAGAAGTAGAAGAGAGAGCAAATGTCAAGTGAAAAGAATACCATCCATACCAGTGGCAAAACAGAAAGAATTTCTGAGCAAAATGGCATTCTAACAAGTGTGCATGAGGTGCTGGCAATCTCATGCTCAGCAACAGCATCACACACAGTTTGAACAAGAACTTTCGTTGATCACAAGAAAAAGTTTTTCAGGTTTGTAAACAACCACTAGTCTATTGAGCAAGTGACTCACTCCCAGACTAGTAGGTGCCAGCCACAGTAGATGAATTAAAAAGATCACTACCAAGCCCAGTTAGCGTTCTGTACATATGTGGATTATATAGCCAGCATCTTCCCTTGCAGAAGCAAAGCAACTGCTTGTCTTTCAGATTCTGTTACCTGCGATGACAGAGGTCAGTTGGAATATTTGTAATTTAATAGCTCACCACCTAACTTCCCAGAATCCTGCTTGATCTGAGACTTAAGTCATCAGCAAAGGTGAGTAAATAACTATGGGTTGTAGGCAACTAACCTCTACTCAGAGTAGAACTATTGAAATTTATGAACCCAAGTTAGTCATGGCCATTAATCTCATTGGGTCATTTACTCTGAGTATATATTAGTTGACTACAACCCTATTAATTTAATGTATAGAGCTGTCTGTAGTTAACAAACTGGCTAGAATCAAAGAAAGGGGCCTAAATCATGATTTTTTAAAATCCACACATTTCATCTTTGTAGATGTGCATGGGTCATCTACAGTTATACAGTGACGTAGGAAGGCTCTGCAGGTACATAGGTGCCCTGGTACTGCAAGATTTATTCAGACAGAACCTTGAATTAGAAACAAGATACTGGGACATTGCACTACAAGGCCTGACTTGCATTAAGCCCTGGAGGGTGCAGTGGACCTGCAAAGCCCTACTACCAAAAGCTCTTTTTGATAAAATGTAAACAGGCTCGTTTGGAAGAAAGGTGAGAGTAACCATAGAAGCCTGATATTCAAGCTCAGTCATAAAGGAAAGGGATGTCAACCTTTAGATTCAAAGACATGAAATAAACAAACTTATTTTAAAACAGTGCAAGTCCGAGCCAATAAGCACTTTTTCAGGTGTTTCAGCAGGCTGGATTTTCTATGTGTTCCTCTTTCTGTAGTGTGGATGACTACCTCTCTGAAATTACTTCAAGGTAGAAACACCGCCAATTGTGTGTTTTTCTTTGATTTTTACTTTTGCAACCCCAGAACAGTTCCTTAAAGGCCTAAAATAAGAACGTTATACGGATTCTGAGAAGTATTTTCAAGTCCACATATAAATGGGCAGACTTATTTGCAAGGCTGGTTATGTTCCTTACAAAATTCAGAACTCTACACCTCTGCTTTGAGTTAGCTGCTGAAGGTTTTGGACAGTATCAGACCCAGGAGCATCTGAAGAGTACCTCCTGACAGAGTTGGGCTGGACAGCAGATGGTTTCACTGCACAGCCTGGTTTCCACACAAGGAGCGACTGCTCAGGCTTATTATGAAAGCGATGTTAACCTACAAAGAAAAAGAAGATATGAGAGAAACAAGCCTTAAAAACAGAACACTAAAAAGAGGTAGTGCATTGACAGAAATTGAGTTGGGGAAGAGGGAATAGGGACAATAGGGACAATACCCCCATAGAAATAGGGCCAATATTACTTCTCTGTAGTTCAGCTAACAGTGCAATCCTAACCATATCTTCTCAGAAGTTTGACTGAATTCAGTGGGGCTTGCTCCCAGGTAAGAAGAGTTGGAATACAGCCTAACTGTATTTTGAAACACATTAATGATTAAGGAATATGAACTAGAAAGAAATTAGGAAGATATCTTTAGCATTCTTATGGGTATTTCTTCTAGTACCCTAAAAACAGGAAGGAATGATAAGGCTATCAATGGATACTAGTCATACTGGCTTACGTACTTCAGTATCAGAGCAATCTCTCTGAATGCCAGGTGCTAGAGATCACAATGGGAGAGGACAATTGCACTCATGTCCTGGTTATGGGCACCTGGTTAGCCCCTGTGGTAACAGAATGGTGGACTAGATGGGCCTCTGTCAAACCCAACACACTCCCTTGAGAAAGGAGCTGCTAAACTTTTTCAAGTTTAGAATCTGATTCAACTTCTACAACAGTTTCACCATCTCATATGAACAGAAATCTTGAAGTAGTAGTAGTACTTGAATCCCCAACGAATTTGAATACAACTGCTGTTAAGGGGAAGCACTACAGGGTAAACTGCAAAAAATACTTGTCTTACAAGAGATGCAAGCTTTTATTGGAGAGTCTGTCAAAAACAAGTAATTAGAATTGTGATGAATCTACATGGCTCAGAGCATGCTGGGATGTGAATTCAGGCAGAGAAAGAGGCAAACACAAATAGGAGGCCAAATTCTCTCCCACGTTGAATGAAAGTAGTCAACTGCCAGTATTTAGGTACTCTTTTAGTCAAGTGTCACGACAGAACCTCACGCCATTTAAGGTTGAGAAGCAGATCTGCAAGGGATGCAGAGAAACAAGATCTTCATGTGGTGATTCAGTCCCTCTATTAGAGAGATCTCTAAAAATATGTTTGAGAACATAAAATACACCATTGCCATCATCTAGCAAAGGAACTTGGAATAACATCACTAGATAGTTTTTAAGAACCTGAAAAAGAGATGCATCACATAAGTGGGGCATTGCTAGTAGCTGCTAGAATAGAACTGGCTGAAAATTGGAAAGTGACAACTTCATAGGAGCAAAATGTACCTAATAATATGAGAGAATTTAATTACAGGAAAATTTACATCTCAATGGAGTATGAGAGACAAAGATACATTCTATATGGCATCATTTTATGTCTTATGCAAAAAGAAAAGAAAAAAGAGAGGAAATGCTCTTCAGAATACAGACTAACTTAATTTTGTCAGCCTTATATATTTTATCAAATCTTGCGTACTACCATAGGAGCCTATTTTTTAATTGTGCCCATTTTAAAATGGGAATTATCAGTTGAGGTTGTATCTTCTATATGTGATATGTCTCTGTGAAAAAGAAACTGCATTTCACATGCAAACACCTGAAGTTACAGACATATTTTTTAACCATCACCATCTGTGAGTTGCAAATAATTTTATGCGAATGCTTGTAAGTTAAACATAATCAAGAACATTCAGTTCTTTCTTCATCTTTGGCACAGCCCTTTCAAAGGTGGTTCAGATCACCTTAAAAAAGAAACCAATAAAAACCAGCAGCAAAATAGTAAATATAAATAAAACCAGCAATTAAATTATGCTTAAAAGCCCAGCCCATAATCAGTTAAAATTAGATGCAGCAGTTAGACCAGCTCTTTAGCATCCATTTAAAAACAATTGAGGTAGTAAAGTTCACTTCCTGCAGGAGCAAGTTCCATAATGAAGTAGTCAATAATGGTTAATATTCAGAATATCTATTTAACAGAACTAAGAAAGCCATGTGTAGAGCAATTATTGGCTTTTAGGCTGGAACCCTAGGGACAGCCTAAATACAAACTATTTAAAAAATTAGCTATAGTAGAATAAGTGTGTCGATATTATATAGTTATAGTGCAGTCTAGTGTGTGTCCATTTCTACATTAAGCCCATGTATATATTTACCAAGAATTATGCAAGGCTAGAAAGCAATGGATTCTATTTGTGGTTAAATTAAAGACTTTATTTACTTCACAGATACCTCAGTCCCTTTAACAGAAAACTAAGGTAGTGATGAGTCTTAGCAAAAGTGGAGCCAGAATACGCTCACTGCGAAACAAGAGGGAGAAATCACCATGCTCTGGTGAACTGCAACATATGCAGAAAGGCAACCGAAAAGAGACCTAAGAAGGGGCACCCCTCCCATTGTAACTCAATTGGGACCTCCACAAGGCACAATATGCTTTGAGTGCCAGGTGGAAAACAAAAACACAAAACTGGTTGGGAGTAGAGGGCAGAAAGAATGCTTTGCTTGTAGTATCCCTGAGCAGGCATATTCCTCTCAGGGTTTCAAGATACACAGTAACATTCAGTGTATCCTCAAGAATTCTTGGTATTCATTAGGCTCAATGAAAAAACAGATAAAGTAGTGCAGCCTCCTGATGAGGAAAATAAACAGATTTCCTAAGAAAATGATCCAATCATTCACTGGTATGCCCTCAAGCTCTCCACCCCCAATCAAAATGCTTGTTTCCAAGCCAGGGCAAGACCCTTGCTCTCTGTAACCCCCAAATGTAATCTTGATCCTTCCACTTCTTTGACCCAATTCCTAATATGTACTTTGGTTTATTCAAACCTGTGGAGTATGGTTAACCAAATAATGTCTCAAACCCAGCACCCTTGATAACCAAAAAACACAGATGTGAAAAGATGAAATCTGAAAAATTCCGAAAAAATGGCCTCTCCCCGCAAAAACAAAGGAAAAGTTGGACATTCTGGAGTAAAGCTGAGCCTTGTTGAGGAAAAAAAACTTTAGATTTTTCAGAACAGAGTAACTTCTGATGAATCCTGAAGGAATGTCATTTGAGAACGTCAAGCGATAGTACTGCAGAATCATGGTTACAAGAATCTGCACAAGAAAAGAAACACTGAAAGTGGCAAAAAAAACCCTCAATGTAGCTGCAAGACAAACCTCAACCTGGTGCCAAATAGATATTACTGAGTGGCAAAAATACTTTTTAGACCGTCTATTGAAATTTCAGATCCAGAATTCAGAAAATGCTTTGCTGAAATAGAATTACTATGCTTGGAAAAAATACTGTCAAGTCACCTATACCATTTTTGATCTTCTATTAGCACCAGTGTGAGGTTTGCCTCACAGCTGCAAGTGGCCTTGAGATTTATACACTGTACTGCCACTGCTTTGCTTAAAAAATACATAAGAGGTAGGAGGAGCACCAGAGTTTTATTTCATCAAAGTGAAATAAAAGTGAAAGCTTCGGCTGGGGAGGGCGGGATATAAATAAAATTTATTATTATTATTATTATTATTATTATATCCAGGTATAAAAGGCCAGGGGAGCAGTATGTACTCGGCATACAATAAAAACTGCATAATGAAGCTGCCCACACTTCTGTGAGAAGGGAATTCTACAGTTTAGGGGCTCCAACAGCCAAGGCCCTCTCTTTGACTGCTATGCACCCCAGACCTGGGCGGTAGACTCCCAAGGCGGCCATCTGAGGTGTTAAGAGAGGGCTTTAAGCACAAATGCGAGCACCTTGAATTGGACCTGGAAGCAAATTGTCAAGCAATGTGACTATTTTAAAACTGGAGTTAGATGAATTCCAAACAGAACCCCAACAAGTAAAATTCAGATAAATCAAGGCCAATATTAATAGCATTACTTTACTTTGGTATCTTTCAAACTAGATGTATTGCTTAAATGGAGTTTTTAGTGACATACTTATTGCATTTTGTATTGGCACAAGAAAAACCTGCAATTTAGATGGAAATGAACCCATGAACCAAGAGTGCTGGAGACAGTAAGCATATACTTAAGATACACACACCATAAACCAAGGCATATTTATTCAGAGGTATTATTATTTTATTATTATATATATTTATATTGTGCTTTTCCCCAGACCGGGACTCAAACTGGCTTTTCCATTCAATGGGATTTACCAGGACTGCAGCTATCACTAGGGAGAAAGGTGGAATAGAGTAGATGATTATTTAACAAAATTGTTATATCACTTGATTATATGAAAACCTTTTAAGAGAAGTTTGCAGAAGCATAAAACACTGAATTTATTTAAGAACATTTAAAATATTATTGAAATCAACATTTGATAAGTGAGATGATACCACATTAGATCTTTCCTCCCATCCCAACATGTTCATATCACATTATAAGTAGGCCTACAAGCTGGAAACAAAGTTTGATTCACCATAAAGGATCTAGGAGATTAAACTATTATATTTAATTTCTAAGAATGAAACACATTTTATTTTTAGATGCTTTAGAGAAAAGGGAGAATGCAAATGGCAAAGACAACACTAAGCATCAATTTTTAGAAACATGTCTATTAAAATGGTTAATATGTTGCCTGATTTAACCAGGGAACTTTTTTTAGCTGATTAATATTTAACCAATTCATCACTGCAACCAAAGATGTGGGATGGAAAACAGAACCGTTGGAAATGTTTCATAAAATTTAACACAATGAGAACACATTCTAGAAGTCAATTTGGCTACTGTAATGGATACAATACTAGTCAACTCAAAAACAAAGATGTAGAACTTTTTCAGGCCAAATCTATATTTATGCTCACAGCTCTTCAGGGTTTGGAATGTTAATTTTCAGTGCTGCATTTAAAAATGTATATAAATGTATGACAAGTGAACACTTTTATATTGTTATATCTTAATTATCATTACTGGGGCTTTCAAATATTTATACAGAATGTAAATTTAACAAGATTAACAGACATTTTAGTTTACTATATGTAACTCAGACTTCTTCTCAAGTATGGACAACAGGGGGGAAAAAAATCCAAAAAGTCACACATCTCTGGTTGCAGTCCAAACAGATATTACAATTGCCAGGAGAGTAATCGATCAACTCAAAATAGCCAAGCAGCTTTACATAAGCATGTTTTTCATGAAGATTCTGACCACAACTTAATAATTTGCATGTATGAATGGTTGCCATTTTGATTTTAACAGTTCTCACAGGACATGTTGAGCATGCAAATGTAATACCATTTCTAGATCTTTAAAATCGGGAGGAGGGCTGCAAATATTGCTGACCAAGATTAATTCTCAACCAGATGGTGAATGTGTGACCAAACATCTGCTGTTTTTCTGGGCACAGGAAGAAACTAGAATGAAGAGAAAGGTTCTAGCTTGGGAAGCTAGCATGTGACAAAGTAGGATGTATACAATAATTTAAAATAAATGGTAGTGGGGTGCATTATTTCACCTTGTAAGCTCCCACCTGCAGTCTTCAGTGTTTCGGTGCAGAAATAACTTGGCTATCTCAATGTCGACTACAATGCATTTTACTAGGACTATTGTAAAATGTATATTATGCTACATTGGAGGACAGTGACTCAGTAAACATTGGCTCCTTTGTGAGCGGAGTTAAGTTTGCTTGATAAAAACCCAGTTTACCAAGCGCACTGTGTGACAAAGAATCAATGGTACTCCTTGCTGCGAAGACGTGGTAGCTTACAATTATTCAAATATACCTCAGGTGTTACTATAGCTGAAAGCAGCAACTTCAAAATAATATCCGGGTCCTTTAATGATTACTTAGTTAAATATGTTAAATTAACTGAAAACAGCTTGCAGATACTTAATTGTCTTAGGATTTTATTTATGTTAAGGGATGAATTAATATGTTTAATTTCATAATGTGAAGATCTAAGGATGTTAATGTTTAAGTTAAATTTTAGAAGAACAGTGATTTGGAAAACCGTTAAAAGGATATGCAATGAAATTCAACTAAGGGGAAGCGAGGAAGTCACTTAATGTTATTAAGTATAATTTTCAATAAGGCTATGATTTATGTTTGTTTGTCTTATGTGTTTGTTTATAATGTCGTGAAAACCAATATTTTTTTTTTTGTAAAAAACAAAATATCCGGGTCCTTTGTGGATGGCGTTGGTAAGGGGACCCAGCAAAGAAACACTATGTGCGACCTTTACCTTTGACCAGTTCGCAGCAGCAGCAACTAAGTTGAAGACACCATTTTTACGAGCTGCGAAATAGCTAGATTAGAAAGAGATACGAGAACTATCCATAAGGCAAACGAGAGAACAAAAAGGCTGCCAGAGGCGGAAACCAACGGATAAAAAAGGCATTTTCCGCCCAAGACCCGCGCATGCGCAACATGCCCGTCTCCGACTAGGCCCCATGGTTTGTCTCGCGCCCGCGCATGCGCACGACCACTCCTCAGGCCTCGGCGCCATGGCCTCCCCGGCCCGGCCCCAACACGCGCGGATTATTCTCCTCAGGTTATAGTATAACGCGCCCTTTCCCCACCCTCCGTCCGTCTTTCCAACGGTTCAGCTGGAACGGCGAGAGAAAAAAACCCACTTTCTCGGCCTGACAGGAATAGGCACAGGCCGCTCACACCTCTCCTACCTCAGAAAGAAAGCGAGCCTCTCACGCATTTGCGGTCGTCACCACGAACGTAATGTGAGGAAAAGGGACCCCCCTCCTTCAGAAAATAAAAAAAGACCCTCCACGAGCGAAGCTGCGTGAGCGTCGCCCGCACAACGCTTGTATTAGACCGCTAATCCGCCTAGCGCATGCGCCGTCCGGTCAGCGGAGAACTGTTGTGCGCATGCGCTCCCCCAGCGCGAGAAGCTACGCGCTTTAAACTGCTCCGCCCCCCTCCGCGCCTATCGCGAGATGATAAAAGGTTTCCCCCCCCTTTCCCGCACTCTCGCTTCCTCGTTCTTGAAAGGGTAAGGGATCACGTGGGTCTGATCACGTGTTCGGCTGTTGCCTTTTGTCTCCGCGGTTCAGGTTTCTCGGTTCATTCGCATTCAAAATAAGGCTTTGTGACACTTTGGCTGGTGCTAATATTACATTTCCTTAAATTATCAAGAGGGTGTCCTTTAACCCGACCTTTATATGTGCTTAAGCGGAAATGAAGACCTTCTGTTTTCAGTCTTCCCCAGGATTGCAGCTTTAAACAGGACTCTGAAAGGAAATTGTTGTTGTTTAATTATTATTAATAATTAAATTATTGTATTAATAATTTCAATTCTATACCGCACTTCGTTTGATGATTACAAGGCGGTTTACAATATAAAAGAAAAATACATACTATCGTAACAAGCAAACTAACCCACCACCACCCAGATTAAAAGGCCATAGGTTGTTTAAGGCTTGGGAAAATCAGAGAAAGAGAATTGTAGAGTTGGAAGGGACAACAAGGGTCATCTAGTCCAACCCCCTGCAATGCAGGAATCTTTCTGCCCAATGGACCCTGAGATTATGAATCTAGTGCAGGGGCCAGCAACCTTTTTCAGCCGTGGGCCGGTCCATCGTCCCTCAGACCATGTGGTGGGCCGGACTATATTTTGAAATAAAAATAAAAATGAATGAATTCCTATGCCCCACAAATAGCTCAGAGATGCATTTTAAATAAAAGGACACATTCTACTCATGTAAAAACACGCTGATTCCCAGACTATCTGCGGGCCAGATTGAGAAGACCATTGGGCCAGATCCGGCCCCCGAGCCTTAGGTTGCCTACCCCTGGTCTAGTGCTCTACTGACTGAGCTATCTCATCTACAGTAATTATTATTTTTTGAAGTGCAATTTTTTTTGCCTGGTACCTAAAGGTATGTGATGGAGGCACCAGGCAAGCCACCCTAAGGAGAGCATTGCACAATATTTACCGGGAGTGAGTCCCGCACAGGTCAGCAGAACGTTTCCAGAGCGCACGTGGTTAAGTTTACTACGTTCGCAGTGCTACGTAGGATTAAAGTAACAGCGATGTCTTTCGAACACAGGATTGGAGGAAAAGACTTCCTCTCCCTGGGGTAGTTCGCCTGGCGCCTTCATTATACACCTTTAGGCGCCAGGCAAAACCGTTCCTTTTTAGGGATGTTTTTAATGTTTGGTGATTTATTGTATTTTTAATATTTTGCTGGAAGCCGCCCAGAGTGGCTGACGAAACCTAGCCAGATGGGCGGGGTATAAATAATAATAATAACAACAATAAGGCCTTTGGTTGACCGGATTGACAGCTGACATCCTATACCCTTTCAAAATGTGGCTCTTTTTTGGGGGGGGGGGTTGTTATTGGGTCATTGTTCTTATTTTGATTTCCCCCCAATTTTTTTATTGATTTTCCAAAAAAAAATTAAACAAACAAACAAACATAAATCTCAACATTGTTCTTATTCTGATTTAATAATAATAATAATAATTTATTATTTATACCCTGCCCATCTGGCTGGGCTTCCCCAGCCACTCTGGGCGGCTTCCAACAAAAATATTAAAATACTGTGTAATACATCAAACATTAAAAGCTTCCCTAAATTTAATTTAATAAATAAAATAAAATAAATTCCCTAATTTAGTATTTTGTAATCTTTTCTGTGAACCACCCTGAGACCTCTGAGTATAGGGTGGTATATAAAGTCAAAAAACGAAACAAAATAAGGATGATGGAGCTGTAGTCTCGCAACACTTTGAGGAAACACGGCACGGTCCTCTCTAGTTCTTTCTTATATCTGTGTCAGCCCCCGCCGAGGGGCGTGGCTTCCGCTCGATGGGCGGAGCCAGCCACTCGCCCTCCCGGCCCCTTAGCGACGAAGGCGAGGGGAAGGTGGGTGACGCGGCCGCTTCTGATTGGCGGAGCGTGTTGCCTTAAGTTTTCCCTGGTACTCGCGGAACGGTGGGGAAGCGGTTGATCTTGGAACTCCGCGAGCAGGCAGCTGGGCGCTCGCGCATCGCAACATCTCTCCCCGGACGCACTGCGCAGCATTCTAGTCCTCAGTGAGGTCTTGTTCCCAAACTGCGCTGCAGGTAGGAGCTCGCAGTCTGCTGCGGGGCTAAGGGCGCTCCGGTAATGGAGGGACCTTTTCGGGAGTCCCTCTGCCTGCTTAGAAAGCCAGCATTTCGGGATGGGGGTGAAGAGTAGCCTAGGACCCTTCTCCTAAAATTAAGGTTTTCTCTTGTTTCCACATAATAACGGCGAAGTTTTCAATATTTTTACTATGAGCCCTGTTGCCCTGTTAAAATCAGGCACAAGTTAGACCAAGGCATGTAAAGCTGATGGGATAGCTCAGTGGGTAGAGCGTGAGATCTCAGGATGTCGTGGGTTTGTGCCCCATGTTGGGCAAAATAATAATATTAATAATAATTAATCATTTGTTATTTATACCCTGCCCATCTGGCTGGGTTTCCCCAGCCACTCTGGGCGGCTTCCAACAAAAGATTAAAAATACGTTAAAACATCAGTCATTAATAATAATAATAATAATAAGTTATTATTTATACGTCGCCCATCTGGCTGGGTTTCCCCAGCCACTCTGGGCGGCTTCCAACAAAAGATTAAAAATACGTTAAAACATCAGTCATTAATAATAATAATAATAAGTTATTATTTATACGTCACCCATCTGGCTGGGTTTCCCCAGCCACTCTGGGCGGCTTCCAACAAAACACTAAAATACAATAACGTATTAAACATTAAAAACTTTCCTAAGCAGGGCTGCCTTCAGATGTCTCATAAAAGTCAGATAGTTGTTAAATAATAATAATAATAATAATAATAATAATAATTTGTACCTCACCCAGCTGGCTGGGTTTCTCCAGCCACTCAGGGCGGCTTTCAACAAAATAATAAAATTACAATAAAACATCAAACATTAAAAACTTCCCTAAACAGGGCTGCCTTCTAAAAGTCAGAGAGTTGTTTATTTCCTCGACATCTGATGGGAGGGCGTTCCACAGGGCGGGCGCCACTACCAAGAAGGCCCTCTGCCTGGTTCCCTGTAACTTCACTTCTCGCAGGGAGGGAACCGCCAGAAGGCCCTCGGAGCTGGACCTCAGTGTCTGGGTTGAACGATGGGGGTGGAGATGTTCCTTCAGGTCTACTGGTGAAAGGTTTCCTGTATTGCAGGGGGGTTGGACTAGATGACCCTTGGGTCCCTTCCTTCCTTTCAACTCTGCAGATTCTCGCGGGGATTGGATGGTAATAAGGAGAGGATTGGGTGGCTGGTGTAAAAAAGGCATCCTTGTGCCTTTTACCCCTCTGTAGCATCTCTATTGGGAAGGAAGCGGGGGGCGGGGAGTAGGTGGTGGATAAGTAAGGATTTTGCCTAGCTTGCTTGTCCTTTTTAAATGGAGTCCATTCTCTTTATTTTCTGCGTGGTGATTGCAGCAGTCCCGTGACATGACTGGTTGGGTGTTTGGTCGAATGGCAGTCTAGTAGTTTTAAAAGCACAAAATGGCACGTGGACTGAGAAGATACTATTCAATTAGTCTGGAATTTATTTGTCTTTTTAGTAGATTTATACATTTATACCACAAAATTTAGCCAGAAAAATTCAGAGAGCAACTTGCAGATCAATAAAAAATAACGTCCACGCTTAGGTTAATTACCAATAAAACAACCTTTCTGGTGTGAAATAGTGACATGAACTTTAAGTACAGTGGTACCTCTAGTTATGAACTTAATTTGTTCCAGAGGTCCATTCTTAACCTGAAACTGTTCTTAACGAGAGGCGTGCTTTCGCTAATTTTTATGTACCTTGCTTGTGGTGGCTTGTATTTTTCTTAACTTGCAGACTCACAGTGTATTTTCGGCCCTTAATTTCATGATTCCTGCATCTAGAATTAACAGGCAGCTTGGTGCTTGATGTTTGTGTGTGTATATTACTATAGTCATTAAAACTTGCCTCAGTAATTAAATTTTCTTATTCTGCCCCTGCCTGGTCCATTAGCATTCTTGTGAACATGTGGTACAGTTCTGGCATGTCACTAATTTTTGAAACACATTGCTTTTTAATGATACAGATATATAGAGTAACTTGCAACAGAATTTCGAGAAACCACACAATTATTATTATTAATTAAATTCCTATACCGCCCTTCATCCGAGGATCAAGGGGTGGTTTATAGTATAAAAGCACAAAATACATAACATAGTAAGAAGTGAAAAGAATAACCCTACATACACAGTTTAATAGGCTATAGATTGTTTAATATGGCATCATAGATGCAAAACGCAGAATGCCAAAATGGTAGCAGCATAAATATCAACATTTAGATTTTGTTTGCAAAAGAGCACTGTACAGGATTCACAAGGCCTAGCAGAATAAATGAGCTTATATTAGTTGCCTCAAGTTGGAGGCCGTTAATGGAGGAAAGTGGAAAAGTTTTGCTTGGGTAGCTCTCCAGATGTTTTATTTTTATTTTTTAATATTTTTTATTGAATGATTTTATGTTACAAAAAACAATACAGCCATATTAGCACTCAATATAATTAAGAAATAGAAATTACATACATCAATATTTAGTTTGTTATTTGTTATTTAACGTCTTATTTCCTCCCAAACATTCCATACAAAAACACACATATGTGCAGACACCCACACACCCACACACAAAATGATAATAATGAAAGTAAATATTTTCCCCCTTTTATCTTCCAAAATCCTTTCTTCAACTTTGACTTCCTGTCAAGTCCCTTTGCATATATTTTATCTTACAATCGGATGTACACAAAACAATAAACCTTTCTATATAAATTTTCCAATACATTCTGAAAACATAATAAATCCTTAATTGTTGTCCACCTCCTTTTAGTTCCTTTATCACTCGAAGGCTAGCACGGAGTCAAAACTATTATTGTATTTTTGAACATATCTTCTATAACCATCCCATTTTCCTGCAAATTTTTGCTTTGAGTTTCCTCTGAGTTTACTAGTCAGTTGAGCCGTCTCCACCAATTCCTGTAATTTGATTTGCCAATCTGTTATTTTTGGAGACTCATGATCTTTCCATCCCTTGGCCACAAGTATACGAGCTGCTGCGGTTGCATACAAAAATACCTCTCTTAGATTTTTGGGGGATCTCTTTATCTAAAACACTTAATAGAAATGCCTCCGGTTTTTTAGTAAAAGTTATCCCCAGCTCTCCAGATGTTTTAGACTAGAACTTCCATCATCACCAGCCAGCATGGCTGGGGGTCAAGGATGACAGGAGTTGCAGTCCAACGACATCTAGAGGACACCAGGTTGGGGGAAGGCTGATCTAGAAATTAGTGGGTGCTCTTGTGTGGGTGCTCCTAGTCCTGGGGGCGGGAAACCTCCTTGTGAAGGTAGTCCTCCTCTCTCCATTGGGTCCTCAAAATTCTCCAGATCACCGGCGCTTCCTTGCACCCTGTTTGGCCTGTCTGGAATGTGTCCTTGAATTCTGATAATACTTGTTTGGATGGATACAGAGCAGTGTGTGACTCTGTCTCTAGAATCTAACCTACTCTACAAAGTCAAACTTGTGTGTTTGGCTTGTTACCCACAAGCCTGTGGCCTTCAGAAGATTACCCGGAAAGGAATGTGGACTGAAAAAAGTTATCTGCCCTTACCCATCTCCTTCTCAGGTCATCTTGAGGGGTGGAATGATTCAAACCCTCTTTGAGAAGTGTTTGAATTAGCCAGCCACGTTTTGCACCTGGCTACTGGCCACTTGTGGGACGCGGGTGGCGCTGTGGGTTAAACCACAGAGCCTAGGACTTGCCGATCAGAAGGTTGGCAGTTCGAATCCCCACGACGGGGTGAACTCCCGTTGCTCGGTCCCTGCTCCTGCCAACCTAGCAGTTCGAAAGCACATCAAAGTGCAAGTAGATAAATAGGTACGGCTCCGGTGGGAAGGTAAACGGCGTTTCCATGCGCTGCCTTGGTTCGCCAGAAGTGGCTTAGTGATGCTGGCCACATGACCCGGAAGCTGTACGCCGGCTCCCTTGGCCAAGAAAGCGAGATGAGCACTGCAACCCCAGGGTCGTCTGTGACTGGACCTAATGGTCAGGGGTCCCTTTACCTTTACCTTACTGGCCACTTGCGACCAAGTGAAGTTGCTTGGGTGTCAGGATGGTGCCTGATGTTCTCCACCATCTGAAGGTGCATACCTGGGGATCCTTTGATCTGGAATGTTTTCAAACACTAATACTCCATCCTGTAGAATTCTATCAGTTATATTTTATCCCCACAATCAGAATGAATTTCAGGAACCAAAATGCCATTTCTGTGCAGCCTGAGCAAAAGCAGCCGACGATGTTATAGTTAATTGTTGTCGCTTGTCTTTGCTTTACAGTTGTGCTCACAGTTGTGAAGAATGTCCGTACGTTATGAATGGTCCGTGTCACCATTAAGAAGAAGAGGGAAGAGTAGGCCAGTACAGTCATACTTCGGGTTACAGATGCTTCGGGTTTGCGCGTTTTCAGGTTGCGCACCACACCGAACCCAGAAGTACCGGAACAGGTTACTTCCGGGTTTCGGTGCTCGCGCATGCGCAGAAGCACTAAATTGCGCTTTGCGCATGCACAGAAGCGCTGACTCACAACCTGCATGCGCGCATATGTGACGCTGTGGGTTGCAAACGTGCCTCCCGCACGGATCACGTTCGCAACCCGAGCGTCCACTGTATATACAGTGGTACCTCAGGTTAAGTACTTAATTCGTTCCGGAGGTCCGTTCTTAACCTGAAACTGTTCTTAACCTGAAGCACCACTTTAGCTAATGGGGCCTCCTGCTGCCGCCGCGCTGCCGGAGCCCGATTTCTGTTCTTATCCTGAAGCAAAGTTCTTAACCTGAAGCACTATTTCTAGGTTAGCGGAGTCTGTAACCTGAAGCGTATGTAACCTGAAGCATATGTAAGCCGAGGTACCACTGTATTTGGATGGCCCCTGGAAGAAAGGACTGATAATCTGTTTAACTGATAATCCATTACAGTCAGTCCATCATTTGAAAAATAAGACTTTAGAGCTGTCTTGCGCCAAAATGGCAACTAGACCTTCCATTTTGGCCACCGTAACCTTGGATTAAGGAGCCATTTGGCACCTCGCTTATATATCTGAATTTCTAATACTGCTCTTAAGTCCCCTCTTAAGTCTGCTGCAAGAAAGCTTTGCCCACCATGCCACAAAGGTAACACCACAAACCCCAGGCCATGAAGGAGAAGTCCAAACTGGAGCTTCTTCCTGTGCCACCATTGCCCCAGATCTGGAAGGGGCAGTGCTGGGGTGGGAAGGAGTGGCAGTGTGGGCGTGTGGGTCTTCTGACATTTACTTGGGAATATCTGCACCAGGAGCAGGCTGAGGTGCCTTTTGACACAGCTCTGAAAACCCAACTTGGGCAGTATTTGCATAGGCAAAACGCCCACTTCGTTTTGAACAGAATATGTTTACGATGCCACAATTATAGTGTCAGGCCAGCCTGATGCTATTATGCCACCCACTTTCCTTACTGCCGTGGCACTTACTTAAAAATCATTTGGTTAATATCCCTTCCAGTGTGTTTTTTCCATTCGTTTGGCTCTCATTCCCTTGTTCATAGCCCTTTATATTTCTCCCTCGGTTGTTAGTAAGCTACTTAGCATTCCCAGAAGTGTTCTGGTTTTTCTAAGGGAGCATAAAAAAAATGCTTTGGGGACCGATTTCTCTTTCCTCACCCCTTTGCGTACAGGAGGCTCTGTGTCTTGTAGTTAGTTGAAAACTGGGACGCTTTCCAGAAACTTTGGAATCATTTAGTAAATAATCTCTTTTAAAACATTAACAGCAGCATGAATTAAGGAGGACTCTGTGAAGTCATATTTAACTTGCGTTTCTATACACTTGAAAAGCCAATAGTTTTTGTTAGTAAGTTTACTGATTTACGTTTAAAATGCTACCTCAAACAACTTACATTGTTTTAGGCTGCAGTCTCCACAGAGGCACGGTAAATCAAAAATGGAACTTATTGTACATCAAGATGACTTTTGGGCTTACGATATAATTTGGGGGAAAGTGTGTTGAAGTTGCAGCTGCTGTAGAAATGGGACAAAGCTCTTGTAGATACTGTTATGTTTGGTCTAGTTCATTTGTGGGTTTGGGCGTTAATCTTATCTAGTGCAGTATTGGCGGAGGGGATTATGATTCAATGCGGAAATACGAGTTTTCTGTGTCTCCTGAAATGGTGGTTTTCAAACTGTTTCCTAGCCTCAGCGAAACCTTTCTACAGTGCTGCTCTAGTGAGGAACCCCTGAATATAGAGTCACAGAGGAGAGAGGTATATATATATATGTGTGTGTGTGTGTGTGTGTTTTATTTGAAGGTGATGATGAAGATTGTTGTTAATATTATATATTTCATTTCTATACTACTTTTAAAAGGTAAAGGTAAAGGACCCCTGACAGTTAAGTCCCGTCGCAAAGGACTCTGGGGTTGCGGCGCTCATCTTGCTTTACTGGCCGAGGGAGCCAACGATTGTCTGGAGAGTGTTTTTCCAGGTCATGTGGTCAGCATGACTAACCTTCCCGCAGGAGCGGTACCTATTTATCTACTTGCACTTTGATGTGCTTTCAAACTGCTAGGTTGGCAGGAGCTGGGACTGAGCAACGGGAGCTCACCCCGTCATGGGGATTCGAACCGCCGACCTTCCGACCGGCAAGCCCAAGGCTCAGTGCTTTAGACCACAGCGCCACCCGCGTCCCTTCCCGATACCACTTTACTTTTAAAGAAAAAAGTGGTTTCTGCTTCATCTACTGCCCTCATCTCTTGCATTTTAACATTCTTAATAAAACTTCACATAATTTGGCTCTTGGGATCTGATGTGTGCTTATGCCAAACTAGGATTCTGGTAATATCCCATGTGCCTGCCCGCATGGGCACAAGTGGGGGATTTCATAGGGGAAAGAGCAGCCTGTGCAGAACGCCTAGGTGAGGAAGGTAGCTGGATGCTAGTCCTGTTACTGATCAATCAAGACGGATTTGCCTGAGAAGAGCATGGTGCATTGGTTCAAAGGAATAGCGTGGCCTCCCAGAATTCACCCCACTTGGGGGTCATGGGGGTTAATAGGGGGTGTGGGCAACATCACTAGATCGCTTTGGTCACAACCAGCCTACCTTATAAGACAGTTGTGCAAGCGAGGCCATAAAGAAGCTCTGTTATCTTCTCCCTTCTACTGGACTGCTGGTGATGCCTCTGTCATCTTCCAGCTACGGTAGCAGAGGCACAGGAGTAGGGCGTCAGTGGTATTACAACTTAGCCCTCAAATATTCTAACCACGGGAGAGCAGGGCACATAGTTCCTGGATCTGCAAATACTAGAAGTGTACAATGCTTACAATTCCAGGTACAGTGGTACCTCGGGTTACAGACGCTTCAGGTTACAGACTCCGCTAACCCAGAAATAGTACCTCGGGTTAAGAACTTTGCTTCAGGATGAGAACAGAAATTGTGCGGTGGCAGCGGGAGGCCCCATTAGCTAAAGTGGTGCCTCGGGTTAAGAACAGTTTCAGGTTAAGAACGGGCCTCCGGAACGAATTAAGTACTTAACCTGAGGTACCACTGTACGACTTTTGGGTTTGTGCGGATAAAATATAATGGAGAAAGGAAGAAAAGGAGAGAGGAAAAAGAAAAGTTTTGGAGGGAAGGAAGCAGAAAGAGACTTGAGGAGGAAGAGGTGGAAAGAGATCTGGGAAAAAGCAAAACCAAAAGATGCGGGATAGAGAAGGAAGTGGTGGGAAGCACTCTAATTTTGTTGGGGGGGGGGGAATATTGAGCTTGCTGTTTTAACAGTCCAAAGAGATTGGTCATTACAGTGGTACCTCGGGTTAAGTACTTAATTCGTTCCGGAGGTCCGTTCTTAACCTGAAACTGTTCTTAACCTGAAGCACCACTTTAGCTAATGGGGCCTCCCACTGCCGCTGCGCTGCCGGAGCACGATTTCTGTTCTCATCCTGAAGCAAAGTTCTTAACCTGAAGCTCTATTTCTGGGTTAGTGGAGTCTGTAACCTGAAGCGTATGTAACCTGAAGTGTATGTAACCCAAGGTACCACTGTACTCCAGTTTTACAGGGAACGGAGGGTAGGAGAGAGAGACGTACCTGAGTGCCACACAGGTGAGTGCCAGGTATCACCTGTCCTCAGGTGGAGAGTGGGGCTTAACTAGCCACTTTGTAAATGCCAAGCATGCACAGGTAAGGAGAATTAAAGGAATCGTGCTATAATAATAATAATAATAATAATAAAATAAATTTTTTTTTTATTTATATTCCGCCCTCCCCAGCCAAAGCCGGGTTCAGAGCAGCTAACAACAGTAAAATAATACAACATTCTAAAATCATTTCATTATAAAATCAGTTCAGAATCAAATTAATGGCAACCATTGGGCTAGAGTTCTCTGAGGATTGCCAAAGGAGGGGGTCAGGCTGTGCCAAAGGCCTGGTGGAATAGCTCTGTCTTGCAGGCCCTGCGGAAAGATGTCAAGTCCCGCAGGGCCCTAGTCTCTTGTGACAGAGCGTTCCACCAGATCGGGGCCACGGCCGAAAAAGCCCTGGCTCTGGTCGAGGCCAGCCTAACCTCCCTGTGGCCCGGGACCTCCAAGATGTTTTTGTTTGAAGACCGTAAGGTCCTCCGTGGGACATACCAGGAGAGGCGGTCCCGTAGGTACGAGGGTCCTAGGTTGTGTAGGGCTTTAAAGGTTAAAACCAGGTGACAGCCCCTTTAAAAGAAGGGGACCTGAAACCTGTCTTGTTAAGAGTCACAGATATGATTGAAACCATGCCTCCTGGCAAATTCCAGTGCAAGTTTCCTTTCTAGGCAGGTTGACCTGTTTGGGTTTTGACACGCTGTTGTTTGCTTCCGCGGTCTGGTCCCGCAGACCTGCCCTACCAGTGATAATAGCTGAAATCATTCTGGTGGGCTGTAATTTGTAGCTTCTCTGCTGCTGTCTCCATGTACGCTGAAAGCATGAGAGAGCAGTGAATAGCAGCTAGTGATAGAGCACAATCATTATACCATCAAAGTCAGTGTGTGGGTGGGGAGACCATGTATGCTTTTATCATCCAGAGAGAAAACGCATTCCGGGGGAAAAGCCTCTTAAACTCTCCCACGTATTATTATGTATCTGCCCAGACATACAAGAAGAAACAAAATGCCTTCAACTATTCATGGGTCGACATAGGTTGTGCCCTATGCGTTATAGAATGTACACCTGTATTGTAAACTAAACCATTTCGTTAAATGCACATTTGTAGCTTTAATTTCTGTGTGATTCAGTTATGTGTCAAGAATGCTTAGTGGCATTCTTACATTCTTCGGAGTATTGCTGGCTTGTAAAATGGTACAATGCTGTGAAGGTCACAAGGTGAAATGGTGAGGAATCTTTTTTTATATATAATTTTTTATTAGTTTTTTTAACATATCATTTTCAACAGTCATTAAACATACTTTTACATCTTATTCAAATTTTTGACTTCCATCAGTCCTGTCTGAAAGTTTTCCAATCTAATCTCTCAGTATGCATTTCTTATCTTCCCTATTACATTTCAAACACATAACCAATATCTCTATCTTTTTCTACTTTGTAACACTTCGTCTATTTCTCCTTACAAAACTTGTTGTAGTCCTACTAGTGTAATTTGTTGATTACAGTTGCTCTTCAAATAATTCATATACTTCTTCCAATCTTCGGTAAATCTCTGGTCCCGCGGGTTTCGAATCCTTCTTGTTATTTTGTCCAATTCTGCATAGTCCATTAATTTCGTCTGCCATTCTTCTTTCGTCGGAATTTCTTCTTGTTTCCATTTCTGGGCTAACAATACTCGAAATGGTGAGGAATCTTAATTCATCTACTGTCTTAATTTCAGGTTGCAATGTCTCGCATCATCTGCTGTCCACGATCCAGTGTGGTTAAGCTCAGTTTTGTGGCTTTGCTGCTATTTGTAACGAGTTTCCCTTCGTGCTTAAACGACAGAGTTGCAGTGAGTATCTTTAGTAACTGAATCTTGAGAAAGTACAGGGAAAGTTAACTAATCAGAATTCATTTGTGCCGGCAAGGTGGGTTTACCCGTTTGTATTTTTGGCGGGTTTTAACTCTCTGTCTCTGTCTGTCTGTCTAGCACAGGAGAAAATCCTGTGTTTTCAATGCAAATATTTAATCAGCTATTTAACAGAGTGCTTAAAAGGCATTCATTCTAGCTGGCTGTATACAGTCCTAAGATGGGCGGGGTATAAATAATAATTTATTTATTCATTTATTTATTTCCGAAGGAATTTGCTCTCACAGAAAAAGTTGGTGATTCGAAGGAAGAGGACAGTCAAGAGGGAGTGGTGGAGGAAAACGATTTTGATTCCGAGGACTTGGAAGTATTCTACCCGACGAATCAATGGCAAACTGTCCGGCCAGGTAATTTAAAGTTGGCAAAGATTTTTTATGTAATTTTTGCTACTCAAGAGAAACTGCAATGAAACGGGTAGCAGCTGCATTCTACTACACCCTGTACCAAAAAATGCCAATAATTTTTCAGTTTAATCCCAATTCTGTCAGGAATAGCCTATTTTGGATTCTCGTTATTCATAGGGAATATCTTTCCTCCCCAAAATCAACAGCATAATTGCATATAAATTTACTCACATATATCTACTTAAACAGCCCAGTGACAGAGGGAAATGGTTAAACTAAATATGAAATAATTTAGTGAATGTTCAGAAGGGCACTGTTAACTAAAGTATTGTTGTTGTTTGCTCTCCTGTCTCTGAGCAGGGAGAGCCTTCAGGGAATCGGTGCATTTCTTGGGTTAGATTAATTTGGAGTACAGGTCACTGGAGGGATGTGGGTGGCGTTGTGGTATAAACCACTGAGCCTCTTGGGCTTGCCGATTGGAAGGTTGGTGGTTCGAATCCCTGCGACGGGGTGATCTCCCGATGCTCTGTCCCAGCTCCTGCTAACCTAGCAGTTCGAAAGCACGCCAGTGCAAGCAGATAAATAGGTACCGCTGCGGCGGGAAGGTAAACAGCATTTCCATGCGCTCTGGTTTCCTTCACAGTGTCCCTTTGCACCAAAAGCGGTTTAGTCCTGCTGGCCACATGACCCGGAAAGCTGTCTGTGGACAAACACCGGCTCCCTTGGCCTGAAGCGAGATGAGTGCTGCAACCCCATAGTCGCCTTTGACTGGACTTAACCGTCCAGGGGTCCTTTACCTTTACTTTTACCTTACATGTCACTGGAGGCAGACATTGCCTTCTGTGAAATAAAGTTTATTTACATGCATACATAGGCCAGACATAAGATGGAAGGCTCGCAGCATTAACTCTCCCCCATTAGGTTTCTAACGGGACCACCAAAACCATCACTTTGGATTCTGCACAGAGAGCAAGTCAGGCCTATGTTTCTCTTTTCAGACCCACATGCAAACACATGCCTCCCTCGCCTCACTTTCCAGAAGGTTCTCCAGCTAATTAGTTCCTATGGCAGCACACAGTCCCAAGCTTACATTACAAAGCAGATACAGTGGTACCTCGGGTTAAGTACTTAATTCGTTCCAGAGGTCCATACTTAACCTGAAACTTTTCTTAACCTGAAGCACCACTTTAGCTAATGGGGCCTCCTGCTGCCGCTGCAGCACGATTTCTGTTCTCATCATGAAGCAAAGTTCTTAACCTGAAGCACTATTTCTGGGTTAGCGGAGTCTGTAACCTGAAGCATCTGTAACCCGAGGTACCACTGTACTTATCAGACCTGGCTGGGTCTAGTTCAGGGGTCAGCAAACGTACCGCGCCTCGGGCCGGTGTCTCCAGCGCCGATCGCGTGGCGGACCAGAGGGCAGGGGAGCGCGCGTCCATACTCGTGCGCACACGCTATTTCCGGCGCACTTCCAGGTGGGAGGAGCACCGGAAATAGCTTGTGCGCTTGTGCATGGGCCTCCTACGACCCGGATGTGCACCGGAAATAACGCGCATGCGCATAAGCTATTTCCGGTGCTCCTCAGACCCAGAAGTGGGCAGCTGCGCTGCGCCAGTAACAGTGGGCGGTGGCAGAAGGTGGTGGGGGTCACCGTGGGCCGGATAAATGAGTCCCTCAGGCCTTATCCGACCTGCGGGCCTTAGTCTGAGGACGCCTGGTCTAGTTGCTTAGCAGTGAAACTGGATTGACCATTTAAGAAGTCCTCCCACCCCTCAAAAAAAAAAAAAAGGCTCAAAGGAGAGGTTGTCATTGAAATTCTACTCAATATTGATCCAGAGTAGATTCCAATGTATAGTCAGCAGAGTAACTACTTAAACACGTTGCAGAGTTTCCAAAAAAAACTAGACCAGAGGCATTTCATCCACAGAGCTTTACTGCTGAAGACAAATGAGCATAATGGTCACAAATCCAATACATTCAGGATTTGGCAATGTCCATAAGAAATCCAGTTGCAGCAGACTTAACTTAAATGTACAAACTTATAATGGGACGCGGGTGGCGCTGTGGGTTAAACCACAGAGCCTAGGACTTGCTGATCAGAAGGTCGGCAGTTTGAATCCCCGCGACAGAGTGAGCTCCTGTTGCTCGGTCCCTGCTCCTGCCCACCTAGCAGTTCGAAAGCACGTCAAAGTGCAAGTAGATAAATAGGTACCGCTCCGGCAGGAAGGTAAACGGTGTTTCCGTGCGCTGTTCTGGTTCGCCAGAAGCGGCTTAGTCATGCTGGCCACATGACCCGGAAGCTGTACGCCGGCTCCCTAGGCCTGTAAAGCGAGATGAGCGCCGCAACCCCAGAGTCGGCCATGACTGGACCTAATGGTCAGGGGTCCCTTTACCTTACAAACTTATAATAAGTTTAGATCTTAACACTATGTACGGAACATCAAACCAGAACGAAAAGAGATAGAAAGAAAGTGAAACCCGGGCTCCTTCTGGCCTCCCTATTACAGTCAGCCTGACCTGGACAGAAAGAGATAACAGAAGCAGTTTAAACCAGCTGTACTCAGCTTCTCTGAAGGAATAACCCAAACATCAGTAACCTTCTGCATGTTTCCCTCACACAGCGAAGCTTTCAGAACCCTCCTGAATTAAGTAGATGTGACCCCATGTTTCACTGACTTTGACTTCAGTCATGTTTCATGATTTCTAATTCGCTGCCTTTTGCTGTATAATGTTAATAGAAAATGTTGGTCTTGAAATGAAACACTGAGGAGAAGAAATGTGTGCTAATTTATATATCTATATTATTATTATTTGCAGGTCAGGCTGTTCCTGCCGGCTTACATGTTCAATTAAATCTTCAGACAGGAGAAAAATTAGCCAAGCTTCCAGATAATGAAAATAAGAAAAGTGACGTGAAAGACCCTCAGAAAAGTAAAGGGTAAGGTAGCTTCAGACAACTCTTATTTTTCTAAGCAGAAAGCAGATGAACTTCCGTTTTCCCTGCCGTCCGTTGAGGACGATTTGGGATTTCCATAGAGTCAGGTGGGCAACCTGTGAGACATTGTGGTTTGTGGGGCCTCCAGCCTGGTTTTTCGCAGTTTCCTGAATGCCTCCTAGAGCTGCTCCATTCTTCCATTCTGTCAGTGGAATGGATTGTTGGTTTGTGTGTCTTTGGGTTCCTTTCTCCCCCATTTCAGCAGCGTCTTCACAACAGCAGCAGCAGTCTAGCCTTCTCTTGGTGAAATCCCGTGACAGGAGTAACCACCTCACCCATCCAGTTCTTCTCTAAAGTATTTATTATTCCCATTACAAGTCGCACAGTGCTACTGGTTTACGTATAAAATGAGAAAACTATGTACTGTGGTACCTTGGTTTGAACAACTTGGATTAAGAACGCTGCAAACCCGGAAGTAGGTGTTTTGGTTTGTGAACTTTGCCTTGGAAGCAGAACATGTTTCGCTTCCCGTTGAGTGTGTTCCATTTGTAAATTGAGTCCCCCACTGCTATGGGAAAGCACGCCTTGGTTTAATCATCATCATCATCATCATCATACATTTTATTTATACCCCGCCCTCCCCAGCCAAGACCGGGCTCAGGGCGGCTAACACCAGGTATAAAACAATTGATTAAAATACAACTTAAAAACAAGATTAAAATACAACATTAAAATGCAACCTCATTTCAGTAGAAACTCAAACCAAAAACTTTTTGGGGATGAAAACATCAAATCTTCACCAAGGCCAACTATCCAGACTGGTCCTACGTGGGCCAGGAAAAAAAGCCCAGGAAGTCCCCAAATAGGAGTTCCATCACAGAAGGAGAAATAGGATAGAGGGGAAGGAGTTCAAGTTGATTAAGAACGCTTTGGTTTAAGAACGGACTTCCGGAACGGATTAAGTTCGTAAACCAAGTTACCACTGTACAGATCTCTGCTCCCTTCAGCTAACCGGCCAGAGAGACAGGCTCACAGACTTTCACATGTTCTGGCAGCCACATGGGGTGTCTCATGGCTCAACTGCATCTGCTAAGCAAGAGGATGGGCTTCAAGGCTCATTTCAAGTTTATTATGGCAATATATCAACATGGATAAGACGCCAGTTTTGGGCAACTCTTCCTCTCCTCCTGTGCTGTCCCCTCCAGTTCACCGCAGAGTATCCCTCCGCCCTCGGAAGCAACTTTTGATGAGAGTGGAGGGGGAACCACCGAAAATGGTCCCCCTCTCCATTCTATTGGCGGATACCTTCCATCGGTGGAGGGACAGCACTCGGATGCCACCCCATGTGATAGGAGAGGAAGGTTCACCAAGAGCTGATGTTGTATCAAATGCAGTTTTTGAACTGCAGGAAATTGAATCATCTCCTCGCAAGCAGGACCCATAGATAGGAGATAGTGGACACTTGGGTTGCGAACGGGATCCGTGTGGGTTGCATGGTTGCAACCCGCAGCGTCACGTCAGTGCACGCACGGGTTGCGATTCGGCACGTCTGTGCATGCACAATGCACGATTTAGTGCTTCTGCGCATGCACGACCGCCGAAAGCTGGAAGCAACCTGTTGTGGTACTTCCGGGTTTCGGCGGTCCGCAACCCGAAAAAACACAACCTGAAGCGTCTGTAACCCGAGGTAGTAAAGGTAAAGGGACCCCTGACCATTAGGTCCAGTCGTGGCTGACTCTGGGGTTGCGGCGCTCATCTCGCTTTACTGGCTGAGGGAGCCGGCGTACAGCTTCCGGGTCATGTGGCCAGCATGACTAAGCCGCTTCTGGCGAACCAGAGCAGCGCACGGAAAACCCGTTTACCTTCCCGCCGGAGTGGTACCTATTTATCTACTTGCACTTTGACATGCTTTCAAACTGCTAGGTTGGCAGGAGCAGGGACCGAGCAACGGGAGCTCACCCCGTCGTGGGGATTCAAACTGCCGACCTTCTGATCAGCAAGTCCTAGGCTCTGTGGTTTAAACCACAGCGCCACCCGCGCCCCGTAACCCGAGGTATGACTGTACAATTTGTTAAGAAACTGTACAAACAGAGGCATTAGGACATAAACTAGGAAAGCAAGTCAATACAGTGGTGCCCCGCAAGACGAATGCTTCGCAAGACGAAAAACTCGCTAGACGAAAGAGTTTTCCGTTTTTTGAGTCGTTCCGCAAGACGAATTTCCCTATGGGCTTACTTCGCAAGATGAAACGTCTTGCGAGTTCTTGCAGTTTCCTTTTTCTTAAAGCCGCTAAGCCGTTAATAGCCGCTAGCCGCTAAGCCGTTAATAGCCGCTAAGCCGCTAATAGCCGTGCTTCGCAAGACGAAAAAACTGCAAGACGAAGAGACTCGCGGAACGGATTAATTT